GGTATTTTGCTTTAATTTTAGCTTAACTTAAAGGCTAATTAAAGTTAAGAAGATATTAAAAAAAAGAAAAAGGAAGAAGAAACTTAAGGGAAAAGAGGAAATTTATATATATAAAGTTATTATAATAAGAAAAGGTAAGCAATATTAATAATAAGCTACCTTATTATTAAAAGAAGTAATTTATTATCTTGCTTTTAATTAGGGTTGATTTATTGCTAAAAAGGAGTTATTTATTTTTAATTTCCTGCTTATAAAGAAGTTATTTATTTTTTTATTATAAAGAAATTTTAATTAAGTAATTTATTTTAATTTATATTTAATAAACTTATAAATTAAAAGGGGAGTACTTTATAATTAGCTATTATTTAAGAAAAATAAGAAATTATATACTTTTTTATTTTAATTATTAATAAAATAATAAATTAATAGCTTTTAATAATAACTTATAAGCCTTTTTATTGCTTTTTTTTTTAATTAATGTAATTATTTAACTTAAGGGTAGTAAGTTATTAGCTTTTGCTATTTTAACCTATATATATTACTATACTTATTTATTTATAACTAAGCTTTCTTTTTTTTCTTCTTCTTTTTTTTCTTCCTACCTTTATATTATTATTAATTAAAGGTTAAAGATTAGCTATTACTTAGCTATTTTAATAATAATATATTTTTAATATATTAATCTTTTCCCTTATTTAATTTTTATTTAAGAATAAATAATAATTATTTATAAAAGTTGCCTTAAGTTATAGCTAAATATTAATTATATCTTTTTTTTATTTTTAATTTTTTTTATTTTAATTACTTATATAATAATTCTTAAGGGTATAAGGCTTTTTTTATTGCTATATTTTTCTTTTTTATTACTTAACTTTTATTATTTACTCTTTATTTTATTATTTATTTTTTTTATTTTCTTTTTTTATAATTAAAAGCTAAGATATTTTTTAATTAAAAAGATAAGGTAAAAAAGTAATTTTAATTATCTTTATATTATAAAATACCTTAAGACCTTAATACCTTAATTTTAATAATTAAGTTTATTAATTTAAGAAAGAATAATTTAGCGTTAATAATTATAAAACTTTTTTACTTTAATAATTTTAAAAACTTACTTAATAAAGCATTATAATTCTTAAATATTATAAATATTTAAAATTAATAAAACTTTACTTAAAAAGTAAATATTAACTTTTTTAAAAATTTCTTTAAAATAAAAATTATTATAAATAAGGTTTATTTAAATAATATTTAGTAATTTTAAACTCTTAATTAGCTATTATTCTTTAATATAAAATAAATAATATTTAATAATAAGCTTATAAAGATAATATAAAAATATTTTTTAAATATTAATCTTTATTTTAAATTAAGAAAATTAATTAAATTAATAAATTTAATAAAATAATATTAAGCCTTCTTTATCCTTAATTTTTTTAATATAAAAGAAATGCTTTATAAATATAAAGAATTAAGAACTTAATATATTATAGCCTTTATAATTTAATAGCTTTTTAATTTTTAAGATATTATATTTTTATTTAAAAAATCTTTATATTATAATTATACTTTATTTAAGAAATATTAATAATATAAATTAATAAAGAATTATAAATTTATTATTATATTTATTTATATACTTAATTATTAAATAATAATAATTTTTAATAAAATAAAAAATTATTATTTATTATAAAATAATCTTGCATTAAGAAATAAAAAGAATAAGATAAATAAAGATGCTAAAGCGTTTATTTATAAATATTTAATAATTACTTTAAAAAATAAAATGTAAAATTTTAATAAGAAGTTTATATTAAGATTAAGATAAATTAATAAAGTATTTTATAAATAATATATTATTAAGTTTATTAAAAATTATTTTAAGGAGAATTAAGGAAAGAATAATTAAAAAGTATAGAATTAAGCTAAGGCTTTTTTAATTAAAATTATATATTATAAAATGCTTAAAGTTGCTATTAATATTATTATTTAAATATTTGCTATTTAATTAAAACTTAATAAAATTAATAAAATTATTTAAATACTTATATTAATTTTCTTTATTAAAATTAATAATATAAAAATAATTAAAATAAAAAGTAAGCTTTTATTATAAAGAAATATTATTTAGTAGCAATTATTTAAATTATAATATATTAAGATTATTATTAATTATAAAAAGAGTATAAAGAAAATAATATTTTTAATATAAATTAATTTAATAACTTAATTTTAAATATTTAATATATAATAAAGTATAAACTTTTAAATAGCTTAAAATTAGCTAAATATAATTTTAATTAAATAAACCTTTAGCTTAAATATTACATTATAAGATATTTTAAAGCTAATAAGAAATACTTATCTTAATATATATAAAGATTTTTCTTACTTACTTATTTTAATAATAAATATAAATAAAATTTAAAGCATATTAATTAATTTAAAATAATTAAAATAATAATAAAGTTTATTTAAAAATAATTTAAAAGGCTTATAAATAAGTTAGCTAAGTAATTAAATATAAGGTATAAATATTAAAAGCAAAAGTATTATAAAAAGTAAAAATAAAAGCAAAAGCTTTATAAAAAGTAAAAATAAAAATTAATAAAGCTAATATATTATGCTTAATATAATAATTAAAAAGAAGAATAAATTTACTTTTTATTTTATAAAAATATTTAAATTTTTAATAGCTATATTAATATTAGTTATTAAAGTAAATTTTAATAGCTAAAAAGATATAATTAATAAATATGCTATTAAGTAGGTTTTAAGAATATTTAAAGCTTTTATAAAAGAATAAAAGCTATAATAAGATAAGTAAGCAAGGGATTAAAGATAATAATAATAATTAAAATTATAATAAAGTAAATTTTAAAATTTAAAAACTTAATTAAAAATAGTAAAGTTTTATTTTAATGATTTTTATAATATTTATTATAAAGTGCTTAAAAAGGGGTATATTAATAGGTATAAAGAATTATATAAGAAATAATATTATATTAAATTTTAGCTAGCTATAAAAAGCTAGCTTTTATGCTTATTTTAAATATTTTTTTAAAAAATTAATTTTTTTCTTTTTCTTATATATTTAATGCTTTAATTAAGTTTTTCTTATTTTTAAGAATTTTTAAAATATTTATCTTTTCCCTTTTTTTAATTCCCTTTTATTCCTATCTTTCCTCTTTATTATATTAAAGCTTTTCCTTAAGTTATCCTTAAGAGGGTTTAGCAAAACCTATCCCCCATTATTTAAGTAGCTTGTTTTTAATATATAATACTTATTAATTATAAATAAATATTATTTAAAAAGATTATTAAAAATAATATTAAAAATAAAGACTTTCCTTAGCTATTTAATAGCTATTCTTTCCTTTATTTATCCCTTTTTAATAATTATAAATTATTAATTAAAATAATCTTTAAAAATAATTAAAAATTATTATTATTATATACTTCTTTTTTTAAAAATAATAAAAAGTTTAAGGATTTTACTTAAGGTATTAATATATTTTATAAAGGAAGTTTATGCTTAAGAATTAAAATCTTTTTAAAGAAAAGGATTATTCTTTAAATAATTAAAAATAAGGGTATTTTTTAAGTAATTCTTTATTAACCCTTTCTTATTAATATTTTATTAATAAGCTAATTAAATAAACTTAATAATAAATAATTAAAAGAAGTTAAATTAAAAAGTAATATTTTTTTTAATTATTAATTAAAAATAAATAGCCTTTACATATTAATTTTTTTAGCTTTAAAAAATAAAGTAATTAAAAAAAAGACTCTTAATTAATTCCTTTTAAAGAAAGGATAATCTTTATTTAAAAAGATTAATTAAGTTTTTAAAGCCCTTATTTTAAATTATATTAATATTAACCTTAAGCTAATAAAGCCTTTTAATAATTAAAAAAAAAGCCTTTAAGAATTAATAGCATATAATGGCTTTAAATATTATTAAAATAATTATATAATATAATAAAGGGAATATATTAAGTTTTAATAGCTTATTAAATTAATATCCTATCCTTAATAGCAATAAGATATTATTAATATTATCTTTAAAATATAACTTTATAATAAGGAAAATAATGTTTAGGAAAAGTTTAAAAAATTTAAAAATAAATAGCCTTTACATATTAATTTTTTTAGCTTTAAAAAATAAAGTAATTAAAAAAAAGACTCTTAATTAATTCCTTTTAAAGAAAGGATAATCTTTATTTAAAAAGATTAATTAAGTTTTTAAAGCCCTTATTTTAAATTATATTAATATTAACCTTAAGCTAATAAAGCCTTTTAATAATTAAAAAAAAAGCCTTTAAGAATTAATAGCAATATAATGGCTTTAAATATTATTAAAATAATTATATAATATAATAAAGGGAATATATTAAGTTTTAATAGCTTATTAAATTAATATCCTATCCTTAATAGCAATAAGAATATTATTAATATTATCTTTAAAATATAACTTTATAATAAGGAAAATAATGTTTAGGAAAAGTTTAGAAAAGAGAATTAATTTCCTTATAAAGATATTAAGAAGTATTTATATAGTAGGTATAGATGCGTTTATGCGTATACGCAGGTATGGGGCGATTGGGATCAGCGGAATCGGGGCCGGGGACGTTAATTCTACTACCCTGCTGCAGAAGCACCCCTTCACCGTGATAGGTACAATGATATCTATGATATTTGTAATACCAAGCAAACACCATTTCTAACAACTGTGAAATGCTTGACTAATAAGCTGCCACGGGACCGAGACTGAACTCGGCAAGGCTATGCGTGCCCAATCGGTGGAGTCCGCCGAAGACGGACAATGCGGGTTTGGCAACGACGGCGGGGTACCTAAGCCAGGACGAGGAAATGATAAATATTCTTCCACAACTTCAAAAATAATAGGTCGTCTGCGCCTTGCTCAGGCACATTAGTTAATCTCAAATCGACTCTAGACGCCTGCGTCATCCCATCTTTGCACTGTCGCTGCGATAATGTCAAGCTCGCCAGACGGAATCTACGAACGCGGAGTCGTTGACCCTGGACTGCCAGTCAAGGAATACTCACAGCCCTTCTGGCTCTCTGAACCCTCGAGCATCAGCAAGTTGCAGTCAATATGGGTGCAGGAGGCAGATGTGGTGATTATCGGTTCGGGCGTGACATCTGCCAGTCTTTGCCTCACTCTGTACTCGATCTGTCCAGAGCTGAAGATTGTCGTCTTGGAAGCTCGCGAACTATGCTCTGGAGCGACCGGACGCAATGGCGGTCACTGCAAGGCTATGAGCCCTGGAGTCTGGTACGACTACAAGAGCCAGTACGGGGTTGAAGAAGCCGTGCGGAATCATGCAATATGAACACAGCCATCCCCAAGCCATTTCTGCTTGCGTCAAAGAGAACAACCTCGAATGCGATTTACGCACAGTGGAAGGTCTCGACGTCTATCACGATGAAAGTGCATTCAGGCGTGCTTGCGACGCCCTGGAAGACATGGGAAAACACAGCCCTGAGCTCGCGGCAAATTACAGGTGCTACCTGTCCAGGGCAGATCTCCAGGCTCGCCACCTGAGCGAACATTGTGTTGGCGCCATCGGCATGGCTGCTGGCACCTTCTGGCCGTACAAGTTCGTCACTGGCCTCTTCGAGAGGATGGTCCGCGAGAACAACCTGTCCATCCAAAACGAACAGCCCGGTTACGCCAATAATCGACAACGATGGTGATGGGTTTGCGACCGTACGAACGAGTCGAGGCGAAGTGAGGGGACGCCAGGTTGTACATGCCACGAACAGCTGGATTGGTCGTCTGCTTCACGAGATGCGGCCTTTTATCTCACCAGTACGCGCCAACGTTCAGAGACAAGTGCCGCACCCAAACACGCTCAGCGTCGACGATCGGTCGTTCTGGCTACGCTACGGGGAGAAAGAGTATGACTACCTGACCCAGAGGTCTGATGGCTCCTACATCATAGGCAGGGCCAACACTGGACGCAGAGCCACAGCCGACGACTCCAAACTCGACCTAGTCCCCCAGGCACACCTCCGGGCAGTGACTCCTCAATTTTTCGACTTCGGGACCAAGGATGTCCAGGCCACACATGCTCGGAGCGGGGCGGTTGCGTTCACGGAAGATCACAATCCTTTTGTTGGGCAGATCCCGCTTCCGGGCCGTCGGCATCAGTGGGTGTGTGGGGGGTATCAGGGTATTAGGATGGTGAAGGCCTTCCGGACCGCACAGATGTTGGTGTTGCTGCTCTTGGGGAAGGACATCCCAGCGGAGTATCCGCGAACTATGTTGCTTACACCCCAGCGGCTTAGGACTATGCAGAGGTCGACAGGCAGCAAGCTCTGATATGATCGAGAAATCATTGCATCAGACTGGGTGGTTATGCAGGGAATATAGTCTATGCATTGCAAAATGGATTTTTTTTAAGATCCCTTTGAAGTTCGTATCGATGAGAGTAATATACTGAATGGATTTTGATATGTACGGGCCTGGAGTATTCGACTTGTTCCTATCGAGTCCACTTCCAGTGAGCCTGCAACCCACGCCGCCAAAAGAACCAGCCTACCCCCGTAATACCCAGGGCTAGTACCGTCATCTTCAGAGCATTTGCGGCAGCCTCCTTGACCCAGAGCATCTTCCTCTGCTCAACCATGTCCCTTGTCTGATTCGTGTGCGGGAATGGCTCCTCGGGGATCTCCTTCCCGAGGAACGCACAAAGTTCATCCCAGCCGTGCTTATACAGGTCGAACTCGAGGATCCTGTCAGCTGCCACCAGACTTCGCACGCGAGGGTAGTGCGCGTCATAGGTCTTCCGATACTGCTCCTCCGTCCAGCACTCGGGGTGCGGCGTGGTGACGTACGGCCCCGAGCCGCCAACCATGGTGAGGAAACAGCACGCGTACTCGTGCCAGGCCCTTGATTCCGCGCTGAGGAAGGGCCGAAGGTATGGCCACCATCTCCATGTGGTCAACTGCATGCCCGTGCGGCTGACGGAGCGGTACCAGTCCTGGAATGGCCGCTTGTTGAGGACGACTTTCGCCTCTGGGTTCTGCGCGAGCCATTCCTCCAGGAAGAACATGGCGGGCCCGTCGATAATTCCCTCGTACGTCCACAGGATCTTGGACCAGTCGTCGGCATCGTAGGGTGTCTTGGTACCGCCATACCTTGCGGCCAACGCCTCGTTCCAGAACGGAAGGTCGCCGTTCTGCATTGCATCCACTGTGTGGTAGGTCGGTATGCCCAGTATGTTCAACGCCATCCGGATGGCTGTTCTAATCGCGTCAGCCATCAACACCGTATCTGCAGAGTCATGTGAAACATCGTACATTTGGTTCCCGAGCGAGGCAGTCCCAGCCCCAGCACAGCGAGACGGGCTGGCCTCGGGGCCGGTGGCAACCTGTCAATTAGCCTCGTACCGTCGGCTGCCATGGTGGGATAATTTGTGCAAGTGTTTGATCTGTGAAATGGTGGGCCACAGTTAAATGGGAAGAGGTCCTAGAACAGTTTTATGGCAGTGACGGGCACCAGGTTCCGGGGTCCATTCATCCCCGCTCCCGCCTCGTGATGAACTGAACATGGAGTAGTGCTGAGGTGAGATTTCAGTAGATTAGCATAATGGTCCGAGCACAGATAGCTGAATTCTGCGCAGAACAGTTTCTCATTAGACTGATGGTCCTGCCGAAACGCCATACACAAACTATTTCCGGAAAAGGGATCAGTGTCTTGTACCGCCGCTCCGTAGCTGCAAGAAACGATGTCTTGATGTGGAATGACGAGCTCCTCGTATCTTTGACCCATGGTAGTACCGGCAAGGTACCAATCGTCCAACAGCCTACTCAGGCACCGTCTGCAGCGACTTCGTCAGCACCTGAAGGATTAATTAAGCGACGTGATTCAAGGTTGCGGATCCGGCAAGCACGTATGATCTTGAGATGTCCGGAGCTGTCCTGTGGCCAACTTGCTGCAAAATTTGCTGTCTTGTCTTACTATCGTCTTCACTGATCGGACGGACTGGACAAGAGTTAATAGCTACTTGTCAACTCAACTACATTGAATTATTCGTCTGCTGCAGTTTCTCAACTCGGAGTCATGTGTCAAAACACTAATACTTTTCATTGACACTATCCCTGGCCGGGCCGGATTGCGTTCCAGGAAATTGCAAAAGACCGGAACATAGGAAATTGTGCTCTCTTACTTTCTTTCAAAGGTCGAGTGCCAATGTCAGGTTACGTGATTGTTATTGTGAAAACCCGCATAAATTGCAGGGACTAGTACCTCTCCACGACCGTCACAGTGTTCTCCTGCTTGTCCACAGCGTGTTACCAAAAATCCCCAATGATATATGGGTTGACCAGTACGATCTGGAACCAAACATTGTCCCCAGTAGAAACCCATCAGCAAGCCTCACAAGACCTCCTGAAAGCCCACCTCATCCGGTGTGTCAATGCTGCCTTCGGCAACAAGGCCCTTGAAGTGGTTGATGAAGAAGATCTGTTGCATAGTTAGAAAATTAGCCGTATTCTAGCGCACCATAACCGAAATCCCCTCCAGACGTACCTTGGCAGGATAGGATTTGTCTCTGGCGCCCAACCGGATTTGCATACCCCTCGAGCGGACGACCACAGGGAACTGCACCCTCTGCAGGACCTGAATGTTGCTGGTACCATCAAAGCCAAACATAGGAAACCGTCTGCGCAAGTCACGCTGCACCTTGTTGATGATCATGTTGGCAGACCAGTCGCTATTATTGTAGGAGCGGCGAGAGACGTAGAGGAAAGCAGGCTCCATCACGACGGTCTCAATTCTGGCAAAACGGTCCACGAACTGCTTGAGATTGAGACCCGGAACACTCTCTCGGAAGCCCTTGCACCGGATCTCCCTGATGACAGGTCGTGCGAAAGTGGGGATCGTTCGCAAGACTTCGGAAAAGTCGACGGTCTCGAAAAGTGGGTTCAGAGCGCTGTCGACGATGGTTGAGGACCAGTAGGTGGACAGCGCCTCGGCGTAGATCTGAGTACAGACGAGGAGGAGTTGATGGTGGTGTGAGGGTCGAAGCGCAAAACTCTTTCTCCATGGGTAAGGTGGATTGACTGATAGGAGTATTACTCGCGAACCACGGAAGACTTCCTTGTAGATCTGGAGACGTGTCTCGACTGGGAGTACTGTGAGCAGCCTCGAGACCATAGATTTGCTGGGGACGTAGCCCTCTTCGTCGTCGGATTGGCTCGCCATAATCGCCCGAGGCTCTATGTCAGAGGGAGACGATAAGGCGAGGAGGTGTTGTTGCACCAAAGGTAGTAGAGGTGGAGTGTGGATGGCAAGACGAAAATGTTGAAATGATCCTGGGAAGCCGATTGATCCCTTTTAAGCTGGTTCAAACTATTCACTTCCCCTTGATAAAACAGTTCATGCTATAATGACTGGCTCTCGACACGAGGCAGTTCCTAAGCCCTATCACCCATGGCTTCACTGGCCTGGCCCAGCCTGTTTGGCCCCATGTTGGCACGTTTGCACACTGCACTTCATTCACATGGAAAAGATCCTGTACCCTTCTAGATTCTTAGATTGAACCCCGCTCCTGCCAAACAACATTGTCAAGCTATTCAGCATCAGACCAATACTGGCAAACACCTTGGGCTCATACAACTGTGAATGCATTCACCTAAGTAAAGTGAAGAATGTACCTGGGACACACTGTCTCTCTTGTAAACCCACTCTGATTTACTGGGAACACCAAAGCACAGCTCCCAATGGTAATAGGCAGTGGGTTTGTTGGAGCAAATACTGAGCAGCGTCAAATTGGTACCACCCAGGTCAGGGGAGCGCATGATGTAACAAAGCCAGGTGGGGTCTTGAATGATGTGAGTTCGATGGATTAACACTCTTCACCCTGTCGTCCTCGTAGCTGCCCAGGTGGTCCAAATTGTCTGAGCAGCTCTGGCGCTCTCTGCGCTGGATCTCTCAACATCAGCTCTCCCACAAAGCCCTTTAACTCGTCCTCAAGACACTGACCACCAGAAAACACAGCGGCATGTTCCATGCCATCCTTCAAAGATTCCTTGGCGTTCTGTATGCTCTGCGTTTTGATTTCTTTTTCCAAGTCTTTCCCTCCGATCCACCAGCCCCTAGCCATCAGCCAACCCTATGGTTTCACGGGCTGATGGACATGTTATCTCCCTGGCGAGCAGCTGGGCCATCGGCGGCAGCAACGCAGCCGCTCGAGTGTCATTCCTCATTCGGCCGGGACTCGAGCTGCTCAGCCTCGCTCCGAACCCTCCACGGGGGCTCGCTGCCCTTGGGCGGCACGTGAGGGTACGGCACGACGTCGCACAGGCAGGGTTTGGACTCGCGGAAGTAGTCGTCGCCGTAGTGGATGAAGACCTGCTCGCCGGGGGTGATGTCGCGACCGGCAGCGAATGCGATGCATTTGCGGCGGCCGTACGTGATGAACTTGACGTCCAAATTAGGCTGGCAGCGGTGGTTGACGAAGCGAGTGATCTGTGCCAGGAACATTAGAACCTGCCATCGGTCTTGTACAAATCTTGCCTAGGTCCTCCCCGGAATATCGACAGATTCGACAAGTGGCCCAGGGGAAAATGGAAGTAAACACGTGGACCTACGCTCCCGCACTCCCGCGCATCCACCGTGGCGATGCCCTCGAGCTCAAACGCATACAAGTACCCCCCTTCAAGCCTTCTTGGCCTGTCGGGCGGGTGAAGCCGGCCCAGGTACTCGCCCACGACACTCCCCTCGCGGATCCCGACCTGCGCGAAGACGCCATACGGCCCACACCCCAAGGCAGTGCCCGTATTATCCGCCCTCTCGATGCGCAGCTCGCCCGCGAGGACCACCCTCTCCATGCGGCGCCGGAACAGCCTCACGCAGCTGTCGCCGAAGCACCTCGTGCCCTCGCGCCCGCAGACGAGGCACGGCTCCTCGTCGTCTACCCCGTAGGCCAGCACGGCGGCGCGGGTATTGGTCCCGTGCGGCGGGCCGGTGACGGGGCTGCCGCTGCGCTTGCTCTTGTGAGTGCGGTTCGTGTGCCCCCAGTCTTCTGGGTCTAGTACGTAGTTGTCTATGCGCCGTGGTTGGGAGCCGTCTGGATAGGTTATGTCTCGGAGGCTGTCCGTGGCTGGATCGTAGTACTGGAAAAGGGGCGAGTGCTGAGGTCGGTAAGCCCAATCATGTTGTGCTGCCTTGCCGGCTGTGGCTGGCATGAGGAGTCCTTGCATGTGTGTTTTGCGGTCCATGGAGTTGAATCTAGGGACGCAGGGGGCCAGTCTAAGCAAGATCATGGGCTTCATATAGACTGCTGAGCAGATTCGTTGCTTTGGATCGTGTGGGAAGTCTTGTCGAAGAAGCCTGCTCTACATTGTGTCAACCTGGCGAAGAATCAAAACACATCACTTGATGACTTTGTTGATTTCGTTCCAAAAATTGAGTTTGGTTATAGGTTGCCTTGTTCTCTAAGACAAATCTAAAACCGATCTATGCGACGACATTGGCCCCCTGAATGGATCCTTCGGCCTCGTTGCCTTGAGGCATGTCGAGAATATTCTCATGCCCACCCACACATGAAGCCGGTGAGCTCTGCGATGCACGGTCATCCGTTGACTTCACCGCTTCTATTGTGCCTTGAAGTGGACGGTTCATGCTTGTAGAACTGAGAGGAAGTGTATTTGATATCCAATGCCACTGCCGGCACCCGGGTGAACATCTCTCAGCCGCGAGTTGTAACAAAACAAGTTCCAGCCATTCCAGTAATGCGAGAATGATGCTAGCCCAAAGAACCCCCAAAACGCCCTAGAAAATGTCCACCGTCGTCTCGTCAACACCTCAAAACCTCCTCCGCCTCCTCCTGCGGTCCGACCCGCCCCCAAAGGCCATGTTCACCATCTCCATGATGATGAGCTGCAGCACATACTCCTTGATCATGGCCCAGGCCTGCTCCTTGCGATACCAGGGCAGTGCGTTCCACCCGAGGACCCAGACGCCCGAGACGAGCGCGACGACGACGAACCGCGCCGCGAAGACGCTCGCGCCGCCCGAGGCCACGGCGTAGAGCAGCACGGCCTCGGCGACGGCGAGGGGCCAGTAGTAGCCCGGCTGCCACAGGCCCAGGACGAGGGTGTTGCCGGCTGCTGCCGCTCCCGCCCCTCCGCCGCCGCGCGCGACGTCCTGCCCCGGGTTCGGGATGGTGATGGTCAGCGGGAGTGGGGCGCGCTGGGAGGCGATGTACCAGTGCAGGATGGCGGCGCCGCCGAGCAGCACGGGCGAGAGGACGCGGTCGGCCAGGCAGGGCCCGTCGAGGTAGGTGACCCAGTCAGATTGGGTAAACCATGAGACCGGGGTGAAGCGGCCCGAGGCGGCCGAGAAGAAGAAGATGGCGAGTACGACCGAGGTGACGCGGCGGAGGAGGAGGTCTGTTGATCCTGGCATGGTGTTTTCCCCCCCTTGGCTGAGTGTGTGGGTGCTGAATGCTCCTTTCTGTGTGAGTTGTCGTGGTGAGGAGGCGATGAATGGTGGATGACGAGTTTTTGCGCTGTTTGAGATGACTCGAGAGAATCAGAGAGGTAGTCCTGAGTCGCAGGCGTCAAAAAGACGGCCGCCGTGTTGGTGTTAAGGTCCAGTGGTTGAGATGCTTGTTCCCTTGCCCGGATGTCGAGGGAGGAAATGGCAGGTATATGGGGGAGCTCGTGGGATGTGCAAGATGCAGGCCCTTGCCCCACCCTTCGTGGCTTGACAGACTCGTGTGAGGGACCGGAACAGTCGAGAGTACTGACTGAATGACGATGTCGCATCAATGTTGTCGCACTCTGCCTGTTTTATTCCCAAGAATCGGAAATCAGACGTCAGTTGCTGGCTTCGCCACTAGATTATGTCAAAGGCCACCTCAGCCCTTTGTCCCGCGCCGCACAAAAACGGTCACTCTGCCCGTCCCGCGAGACGCTTCGAGAAAGCGCCCAGTCAGTCCTGTCTCTCACACGCTGTCACCCTCGCCCTTTGCCCCGCGACACCCTTCACTTATTCATTCAGTCCACCGAGAAACAAGCATTCCATCCAATTTTCGTCGAATGTTACCTGGGCCTCGTCCTGGCGGAGCAAGCGGGCGATCCGGGTGCGCATGGCCGCCGTCTCGGTGCGACCTTGTGCCTTGGGACGGGCTGTGAATGGAGCGTGACCGTCTGAGACCATGTTGCTGCAGGGTTCAACCCTTGCTGAACTAGCTGAGCACTGTCCTCGTCTCCTTACAGGGCAATTACGCAGGACAAGACAAGCTCTTCAATATGACGGCCATGAGATGAACCGAGAGCGTGAATCCATCCCACTTTGGGTCCGAATATACCAACGCGTCGCACACACTGCAAAGCCTATTGATTGATATTCCCACCAGACTGGTAGCCTTACGACCGCCTCATTCAAGCTGTCTCTCTGTCTACCAAGGTATCTATCCCTATCCAAACCACCACAACGCAGAACTACTTCTTCGACTTGGCCTTCCTCTTGAGTGCCCGCATCTCCTTCTTCATCCTCGAATCGACCATCTTGTATCTGCCCTTGACGCCCTTGGGCCGGCCCTTGCCCTTGTTCTGGCCCCTGGCCACCACCACCTTGACCGGCGGCCGGCGTACCTTCTTGTTGGCCTTGGAGATGAGCTTGGAGATGCTGTCCGCCTTCTCCTTCTCCGTCATGCCCTCCGACGCTGCCAGCACGTCGCTCTTCTTCTTGAGCTTCTCCAGCCGGTCCGCCGCCCTGAGCTTCTTGCGCGCCTTGGCCTCACGCACCTTCTTGATCGGCCGCGCGTTGTACGCCCGCAGCTTCTCCTTGATCGCCGCTGCCGCCGCCTTGGTGATGGGCTTCTGTTGACGGTCGTGCCGCGACTCGTCCTCCGTAAACCAATCCGGAAGCCCGTCCCGGTCCGCCCGGAAAGCGTGCTTGTTGAACCCGTCGTCCATCAGGTCGTGGCTCGATTTCTTGCCCGTCGCGAGCTCGTGCGCCAGGGTCATTGCCTCGGCCGTGATAATGTCGATTTCTGTAAGTTTGGGTCAGCTTGTCTCAATCATGAACGGTGGACGAATGGGTATGGTAGCCTACCTGGCCTGTTGTCACGCTCGCGCCTTTCCCGCCTCTCCTCCTCTTCCCAGTCGCTCTCGTCTTCCTCGTCTTGTTCAACCTTCTTCTGTTTTGTAGGCTTGACCACTTCAAACTCCTCGTCATCGTCCTCGTAGGCATCAACAGCTATGGGTGCTTTTGGTTTGGATACGTTCGCCGGTGTATTTTCGTCCGAGGAGACTTCGTCGGCCACGTCGACATCCATCTCGTCAACCTCCACCTGCTCGGCTTGTTCCTCCTCCTCAGGCTCATCCAAAAGACCGTCCATGTCCTTGAACAGGTCCTGGTTGAAAAAGGCCCTGGCACGTTTTGACAACCCTGACGAGTCTCCCGTATCCTTTTCAAGGTCGGTCAGCAGCGTCTTCTTGCCAGCCACGCCATCGTCCTCGGCATCCGAATCATCGTCGCTGTCCTCGTCCAACTCGCTCTCCTCATCGCTGGCGGCCTTCTCATCTGCAGACACACCCTCCCATTCGTCATCATCATGCTCTTTCTTTGACCGCTTGGCTCGGTACTTTGCATCTGTTGCTGCTTTTCGCTCCTTGTAGGCGTCGTACATGCCGTCCAACTCCCGCTCCAGCCTGTCCTCCTCCTCATCGCTATCCTCGTCCGAGTCTGGTGAGGTGCCCAGGCCGCTGTCTCGGTCCTTCCTGGAGTCTTGCTCGCTGATCTTGACCATCTTGCCCCTGGAGATCCTGCCGAGCGCGCCCGCCTTGTCGACGGCCTTGAGCTGGAATATGGCGTCCTCGCCCATGGGCCCCTGCTCTTCCATACCAATGTCCATGGGGGCAGTCATGTTGAGCTGCATGCGCACAATGTCCTTCTGCCTCTGCTCGTTCTCCTTGCGCCTTTCCTTCTTCTTTCTAGAGCCTTCCTTCTCCTTCAGTGCCTGTAGCTCCTCCTGGATCCTCATCTCCTCGTCCATGTCTTCGACCTCGGCCGTCTCCTCGGCAAGTTCGGGCTCCTGCTTGCTCTTCTTGGTGGGAAAGCCAAACTTCTCGCGGACCTTGAGTCGCCATCTCAGCAGTAGTTTGAACTCCTTCTTGCCGAGAACCTTCAAGTCCTCGCAGCACCTGCGGATGTCGTCTGTGGTCTCGGGCAGCTTGTTCAGCGCCGCAAGGGCCACATCTCCGTTCCTGGACTGGTCGAAGTGCAGGCGGTTCTTGCTTCCGAGGATGGCGATGGGGTCCGTAGTTTGGATAAACTCGGAGGCAGGAACCTCCTTGAATTGTGTCCAGTCGCCCTCCTCGTAACCCTCTCTCTTGCGCTTCTTGACCTCGGGGTTGTAGACCTTGGCCTCGTTGTTGGGGGTGGGTGCGGCGAGCTCCTCGAAGACGGCGCGGGGGTCGAGGAACTTGGGGTCGATGTGCTTGGGGGCCTTGAAGCCGCGACAGACGACGAAGATCTCGGCGGAGACATTTCGGGAGGAGGGCGGCTTGGTGGCTTCGACCTTGGTGAAAAGCTGGTTGAAGACCCAGAGCAGGGAGTTGTAGTCTTTTGAGCGGAAGACCTTTGTGACAAAGGTGCCGCCCTCGACGAGAAACTCGGTGGCCAGCTTCATGGACTGCAGGACCAGCTCCGCCTGGTTGAAGGAATCCTGCACCCAGGCGGTACCGACGTTGGGGGCACCATCGTGGAGGACGGTGTCGGCCTTCCATGTCTTGAGATGTTTCCTGATGGTGGCACGGCACTGTTCTGTGGTGATATCGCTCTGGAAGGTGATGACCTTGGGGATGGGCTTGATGGGAGAGAGATCGACGCCGACGATGAGGCTGTTGACGGGCATGACCTCCGCTGCGACCTGACACCATGACTGTGTGGAGGAAGTACCAGTTAGCAAGTGAGAGTACATTGGATGGCTGCTTTTGCTCTCCGGCGATATATCATGTCGTGCAGCGCAGAGATATATCAAGGTATCAACATACACCAGGGGCGGCGCAGAGATCCAGCAGGACCTTGCTCTTCTCGAGGAAGCCATATTTCTTGTTGAGCTGGATCAGCTTGAAGGCGGCACGGGCGCGGTACCCCTTCTCCTTCGCGAGCTTGTACCACTTGTCGAGACGACCCTTTCCGTGCTTCTTCTGGATCGCCATGGCGGGCAGTCGAGCCGAATTGAAGCGGAGCGGCTGCGCTGGTTGTGGTCGTGGTTGTCAGGCGATGCTTGTGGTGGGTGGTGTCCAGGTCCAGAGGCGCACAGGACTGGAACTGGGACCGAGTCGGGAGGCGCGCAATGCGATGGACCACAGGGAAATCGAGAACTTTTTTTCCGAGCAGGTGCTTATCTCTTATCGCATTTTTGGGGGACTTGGTCAGTGGGGTGCATTGGAATGGTGCATGGGGGCCAGGGGGGGGGTGGCCTGTCAGGGTTGGCAACCCTCTCTCGTCAGGTCAGTGGCCAGGTCGAGACCTGGGCCAGGGGGCCAGCCCAGCTCGTCCCTGGCTGGCGGCGGATGCAACCGAAATGGGACGTGCTGAGAGTGCTGGATGGCGGCTGATTGGACCGAAGGCTAAAGTGCTACGCGGTTCCAACGCGTGCAGGGGGGAGCTCAGACGCAGAGCAGAGCTCCACGGCCTTTTGGTGGCGTTTTTGCGCGTTGGTCGGAACGAATTGAGTGCTATGATTGATGACATCGCCCTCGTGGCCCACACTGCACTTCTGCATTCTACGCTCGTCTGGTCCTCAGCTCAGCTTGGTTTCCTCCAAATTGATCACAACCTGCGCAGTTCTAACCTGCCTTCAATTCCTCAATCCCTTGTCCATACCCCCTCACCTCACCTAGTAAACATCACCATCGTCAACCACAAGCTCTCTCCTCTGATTTGAGACAGCTTCTCTATTCGTCTATGTGTCTGCCTGTGGTCGCGTCCTCCTGACCTTCGTCTTGGGATCTTCGGCCCCCTTTCGACGGCTAGAACCTATCCTTGTACGATAGGAAACCCTTCAATTACTACCACGCCCGCAGGTAGATTCTTGAGAGGCCGTCCTCAAGACTGGTCGAACTACAGAGGCCATGGACCTGAACGATGGCCGACTTCAGTCCAGCCCAAGCACCATTGGCCTCTCCTCTCCCCCACGTCCACCGCCAGCACGCAACACCAAGCAGAAGCGTGCTCCCTCCATAACCCCCCGCAAGTTCAATGCCTTCTTCGCCCGTCGGTCGACGCGTCTCGCCCCGAATGGCGCCTCGGTGAGCCAGAGCTCACGTGCCTTGGGTGCCATCACCGGCTCGGCCATTAATAGACGCCAGCGCCAGATCCGAGACGCACCAATTCCAATGAAACCTCTGGGGAACCCCAATGCCGATGATGTCCAGGACGAGAACGACCATGACGACGACGACAAGCCCGAGAGCCAGACCCCCAGGCAGTCCAAGAAGCGCAAGACGGGCCACCACACCCCTCCCGACTCGTCACCTATGAAGCCACCACCTCTATTCCATTCCTCGCCGTGTGCACCGGATGCCGACCCTGCAGCCGTCAAAATAGCACTCCTGAGCCCCTTGCAGTCTCTCGCGGCTAGCAGTCAGATGACTGAGGACATATCAGACTTCGAATGCGACCATGACGACTCCGACGACGACCACGAGCCACCGAAGCGCCTTAAACAACTCACCCACCGGGGAATGGGAGCCCAGCTCTTCCAGCGCCAGCTGGGAGGCATGCCGCGCGCAGGACGTTCTTACCTGTCGACACCAACGTCCGGTTGGCGCTCAGAGACGGCAAACTTCAGTTCAGGCCCAACCGATGCCCACTACTGTTCTAGCCACGAGGGCTTGGCTAGGTGCATTCCGTTTTGCACAGCCTCGTGTAATACGAACAGCCTGGTTGCCGTCGGGGACGAGGAAGGACGTGTACGCTTGCTGGATTCCTCCTCCAACGCACGCTTCGACAAGATTCACCTGTGCTTCCAGGTACACGGCAACGCCATCATCGACATGGCTTTTTCTGAAGACGACCGCCGGCTGGCAACAGCCTCGGGCGACCAGAGTGGTAAGGTGGTCGATATGATGACGCAGACGCCCATCTCCATCCTGGGCCAGCACACTGCTTCCCTCAAGCAGGTCCGCTTCCAACCTGGCCAGTCGCAGGGAAACGTACTGGCGACTTCGGGCCGCGATGGAAGCATCCAAATCTGGGACCTCCGATGCAATGGTGGAACAGCCGTCATGGACCCCATCGTCTTGGAGCGAGAGGCGGGCTTGCAGTTCACGACCATGCGCAAGATCAGCACCGGCTGTGTCGTCAACTCCTTCTTCGGCGCACACGAGGCCATGCCGCGCCACCAGACCCGCTCTGTCGGCCTGCTGGCCCCGACTACGACGTCGATCGATCACCAGACAGACACAGCCTCCAGGGGCGAGGTGCCTGGTCGCATTAGCGAAGTTTCAGTGACGGCTCTGCAGTGGCTGCCCTCGGGCCGCGAGCACCTCCTCCTGTCTGGTTGTGAGGCCGACGCGTCTATCAAGCTGTGGGACATCCGCTCTATCCACACCAGTCGCAACCATCGCGCGCCCACGCCCCTCAGCTACACGGCCACGCCCGCCTCGCATACCAGCTGGCGGCACTTTGGCATCTCGTCCCTGACCCTCTCCACCAACGGCTCCAGGCTGTATGCCCTCTGCAAGGACAATACTGTCTACGCCTACAGCACGTCCCACATGGTCCTCGGTCCCGCTCCAGGAAGCGCGCCGGTTAAGCGCCCCAAACACGCTCCCGCGGACGAGCTCCCTGGCCCGCTGTATGGCTTCCGCCACCCCAGCCTCCACGCCACCTCCTTCTACGTCAAGTCATCCCTGCGCCCACTGCGCGGCGGCCGGAGCGAGCTGCTGGCCGTTGGCAGCGCCGACAACTGTCCCGTCCTCTTCCCCACCGATGAGCGCTACTTCGAGCAGGAGCTCGAGGCCGCTAGACTGGGCAGTAAGAACAACAACCCGGACGCGACTATGATGTCGTCGTCCTTTTCCCGCCCGGCGACGGCGCGCAGGCCGGCGCTCTCCCGCACGAGCTCCTTCGCGGCCCGCTCGGGGGGCGCTGGTGGCAGCAACAAGGATGATATCCCCATCATCCGCAACGTGGGCGGCCGGCCGCTCGGCACGCCGCTGGTGCGCGGGCACGAGAGAGAGGTCGGGTCTCTGTCATGGACGTCCGAGGGCAACCTGGTCACCGTAGGGGATGACTTTATGGTGCGGTGCTGGTCCGACGGCGATGGCCACGTTGACATGGGAGAGGATGAGGAGGAGGGAGGCGACAAGGTGGCCAGACCCAGCGCCCGTGAGCTGAGGACCAAGGGCGAGGGCGAGGGCCGGAGATGGGGTTGTGGATGGGCCGATGTTGGCAGTGACTGGGACGCCGACGAGGAGGACGATGTCGACGAGTGGTGAGTTCGCGAGTTACTGCAGGCGGCGTGTTTGTCCGTTGGCACAGGAGACGATGATGCACGCGCGTGTACATGAGCCCCCTCTTGGACAGGACGGGGGTGCTGGCATGAGAAGACGAGTCCGCATGTTATTGACGGCCTTGCGTGGTTCACTCGAATCGTTTCGAGTTGCCACAAAAACTTGTTGGAATCGGTGAGGCATTTCTTACAGCATTGTAGCATTTTCCGGACGGGGAGTTAGGCACAGGGACAGGCGTATTTGTGGACACGGTTTGGTCTTGCTTTCTCCTTGTTCTACGAACGATGGGGAGGTGGAGGCAGTGGAGACCACATATGATGGCGTTGGTATTATGGCATTCCAGGATTGTTAGGTAGATGGTACCGCATCCAGAGTAGATAACCACGGGATAGATACGTCCCATACATTCCCATACATCATGAAGCCAACCACATATTCACAGTGTAAATCTGTTTGCTCCAGCTTAGCGTGAAATTTGTGTCATGATGATGCTCATTTCCGCTAATTGTTTATAGGTCTCTATCCTACCCTTACGCAAGGAGGAAAGCCTCCATCCATGACAGACGCCGGGTTGAGCCCTTTAAGGATCTTTCTATCATCTATCCATGATGAAGGAAGTATAGGGTATCGTTCATGTAGGTCCTGCATCCTGAGGCCGTCCAGCTCTCGTCCGCCAGTTTCAGCGCTGTGTCAGAACGCCATATGCATCTAGTCTATTCCCGCAGACACATGTATGCACAAATGCAATCCCAATGACAATTTCCACGCTTGACAATGCCTCCAGTGACAGAAACGCAATCACCAATCCTTTCCCGTGAAACCACTTGGCACTGTCCATGTTGTGCCATCACTCCGCCGCATGTACAGGTACGCAGCGAAAGCCGTGGCAACGCTAAGCAGTACAGCGACATTCGAGACAACGGCGTACAGGGCATTGCCTGGCCTTCGCTCCGTGTCTCCCACTATCATGGCGGATATTCCAAGGCTCTGCTTCGCAGGTCGGGTAGGGCCCCGAGAGATTGGGCAGGCCTGGGAATCCCGACCCACGCTGCCTTGGTCATCGTCTGCAGTGCCGTCATAGCCTCCAGCTTCGCGCCGTGTCATCTTGGCCTGACTATTGTCATCATCGTACCGAACCGTCCGGAAACCCTCGCCCGGCACGATCGCGTCGCGCGCGAGGTGGGCGTCAGTCTCGTCTTCCTGCGCTTCCTTAGGCAGCCCACCTGATGAAACCGAGGACACCTCAGACCTCTCGGATATCTCAGGTGGACTCGCGGTGGTGTCCTTGGTGGACGTCGTGGCCGTCCTAGCTGCCGACGGTGTAGTGGCCGTGACGGAGCCACTCGCACCGCTAGACCTCTTCATTGTCCGTAAAAGCCTGCCCTTGGCGATAGCAATGCTGTCTCTCAGTCGGGACCCGATTCCCGCCGGCTGCGGTTCTGCTTTGGCAGCTTGGCGCCTTGATCTCCCCTGCTGCGTGGCGTCTGCCCCGCCGCCGCAAATCTTGTCCAACTGCCCCACCACCGACTCCAGGTAGTCGAAGATGATCACCGACTCGGCGACTATGTCGCGCCGCTCGGACTCGGTAAGAGCCTCTTCTGCATTGGAAAACCGCCTCTTGAACTCGGCTTTGAGGTCCTTGGCCCGCTGCCGTGGGTTCTCGTGACCGAGCGGGGTGTCGAAGTCGAGGAACGAGAGCGGCAGGGTGATTGAAGGGTCTTCCCCGGCGAGTCCATGTGCTCCTGAATCACATTCGAACGTCGAGTGCCGCCTCAACCTCTCTGGCTCGTCGCCGGGACTCCTAGTACAAGGTACCATGCCTGGCCTCACAGGATTGGGGACGGCCAGCCAGAAGTCAGCCGTCAGGTACATAAGCTCGGTTCGGATATACGACCCGCCGGACAGCATGGCTAGGTAAAGACTGTAGGCGTATGCGAGTAGGACGTGCGGCCTGTCATCGACGGCATCTTTAATGTGTGCCAGGAAAGCCTCCAGCGCGCCAGTGGAGCCTGCGGACCGCAGCTGCTCGTCTACCACGTGCGTTGGCCAGCCTGTCATGGCGCTGATGTCAGCCTTCACACGAGCAGCGCGCAACATGTTGGGCCAGTACGCCGTCTCGAGGATTTGGCGGGCGCGCTCCGTAACCTGGGGTGGTGCTGGTCCATGGTTGAGCCCGGGACTGCTGGTGTTTGTATCGTTGGCGAAAGGATATGTATATGACAGGGGCGCAATCTCGGTGTGGACGCCTATGATGTTCTGCCAGAGGGACTCGAAGGCAACGTAGACGGCGCCAATGTGCAACAAGCCGGTGATGTAAATCGAGGGGTTGTCTGCCTGGGGAGGTACGGCATGGGGCATTCGGTCGAGGATCAGCCTATTGATCTTTGTGTGGCTCGACGCGATCGCAGTATTAATGGAGTGTGCCAGAGACCGCGGCTCCCCGTCTGCTGGTGGTATTTCTGTCTTGTCTGCCATGGGGTATGCTTGTATCCGAAGACGAATATGTTTGTGGTCCAAAGATCCGAGACACACCAGGAATGATGTCTCCGTAGACTACACGAGCCCGGTAGATATGGGAACAAGGCCGCATTCGTGACACCCGGCGAACGTGGGCAGGTGAGACGCTGGTGTGATGTCCGGAGTGAGTCGAGCGCGTGACCGGCGATCTCGATGTGATTCTGCTCATTCCGTGGGGTCGTGAGACGCCACCAGGTCACTGCAAGGCCGCGACTGGGCTCACGGACGCCACAAGGATCGAAGAAGGTGGGTTTGGTCGTGGTATGTATGACATAGACGTAGTCATGTGGATGGAAATGCTGTACAAGGTGGTGGAGATAGTTGTTGGTGATGTGCTCGAGGCTGGGCGCAGGAGGAGGTCTATTGCCTAATGACGGGAGAAAAGATGACGATGCTCAAGACACGCCAGATTATGCAGTACTGAGACAGGGACTGGAATTAAGCCTGGGACAGGCCAAGCTGGCGAGGAATGGAAGGGAAAAAGAAAAGAAGTTACTGGCTCCGTTTCCACGTGAAAGAGAGGGAAGATGTGAGATTGTTCCATGCTAGATGCACCCTAATGCGGCTGAGAAGACCAGCCGTGATTGGGCCAGGCCAGGCCGAGGACAAGGACATGGACATGGTGAAGGAAAGAGGAAAAGAAGTCGAGGCATGACGACCAGATGCATGGAAACCGGTAGTCTGGTCCGGTAGTGGCTCTCAACGGTCCAGACCGTCGGCGCTTTCACACGAAGGAAACAAGACAGGGCGATGGTCGAGGCCGATCCCTGAACTGGACTAACACCACCCACTAGCACGAACTCGCTCGATTGGGGCCGACTCGGCTCCGAGAGAGAGGTTGGAGTGATCTCATGCCACGCCACCGTCGAGCATTCAAAGCCACGGGCAGGTTACATAGAATGGAATACCGTGAGCATGAGTAGGGACGAGTGAGGCAAAGTGAGCAAATGGACAAATGAGGCTGGCCCGTCCGACCAGTCGAAACGGTGCAGTGTGGCGAATCTGGAATCGGCAGGAATTCAGAGGAAAGACCCACTTTATCTTGCTTGGAAGTCGGGAGCTCTGGCCTGGCCCACCGTCGCCCTTGCCTGCATCAAGGGTCCCCCCGATGAAGTCATATGCTAGCCGCCCTGTGGGGGAGGGTGGGGCCGTCCGATCCAAGGGTCGTCATAACCCTTGGTTTTTGCTTCAATCTTGGCCAAAGCAGCCGACATCCCCACCTTCCACATCGCATCCCACATGTCAACGACAGCTCATGGGGGTCACAGGACCCTGCAGATCTTGCTCAAGCAGTACCCAAGCAAAGAAAGAAGCAGATGTTGTCATAGCCAAAACTATCACAGTCTCGTCTTTGGTCCCAATTTGCGAAGCTCGGCAGTGACTTTGAGCGCACGCCTGGTCGCCAGGTCCAGCATGACCTCTTCGCTGCCCCCAGGCACGGTGATGGCCTTGACGTCTCTCCAGATCCGCTCCACGCGCTCCCCTCGGCCTGCTCCCCTCGTCAGGCCGATCCCGCCCATGATTTGGATGGCCTCACGCACGACATGCTCCAGCACGATCCCGCTATGGGCTTTGATCTGAGCAGTGGTCCCTGCTAGGAGGAACTCGCCTTCTGTGGTGGAGAGATGCCCGAGTTGGTAGAGCAGGCTCTGGAAGAAAGGAGTACAGGGTCAGTGCCATCGTCAAAAGAGTTCTGCGGTTGTTGCAATAGTATGGCTCACCTCGATCCACGACTGTAGTGCTTCAGTCTCTCTGCTCATGTTGGCAAACTTGAATCGTATGACCGCTGCCATGTCACTTATTAGCATCCACAACAGACGGAGCCGTGCCAATCTCACTCACGATGGTCTACAAGCTTCTTTCCAAACGTTTCCCGACTCATGGCGTATTCGATCGAGTCCTCGAGGCATACTCGTGCACACCGAACCGACTGCATTGCAATAAACAACCTCTGGAATGATAAGTCTTGTCAGTCCTCTGCGTCGAAGTTTCCGGCTGCGCTCGAAATAACGGCCTTGTCCGCGGAGAGCCTTACCTCATGGTTGAAATTCGAGATAATGTACTTGAAACCCTTCCCGCGCTCACCGACTACCATGTCGAGCGAGATCTCGACGTCGTCAAACTCCACAAACGCCGTGCCAGCCGTCGTGGAGCCAGACATCTCCATGTGTCTTGTAGACACGCCTTTTGTGCGCGGCACCACTACCAGAGTGAACTCTCCACTGCTCTCCTTGACTAGTGTGAGGAAATACTGTGCGTACATGCCTCCTGTGATCCACTATTCATCCTGTCAGCGCCTTTCTCGTCCACGGAAGAATACGTGAAAATCGAATGCGAACGAAGCATTGCGTGTGGAAATACCTTCTTCTGGCCGTTTATGATCAGACGTGCACCGTCGTCGGAGAGCACTGCCTCTGTCTTCAGGCCACGTACGTCTGACCCTGCGTCGGGCTCGGTTATGGCCAGTGCTATCCTGGATTTTCCTGAGAGCACGTCGTCCACAACACTGTTGTCATTTAGCAACGCTTTCAGCCATCAGGAGTCGAGGCCCATGCCTACGTTTGCTGCAGCTTCGCCGACCCGAATTTGTGCACTGCAGGGATCACAAGTGTCTTCTCGGTTGCCTCATCAGAACTCGTTCATTACAAGTGTCAGATTAGGGCCTCGCTTACCGTACCGCCAAATAACCCATTCTCGAGCCTGAATGAATCCAAGTTAACATTTAGTAACGGGTGCCTGTTAAGTCACCTGCATGGGGACTTACCCTATACCCCCGTTGCGCCCTATCTCATCGTGAATGATCAGATCGTGGAAGCCGTCCCACTCTTCTGGCGGCACGTCGCCGATGATGGGATATTTCCCCCTCCAATCGGTAGGGATGGCCGGTCCAGCAGCAATTGGCATTAAAAGACCATCGTCGGCAGCCTTTTTGTAGATCCAGTCCGGGATCGAAGCTGCCTTCTCCCAGTCTTGAATGTTCGGGATGAGGTTCTACACTTAGTGAGCATTTACTCATGGCTCCAAAGAATCCCGATTTGGACAGCAGGGAAATACCTTCTCAACCCAGGCCCGCATCGCCTGGCGAAGCTGCCTGTGACTGTCGCGATAGTACGGGCTTGGGCAGCCGCGAGCCCATGCTGGCTCTGCAAAAGGGAGTATTGAGCCATAGAGCCAATTGCTCCTCACATCGCCTGACAAAATTGACATTTTGCTGTTTCTAAGGGAGCTGATTGGCAAAGTTGCCAGTTGTGATGTCTGTGCTGAACCACGACCAACTGAGTTGGCAGCGGACGGCTATCACGGCTTGCAACTGCAATATTGAGTTCACCGGATGTACATATGAGACCAATCACACATCTAGAATCGCTACCTGGCACTTGATCCAAATCGCTTGCGCCTCGCGTCGCGAAGTTGGTCCCGGTTGTGAAGGGCTAATTCCGAATACACTCCCGAGGTCCGGCTTTGCGGAATCGTGCGGGCGGAGTCGATCTCCAGTGCCGACCAAACCTTACCCGGAACTTGCCAGGCACACGGTCGGCAATTGTGTCCAATTTTGCAGCCTGGGTAAAACAAATGTGATGGTAGGTCTTGTTGAGAAGGATGGCCTTTACTGTTGCCAGTTGCAGGCTCTGCTGATGGAAGCTTCTTCGTATAAGTCAAACAAGTCTTACCGTGCTACGGGCCATTGACTCTGCTGAGGAATACTTGCTGTTCAGCGGCGCACTTTCAGGGCAATATCTCCCACCATACCTATCACCATGATTGTAGACCAGCTGTTTCCTCGATCCTTTGGGGCTGTTCTGCTGTGGCTCCTCGCTGGTCTTCTTGCCAAATTCATAATCAACAAATATGGAAACGGACTCAACCGAATACCGGGCCCATGGCTGGCAGGCTTCACCGACTTGTACAGACTCTGCATTGTCTGGAAACGGCGGCCAGAATTATGGCACATCAGGCTGCATGAGAAACATGGAAAGCTTGTGAGGCTGGGCCCAAACACAGTCTCGATAGCAGACCCTGAAGCCATCAAGACAATCTATGGTCTCAGCACCGGCTACGTTAAGGTCAGTAGTTGCTGTGTCCAATATCAAGCGAAACCCATGTGTTCTAATACTATTACTTTCAGTCGGAATTCTACCCGGTCCAACAGACAATAGCCAACGGCCAGCCCCTTCAGTCCCTCTTTAACACAACCGACGAGCAATTCCACGCCCGGCTTCGCAGGGCTGTGTCAAACGCCTACGCCATGAGTACCTTGGTTGCTTTCGAGCCTCTGGTCGACACAACTACCGTCACATTCCTTGAACAGCTGAAGAAACGGTTTGCAGGGCGCTCAGACAATGAAGGCACTTGCGATTTCGGGGCCTGGCTGCAGTACTATGCTTTCGATGTCATTGGGGAGCTGACGTACTCCAAGCGACTTGGGTTCGTGGACCGTGGTGTTGATGTTGACCACATAATTGGAAATCTGGAGCGGCTTCTGAATTACGTCTCGGTTGTATGTTTCCAAGTCTGCCGGTCCGGAGCAATGGAGGAGTCAGCTGATATTGAAATCAGGTCGGTCAATTGCCAATACTGGACCGGATTCTTTTCAAGAACCCCATTAGGTTGTGGATGAGCAAACGTAATCTCCTCAACTCTAACACGCCCGTGGTCCAGTTCGCTCGCGAACGCATGGCGGGCCGCAGAGACCAGATCGAGAAAGGCATATCCGCCAAACCCTCAGGCCCCGGCCCAGAAAGACGGGACTTCTTGTCCCGCTTCATCGACGCAAGAGGGAAAGATCCAGAGTTCATCAGCGAGCAGCGCGTGCTGGCCCTGACCGTCGCGAACATGTTCGCAGGCTCAGACACGACGGCCATTAGCCTGCGTGCCATTTTTTACAACTTGCTCAGGAACCCGCCGGCGATGAGTAAGCTCCTGGACGAGTTGGCGGCCGAGAGTGGATCAGGTAAGCTTAGCAGGAACGAGGAGGCCGGGCACGCTGGACTCGTGAAGTGGAACGAGGTTCGGGAACTGCCGTACCTCAGCGCCGTGATCAACGAGGCCTTGCGGTGTCACCCGGCGGCTGGCCTTCCTCTCGAGCGGGTTGTGCCAAAGAAAGGTCTTCGCATCGATGGTCATTACATCCCCGGAGGCACCATTGTTGGCTGTTCGGCGTGGGTCATTCACCGAGACGAGGGTGTCTTTGGGTCGAAGCCTACGGAGTTCCGACCCGAGCGGTGGATTGATGCCAGCCCGGAGCAGCAAGCCAAGATGAGAAATTGTCTCCTTTCGTTTGGTTCCGGGGCCAGGACCTGCGCGGGAAAGAATGTGTCCCTGCTCGAGATGTACAAGTTGGTGCCCGCTGTTCTCAGAACATTTGAAGTAAGTTACGGACATGCTGCCCACTCCCTTTAATGTCTCGACGAGTCTGCGCTGACATGGTACGCCTTTCAAGATCGAATTGGTAGACCCAGAAAAGCCATTGGCTTTGAACAATGCATGGTTTGTAAAGCAAAGTGGTTTTCATGTGCGACTCCGGGAGCGGGAAAAAGTCCTCTGAGATCAGTTGCTGGGACGCGATCTTGACGGTACTAGAGGACGAAATAGCTATCCGAAATGTTCTGTACATGTCTCTATGCATTGGTCCAATTCGAATCAAGTACATTTCCATGCGAAATGCTTGTGCTGGCTACAGTGATATCATGCCAGAGCCCTTGTTCCGTGCGGACACATTGCCACTTTTAAGGCGAGGGAGGCTCTCCCAAGTGAGCGTCGTGATGTGTGTGATTGAGAATCATGGAAATTTATAATCTATGTCGAAACCAGAATATCCTCAGTCAAAAATTAGGGTTCGATGAAGGATATCGAATTTCCATCAAAGTGCTGTATCAACTATTCTACAAACGCGAAGACGCGCTCGCCATTTCCTGCTCCCATTTCTTGGCCGCGTCTGCTTCGGCGTCGTAACCATACAGCCAATCCTGGAATATGGTATTCCCCATGAGATTCGGGCTGCTGGGATAGTCTCCATACTCGAACACGCCACGTCTCATCTCCAGCGGCTCCTCGTCTTTCATGTGGATGAAGAACCTGTTCGTGAAGCTACCTCGCTGGATGGCATGGGCACGGCCAACCCTCACCCTGTAGAAGAACTGCAGCAGTCCGGGCAGCTCGTCCTTTGACTTGATGTGGGACAGTGCCGACCCCAAGACAACGGCGTCCTCAATCGCCATGGCTGCGCCTTGGGCCAGGTATGGCAGTGTCGCGTGTGCCGCGTCGCCGATGACGACCATTTTCCCGCTTGGGTGCACCCAGTTGGTGATGGTTGGGAGATCTATCAGTCGCCATTTCTCGACGTCCTCTGGCAGAAACGAGAGAAGCTTCTGAACCCTGCATACGCATGAGTTGTCTGTCAGGGCGCCATTGGATCCGATAGAAGCCACTCACATGGGAGACCAGCCCTTGTAGGCATTTCTGACCTCGGACCCTTTCGCCGGCGCTTTGTAACCCTCCATCTTCCGGTCATCCGGAATGACCATGAGCAGGTTGAAGGTCCTCTCCTTTTGCATGTTATACCCGATGATGTGGTGGTCAGGCCCCAGGAACTGCTCAAAGTTGGGATCCTGACTCAATGGGGCCAGCTCAGGGTCTTTCACCAACACTTCGCGCGGTATGACTACCCGGAAGCACGTGTCGCCGGTCTCATGCGGCTCCACGTTGAGCCCAAGAGCCTTCCTCGCGATGCTCTTGACGCCGTCAGCCGCGATGACGAGATCACCGCTGACAACCTCCCCAGTGTCAAGCACGACGGTACCCTCGTCCACTTTGTACTGGACCACCGTCGCGCCTTTGCGAAGAGTCGCGCCTGACTTTTCTGCCGCCCGGAGGAGGACTGAATGGTAGTCTGGCCGGTAGACCTGCCAGTAAGGCGCACCATACCGTTGCTTATGGTTGGACATGTCCGTGAAGCCCTCAGGCCTGCCAGTGCGCCAGTTGCGGTAGTTGATGCGAGACGGCTTGGAGCAGACAGCCTCCATCTGATCGCCCAGACCCCATCGTATCAACTCTCTGGACGCATTCGGTGGGACTTGGACTCCAGCCCCGACCTGCACGAGGATCAGTGGACTGTAGCACAAATTCAAACATGTCTTTTGCTCACTTCGACAAATTCTGGCGCCTGTTCCAAGACCGTCACTCGATGTCCAGCCTGTCGCAGAGCCAGTGCTGTCCCTAACCCTCCCATCCCGGCTCCCACGATGGTCACGTCTAGCTGACACTTTGCAGTCATGTTGACAATGTACGCGTTCGTCCCGACAATGGCTCAATGAATTTCGATAACACCACTGAAAATAAATCGCGACACTACTACAACACAGCACATCATGAGTGGTTTTGATCCGCTACAGCCGACGGAGTGCCAAGACGCTTGAACTGTCGTCGCATGGTACTGCCGTGATTGCGGAACGGAATTCTGTCCCGTCGTGGATTCCGAAAGCAACCCATGTGGTCTATATTTTCCGTCAGATAATGGGTTAGGGTTGGCTCAGACGGGTGCGGTGGAAATTCACCAGAGGAGAGGTTTGTCACGTACAACGGCAAATGACCGACCCCTCACCAGCAAGACGGTGAGATTTTAAAGCAGTACAGCCGTCGTCATGAATTCGTCGGCATATCTTGAATGAAAGCAATCTAACGCTTTCCGTATAGAACTATTTCTTCCAGTCTGGTGCCACTCAAGTACGACAACATGCCAGCGAATTCAGATCACAAGACCGCGCCGGCTTTCGACGACTTGCCTCTGAGGGAAGGGGATCCCCCATACTCGGCCTGGGGACTGTGGGGCGAGGATGACAACATCGGAACGCTGGTATGCGTGTAGTCATTCATCACATGCATTGTACCTACTGATTATCGCCAATAGAACTGGCTGTCGAAGGAAGTAGTAAAGGATGCAGCTACTGAAATACGCGAAGGGCTCCGGTTTAGCTTGAAGTGAAACCACCTGTGCAGTCCCCATCGAGGCAGTCTCTTTGGTCAAGTCCACGTATTCTGACACATTCCACGCAAGCTGGGAGCTCGGAAAGCCTGTGACGCCCTCGTTTGCGAGGCACAAGGATGCCTTTGATCATTCCCTCAAACCCATGGGATACGTTCTGGATGACATGGTAGGGATAGATCTGAGCTCAAAATCATGAACCGGGCTTAGTTTCTGACCGCTGCTCAGATCACCTTCAACACGCAAAGGAGCACCCAGTGGGATGGGCAGCGCCACTTCGCATACCAAAAGGAGCAGCTCTGGTACAACGGCGCCACTCGGGACGATGTCACGGATCTCGAGACACCGAAAGTGCGCCTGGGCATCAACTGGTGGCACAAGGCGGGAGGTGTAGCTGGTCGGGGTGTCCTGATCGATTACTGGTCGTATGCAGTGGCCAACGGGAAGCAGTACGATGCCACGAGGCCGCACGGTATCGCATATGACGACCTCATGGCCTGCTTCCAGTGGCAGCAGCAGCAGTCCCAAGAGCCACTGGAGCTGAGGACCGGTGACATCCTCCTGATACGCTCAGGGTTCCACGCACGCTATGCCGAGCTGGGCCCCGAAGATGAGCGAGAGGTCGGAGAGGCGTGGCCCCCCGCGTTTTGTGGTGTTCACCAGGATGCGAGGCTGCTGCGGTGGCTCTGGGACAGCCACGTCGCGGCCGTGGGAGGGGACACGCCGGCCTGGGAGGGCTTCCCGTCGGACGAAAAGGCCGGCTTCACCTTCCACGAGGTCTTGCTCGCTGGGTGGGGCTGCCCTATCGCGGAGCTGCTCTGGCTGGAGGATATCGCTGTCTCGTGCCGCGACCGCAAACGATGGACGTTCTTCCTGACTTCTGCTCCGCTCAACGTTCACGGCGGAGTGGGTAGTCCTGCAAACATGCTGGCACTTGCATGAGGTGTGACGTTTGATGCTTAACTTCTATTCGAGTCTGATTGAGCTATGGCTTGCATCTGAATATTACCTACAGATTGGACTGCGCGCTTTTGAGCGTTGTAACCTTCTCCTCACTCCGTTCTAGCCGCACCACGAATGAGGTCACCAAGCCATCGCCAACTTCCCCTGTCTTGAAGTCGTCCGTCTCGCTGAATAATACCACCGCGCTCTGTCCGTCCACCTCTACGCAGCTACCTGCCACCGCAGCCCGCTCCCAGCCATCCCGAGAACTGATATGTCGCTCAAGTACCTTTTGCTGAGATGAAATGCTGCCGCGTGAGTCGAATATAGACACATGCGCAAAACGGGACCGAAGAGCCGCCGGAGTTAGATTTCCCAGGTTGTAGTGTTCAATCGCCGGCGGTCCTGTGGCGAGTGGCTCCATTGCCGCAAAGAACGGCTTCGCCGCCGGGCTGTCGAGAAAAACGCCGTGCGCGTCCATGCTCTCCCATTGCGTGATGGACACGGCGTGCGGCTGTTTCAGGTTATCGTTGGTGACTATCACTCCCGTGAGGATTGAGAGGATTCCATCTTGCGCCAGGAGGACGGGCTCGAGTTGTGAGGTGAAGGTGGAGAGGAATGCCTCGAAGGAGACCGCCAGTGGAATCCGCACGAGCTCTGTGACTGGACCGATAGTTGCTGTCATTGTTGTCTATCTGAGGCTGATGGACGGACATCAGCATGGACATCAAGAGACACGGGAATCTATCATTCTCTGAATTGGATGTTTCTCTGATGTTTAACAGATCCAAGTCCAAAGTTATGCTGAGGTTGGATGCAGGAGCACCACTTCACATGTAGCGGAAATTCCGCCCGCGTTCCGCACCCAGAATGGGTCCACTGAGAGATTATCTACGCACGCCTATACAGTCCAAGCCTCCCGAGGCCGTAATCTACTGGTTCAGAGCGGAAAGAAAAAAGGGAGGATGCTTGCTTTCTACTCTAAATCACTGCTCGACACACTTCGGATTGGGAAAAAAGAGGGTAGCAGCGAAACTATGTAGCCTAGAGCTGTCGCCATAATTAGAGAGTCTATTCCACTTGCCTGCAGGTCATAGCTCTCCTCATGCTTCGGAGATGCTTGCAGGCATCCTTCATTTCTTTTCGCCATCCACATTTTAATAATCTCCGATTAATTAGGTAGTCCGAAACCAAATGGACGAAACGGTTGGTCGCGTCCACAAACGCCATATCCGGCCTGGGGGTTGTTTTACACCTAGGTAGGTAGTGGGATGCACTGGACCCAGCAGAGCCACTTATCCCAACACCAAGTCCACGTCTTCCTCGTGTCTTTCCCATGCTTTAGCAAACACTTTCCCAGAAGCCTGCCGCTCTGCAATACCATTCTTCCATTGCACATAGAGGACAAAATAGCATTCGTGCCTTGTCTTATCTTCGTCACTGGGCCACGTGTACCCTGGAGGAGGAGCCGTAGCAGTACTTTGCATGGCCCTCAGATTCTCCGGCTCCTTAAATGCCAGCAGAAAATCATCTAGGTCCGTCGTCCAACCTTTGACCACAGCAACGAGCTCAACTGTCTCATACGCAAGGAAGCGTTCCACATCCGACGTGTGATGAACTTCTAGAAACCCGACAAACTCCCCGCTGGTAGAGCATAGCTCGACGTAGTACTCCTTGCGAGGGTGTTGGTGGAACGCTGGCATGACAACTTGCCTCGTGGAGAAACGACAACGAGTCGTTTTTGCGAACAGGAACTGCAGCTGTTCTATCGGCCTGCTCGCTTCAACCGATGCCGGGAAAGGGATCACATATTTGAACCACTCACTTCCCGACGTGTGTGGTTGCAGGCGGTACCTCATCGGGCCTGCTTTTGTGATAATCTGTTGCCGTCCGTCAGATACGCGGCCGGCACCACTTGCGAAGACACTTTTGTAGTGATTCCATTCGCAATTGACACGTCGCATGCTCGGTAGCCGTGGGCTGTGGAAACTGCATCGCGAACCATTGGGTGACAGACTCCATAAATCCATCCCGTCGCATCCACCACTTGGAGATATACTCATAGTCGTCTGGGAGCAGAATGAATCCTCGCCAGCCCATCCATGACCAACTCGGCAGGTAATCTTCGTCAGGCGACACGCTAGATGGCGCAGTCCGTCTTGCCAGTCCTCCATAGCCAGCTCGCCAAACGAGGGAGATGTCGAAGAACATCTCCGGATGCCCGTAGTTCAGGCCCCCACAAAATATCCCATTCAGATAGTTTTGTGTGCCCAAAAGCGCTCTCAAGGCATCTTTTTGATATGTGAAGTAACGGCTGTTGTAGTCTGAGATAATTGAACCCAAAGTATGGAGAGCTGGGCTTCGCCCTTCCTTCAGGAGAGTTTCGGGCATGCCGGAGAAGAAATATTCGCGTGCTAAAGCACCTAGTGTCTCTTCACCCCATTGGTTGTTTGTGCAAGTCCAACGGAGAGGGCCGTTGGAGAACACAAGACGCCGTTTGGCGAACAGGAACTCTTGATATGTCCAACCACGTTCTTGGTATGTCGATCCTTCAATGATTGGCTCTGTGCCGATTTCCTCCCCTTGGGTGGACCCCTCAAGGATACTAGGAAGGTCGAGACAAGACAGCCTTTCCCCGCGACCAATTTCAAGACCGACGTGTGTGACACATCTTGGCGCCGATACTCCTTGAATGCCTCGAAGCCCGTAGTTGGCATCTGTCCCGACATTTGCCACTAGACAGAGAGCCGAGTTGGCGTATATCCAATGCATATCGTTGACGTTTCTGGACAAGGATGTGTCACTGTCTTGTATGACGCACAGGCTGTCGACCCATAGATACCTCTCCCCCAGGTAATTTGTAACCCCCATAGCATCTCGAACAGTCCGGGGTAAGTTTGGTGCTCGGCAACGGCGCAATGCACCAGTTTCTCTCAATTGCTTCAGAGTGCCAGTGGTGTTTTTTTAAGCTTTGTTCTTTGCCCCAAGTGTAAGAAAGTGTGATGTACTTGGCTGTGTCGGCGGAACTATAAGGCACGAGACGTTGGCCCACGACATCTATTAGCCAGTCTGGGTGTGCAGATATCCCAGGCTGCGACTTTATCCAAGTCGGCTCCTGGCATTCCAGCCCATGCTCATCGAGGCATGTAGAATACCAGGACTTTGGGACTGAGGGATCAATCCAGTGTTGGTCGGTAAGAATTGAAGTTCCCGGGTGTTCTGGGTCATCCTTGGCAACCAGATCGACGTTTTGATAGACACGCTTTCCGTCGTCGGCGAACACAAATTCAACCGGATCTATCAAGACCATAGCTCCGAATCCTGACCAAACAATCCTCGGGAGGCTTCTTGTGCGGCCTTCGGCTTTCCCATATCTTCCAAATAGACTTAGAATGAGGACAAGGCATGTTAATAATCTCGGGAAGTTTTCCCAGCTCGCGATCAACCATATCTTCTTCTTGATGGTCAAAGATACTTATGATTTTTAAACACACTTGGCAATTTGGTGAGTCGGACATGTCTCTGAAAGCGATGCGGCCGTGGCGGGCGTTCTTGCGTGATGTGTCTGTGACAGGGGTTGAAGGAGTTTTGGAACTGCACTGGGAAACGAGACAAGGTGAATGAAGTAGAGGACGCTCTTCTATGTAGAAAATCCCTGATAAAAGACATACTACTCTAACTTGGTTACGAATGAGAAGGCTGCTGTTGCCAATGCTGACGTGCGTCATTTGAACAAGGAGGGCTGCAGGTTCGCCATTTTTGAAGGACGGTTGGTATTGTAAGTCACTGAACAACAGCCTGCCGCCCTGAAACTGATCCCTGCTTCACCAAGCCCTACGCGAGCCTATCTATGACAGCGCTGGCATGATTGTTCCACTGCATTCACCAAATCCTACGTATCCACTCTCCTCGTCACCAGCTCGCCCAATTATCGTGACCACGTCCCCATCCTCCAGGAAAGTTCTCGTCTCGGAGGAACCGGGTAATCGCAACGGCTTCTTCCCGCCCTCTGTGGCCTCCAGGAGTGAGCCCTGGGTGCCTTTGTCGGTTCCGCTGATGGTACCGGAGCCGAGCAGGTCACCAACGCTGAGATTACATCCTGTGATGGTGTGGTGGGCGATCATCTGCGGGAACGACCAGAGTAGGTTAGACGAGCTCGTCCTCGTCAGGGCTGTTTTGCTTCCGGAAGCAGCTACAAGTTTCGAGCATTGCGTCAGCTAATGATCTTCGAATACTGAAATCCTGGAGTTATCTCACTTTGCAGCTCGACTTCAAGCTGGATGTCCAACACGTTGTCCTTCCTCTCCTCCACGAGATACGGCAGTGGCGTGTTCTCGTTCGGAAGAGCAGGCGCCTGGTGAGGCTCCAAAGCGTCTGCCAGGACCACCCAGGGGCTGATGGTCGTCCCGAAGTTCTTGGCCGTGAATGGACCCAAGGGCACATATTCCCATGCTTGAAGGTCTCTGGCCGACCAGTCGTTCATCAACACATAGCCAAAAACGTACTCAGACGCATCGGCCACGGGAACAGGCGTGCCCATCTCGCTCGGCTTCCCCAGCAGCGCGGCGATCTCGAGCTCGATGTCCAGGCGCCTACACGGCGAGAAGGTCGGGGTGGCGGACCCGGGCGGCGCGACCTGGCCCCTCGGCCTGCGGATGGGCGTCCCGGACACGACGATGGAGGACGCGCGGCCGTGGTAGGCGACGGGCATGTGCTTGTAGTTGGGCTGCAGCGCCTTGTCCGCGCCGCGGAGGATCGTGCCGACGGTGAAGGCGTGCCTCAGCCCCGCGTAGAAGTCGGTGTAGTCGCCGATGCGCATGGGCAGGTGCAGCGTGACGCCCGACTGCGGCAGCACGGCCCTCCTGCGGAGTGCTGCGTTGTCCCTGAGGAGGGCCGCCCGTTTCGTGTTCTCGGTGAGGATGTCGCTTAGGTACAGCCTGACCGAGTTGGTCACGCGTCTGCCGAGCGCGGCGAAGCCGTTGAGCGTCTCCTCGCCGAAGACGTGGAGGTGGCCGTGGATCTCTGGGAGCTCTGCGAAGCCGCCTCCTGTTGCGAACTCCTTGAGGTCCACCACTGAGGACCCAATGGCAACTGCAGGCCTGCGAAAATTATTTGATGGCGTGGATATGATGCCAAAGGGGATATTTCTCAACGAGAAATGTGACCCCTTGGGCACATCGATCCATGACTTGAGTGCTGACATTGTGCAGTATGTTATTCGTGCTGAAGCTATTCTTCCTGCTTCTCACACCGTTATGCACTCCATATTTCTCACAATTATGTGTGTTATATGTCCAACTTACACGATGCATCTACAACATTGTGGCGGAACGGTGAGACCGGTTCCGAAATCCCGGGCGTAGCATTGGTCCGAGCCGGGTTTGTTGCGGCTCCTGAGACAGCCCACGCTTGCTCGGCTTCGGGGCCAATATCGCCGCAAATGGATCGACCGGTTGGCAGGGGGTCGCCATTGTCATGTTCTTAGAAATCGAGCTTGATGGTACGGTGGATCGAGAACGGATGCCAAGGTCAGCAGAAGACCTCGGGATGTTGGATTCATTTGCATGTCCCTGTCAGGACCACCTTAGCTTTTAGGCCATCATTAATACTTTGTTCTATACAGGGGATGCTGGCACTTGTTCTGAGTCAAAGAGACGACTTGTTCACATATTCTATTCAAACACAATGTGGCAGGCGTCAGTATTCAACCAGGTCCTGATCGCTATAAGCCTACTGTTGCAGTATATAGGTACCACAATTGCACGGCAATTGCGGCGTCGCTTTTGTTCCACACCTACAGTGGCAGGGCAATTGTTATCAACGAATCAAATTTGTCAATTCAGACTGATGTGAAATTACAATTCTCCATGATTCTATTTTCCATTCTCATTCGGTAAGACGAAGTGTGGCTTCAAAGGCACCCAGCTGTGCGCATTGTAGTCCGCCTGCAACTTCTTGCAATGCTCCAGACCCCAGTCAGTCACGCCCACCATGAGCGAACTCTCAAACATAAACGCCATGCTGCCCTCTCCCACCTTAGTAGGCTTCAACTCAGCATTACTTGCACGCTCGTGGGTATCCGCGTCTGGCCCGTGGGAGGCCATCACATTGTGCAGGCTCGCGCCAGCAGGCTTGAACCCGCCGCCCGTCTTGGCGTCGTAGTCACCAGAAATGAGGCCCATGAACTCGGACATGGTGTTGCGGTGATACCAGGGAGGGCGGAATGTGTCTTCAGCCACGAGCCACCTAGGCGGGAAAATGACAAAGTCTGCGATGGCTGTGCCCGAAAACGCGGATTGTGCTGTCAGTACAGTGTAAATACTTGGATCTGGGTGGTCGAAGCTGGTGCTGCCGATGACGTTGAACCGGCCTAGGTCATATTTGTACGGATAATACAGCCCATGCCAAGCCACCACGTCGAAGGGGGTGTGGCGCTGGTGAGCCTGATATGTCTTGTTCGCGTACTTGATCAATATCCTCCACTCGCTGTCCGTATCCATGTCGAAGGAAGCAACAGGGGCCTGGAAGTCTCGAGCATTTGCGAGGCCGTTGGACCCGATCGGTCCAAGCTCCGGGAGGGCGAAGTGATGTTGCTCGTAGGTCTCAAGGATATAGCCCCTTGCAGGGCCCTCGGGCAAGGTGACTCGGTAGCGGATTCCTCTGGGGATAACGACAATTTCGTTCGGGCGAACGAGCAACCTGCCGAGTTCGGTTTGGATATCAAGGACCCCGTGTTGGGGAACGATCAGGAAGTCGCCGTCGCCGGAGCTGAACGCGCTGTGCTGGTCCATATCTTTGCCTGCAGCGAAGATCATGATGCCGATGCCGCTCTTCATGGCCGGGTCGCCTGCACCAGCGACGTGCCGGAGCCCGGTAGCCCAGTCGCTCGAATCATCAAGGTCGAATGGGTTCCAACGCATCTGATTCGGGATGTGATGCATGTTCTGCGGGCTTGCAGACGTGGCTCGGCCATCTTCAGGCACTGGCTCGAAGGATGAGTGGGCGGCTGACGGGAGGATCCTGTAAAGCCATGTTTGCTGATTCTGCTGGCGAGGCGCGGTGAAAGCCGTGCCTGACAGCTTCTCTGCATAGAGGCCCAGCGGTGGTTTCTGCGGCGAGTTTTGCCCAATAGGCAGAGCCCCTTTCACAGCTTCGGTTCTAGAAGAGGCTATCATCAGCAAGACCACTCATAAATCTTTTGGTGCAGCACCATCTAAATTAACGTACTCGTGATAAGAGCCGAATCCGTTCTGGTGCGTGTACTTTTCGGGGAAGCGAAAAGCTGTGGATGGCATCTTGACTCGGCTAGGTACCTGATGTCTGGTTGATTTCCTGGATTATTGAGTCAGTGCTTCTTGATGCTAGGACAGTGTAAGGTCATTCACGGATGGGCCGGGAGGCTCGAGAATCCAATTACATATTCTGTCGTTATTTGATTGATAATTGTTTCTCTCAGCCGACTGAAGTCCGCACATTTCGTCAAGGTGTGAAGAAGTCGGAGCGGTGTTCCGAAAATGCGGAATTGTGGTGCTGAACCACGCCCGCTCGTGTTTGCCGAGCATGGGGTAGGACTTGGTTGGGGAATATCAAGCTAAGTTTCCTCGTGCCTGTGCAGGATGACTGCAAAATCCATCTGTTTTGAGATCAGAGAACCTGAATAAAAAGGGAAACATCAAAATCAAACGCTGTACTCAGGAAGCTAGTTTGTAGCAATGGCGGCATCAGGAATCGAACCACCTCCCCGGAGATTCTACCTAGGAAATGAGGTGAGGGACGCTTCTTATACCAAATGATTCGGGCGAGCTGACAATGAAATTGCAGTTTGTCGATAGCGTCAGACCTCTTGGAGACAAATTGACGTTGCTCAATCCCGTAGATGACTCTGTGGTGGCTGATGATGTTCCAGTCGCCGGCAAAGAAGACGTGGACCGCGCGGTGGCTCTTGGAAAGGAAGCCTTCCGGAGGGGCCCATGGGCAAAATTCACAGGGATTCAGCGTTCGGCGTGCCTGAACAAGTTTGCAGATCTCGTTGAAAAAAACGTAGAGCGACTGGCATACGCAGAGTCCCTCCCCACGGGGCGGCCTGTCGCGGGCATCATCCACTTTGACTTGGCGCATATGGTGCAGGTCTACAGATGTGAGCAGAATCATTGACCTTTATGCACGGCTGGCTTCTGAACAATGCTGACTTAAATTTATCACCCCACGAAAAGATTACGCAGGCTGGGCCGACAAGATCGCCGGCGAGTCCTTTGGTGAAGACAACGGATTCGCCAAGCTCGTACGATACAAACCGCTTGGAGTCTGCGCGGGCATCGCGTCCTGGAACGCCACGTTCATGTACATCGGATGGAAGCTGGCCCCAGCTCTCGCAGCAGGCAACACGGTCATCTTCAAGCCGTCCGAGAAGTCTCCCCTTGGCGTACTGGCTCTGGCGCCTCTTTTTGCCGAAGCCGGCTTCCCACCGGGCGTGGTGCAGTTCATCACAGGCGGACGGGACACCGGCACTCTGCTGGCCTCGCATATGGGCATTGCAAAGATCAGTTTCACCGGTTCCATCGCTGCTGGGAAAGCTGTCCAGGAGGCTGCCACAAGGAGCAATTTGAAGAAGACCACACTTGAGCTCGGTGGAAAGTCGCCAGCTCTGGTGTTTGGAGACGCAGACTTTGAAAATGCAGTTGGGAGGTTTGTCAATCCGGTTTACCTTTCGTTCTGCAGTAGGCTAAACTTTTTTACAGCGTTGCTGGGGGGTTCCTTGCGAACTCGGGTCAGATTTGCGTTGGTAAGTCATTATTCAGTGCAGGGTTACACGTGAACTTCTTTCTAATTCCCAGGGACAGCCGCCTCAAGAGTACTAGTGGAAGAATCAATCGCGACCAAGTTTCTCGCTGCGGCCAAAGCCACCTTCGACGGCATTGGGGCACAGATGGGCAGCAGCCCACTCGAGCTGTCCACCAGTCATGGCCCAGTGGTGGACAAGCTGCAGTTTGACCGCATCATGTCGTACATTGACAAGGGAAAGGCATCGGCACAGTTGCTCACAGGAGGCAAAAGGATCGGCTCGAAAGGGTGCTTCATCGAGCCTACGCTCTTCGTCAACCCGGACCCGCAGAGTCCAATATGGAAGGAGGAGGTCTTTGGGCCTGTGTTGACGGTGAGAACTTTTAAGACAGAGGAAGAGGCTATAGCGATGGCCAACGACAGCATGTACGGGCTGGCTGGTAAGGTTCCCCAGTTCATGCAATACCACCGACGCCAAACTAACTTTGTCGTCTCTCAGCGTGTATCTACACATCCGATGTCAGTCGTGCTTTACGCGTATCCGCTGCTCTCGAGTCAGGGGGTGTGGCTATCAACTCTCCCTTTCTCCCAGAGCTTAACACGCCTTTCGGAGGCACCAAGCAGAGTGGCCAGGGCAGAGAATTGGGCCTTCATGGCCTTTACAGTTATCTGGAACCTCAGTCTGTGCACATTAGGTATTTTCCAATCCTTGCGTTGTGTCCAGCATAAATAATTGGCTAATGATTTTCTAGAGTCACCGAGGCTTCGAAACTGTAGAAGTGGCATTCTACTTTGCAGGAAGTCTAGCCCCTCTGTAATCCGAGTACCTCAGACTCGGTCGCTGGGAGGAGAAGATAAAAGCTAGCAGTGCAAGAATAGTAAATTTGAGCCAGCACAATTGGAATTAAAACATCTGAGTAATTACGGTCTTCAACCGTGTGAAAATAGCTCATGACGTGGTTCACCAAAATTGCACACACGTCCAAGCCCGGAAAGCTTGCCGAGACCCGAAATCCGGCAGGAAGGTCACCGATATCTTCGAGATTCCGGCGCTGGCCGCCAAGCCAAGCCCGCCCGGCCCCTTTAATAGCATGGCAGCCCAGCAACTTCAGGACCAAACATGTAGCCTAACATCTCAACTGCAGCCTCCTCGTGATGGATCCAACTGACTACTTCACGAGTCCCGCACCAATGGATCCCACTATCGTCAAAACAGATCACTACACACGGCGAACGCACATTATTTATGCCAGTGTGCCAAAGCCAGGGGATGTGTCGGTTCGAAGTGATCTAACCTCTCGCCTCAGGCTTGCAGTTCATGAGTATAACGTCATTGGGGCGCAGAGCTCTGGGTACACTGTCATACTCACACATGGGACTTCTTTCAACAAGTTTTTCTGGGAGCTAGTAATTAATTGCCTGTTGTCTACACCGAGAGTCAAGCCGGCAGTCAAGCGCCTCATAGCCATTGACGCTGCAAACCATGGCGACAGTGCCGTTCTCAATCGCGAGGTCCTACCAATGAAAGGTGAGCCTCGGCCTCTCCAAAATTTCTGCATGCTTCGGGAGACTCATAAGACTTGAATGGCGGTTCATAGCTTGCTGGCCCGACGACTCTCGGGATATTCTCCATACCTTGGAGCATTTCAATGCTCAACAGCCAGTCATAGGTATTGGCCATTCGTTTGGAGGTGGCTCCATGTAAGTACTTACTCCACAACAGCTCTATCCTTTCCTAGATTACTTTGAATTTAACCTGTACTGAGATATTTGCTCTGACTTTAGGTGTCACGCGGCCATGATGCAGCCGGACACTTTTGTGGCTACTATTTTCATCGAGCCAATACTTTTCCAAATGAAGGAGCAAACCGAGGCACTCGCGAAGAAAACTTTGAGACGACGTGACCGATGGGAGTCAAAGTAATTTCTCTGTACAAATGATCTTTTCTACCTTGCTGATATTCGGACTAGAGCAGCGCTTACATCCGCGTTCGAAAAAGGCTTCCATGATTGGGACAGGAGACAATTAGATGTGTTTCTGGTGAGCAACCCACGCGTTACGGCAGAGACATGGTAGCTGATTACTGTTCTTTAGGAGCAAGGGGTGGTTCTACAGGATCAGAGTGATGTACCTCCTTACTGGACTTTAAAGACACCCAAGGAACAGGAGGCGGTGTGTTTAAAAATCCGAGTTCAGGATTCCCGTCTTGCAGGCCCTCGCTAACCAACACGTTCTGATACTTCAAGGCCACATATCTCGCAGCACCGCACCCACAAATTCTGCAACTCCTGGAAAAGTCCAAGCGAAGGCACCATTTTGTCTGGGGCTCGGACAGTACGGCCATGTGAGAGAACCTGTCACTAATTCCAGGCCAGCGCGGCGACTCCTAAACACCAGGCACTTGCTAATTAGACGCCCGCCACAGCTCGGCAGAGAATCGCCGATTGGTTGAGCGCATCGTGCATCACCCTTCCACGACTCAGGTCGTCATTGGAGCAGGTCACTTGGTGCGATTTTCCCCGGACCATCCGCACCCCCTGACCTACCCCGACCTGGCGCCAATGCCTACTGTAAATTAGGCCTTGTCCTAACTGCTTGGAATGCTAGATCCCCATGACGCACCCCGAGAGGCTGAGTTGCATCATTGCTGGCATTCTCCACCAAGAGGCGACGGCGGGGTTTCAGACGGAAATTCCGCAGCGATTCCGGCTCTAGCCACGCCCCCAATTCCCCTCTGCAAAATGGCTACGCGGCCTTTGCTTGGTTCAGGCTTGGGGGCCGCCCCCACCACCCGTCCGCGCGGCCTGCATCAGACAAGACTAGATCCACCACCCCAGATACAGTTGTGAACCTTAAAAGTTAGCGGGATGCGGGGGAACGTGGAGTGGATGCACGAACACGCGGGTCACTCCGTACGGACCGTGCATTTGAACTCTGTTTGAACAATCTTCCAGTTTCGTCCGTAGAGCATTAATGTACATTCAACCACACATTGTGAGAGCAGAATCTGTAAAGAACATTGATCAACCCTGGCCAAGTCCGCGTTGCAGGGCAGGCCTAAATTCCCAGATCCACCGCGCCCCTACTGTTTTCCCCGTCTTGTCCTGTCCGGCAGCACCTCGGCTCCGAGGAAGGTGGAGAATGTCCGAAGCTAACCTGTCCCCCGAGTCTGGGCGGAACGAAGACATCGGAGGCAGTGTGGTCGTCGCCTCAATGAACCCCGGTGAAACACCACCTGCCGGACAGCACGAGAACAGCAGGACGCCAATGGGCGGGTCCCAAGACATTGGGGCGGCTGGTAGAGAGCCGTCAAGCCCGCCGGCGAAGAGAACGAAACGGGGGAAATACATCTCGAGGGCTTGGTATGTCCATTGCCATGGGAGCGGCAGTGACGTGTCTAGGCTGATCTGTCCTTCTCGATCATCAGTACAGCATGTCAACAACGCAAGATCAAGGTCAGTAGGCGGTCCAGAGACGCAACCGCTGTCACACATGGCTAAGTGAATTCAAGTGCGAGGGCGGAGACCCTTGTGCTCACTGCAAAGCCAGGGGTCGCGTCTGCGTGTCTGCCTCCAGAGGCCAGCCCAGACAAGCCCCCAAGACCTCAGGCCCTGGCTCAGTCGAGGCGGCACGCAGCACTGAGGGCTCCTCTGCTAGGTGGGTTGATATTGATCCCCCCCTTGGTTCATGTGCTGCCTCTCACGGTCTCATCGCCAGTACGAGCAGCTACGAGCTTGCAGCCCGGGTCGCCCAACTCGAACGCCGGTTGAACATGATGCAACAGTCATCCGAGAGCCCGATAGAGTTCACGCAAGGTCGAAATCGACGCGAGCCTGGAGCCCTTGGACCTACTCATGAGAATGACTCTCGTTCACCAGCCTCCACCCAACTTCAAAGGGTGCTGGAGCCTGACGGGCAGTCTTTCATGGGGGAGCTCTCCATGACATCGGCGCTGGTGGAGGTCGACGGAAGCTTGAGCGAGGAATCCGCGGACAATATCATAAAAGTCGCGGTGGACCTCCCACGAGATAGGCCTCCTGGGAATAACAAGTCTTCTCGTAAAGTGAGAGGGTGGCTGGAAAATATTCTGGAGCGCTACGGTGTGATTGCCGACGAGGACGAGTGGAGGCGGTACATGGAACTTTTCTTTGAAGAGATCCACATCTTATACCCCGTCCTTCACCCACCATCAGTCTGGGAAACCTTCAATGGGCTTTGGGAGTACGGCGCCCTTTGGTCCATGGCGGACTCGACCGAGAGGGAAGAGAAACGCCTCTCTGTGGCCTTGGTGTGTTTTTGCCTGGCTTTGGGCCGGTGTTGTGTCTCGACCAGGATGACGGACGCAACTGGCGTACATTCTTCAGGGTGGAGCATATGCAGTGTTGGCATGGCGCTGATGCAAGACTCGGAACGAATAAGCAAGACTGGTGCCACCTCCTTGCTCGGCCTGCAGATTCTTGTGCTCCGGGTAAGAGAAATCATTGGCACTATCTGTTTACTGATGCAACGCTGACCTTGTTCAATATAGATCTGCTACTGGTTCCGCCTCGACGCAACTCAAGAATCAGCTCGTCTTGTCGCCCTTGCGGTCTCGAACGCACACATCATGGGCATTCACCGACAAAGCAGGCTGGACACGGTGCCTTGCTTTCGGAGTCAACTCCTTACTCGAGTGTGGTGGTGTATCTTTATCCTGGACCGGCGAATGGCCATTGAGTCCGGGCGTCCATTTTTTATACAAGAAAACAACACCGATACCGCTCTGCCGCTGGATCTGAGTGACGAGTGGCTTGGCCGGTTCGCGGGGAGAACCGATACGACGAAGGCACTGGAGGGCGAAATCGAGATCGAGCTTTCGGAGAAACATGTCACGACAATACCTTATCTCGTCGCTATGATCCGATATTCCCGAGTGGTTGGCAAGGCTTGGGACCTTATTTACGGGGTGAAAGCCATGTCGAACCAGCCTGTTTCCCACATGATCGACTACGCAGACACGGTGCTGTCCAATCTACTGGAGACTTTACCTGAAGACCTCACATATGACCCCGACCTACCGAAGGCACAATTTGACAGCCGGAGGAGGTGGCAGGTCAAACAAACCATGCTGCTTTCGACTGTAAGATGTGCCCCACGAAGTTTGATCTTGTTCAGATGATTAATTTTCCACCATCTCTTAGTGTGTTACATTCTTACGCATTCTTATTCGAAGGCCCTTTGCACAGGGCAAGGGTGCTACCGACGTCACGAACGACAATCAGCTCGAGTCATTGACGATATGCGCAAGCCTGGCATCAAGCATACTCAACGCCCACAAAGGTCTGAACGATAGCAGCATGAAGCACTGCTTCCCATACTGCCATTACCTCCTTAGCTGCACAATGGTCATGACGAGCCTTGTGGCCAACGAGCCAGCGCTCAAGAAGAGACACAGAGAGGCCATCCTGGCGGCCACGCGCTCTCTGAGGCTTTACTGCCATACAATATGGGTTTCAGGGAAGATGATGAGATGGGTTTCCAGACTCACGCTCCTGGCCCGCCGTGTACTGCAGGTAGGACTGAGTCAGAAAAACGGGCGACCACGGAGGATGTCCGACGCGCCGCACAACCGTGACGATGCGGCGGAGGAGACGCAGCCGCAACAACTCACGCCCCAGTCTGCTACCCAGGAATTCTCCCAGGATAGTATCCCAAGTTTGTGCCCAACCAATAATAGTGGGCCTTCCTACGGCATGCCTAGTCACACCGGGACGGTGTCAAAGCCTCAAGCTGGAAGAGAGGACCAGGGAGTGCCTCACATGTGGCTCCTCGATGGCGCGAGTACGGAGACGGGACTGCCAGAACTGCCTGAGTGGGTCATGACAGATTTCAACTTCGAAACAATCAGCGGGGACGTCTTCGGGCCTGGGAACGCCAGCTTCAAGAACGCAGCGGGCAACTCGGATGAGATACAGGACAGTGGCATGGGCCTCGAGATGAGTATGGGCGAGACGACGCTGGACGCGATTCCCAACGGGATGTACAGCCTCGACATGAATTTGGATTAGGCTACGGCAAGCCGACAAATGTCTTGACTGAACGTTCGGTATAACATATCTCTCGCCACAGGTCTATAGCCTCGCCAAATTCTGAGTGTTGAATGTAGCATGCGCCGCTTTGGCTGCAGAAGCCGCCAGGTTGGCTGGAAGAAGCCGGCGGAGGATCTTTCCCGAAGGACTGTGAGAAGCATCAGTAAATAAGTTATCGACTCGCTGATCGGATGTGTGTGCTGAATCTACGTACTTCCGCGGTATGGCAGGCAGGATATGCACTCCACCCGTGATGCGTTTGTATCGTGCAACTTGTCCGTTCACATACTCGACAAGGTTCTCCTTAAGTACCTGTTGGTCCCGTGAGGCTTTGACATCTGTGGTGATGTACGCGACGGGGACCTCGGAGGTCCCGTCTTGATTGTACACTCCACACACCGCCGCGTCCTTGACTTGTGGATGGGTAATCAAAATTGCCTCCAGTTCAGCCGGCGCAACTTGTTGGCTGGGAGGGAAGCGGGTGTTAGTCGAAATTGTTGAGGGGATTCATCGAGGAGATAGATACTGTCTCACCCTTTGACCTTGATCATCTCCTTTGCTCTGTCGACAATGTATAGATAGCCGTCGCTGTCAGCATATCCGATGTCTCCCGTCCTCAGGAACCCATCCGGCGTTAATGGGCTCCCAGAGAGACCCGTGTCGCCAACGTAGCCCTTCATGATATTAGGGCCACGAAGGATGAATTCGCCTACTTTGGAGTCTGAGAAGAGAATGATGTCAATGAGTACGCAGGAAATACTTTTTTTTCACACGAGGATAGCATGTGTAGAACCGACCTTTTCCGTCCTCATCCACTATCCGCATCTCCATGCCTGGAAGAGGCCTGCCAATAGTTCCGCTTATACGTGTCTCATCCTCTCGCTGAGACGCAACACTTGGACTGGCCTCTGTCATCCCATACCACTGGGTGACGACACAATCGTACCGCTTGCAGAGTTCGCGTGACTGGTTTTCTTTCAGAGGTGCTGCAGCGTTCATGAGGCACTGAACGGATGACCAGTCACCCTTGGTAGCCTCAGGATTGCGCAAGAACTCCAGAGCAATAGGAGGTACCACGTTGATGTGAGTTACTGTGCGTGAGATTGTGAGCATGACTCTGTTCATGTTGCAGGCGGGGATGAATGCTTACTGCGGTGCTTTTTGATAGCCTTGAGGAGCGGCGCCATCTCAAACCTCTTGAAGACCACGATCGGGACGCCCTGGTGGAATTTTCAGCTCAGACCCATATAAAATAGGTAGGAGACTTGTTTACCTGACTGACGAACTGACAACAAAACCCAGACAGCCCCAGGATATGGAAGAACGGTACGATGAGTGTGACAACGGTCTTAGGGTTGAACATGCCGCGAAGACCTTGGTATTGCTGGAACAGATTGGCCACGATATTTTCATGGGTGAGCTGCACGCCCTTGACCAGGCCTGAAGTGCCTGAACTGAAACAGATAAACGCCAACTCTTTTGCAGCGGCGCCTGGAGGCAGCTTCGCTGGCTCGAAGTTGGGGGAGCCATGCTCTATGATTTGCTCGATATTCAGTGGCTCATGGTCTGTCTTGCTTGGATCATCAATGTCCCAAATATGAATTCGAGGCCTTGGTTGATTGTTTGGGCCCAAAGCGAAGGCTTTGAGCAGATTCGGGACGAGCGCTTGCTCTACGAGGATGTGCGATGGCTTGCTCAACTTCAAGGCATGCGCTAGCTCCTACAAATATGGCGTAAGCGACAAAACTAGCCTGAGAGTTCCGGGGTCTAGAGCTTTTCCTTTCATACCTTAGGCTCGTACATGGGGTTGAATGCAGATACCACGCCACCGGCAGCCAGTACGCCATGTACACACACTGGGAAGTAGTTCTGTAAAGGCCAAATTATTAGTTCTCTGAACATTCATCAAGGTCTTTGTATTACGAGAAATTGAGTTCTTCATACCTTGGTATTCGAAAGAATACCCACTACGGTTCTCTGCTTGATTCCAAGTTCGTGGGAGAAATGGCGAGCAACCTTGCGGACGCTAGCCCTGAAGCTGTCATAGGTGAAGACAGTATCGCCGGAGTAGCCATCGATGATGCTCGGTTTGTCACCTGGCGTGTTGTTCAAATTATGATAGAGAAGTACTTCTGTCGAGGTGGTGTCCTTGGGATACCATAATTCCTCCGGGTTTGCGTAGATGCGTGCCATTGTTCTTCTGCTAGGTTGAGTGATTTGGTGTCAGTAGATACGACCAAATGGTCAGTCACACGAGCGATGGCATATGACTTGGGTAAAGTCATTTTTTGGCTGTAAATCCTTGATTATACTAGCGAATGACACATATGCCTACAGGCAGGTGAATCTTTCCTGTGCACCGACCGTGTAGTGTCTTGAGGTGTCGGGTCGGGTCCCGACGGAGGCCAGACGGTTCCGAAGTTGAATTCCGCGTCCGGACTGTGGCGACATCCCGGATCGGCAACCAATGTGGGCAAGCATGCAACACGGGGAACACCGTCCTGTCAAACGCCGTCTGACAGGTGCCGAAGGATTCCAACAATGGACAATGTCTTCATGGAGTGCCGAGAGCTGAGGAAGACATCCATTTATTCGTCCCATTTCTTCTATAATACCAATCTTCTGTACCTTGTGTGTATTTTTTTTTTGAGTTCAATGTTTGCCGCAGTAACCCTATCCAATAAGAACATCATCTCTTCCAGACCTTTCCCCGTGCAACCAACACCACATCCGTATCCCAAGCCATGACCCCTCTTCGTGGGAAAGTTGCCTTCGTCACTGGTGCTAATGGCATCACTGGAAATGCCCTCGTTGAACATCTGATCCGCCAGCCGGAATCAGAATGGTAAGTAAAATGTTGTATCTTTGACTGATTACTGGCAAGCAATAGATCAAGGCTAACGAATGGTATACAATAGGTCACAGATCATCATCACCTCGAGGCGACGCCCCACCCAAGTCTTCTGGCAAGACCACCGAATCCGATTCGTTGCCTTGGACTTCCTGAGGCCGCTTGAAGAGTTGATTGAGGCCATGAGACCTTTTTGCCATCACGTTACACATGCCTTTTATGCCTCATATGTTCATTGCGCAGACTTCTCCAAGTTGCGAGAGTCCAATGTGCCCCTATTCGAGAATTTCCTCAAGTCTATTGACCATGTGGCCGGCAACTCTCTTGAACGGGTCGTTCTACATACCGGCGGAAAGGTGCGAGCCGTCTTTTCTCTTCGGGGCCCCTCCTTCCAATTACAAGAAGATTGTTTTTACAATTTATGATGCTAACATGTGCGACAAAATATAGCACAATGGAGTCCATCTCGGCCCCGTAGAGGTACCCATCCACGAAGGCATGCAACGGTACGAAGACCACGGAGAGAACTTTTACTACCCCCAAGAAGATTTCATGTTCGACTTGGCCTCAAGGCGCGGCTGGGACTGGAACGTCATCCGACCCCATGCCATCATAGGCTTCACACCCGCTGGGAACGGCATGTCATCGGCGCTGACCATGGCTATCTACATACTCTGCTGCCGCGAGACGGGCGAGGTACCAACCTTCCCTGGCAACAAGTACTTCTGGAACTCGGTGGACGATAGCTCTTACGCCCCAAGCATCGCAGACATGAGCCTTTGGGCAGCAACCGGCGAACAGACCAAGAATGAGTCCTTTATCCATACCAGCGGCGATGTCATTGTCTGGAAACATTTCTGGCCTAAGCTAACTAGTTATTACGGTATTGAGGTACGTGGAAGATCCCTGATCCCTTTGCAAATTCACGGATTGGGACTCTGGCTGACTACTTCTCCAGCTTCCCGAGGAGGCATACGCGTGCGAGGCTGAGGGAGACGACCAGCGCATGACACACAGCATCCGCATGGCAGACTGGGCCCAAGGCAAGAAGGAGGTCTGGCAACGGATAGTGGCCAAGTACGGCGGCCACCCTGACGCTTTCGACTGGGGTACCTGGGACTTTTTCGACTGGACCCTGGGCAAGGCCTGGTACACGATAGGCAGCGTGTCCAAGGCCCGGAAGTTTGGCTGGAGGCGGTACGACGACAGCCTGGACGTCTGGACACAGACGTTCCGCTCGTTTGAGAACGCGGGCATCCTGCCTACTATGATGCCACGCCCCCCTGTCGATATCAACACGTTGCCTCGTCTCCCCAACCCTGCTGATGTCGTCAATGCGAAATTGGCCAAACAGGCCGAGTCGGTGAATGCTGCTCCGAACGTCGGGGACAAACCAGAGTCTATTCATGTCGAGACAGTCAACGGGCATTTACCTGTGAGCAGTGTCACAGCAGCTTAGCGCTCCTGAGCTATGAGTCAAGTCACTGTATACACCGAGGGTTGCGATTTGGGAATTCCGCTTGCGAAGACAATGGAACGTTTGCAACAAGCAATTTACTGTCTACATTTTTTGTTCAGATCTATTACGTTTTCGAACACACCTGTGTCACGGTACCCACTACAGTGGCCCGCCTTATAAACACCGCAGCTTCGCCTGCGGCTTGTAGACTTCTAGTTTTCCTTTCTTCGCGCAACAACAAGTTATTACTACGGCTTCTATGCTGCACCGTAACAACCTGAATATTAATTACCACGTTCAAGACCTTGAAACTACAGTTGGAAGATGCTGACCCCCCTGAAGGGCTGCTTGTAGGACAGTTCGGGTGGTCTCACATCTCCCCACCGACGATTCTTCATCCAGTATCGCATCATAGATCGGCCTTTGCAAATACTCTAGGTTGTGACTGAAATCCTCCGATGGGACAGAAATTCCCTCCAAAGCCGACTAATTTCCAGTTCGGAAGCTTAATGGAGAGTCCAGGCGCGCTATAAGCCGCTCCGCCATTGCTCGGAACTGGACGGAATTTCCATGATATCTGCCGCATTGACATACATACTTCAAGTTGATTCGATCCGCCATAGTACGTATTCAAATTGTGCACGTTGACTTAAATGTCTGTCTATGGCATGAGACCCAAACGTAGTAATCCGAATCGCACCTAAGCGGTGTAATAAAGCACTGTAGAATTAGACAACGAAACAATCGTGTGCGTCCGGTGGTCCTATTCGTCTTTCTGTCGATCTGCCAAATACTAATCTCGGTGCTTTCTCCTGGATGACTGATCCTATAAACGCCCAGCATGACTGTCATCCCTTGAGTTTGATTGGAAGGGCAAATTCCGAAATGCCGTGCAAGTGAATGCTACGGTATATCTTGGTAGACTCTTGTCCCAGGTTACTGGTACAATGTGGCTTAAAACCATCGAGCCCAAGTACGCGCGGCCGATGCCCCTGTCGATTTAGCCAAGAATTCATAGATCATCTCTGTGTTTCAGCTACTCGATTTCTTCCGGAATTCGGCAAACTTCCCACGCGGGCTGGGCATACCTTGATCACGAGATTTCCCCATGGGGTAGCTAGCCTCGCAAATTCGGGGCTGATACTGGGTCGCTGCCGGCGTTTGTTCCCTCCAATTGGTCTTCATGATTGCCTTCCTAGACGAGACCTGGCACAACAGGGACATTCCCGTTGGTCAGCAACCACCTCGAGGGAAAGGCTCCATGTCCAGACTGTCTAGAGTCATTGGGGCATGCGCTACGTCATCGTAGCTCATGCTACCAGACTGTTTGGCATTCATTCAAGAGATACTTCCAGACACTAGCCAAACCAGAGCTTTTCGCCGTCTGGGTTGCATAGTACGTCGCTCACAAACCCCTCATCTAAATCTGGTTTCCCCATTCTAACGATTCTTGTTCAGCCTCCTTTACTTCATGTGGTCAATCGGCATCAGCATCACAACCGGAATCCTGTTTGGCACACCTCGAGTGGCCGGTGGCTATGGATATTCTCCAACAAGCGTCGGCTACCTTTACTTTGCGCCCGTAGTCGGCGTGTTTTTTGGGAGAAGTCTTCGGCCATTACTCCAACGACTGGCTAGCCCGGCGCTACGTCAAGAAACATGGTGGCGTCTACCAGCCCGAGGTTAGACTGTATATGATCTACATCGCGGCCGTGTGCATGGCTGCCGGCCTTGTCGTCCTGGGCCAGGCGCTGCACCGCGGGCTGTCTCCTGCGGCTGTCGTCATGGGCTGGGGGCTGCACACTTTCGGCACAATGACCACGTCGGTCGCTGTCTCGGCTTACACGCTGGATTCACACCCCGAAGCTCCTGCGGAAGTTTCTGGCTGGTCCAATTTCGCTCGTGCCATCGGTGGCTTTGGTGTTGGCTACTTCCAGCAGCCGTGGGGAGCCAAGGTTGGGTTGGACGTTAGCTTTGGCACGCAGGCCGCTGTCGTGGGTTTCGGTACGACCCTCGTTGCTCTTGTGCATCGATCTGGTCCCTGGCTCCGACTCAAGTCTGGGCCTGTGGAGTAGACGTTGCGACTGTTCACGCTGCTGAGATGTTGTGGTTTCATCGTTGCGCTCTTGGGTTCTGCTTAATAACTTGGGCAGAAAATGCCTGACAAAGAGCCCTATATACGGCCAACGTATCGCTGTCAGCGCTATGCAAGACTCAAAGGCACTGGCTCTTACACACCTGCTTCTACAGTGCTGAAATGGGGACGTAATGATCCGCAATGGGGTATGCATAGCTCAGGAAGATTTCGTGGGCTGCCTTGTCACGTCATCTCCATGTATAAAGCATTATCGTAAGTGTCCAAGTTCGGTATTGTTCCACAAGCAATGATCCCTCCACACTACACAATTTGGGCAAAACGCCGCCCAGAATTCCTACTCGGCCGTGAGACGCCAACAAAGCCATGTCGCTAATAGTGCCACAACCTACGCCTCGGAATGGGGAGGCTGCATCTTTCAGCATTGGGTCCTGTGGCTTTATATTGGCCGCAATAGCATGGATAATCAAGATGGTACCGGTGACAGTGAAACCCCAGAACCGGCTAAAATCGGCCCTTCATTTGCATCTCGAAATCTAGTGTGGCAGATCAGTAAGCAATCCTGCCCGTGATGGTGGGCAACGCATCACTCCCGTATCCGAGGGGCCTCTCACTCCGGGCTTATTGTCCCTGCCGAGACTTAAGAAAAAGTTATTATACTTCACTGTTTGCTATTGCACCGAGTAACCTTTACCACGCAACAAACCCCAGTACCTATTCATGCGCTGCGTCGTCTCCTCGTCTCGTGTCGTCGGTCCGAAAACTGTACATGAAATCGGAGTACATTTGTTCCTACTACGTCTCTGGTCCCGTAGCCTCTCAACCTCGTTTGCCACAGCTGGACTTTGTTAATCAAACGTATTTGCCTCTGTATTTGTGTATCCTAGCCTGGATAGGTACACGGAAAAGACTAGGCGGCAGCGGAGCCTTATAAGGCCGCACTAAAAGCTGAGTAACACATTTCCTGTACGAAAACGTACATCCAGGATCACAAAAGCCGAGCCGGGAGGGATCGCGGCTCTGCAAGTGAACCTATCAAGAGGATGCTCACATGCCCTGCCTGATTGAGTGCACATGTGTATCATCTGCATATATGCGTACACACACGAGGTAGGACAGCAAATTGATGAGGGTGTTGTGTTCGGTAAATAACTATCCTGAATGACGACTGTTGAGGTACCAACTCGGCGCAATGGACCCGATGCAGCCTTACTTCCGGTCACTTGACCGGTGGCTGACTTCCGTATCGAGCGTGTCGTCCAGGCCGTGGAACTTTGGATTGACGAAGATCTTTCTGACTCCGCGAGGCCCTCTGTTGTGCAACGCGACTAGAACACCATCGAAGGCCTGCCAAAGGCTTCGATTGGTGCTCACCGATGGTGCTGGCTCGAATCACACCCATTATCACCGTTAGACCAAGCCTGATTCATGCCACCCGGCCTTGGCAACGGCGAGTGTCCAAGAATCAAAGTCTGACATGCATAACTCTGTACGACGTGCCTCACTGAATGTGGTGTAGAGACAGCCCCCAAGAGCCTGTGGACAGTCAGCATTCTCTTACTCCGCCCGGTTAGCTGAAATCGAGTGCTGAGACTTGAGCCCGCATGCCGTTCTGCCTGAGGGGGGCTTTCCATTGAGGTCCGGGATCTGCCAAGTCCGAGCCTGCATTTGGACAGCGGCATGCCCGATGGATGCCACACCCTGGCAGCAGCTCTTAAGCCGCCCAGAGGAAGTAATGTAGTCTTTCCCCTAGCATCACGGCTTTGAGTTCTAGACGACTCTGCAAAACAAATGGTCGCTAAGCAATTTGTTGCCGAAATACTGCGAATTACGGTGCCACGTTCAACTTCCGAACTTCAGAGAGCTCCTATCTCCCTCGCATCGATTGAAGTTCGGAAACAAATGGCCCACCTTGTCCTCGCCAAACAATAGCACGGGTCCCAGTTGGTAGGATTTTTCGCGTCTTTGGAATCAAGCCATTCTTGCCAGGCTGCTGGAATCGCTCAACACACGATGTCGACCACCGACATCATGGACAGGCCGGCCATGACGCCGCCACCTGGGGTGGTTCCCAGCTTTGACGACCCACCCAACCGCAACACTATGGCGCTGGCTGTCATGTCCGTGTGCCTCGCTGTCTCGACTATCGCCATGGCGCTCCGCTTCTATTCGAGATGGGCGGTCGTGCAGGTGGTGCAGTGGCAAGACTATTTCCTGCTGGTAGCATTCGGGCTCTATGTTGCTATGCTAGCCATAGCGTACCGCCTCAGCAATGAAGTCGGGTGGTTCATTCATACATGGGACCTGCGGACTAGAGACGTGGTGGAGTTTCTGCACGTAAGTCAGCCTCACCGACGCGACTCCAAATCTTTCAAGTTTGAGTCTCCCAATGCTGAGATAATGTGCTCCGTAGGTTTTCATCATCGATACGTATCTTTTCCTGGCCCTCTTGGTGTTCTTGAAGACGGCCATCTTAATGGAGTGGATCCATATCTTTCTCCCCGACGGCGGCAACCGGCGGAGCCTGTTTTTTTGGACGTGCCACTTTGTCATCTGGGCCAACATCACTTTCTGCGCTGTCACGGCCATAGTTTACAGTCTATCGTGTGAGCCGTTCCAGTACCTGTGGAATCACACCATCGAGGGTGGCCACTGTCGCATGAACACCGCGTACCTCGGCCTATCGACAGCTTGTTTCGTCTTCGCGACCGACGTCATCATATTATTCATCCCGCAGCGCGTCATCTGGGAGCTCAACATGTCACGGAGCCGCAAGGCTGGCGTCTCGTTTGTGTTTGCCTTGGGGATGGCCGCCTGCGCTGCCTCTATCGTGCGCCTGTACTATCATGTTGTGTGCGCCGAAAGCGCCGACATAACCTACCACATGTCGCCTATGATGCTGACGGCAGTCGGAGAATGCGCCTGTGCCATTCTGGTCCTATGCGTTCCCGCAGTGCCCAAGGCATTTACTGGACTCAAGCTCTCGGGCCTACTACCGTCGATCAACCCGTGGGGCAGACTGGTATCGCCTGCCAGCTACGGCTCCTCGCAAGAGCCTCGTAAGAAGAAGTACACCGGTGACGGGGCAAAGGCCTGGCCCACATCGGCCGAGGAGGCTTATAAGAGGAACTGGCAGATTGGATCCAGCTCAGAGCGCTCCCTGGTGCCTCTGGAGCCCAAATCTAGTGCCAGACACCACGATCTGGAGCTCGGCAACGCCATCCTCTGCATCACAGATTTCGAGGCCAAAACGTCCTACGATCCCGATCGGACCGTCTTCCTGGAGCAACGCAGCCGTCAGCACCCATGGATGCAGAGGTAGCCTCAGGTTTGGTTTCTTTCCCGGGGGAAGATGTAAGATTCCAGACGCCGGTTGTTTGGATTCTAGCAATGGAGCGTATAGACAATGTGGCTTACCAATCTGGCATTCCGGAATGTGGCAGATGAGCAAGATAGGTCACCAAGAGTATATGACTATCATAGTAAAATTGATATTCTAAGTATTCAGAACGCAAACGGAGTTATCGTTGTAAGACCAATTGTCCTGTGTCACGACCAATTGCACTCCAAGTCCAAGAGTATCCTATCCATATTCGGAAAATATACAAACCACAACTTGAAATTAGTAGGCCATTCTTGTCGAAGTCCCCTTGACATTGAGACCGACATGCCAGCGTCTCTCGGATTCCGAGCGTGTCCACACTGCAACCTCTTGCTTCTACACCCGAATCACGCCCTCAAGAATGCCCTGAACCCCTGCAAAAGACAACTCGTCCATAGTCTCGTTCCATAGACGTTGGAATAGCTGCTCCCGCCCTGTGGCATACACAAGAGGCGCAATTCTAGCCGGAGCATTATTAGCATATTAGTCTGGTCATCAGTTGGTGGAAATGCGGAGGTGATGCCGGAGCGAAACAGCGCAGGATAGTATACAACAGGAAAAGGTGACTCACGGTCTCAGCTCGCCAGTCCTCAACATATTGTCCGTGGGACCTTTCGTCCTGTTTGACAGCAGCGTGAACCAGGGTGCGCGCCCCCCACAGCAGCCGACCGGCCAAATATGCGTCTGAAGATAGCAGCGACCGTACCCAGCTCTCGGGCGAGCCCCGAGCCGCAGCAGAGGCCCGGGTTGGCGCAGTTGACGACGGCCAGTGATGGAGAAACCCGCTTAGCCAGCTGGGCAACAAAAAATCCTGGCCGAGAAGTTTGCTGGTTCCGTAGCGGTCAAGCTTGTCCCAGGTGGCCTCCACGTCGAATGGCGGCAGCAGTGGCTCCTCTTTCTTCTCGTCAAACTTGGCCCATGCGGCCCTGTCGGAGGATACGACGACGATACGCCCAGGGACGTACATTGTGTCAGTGCCAAGGGCCCTGGACTTTTGGAAGATTTCAAGGATGAGGAACACGAGGAGTGCGGTGGAGAGGTAGTTTGTCTGTATGTCCTCCTCGTGGCCCGTGGTGGGGTTCAGGGCGAAGGAGCCGCGGTTGACACCGGCGTTTAGTAACTATGGCCATGTCGATCCGGGGGCTCAGGTCCGCCGCCTTTCGTGCAAAGGCGGTGACGGACTCGTAGGATGCGAGGTCCAGCTTCCAGACATCGATGGTCTGGCCGGGCTAGAGCGCCTTTGTGGTCGTCGAGGTGTTGCGCGCAGCTTCGCCTTTGGCCTCGTCACGGACGCCCATTATCAGCTTCTTCAGACCGAGGTCAAGGAGCTGAACACTCCATGCCAATGCCACCGTTTGCACCCGTCACGATGGCTGTTTTGTCGCTGAGGTCGAAATCGCTTCGCAGGAGTGCCGGTGGACCTCCAGAGAACTGCCGGCGGAGGAACTGGAGCTTGCTGGCGTCCTTCTCGGGCGTGATGTCGAACGATATCGTCTCGCACTGGGCCATTCTTCCTTGTTTGAAATATCCGTGGCTGTCATGCACAGGAGATTGGTTTGAGTGACTAGGACGTAGCAGAGGTACCCCCAGTAGTCCTGTAAAATCGGACTTTGACATTGACTCCTGTTACTGCGACCGGTGAAAACAAGGTTATAGAGGCTCACAAGTTCAAAGGTCGGTCGCCCCTTATCCTCAAACGGCTGCCTACGCATCCCGGGACCAACACCTGGCTGTTAGTGATACAACTGGGCACACTGCAGCATACTCTCGCAAGAGGATTGGACCGTCCTGTGCCAAGGCAATCAACTTTCGGTGTCAAACTGACTGGGGTCGTAGCACAGAAGTTCCCAACGTTTGCTGCATGCCATGCAGATCTCTTCTGGGCCATTCGAGGTCCACGGTGCCGGCGCGAAGTTTGGTGTCGTAATATCGGCAACGCGTGGACTACATAAAATCGCTGACAGCAGCTATGATAGCCATGTCACGAGTATTGATATGATATTTCCTGCCAACAAGAGCGTCGAATACTCCGATGCAGTCGTAGATTCCTTCAATGGCTCTTTGCCCGTGAACGTGACCGGTGAGACTCTCGTCATGTATCTCGTTCATCTAGAGATCTTCATGCTATTCTATGTTGTTTGGGCCACATTTACATACTAGATTTACCAATTGTCGGGGTTTTGATGATTACATGATTTGATTGGTGTTTCTCATCCACGCTACAATTTATTGACGTGGCTCTCCAACGCGGCCATCTTCAGTGTGCAGGAAATAGGGGACTAAGCCCCCTGGCAAGTCCAACCTTCAATATAGCTCACTTGAGCTCCTCACTGGTGCCCATTCCGTACCTCACCGACTCGCGCTTGTTCATGCGGGCGACCCAGTCGGCCACGACCGGATACTGACCCAAGTCCAAGCCGTTTTCCGCGGAAACCACCATGGGCAGGATGAGCTGCCACGAGACCCACGCCAGGTCGGCGTACGAGAGCTTATTCCCAACCAGCCATGGCCCGCCCGAGGCCTCAGTAGCCTCCTCGCCGAATGTCTCCCGCTGCTTCGTCAGATGGCCCTCCAGGACGCCGGTCACGCGGTGCGCCTCCTTCACGTAGCGTTCCACGGCGCTGGGCAGTTTCTCGTGGTGGAACTTGTTGAACCAGGCCGCCTGGCCGTAGTACGGGCCCTGCCCGGAGGTCTGGAAGAACAGCCACTGCTGCGCATGGTACCACTCGGTCGTCCCGAGAGCGAAGCTGAGCTTGCGGTCCGGGTCGTACTTGTCGATGAGGTACAGCAGGATGGCGCCCGACTCCCACAGCGTGATGCCCGTGTTGGGATCTTGGATCGCGGGAATCCGCCCGTTCGGGTTGATCGAGACATAGTCGGGCTTTTTGACGTCGCTGAAAGGGATTGGTATGATCTCATGGGGGATGCCGAGTTCTTTGAGGACTATCGCGACTTTGGGCGGGTTGGGGCCGCCTTTTCCCCAGACCTTGATGGGCTCAAGCTGCGTGGAAGTCGACATTGTTGGATGCTGGTGGTGTTGGATGAGGAATTACTGGGAGCGTTGTGAACGAAAAACTACACACTGTTTGCCCGGTCCGGGACACAATCCTTTAAATACTCCATTACAACTGGTGTCTTGGTGTCTTTCTCTACTGACTGTGTTGCGACGTGATACTATGGCTTACAGCATCCTGAGATGCATTCCACTAGGCACTACTACTAGCATTGGTCAGCATTATTCAGCCGGACCGCGAATCCCACCCATCAGTTGAACTCCGTGCACGGGACGGGACATCTTGATGGGAATATTTGTTACGGATGAGGTGCTAGGTCTGCGATTACAGCTGAATCCTGCCGAGTCCTCAAAGAGTGGGTACGGTCAACTGTAAGTATTCATCCGGACCTTGGGAGCGCAGACACCGACGTAAATAGTAATGCTTACAAGGAGGTTATTGGTGCTCGCGTAACTTCTGTCTTTTCTCTTTTTCCCAGACATCGCCTAGTCTCTCCTTCTCCTCCCCCGGCAGGATCGCGTCTTTTGTTAGTAAAGAAAATTGCATGTGTGAAAGACATCTTTGGTACCACAAGGAGTGCTGGAAAGGCAAGAGCTCGAACCACGTATTTAGAATCTCTACTACATGATTGATTCATCACAAACTCAAGCCGATAGCCAATACCTTTACCCGGGATGTCTGCCTGTTCGCTCGCTCATCAAAACACGTGATTATGTAGGAGCAACCACAAACGATAAGAATAACATGATTGTCCCGACTAAACAACTCTTTCAACTGTCCCATCGCCCATGCAGGACGGGACAGGAAGATCCCCACCCCCCAAGGATGAAACCTGTTGGGAATGGTGGCAGCCCAGAAGAGTCTAAACGATTGCCCAAGTCTGGGGAGAGCGACACTGAGACAAACGCCTCGGACGCCACCGAACCCAGCAAATCCGGAGACAGTGACGCTGAGAGCACCATGACAATATGTGAAACCGCCCCATTGTCTTCCGCACAAATGTGCCAGCACTGCCGCCAACGCTGGACCTACCATCATCTCCCTTTGGCTCGCCAGCAACGAGCGTGGAGGAGGTTGTCGTGATCGCCCTTTTTCTGCACTTTCGTCGTCTAGGAGGGCTGGAGGGTCATACTCCAGGATAACACAGGAAACTGTTCCATATCAAGGGTTGAATAGATGAGACACTGCTCTGTGGATATAGATGAGTTGTACTTGCAATCATTGGGGCACGCCAACACCATTCTTCGTCTCGGCCACCTCACTCCTGCACACGTGGGTTGTGGGTACCTGGGTGACATCAGCAGGCTCAACCACTCTTTTCATTTGACACTCAGCTTAGCTTCGGGCTTCATCGGGGACCACTCTCTCGACAGTGTCTCAGGCGGCATGGCCAGTGAAGGTCGCTGCACATACATAGAAGCTCGATCCTCTCTGAAGGTCTCATTGAAGATTGAGAGCCACATGGATATTCGTGGAAGGATTACACGAATAACGGAGATATATCTCCTGAAGGGTTAAACAGATCGATTCAAGGGCCACAGCGGAGCTCTTTGGTCAGGTAGTGCTCTCGAAGGTAGCACCTGGAACCGTTTTTTCGCGCAGTGGAACGGACCACCTGCGACGTCCAATGGCTTTGAAAGACAAGATTCGTCACTCAAACCGTCTTCGCCTGGCTGGCTTCTCATCACCGTCCTTCTGAACCGGTTGCAATAAATACTTGGGCATCAAAATATATATTTCTTCCCCACATGTCTGCGTAACATTGCTATCTAAACTACATCGACAGAGGAAAATTTAGGGCATGTCAAGCCGAGGCCGTACATCTTCCTACCGCCGGGAGGCACCGCGACGTTGACCCTCAGCAGGGATGGGGATCTCGTGAGGAGCTGGCTGACCAGGCCAAAAGTCCAGCGGTCGGCGCGGCGCCGATCAAGTAGACATTTTGGGCGACAAAGATTGTGGCTGACTTGAAGAATGGCGGTTCCAGGCTGTTTCACTCGAGAAAAATCAGCTGATCTGTGCCCTACTGCCAGCGCGGGGAAGGAAAAAAGCAAAAGCTTGCAGACGGGTGAGTGCTGAAACACAGGTATGCACATGTCTGTTAGCCTGGTTTGGGGCGGCGATCCTGAGCTTTTAATGGCAACCCGAAGTTCAGCTCCGGTCGCTGTAGATGTGGGTGTGTTCTGTGAGAGCAGTGCTACGGTCACGTTCGAATAGCCCGGGTGGCTATGAGGTGGCTGGACACGCAAGTCCAAGATGGTGTGTAAGCAGTGGCAAAGTGTGGAGTTGTGATAGAGGCAAATGGCCTCGAAACGTTGAGGCTGGAATTCCTTTGGATTATCCTGAGTCACAGACTTGAACAGCGTTTATTATTAAGTGGCTGTAGAATGACAGCGCGGCCCCCTCCGCAGGTGTGGTACCGTGCTGCGGAGCAGACGCCGGAACAGCCTCACTCGACGGGATCTTCAATATGCACGAGCCTGCAGTATCCGCGCGGGATTTGAGAGGCCCAGCCTTAAGCGACGGATTGTCCGTGGGGTCGGCGGCGATCTTTTCCCAAGAACAATATTCTTGCGGCCTGAGACCAAAGGGCCGGCGGGGAAGGATGCGGCCATTGACAGATCGAGCAGCATCGTGTTAGATGCGTGGATGGGCGCCCTTGACCGCGGAGCAGATTACTTGAGATGAATCTGCTTCGGGTCTGTTGTGGGTGGCCCACTACAACAGGCAGACTTGAGATATGCGTGGGGTTCTGCCGGGTGCGACCGACGATCTAGGAAGATGGTGGTTACACAGCATCTAGCTAATCAGCGGGTGCGAGTTGAGCTCTGGTTTATGCACATTCCGGACGTATCCCTGAGGTTGTGAGACGAAAACTCCGGGCAGTGTCGTTGACACCTCGGTGTGATGTCGCGGCAATTTGACAGAGTGTTCATCCCATCAAGGGGACTACGTGCGTGCGGTTGAGTTTAGAATGCTGGAGTCCACGGGAAAGTCTATTATTCAGGCCACGTGGAATACGACAGCCTTGTAGACGCAAATATTTGAGCCCGCCACAGACTCCCGGGAATGAGAAGGAGGTAACGCGCTGCTTGCTTTCCTGTCTCCAGGGTGCCCCAGGGAGTATTGGGCACACTGCGTCAAGCCTTCCTGCAGGATGTAGCCGAGGCCCTTCATCAAGCCACTGCTTTTATCTTGACCGACGTGGAGCACGTAGCGCTCGAGACGTCACATGGCAGTTTGTGCTTCCCACCACCTACTCGATGGATTTCCGCACCCGGCATCTCCCAGAGACAGACAGCGGAGGCTAGGAGCAACCACCAGACGCCTCTCTGCATCCCTTCTGCCAGCATGAGACGATAATGACGTGCGTGAAGTCCGCCCTGCTGCTTAGTTGCTGCAGGAATGACACAGCTTGGGGCACCTTGTGGCCAGCAACGTTGTGGCTAAGTCTTACGGCGTCCATCAGAACAAGTGCCACCCTTTGGCGCTCATTGTGCCTCGTGGGTTTCGAAACTCTGCGTCGTCGCCATCCAGTATCGTCGACTGCCGTTGACACATCACCAATGAGCCTTCTCTGCCGTGCCGACGTGGTCCAGAAGCCAATTCAAAATAACTCAGGATAGCCTTAGTAGCCACAGCATACGGGATGTTCTGTCCATCAAGAACCTATGACAGTTCTTTTCGAGAGAGCTTCGGTTGAGTCCGATATCGTAGTGGCCACTCGATCGCAAAGTCGAGACTTCTTGTTCCTACGCACGGCGGGCAAAGGAGGCAAGGGGCTGCTTTTGATGGATCTTCGATTGGGCAGAAGTGCAGAAGGACAGATCCATGGCCGAGATCATCCCTCGACGACAATGCTGCCTACGCCTAAGCCTAGACGCACTTAGGGATCTGCGATGGCGACGTAATATGTTACACATGTCCATGGAAGATAGCAGTTGGGTATCTCGCGAGGTGCAAACATCGATGCCATCCTCGATGCCACCCTCGATATATAAGATCAGCCTTGATATTCCCTGGTGTTGTGCTCAGACTCGTCCGCCTATCACTCCTGATCAGACAGTCACGTCTGGAAGACTCGAACGAATCTTGGCTTTCACAAATCACTACCACCGAAATGGCATCTCAAGACAACCAGCTACGGCCAGCCGTCACCAAGAAGCAGGTATCCTATACCACACCAGCTTCCGGTACTCCTGCTCACCATGACTTCGGGCCCGAACACAATTCCTCCTCGATCAATCGGGGATCCTACGAGAAGCCCGCTTCCAGAGGGTCTGACAAGCCATTCACAGAAGACCTAGAGGCTGGAAACCAGAGGACGCAACCTGTTCGGCCCACCCTTTTCAACAGAACCTTCACCCAGCAATTCCGAGCCGCAGAGATCGGCGAGGGCGAAGTGGACTTCGCTACCCTCTCTCAGAAAGAGAAGCGGAAGGTTGTCAAGACTGGGATGCTCTCGTACATTGTGGACGCGAGCATCAAGAATCGTAAGCAATACTATCCACTGCGTCTTGACTCACACTAACACGCCATCTAACAACAGACATCGTCGCCGCCCTGGGCGAGTTTGTTGGCACAACAATGTTCCTCTTCTTTGCGTTCACTGGTACTGCTGTCGCGACTATCGCTCCAGGGGATGGCTCCTCAGGATTCAACATCTCCGTTCAAACATACATTGCCCTCTGCTTTGGCTTCTCTCTGATGGTCAATGTGTGGGTCTTCTACAGGATTTCGGGTGGCCTCTTCAACCCAGCTGTGAGCATCTATTCTACCCCTCGATCACTCAGTCTCTGCATCAGAGTATTCTTTTTCATTGGCATCGGCTGATACCTAGCCCAAAACTGGGCATAACAGGTCACCCTGGCCCTTGTCCTGATCCGCGCCATCACACCCATCCGTGGGGTCTTCGTCTTCATCGCGCAGCTTCTCGGCGGCATCGCAGCTGCAGGCCTGGCAGAATGCATGTTCCCGACCAATCTCAGCGTCAGCACCACCCTAAGCGAGGGCGTGTCCCTTGTTCAGGGCGTGTTCATCGAGGCTATTCTGACGTTCGAGCTGGTCTTCACCATATTCATGCTTGCTGCCGAGAAGCACCGCGCCACCTTCGTCGCCCCCGTGGGCATCGGTCTCGCCCTGTTCATCGCTGAGATGAGCGGCGTCTATTACACTGGTGGAAGTCTGAACCCGGCCCGGAGCCTGGGGCCTTGTGTTGTCGCTGCCGAATTCCCCAGCGAGCACTGGATCTACTGGGTCGGTCCGGCCATCGGCTCTTTGGTTGCGTTTGGGCTCTACAAGGCTATTAAGCTTTTGCGGTACGAGATGGCGAACCCGGGACAGGATTCACATGAGTAAAAAAGCTGCGGAGATCAGCGTCTGCATACAGCCGAGGTCGGAATGGAAGTTGAAAAGCTGTGAAGAAGATCGAGGTGGCGCGTTCGAGCCAAAATTGGGGCTGATGGTCACTCACGAAATCACGTTTACTTATGTGTCATTTATCTGTAGCCTGAATAGTAGTCAAGGAGACAAGTAAGGTCAAGCGGTGGGTGTCCCATAGTTGTCATAATTACATTCATTGAAGCCATGCAAGTAAAGGAAAGCCGCCTCAGACCTATTCTATCAATCCATTGCATATATAGGTACAGGCGGTAATCTGTCTAACGGATTGTTTGTGTGACATGAGCAAGACATGCTGGCTCCGCCTCGGCAAGGCACACAGCAGCAAAATGCGCCTTACGTCCAGTTTTGTGCCCCTCTTCTGAAGCCGCACCAAGACACCCTTTGACCAGCTCCCACCTCAATCTCAACACGCAATGGGCAGAACTCGCAGGCTCTGGCATCTCCTTCGGGGTAGCCATGATGGAAAGGTTCAAGTAGCTGGTGATGCGACTGGTGACTCGGGTGGCTGCACTCCCCAGTCACCTGCCGTCACGACAACAGCAGCGGGGCCTGATCTGGCTACTGGGCGAGACGACAAAGACACCGCCAAGGAAATATGGCTCGATGCGTACAAGAAACTTGAGGAAGATGAGAAAACGAAGAAGATGGTTATGGCCTACGAAACAGTTCTCAGCAACCAGCTAGATGATGAGTTCTTATCACTTCCTTCACCCGGCCCACGATGGTGACTGGTTACTAAGAAGAAACCATGAAACTAGGCTCCACAGTGCAGCTTAGTGGGGGCACCAACAGTTGTTTCTCTAGCAGCCGAACCCCCGAGGACGAGATATCCGGTATGCGAAGAGTGATAGAAGTGACACTGGAGAAGGCTTCACGGCACAGTGAGAGGAAGCAGGGTTTCGTGAAAGCCGCAAAGGTCATGAACACCATCAGTTCATCAGTCATCAAGCCGATGCTCCAGATTGAGGCAGTTGCCTCTCTGGCAGTGAGTACACTCTGACTGCTTAACGCTGGGACCCCTGCTGAGTCTTAAATTCTAGTTGGCGGGTATATGCGTTGCTCTGGAAGTTTGTCTGAACTTCATCCCTTTGGCCGTGGCACAGCTTCTGACACACTCTCCCAGTTTTCCATCCGAGCTGCTACAGCCGACATCGACATGGTCGACGGTCTTTGTCATGTAGCAAAACGCATGGAGTGGTATATGCTGTTGCATACATTGCTCCTTGAGAGGGCGCAACCAACCACCTCTGTACACGACAATCAACATGCCAAGCTTCGCGATCACCTCAGAAAGAGCATTCAGGAGCTCTATACCAGCCTTCTCCTGTACGAGATCCAGTGCGTCTGTTATTGCTACCGTGACAGTCACATCACCAGGACGTTGCGGGCATTGGTAACACTGGATGATTGGAAGGGTAAGCTGACTCATTGAGCGCACTCAAAGCTGCACTTTTTCTGATTCTATTGGAATAGCAGAATTGAATGACATCAAGGAGCTGGAATCTCGCGTGCAAATGGATATGTCACAACTTGAACAAAGTCAGACAAAGGATCACCTCATAAAAGTTGCTGAGGGCGCTGATGAGAAATTCAACGGTATCCATCGCATGCTGCAATGCCTCCTCACATCTCATGAGCAGAGTTTCAGCATGGAAGAGACAATACGTCTTAAGAAACTTGTCGGCTTATCCAACACTTCAGACTACAACAGACAGATGAGATTCAAACCCATTCGCACACCAGGAACCTGTGAATGGTTCTGCAACCACGGTGCTTTCAAGAAGTGGCTTGCTTCAGATCGTGTGGACTTCTCGTGGTATCCGCGGCCCCTGGGTGTGGCAAGTCGACTCTAGCTCGTCACTTGATCGAGGAGGTACTCCCCAGAGAAAGCTTCGAATGTAAGGTGAGTTTTCCAACTCGAAATATTACCGTCTAATCGCCCAATATACTGAACCTACCACTCTAGGTGCTGTATTTCTTCTTCAAGGACACCAATGAGCAGAAGCACCTCAACACAGCCATATGTGCTGTTCTGCATCAGCTACTTCTGGACAATCATGCTCTCGTGGGAGAGCTGCAAGAGGCTATAGTACAATCAGGGGAAAAGATTACAGAGAATTCCTCGAATCTTTGTAACATTTTTTCGGCAGCTTGCCGAGAGTTTTCGGGCGGCATCATTTGCGTGTTTGACGCTCTTGACGAGTGCGACCCCGACGAAAGCCCTGAGCTTATTCGGCGTATCCAAGGCATGCTACCAGTGGGAAGCGACGTAAAGGTCAAATTCCTCATTACCACCCGAGGGTACCCTCGACTTTTGAACCACTTCATAAAATACGAGTCTGGCCTGATCCATCTTGATGGCGATGGAAAGCGAGAGAAAGATGCCACACAGCGGGAGATCAGTCTTGTCCTTAACTACAAGTTGGACCATCTGTTCAAGACTAAGAACCTCGACCACCAGCCTGAAAGGAAGGCTGCCATTGAGCAGGCTCTTCGTTCGAAAGGGTCCGAGCAGAGAACTTATTTGTGGTTAAAAGCTTGTTTTTGACATCATGGAGCGAATTCCCTGCTCGTCAGACACTGACTGGATGAAGTTGATTATCTCGCCACCACGCAATGTGAACGGTGCATACGCAACGCTACTGCAGAACGTTCCCGAGGACGAGAGCTTTTCCGTAAAGATTCTGCTGCATCTCATGGTCGCTGCATTCAGGCCACTGACCCTACGGGAGATGAACACGGCGTTGATCGTGTATGACCGCCCTGGCGCCGATGACGAGAAAAGCCTGGGACTGCAATGAGAAAGCGAGTTCAAAGATTGGATTCTCCAGACATGTGGCTTCTTCGTCACAATCTACGGAAAAGAGTTGGAGTTCATACACCAAACAGCCAAAGAGTTCCTTCACGGTCCCGGGCCAGGTATGTTGTGGCCGGAGGGGCCTGATCAATTGTTCCCAGCGACCGACAAGGCTGCTCACAGGATCATGGCAGAGAGCTCGATAGCCTACCTTTCTTTGAGATGCTTTCGCTCCAGACAGTTCCAGCAACGGGCTCGAACGGATTGTTTGTTCTATGAAGACTATGGATTCCTCAATTGTTCCACCAAAAACTGGATCCGTCATTTCAACGCGTGCCAATCCTTTGATGGCTCGAATATCCAGGACTTGGGCGACGACTTCATCTCTCATTATGTCTCCTTATTCACTCCAAGTGGTCTCGACGCTCCTGGATGGATGTTCTTGTACTTCAACCGGCTTCGAGGATCCTTCCACGTTGATCGCAAAGCAGTGGTCCTGGTCGGAGGCTACAAAGTATTCGATGCGGCTATGTATTTCGATCACGTCCGACTCCTGGTCTATGACCTTGGTCATAACACGTACCCCGATTGGTTTCTATTCTTTTCTGCGGCAGTAAAAAAAGCTACGAATTGTCTTCAGAATCTGGCCGCCACGGGTCATGACGTCGACGCCCAAGACGAGTCTGGTGCCACCGCACTTTGCCTTGCTGCTCGTAACGCACTGACCAAGGCAGTGAATCTTCTTATCGACTACAATGCAGATGTGAACCTGATCGAGGGGCCAGACAAGATGCCGTTGAGTTACCTGGCACTCGTGCCTGGACATATAAAGCTTGTGCAGCGGATTATCTGCCGAGGTGCAGATTTGAACAGTACTGTTATCAAGCCATCCAGCATCGGAGCAGCAACAATCACGCCTCTAGCATGGATTTCACAGATCCATTATGGCAGAAGATTGGGACGTGAGGACTCTATCCGAAGATTGGACGCTTGGCTTGAGAAATTCGATACCTCAGGCTTTAGAGAAGTGGGCAATCTCTTGCAGAACATGGACCTTTTTGCGGCAGATGAATTTCTGGACGCGTACAATGGGAGCCTGGTTAAGTTTTTTCTTGATCGTGGAGCCCATATCGACGGCGTCGACCCCAGCCAATTCTCTGAGGGCCATCGAGGACCCATGACCTCGCTGGAATACGCCTGCCACTATATATCGAAGGTATCGACTGACGAGGTGTTCTGGAACGCCTTATTTCTCTTATACGGTGGTGCAAATAGTAGACTCAACGCTGAGACCGGAAGTTGTGCCCTGGACTGGTTGATTCGCACTCCGCCAGAGTTGGGATCCATGGAGCGATGTCATGGCATTCATCATACTTCTGTGGATTTTGGCTGGAGGCGCTGCAATGCACTAGCCATAATCTTACTGAAGCACAATCCAGCATCGGACTTTATCAATAACCCAATCTCGAGCAACACTTTGCGAACCCGACTGCACTCGTTAACTGCTTCTCATAATGTCAGCTATCGCGGTCTAAAAGTCAAACTACTGCTGGATCACGGAGCTGAAGCCAACTATCAGGACCTGCACGGGAAGACGCCGATGCATTATCTAGTCTCCCACACTTCTGAGAAGTCGGGCTTACGTGCAATCGCATCGATGTTGATCGGTAAAGGCGCCGAGCTGGAGGTGCGAGATTCATTTGGGAGGACACCGGTCCATTACCTCAGATCTCCGTCTCTGCCTAATATGCTGGTCGAAAACGGCGTTGATATCGAGTCCCGCGACCATCAACGGAATACGCCTTTTCAGAATATTCTGATTGATCGATGGCACCAAGCAGCTGTCCTGCTGCTCGGAAGAGGTGCTGCAAGTGGCGCTGAACCTCTACTGGGGCGCAACTTCGATTCCGAACAGCGCGACCGGGAAACTGGTGCAACCTTCATGGCCTATGTATCAGTATGTCATGCCCATGATGTTGTGGGAACTCTATTACGGCGTGGTGCAGACCCTAATGCGCTTCCCAATGTCGGTGCAGCCGACGTAGAGAGGTACCTCGACCGGGTGGACTTCATGCAAATCGAGAACAAGTGGATTTCCAAAACTGAGAGGCTGGAAGGTCGAGCTTGGCAAACTGCGGGCTTTGAGCGACGCCTACGGTATGGATGCGCAGATTATGGCGACGAAAGACCACTCCACCTTGCAATGCATAACCGATAGACACGTGATGCCCAAATCACGGTCGAGGCACTTTTGAAGCACGGTGCTGACATTGAAGCAAGATCGAGCCTAGGGCAGACACCGCTTCAGGTTGCTTGCCACCGTGGCAACGAGGATGGAGCGCGATTCTTGCTGGAAATGGGTGCGCATGTTGATAACACGGCCTGGGACGGTGATACGGCCCTCGATTTTGCATGTGCAGCCTGGCAGCCAAATCCAAGACTCATTCGAGTGCTTCTCACTCATGCCACGGCCTCTGACTCAGAATACCACGATGAGCCTGATCTCGGCAGAATTGCTGGGAGATGGCTAAGTGAGGCAGATGATGCGAGAGACGTGAGACAAGGGAATACGGAAGATGCCGGTACTCGCTGCTGTCGGACAGCTGAATCTGACGTGATCAATCACGATGAGACTGGTCTGGCAAACCTTGTGATATGCCGATGTAAGGAGTGCTGTCGGGAACACGAAAGACGAGTTTGCGTCGCGGCTCAACTCTTGTTGGATGCAGGTGCTTGGATCCAGCTCCGGTACTAAAACAGACATATGGAATTTCCCTTCGAAACCGCTGGGGAAAGAGGATGGACGGATTTGGCCAATCTCCCGGAGCAGGCGACCGTGCCGAGTTGGCGGCGCGCTTGGATACCCCCAAAGACGAGGAGGAGATCATTGCCGGCTGTAATGCTGTCTGAACATTGACCTTGGTGGTATGGATGAGGCGTCAAGCAGCGAAATGGAGGAGTAGTACGATTCATCATCAGACAGCCTAAGAGGATTTCTCAAACTGTGATATACACTCGCTCAACGATCACACAGGGAGCTATTCAGTCCAAGTTGAGAGACACTTTGAAGTGATAGAAGTCTTCAAACCTTTCTCAGAAGGCTTCGCCCTTCGTGTATACCCTCTCCACGACTTCCACGGCGTAATCCACATGATTAGCCAGCGGTTGTCATGCGGGGCATATTTCAACCTGAATCAGTTGACTTTGCTAAAGATCTGTACGAAGTCTGCTGTCGTCAATTTCAGACACCTCGAGTATGGCTCTGTAACTTCACCATGACACCGTACCACGTACCGCTCGATACACAGGTAGTCTTTGTAGTGTTACCTTTGGCCAGTTACAAATGCACTCCCAGGTGTACTGTCATCACATCTGCAAGTGCTGACACAAACGAAGGTCGAAATACGCGTCCATGCAACCGCTTTATGCTTGAGACATCGATGGGAATTTGGCCAGCCTCCGCTGTTAATGTGTTGGTTCTTGAAGCCAAGCACTAACTCATCCATTCCGCCCCGAGCTCTTACGTTTATATCCTCAAAGTCGGTCGTTTCTTTGACAACCGCCCGTCAAATTGTTACCGACAGAGTTACAGAGCGTCAATGCCTCTTGTTCCCATGCGTCTGGGAAATGTCATGCGGCAGGAAGCGGAAGACAACTGGGCTAGATATGAAGTAATGGCTTGTCTTGAGAGGTAGAGAAGATCGCCTCAGGGGTGTCCTGCAGGTGAGGAGTGACACATAGAGTAGAATAGAATAGTCTTATACGGACTATGTCTGAATTGGGTCGCTGCTCTGTGCTTCACTGTCATAGGGAAGTGTATTGGACGATGCGGGTTTATCCAGCCAAATGACAGATGATCTGTACATCTATATACTAGAAAAACGTTTATATCTGTCCGTCTAACCGGTAGCAAATGCCTCAAGAATCAAAATTATAACACATCCGAGACAGAACAAAATAGCCCCTTTAACGCCATACAAAAGCTGCATACACACGTGCCGCACAAATACGCAGAATATCAGACATTAAGGCGCGGTCTGCTTGTCTTTCTCCCCCTCCTCGGCGCTCTCGTGGTTGATGAAAAGGAACGAGACCAGCACGATGCCCGCGCCGACCCAGTAGATCCAGCTCGAGTACTGGGAATACTGGATCATCTCGCCGATGAGCGAGAGCGGGATGGTCAGTGACAGCCCGACGGTGACGACCAGGGGCGAGGTGAGAAGCATGGCGAAAGCCCAGGATATGTCGCTGACGAAGGAGGAGAGGGAATTGAGCTGTGACGCAGGTTAGCACCTTCAATCTACCTACGGTTTCTAAGTCGGAGCTGTCACAGGGGAGACTCACAATGATAATGGCCCACACCTTCCCCGTTGGTGGCCACCCAAATGGCTCGATACCGGTCCAGTGTAGGAGGAAGAAGCCAGGCCACAGGAAGATCAAGTTCAATAGGCCAACAAGGCCAAAGAACAGCGGCATGTTGACGCGGTCCTCGTCGCCGACCCTCCTCTTCATGACGGTGACGTACAGCCCGTAGACAATGGCGCTGAAGAAGGCCATGCCGTCGCCGACGGCGATGCTGGCCTGGCTCTTGTGCGGGAAGCTGCCGCGGTCCTCGTCGCTCTTGCCGGACAGGTCGACGCTCGAGATGAGCACGACCCCCGCGAGCGAGGCCAGCACGCCGGCCAGCTTGCGGGCGCTGAAGGACTCGACGCGCATGGCGGCGCAGAAGATGAGCGTCCACACCGACGACGTCGACGTCAGGATCGTCACGGACCCGACCGAGGTGTACTCGAGGCACGCCGAGGCGAAGTAGTTGGCACAGAACCAGAGCATGCAGAACTCGAGGCTCAGGAGGCCCGTCTCGCGGAGGGTGAGCTTGTCGGCGGCGGGCTTCTCGAGGCCCGGCGCGTCCTGGATCTGCATCGCGCTGGTGGCGCTGTCGCCCGTGCTGCTGCGCGCCTCTGCGTCCCGGTCGTCATCTTCGTCGTCGTCGTCGTCTTCTCCCCGGCCGCTGAGCAAGCCGTGCTCCTCGTCGTCGGATGTCTTAAGCACCGTAGGCTGTCCGAGGAGCGAATTTCCCCTTGCCCTCTTGTTCCCGCCGCCCTGCTTGTATTCCCGGCCCTTCTCATTCACCCACAGCTCCACCAGCTCAGCCCTCACACCCTGCATGCCATGGCGCATGTAGTACCGCACAAACAGCGGTATCAGGCTGATGGCGAAGATGGAGGTATTTATATACACGACAAAGAACGGCTTGTCGTAGGTGTGGTCCGAGAAGATGTAGCTGGCCAGAAAGTTGGACGCGGTCCACAGGAACACGGTGACGAGGAGCAAGGTTATGCCGAGGGTGCGGCGGGCGACACCTCCCAGGCCCAGGCTCGCCAGGAGCCCTCCTGCTCCTTTTCGAGGTCCTCCTGCACCTGATGCACGCAGCGATGCGACGGAGGCGCTGAGCGGGCCCGAGGAGAGGGATCGGCGGCGCATTTCTTCTGGCTCGGGGCACAGTTCGGCGGATGCGGCTAGGGGTTCGAGGGGGGCCATGGCTGTTTACTTAGTCGAGGGACGCCAGGCACGAAGAAGGGCTGGTCTTTTTGCCCGAGAGTGGCTTTGAGGTCGGGTGTTCGGCCGGTGCAGAGAGAGGTGCTCATCCCATTGTCTGTCCGTGTCCAGATCGTTTAGGTCCAAGCCGCAAGTAGGGGATGGAGGTCGAGCAGTGTTGGATCAGCACTTCCTGCGTGTCTCGTGCAAGAACGGCAAAATGTTGGAGAAAATCTATAAGTCACAAGTAACGAATGTGCGACTGAAGATGACAAGCAAGTAGGGACTAGCCAAAAGAGAGAGCGTTTGGTTTGGCGAAACAGTCAAGGTCAGTCAGGTCAGTCGGTGACGGCACGCGACTGACAAAGTGCCGGGGCATACCATGTGTCCGGCTACCTGTCTCTGTGTCTGTTCACGGCGGCTGCCGCTTGTGCCTTATCGATTGTCCTCTAGGGTGTGGGGGTCCCCTGTCTCAGCCCCTGGACCGGTGCATGGCTGCTGGAGAATGGAGAGAGGGTGAGACTCTTTGGGGGGGACACTTATGGTAGCTGTGCCTGGCTAGGTGCGTGCTCTACGTAATGCTGTGTCAAGACCATGTGTCGTCATGCCACCCAGAAGCAACTTGATTATTCCGCCTCCGTCAGAGTGGTAGCGAGCCTATTGTCTTCAAAAAAAAAAAAAACCAAAAACCTGGGTAACGGTATGTAGATGTATTTGCCAGCGTATAACTCCATAATGAACAAACGCACACGTATGCTCCATTTCCCCAGCATCCTATAGAAAATATTCAATACTGGCCCCCAATTCATTCATCATTCCACCAGTCCATCCCATCTCGTTCCATCCAGGCGGGCCACAACGTGCAGCACCTCCTGTCTCATGTCTCATCTAGTGATGTGTGTGATGTGATATGTGATGTGTGCAAGTCCCGCAACCTCTTAATTCGATGCCTTCTCCACGCTGGTCACATGAGAGACTCCACGATGAATGCAAGCTTGGGGACAATACCCAGTCTTCTACAACAGTCGACACAATGCGGTTCCGTAGTCCCCACGGCTGCCTCTCCGTCCGGTGTGTATTGCACGGCAGGCCGTCTCCCTCCTTGTCGACCAACACCACAGACCCATCAGCCCACACGTCAACCAATTTACTAACCAACTCAAAAATCAACACGAGCAGCCGTCCCTATCGTTCTCGAGGTGGATGTTGATGGGGTCCTGGCTAAAGTCCCCGCTGAACTCCTCACTCTCCTCCTGCTGCAGCGCGTTGCGAGCAATGACCTCGAAAGCCTGCTCCACGTTGATGGCCTCCTTGGCCGAGGTCTCGAAGTAGGGGATGCCGCCCTTGGACTGGCAGAAGGTCATGGCACGCTTGGTCGAGATGACGCGCTTGCTCTCCTCGACGTCGATCTTGTTGCCCAGCACGACAAAAGGGAACGAATCCGGATCGCGGGGTGAGGCCTGGATCAGGAACTCGTCGCGCCACGAGTCGAGGGCGTCGAAGGATTTGGAGTTGTTCACGTCGAAGACGAGCACGCAGCAGTCGGCGCCGCGGTAGAAAGCCACGCCCAGCGACTGGAAGCGTTCCTGGCCAGCTGTGTCCCAGAGCTGTACAAATGCCCACCGTTAATATCTTCCAACCTTTGTCCGTGCACGTATATTGGGAGCCAGGGCGGCGGTATTCGACGCACCTGCATAGTCACTTGTCGGTCATCGACGAGCACTTCCCGCGTAAGGAAATCGGCTCCGATCGTTGCCTTGTAGCTTGCACTGAACTTCTTGTTGACCTGTTGGGGATCACCTCGTCAGTGTCGTTGTCACACCGGCGCTACGGCCTGGGATCGTGCAGGCGGTCGAGCTGCAGTGCACGTGTGCAGATAGAAAGGTCGTACATATTGGTTCATCAGACTCGTCTTGCCGACACCGCTATCCCCGAGGATGATAACCTGATGGAGGAAGTTTGTTAGAAACGGCAAATCTTGAAAATCGGGGTTCTGTTGCTGGCCACCGTACCTTCAAAAGGACCTTCTTTCTGGAGCTCATGGTGGGCGGCTGGGCTTGTTGTTGGGGAGGAAGGAGGAAGAAGAGAGGAAGGCAATGGATGACGCTCGACACGCACTTAAGCGCGCACTGATCGAAGCGACTGTGCTGTGGACCTTCGAGTTGGAGTCAGAGAGAACAGTAGGACAGGTCGAAGGTAAAGAGTGAGTCAACAAGACCAGATGTTGGGGAGGTGTATGTTTCGGTTGAACAGACAACAGAAAAGAAAAGAGAAGCACCGTGTCGAGATGGAGGATGGGAATTCGGTAGTCTAATGCAAGCAAAGCAAGCGAGCAAGTGGGTGGATGGCGACAGACTGACAGCGTAACAGCGTACCCGTAATGCAGATAGCCTAGGCGATAGACGATAGGCGAGGAAAGTGGAGGCGCCCGATAGCAGCAACAGCAGGAGCAAAGAGCAAGGAGCCAGGGGAGCAGGAGGAACAGGAGCTGGGCAGGAGGCAGGAACAGAGAGCACGTGCGTGCCTGCCGTGTCCTTGTTCTCATGCGTCTCTTGACCGCTGCAGCCAAACACAGTGACATCCGATCGTCATTGCTGCAGGGGCCCAGAGCTGATCTCATCCCATCTCTCCTCCTCCTCCTACCTCCAAACCCAAATCCAACCACAACCTCTGAGCACCTCGATCCACGCATCACCACCAGTCACCCTCATCACCAGAGCCAGAACCAATACCAACCAATGCGTCCACCTCACCGGTAGCACCTCCAGCCGGCGGATCCATTATGATCGTTGGCTGTCAGTACAATTGAGAGGAAGGAAGGCAGATGGCCGACGACCTTGTCCTCGCAAAGGTGCACGCCCTGAGCGATGTCGAGCTGGCCTGCCTGCTGTCGCTCATCAGTAACGAGCACTGCATCGTCAGCACCCCAGCTGACTGCCTCCACGACCTCGTCACCGAGCTGCAGCTGATCACCGACCGCACCTTTGGGCTCAAGTCTGCCGTTGTCGACTGCACCCCGAACACCACCCTCGACGACTTTGCCAGCTCCCTGCTGCTCCAGCCTCACGCTTCAAGTCCCACCACCACGCGCTCGCTCTCGCACTACCTGTCACGAACTCCCCACGACAGCTACTTTCCCGCCGGTCATGTCTCCTTCGCCAATTCCTCTGGCCGGCTTGGTCAGCCAGCCATTGCGCCCCTGACGCCCCAGACACCAGGGCCTTCGCACAGCCAGATAGCCAACATCATCTTGGCCAAGAATCTTGACAAGGCTCCCAAGGCCGTGCAGATCCAAGCCCTCGAGCTTCTGCGGACAAAACGCATCTTCACGAGGACATCTGTACAGACGGCACCAAAGATCTTCATGCTGGTGGCCGTCTTGGGCGCAGACAGTGGCGGAGAGGCGAGGGTCACACAGCACCTGAACGATTTCTTCTACGTGGCGCATTGGGTCGACCCGGATGAGGAAGGGTTCGCCCACTTAGACGGGGACGACGCGTCCTCCATATCATACACCGACGACGGAAGGGGTGACGACCAGGCCAGTATCGCTAGCACGGCCAGCGTGGTCAAGCGACGCAGCCGTGGCAGCACCAACGACATCCTGTTACGCAACAGCCCGAAGCCCCTCGCAATGCCACCAAGCACCACAGCGGCCACCGCCAACAACAAGCCTCCCGCCTTCCCCGCCGCCGACATCTCCCACATCCGCCAGCTCTCTCTCCGCACCGCCATCGACATCGACGTGCTCCGCTACCAGATGAATATCATCTCTTTCCTGCGAATGCACCGTGCAGTCGCGGGAGGGATTACTCCGCAGGCGACACGGCACCTTGACCAGCTGATCCGCACCCTCGCGCCCCTTCATGGGCTCGAGTTCGGTACCCCGGCCCTGGTGGGTGTTGCCGCCCGCAAGGTATACCTGCACCGTATCAAGATGGTCGAGCCCGCCAAGGAGAGGAGCATGCAGTGGGGCAGCGAGCTGGGCGCCATCGAGAGGTTGCTCGAGGGTTGGGGACCGGAGGACGTAGTGGAGGAGGTTCTGGCGGTTGTCACTGCGCCTGTTTGAGGCCGAAAATGTACATAGACTGCTTGCTTGGTTGGCTAACTGGTGGCGGACCTGCTGGCCGACCTGTGTTTTGGTTGTGAGCTTGCGTAGAGTGTTTACGAGATACCCATATATGCTGCTGCTTATTCGAAAGAAAGAAGAACTGGGAATGATCATTCCCACACTCGAGGCCCTCTATCTGACCGTCTACCCGTTCCGCTACAGTGCATATGCGCCCGGGATTTGTCCAAACTGCACTCTACGCTTCTCGAGAAAAAAAAGAAGGCTTTTTGGATCTCATTTCGTTTTCATTCCCTTCCCCGTTCATGAACGGACGTTTGAGCCTTCTCGATTCGGTACATCAAAGTGTACATAGACTATGTACAGGCTCCTCGCCCTCCCTACTCGCCGATGCGCCCCGTGAAGCCGATCCTGTGCCCTGGAATCCTAGGCCTCATCATGACGCCGATGTACCGCCCCAATGGGACCGACAGCGCCGGCCGCCCCATTTTGATATGGTCATGTCGTAGAATTTGTGGTATGTGGCTGTCTAATAGAGAGAACAACAACGAATAAAGCCGCTGGTAACACATACATTGCCTCTTTCTATAATTCTGATCTCCCCTCCTAGTGGATCTCAGTGACCCTGCACTGCCAGCCCGAGTTTTGGGACAGCAGCGGGAGACTGCGGTCAAGAAGTTAGCATTAACTGTCCCGGTAGTCACGTGGAGAAGGGGTGAAAACTGACCTAGCCCAAACACCAACCCAGCTCATTATCATTAATCTTCTTCGCGATCCTCACCTCGCGGTCGATGGGCATCTCGTAGCCGGCGTGCGCAAGCGCCACCATGAAGCTCAGGTCGAGGCAGTGCTCCGGGCGGTCCTCGAGCTCCTCGAGGGCGCCGCCGACGCTGGCGAACACGTCCCAGCCGCCGTCGCGCGCGCCGCCGCACACGCGCGCCGCGAGGTCCTGCATCTCGCGCAGCGTGAAGCTGTCGGGCATGCCGAGCGGCTGGGTGCGGTCGTAGAAGTACGACAGGAAGAAGACGTCCTGCGTGGTGAACGTCTTGGCCAGGGCGGGCTGGTGCACGCCGTTGAAGGAGCAGGGGGCCAGCTTGCACTCGGCCTCCTTCTTGAGGATCTTCTCGGCCAGGCTGCGGCACTGCGCGGGCGCGCCGCCGGACGAGGGGCCGGTGAAGTTGAACTCGCGCGTTGCGCCGAGCGGGTGCGAGTCGCCCAGCTTCACGGTGACCACCTTGGAGGTGCCCGACGCGAGGCACGGGTTCACGATGGGCTTCGACGCCCAGGAATTGTCTGGGCTGCTGCTGTGCGCCTCGTGGATCTGGTTGATGAGCTCCGCGTAGATGGCCTCGCGCGCTCATCAGGCCATAGCCCAGATGCGAATGCTGGTACAAGGTGAAGTGGCGCCCGCCAAAGTCCAGGTCGTACTTGTGGTCGCCTTCGGCCATCTTGCTCGGCAGGCCACCGTCCGTCACGCCCTTGAAGTTGGGCTCGAAGACGATCTGCGTGGAACCACCTCCCAGATCGAACACGGCCGCGGTGGAGCTCTCGTCTGGCCCACCGATGTTGCCGAGCAGGTAGTTGGTCGTGATCCATGCGTAGACGCCTTCGTCCTTCCCATCCATGATGGCAACGCCTTCGTTATCGGCTGACACAACGGGAAAAGGGTACTTGGTCTCGAGATGAGTGCGCACGGTGTCCAGGATCCTCTGCGACTTCTCAGGGCCGAGGAGACGCAGACCGGCGGTGGCCTTGACAGCAACTGGGGAGCAGCCCTTGAGCTTGTCCGGCACGGTTGCCATAGCCTCGTCCATGAGGATGTTCAAACTGTCGGCGGCGGCCTGTGGGTCGTCGGGATATGCGCTGAGGCCGCTGCTCTTTCCCTCAACCTTCTTGGTCATCTTGAAGACCTCGTTCTCGAGGAAGGGCGTGGGACCGCAGTTGTTGAACTTGTAGACGTGGATGCGGGAGCCGGTGCTGCCAGCGTCGATCATGTTGACATATTGCACGATGGGCTTGTCCTTGGAGAAGGACTTTGTGCAGTAGGTTGTGCCATAGCTCGAGTCGGAGGGGGTCTGGCCGCCACCGCCTGAGGACGGCGACCCAGAGCCGCGGTAGACATCGACGCCTGAGGGGGCGAGGTAGTAGAGTCCGACCAGGACGAAGAAGACGAGCGCGCCGGTTTTGAGCCAGCGCGTCTTCTGGGCCTGGGACATCATGTCGTTCTTGAGTTTCTCCAGGGTGCCGACTTGTCGCGGTTGGTAGCGAGCCGGCTTCTCGTGTGGATCGTGGGCGAGGCCTTGTTTGTGTTTGGGCAGAGAGACGGAGGTACGCCGCATGTGGGCGTTGGTCCCGTGTCGGTGAGGTCTGACTGCTGGACGGACAGCGAGCCGGGTCGGGTCGAGCTGGATCGAGTCGAGGTCGCGGATCAACTGTCGATGGCAACTATCGACGACGACGACAACGACGACGAGCGAGTGACTGCTGGGCCGGTTCTGTCTTAGACTAGGTGGTAGGTAGCTAAGGTAATTCGTGGACACGAGCACAAGCCACGGCCTCCATTAAACGCGATAAGCCCTAGGCGAATAGATAGGGGAAGCGAGAGACAAGAAGGGATCACCGCGTGGCGTAGCGTTTGCGTAGCGAGGAGAAAAGGGAGGACAAAGTGTCTGTTCCCGGTGGAATGGCTGGCTCGAGACAATACAGGCTAATCCCACAAGCAGCAACTGACAACGAAGGTGGAAGGGAAGAAGAGGACACTCGACATGGGACAGGTGTCAAATCAAGTCGAGTCGAGTGGACAGAAAAAAGGGGGGAACGATAATTGATGGCGGATGGTTGTTCAATCGCTGATGCAGAATTTCGTGGTCAATTTCCATGTGCCAGGTACAGTAGTAGCCTGCAGTCCAACAAGGCACGGCAGTCTCTCTGGCTGGGCTGGGCTGGCAGAAAGCGTCACTGGTTGGTCCCTGATTCTGTCCCTAGCCCCTGCGGCTGGGTGGAGACGGTGCCCCGACTGCTGGCCTGGGCAGCCTGGCAGGCCTGGCTCTAATCTTGGATCCCTGCAGGGTGAGGCAAGTCTACCTGGGTAAGGAGAGGAAGGCAGGAAGGAACTGGCCAAGTGCAGCTGCAAGGAAAGGAAGGAATAGGTAGCGTGGCGTTTTGCCTGTGTGGCGATTCCAAGCTGTTTTTGCTGTCTGTTACGGAACGGACGCTTCAGCCACACTTCTGGCCGTCCCGTGCCGTCCCATCTGTCGACTTCGCCGAGGTTCGATGATTGGTGATGTACGGCGGGCGGATGATGGATGATGCTCGCCTTTGACGGCCTAAACGCCGCGTCTTCTTGCTGCCTTCAACCTCTTCCCAAGCCACATCAAACGCCCAACTCGACCTGCAATTGCATGAAACATATTCCACTCCATCCAAGGTGAAGAGGCAAGTATTCTTCCTCGTCCATTCTTCTTTTCACCATCTCTTATCCTCTGTCCTCCGCCATCTACTGCGCGCTCCGTTCTCTATCCTTGTCCTCCTACTCTGTCTTCATACCTGTCGCATCTCCATCTGCGCCCCTCTCCTTCTTCAGCCGTTCTTCCTTCTCGCACATCTGAGGCCATGGATGTGCATTTGCTCGTGTACGACCTATCCCAAGGGCTTGCACGGCAGATGTCCATGGGCTTGCTAGGCTTTCAACTTGACGCCATCTATCACACGTCCATCGAGCTTGATGGACGTGAGTACGTCTATGACGGCAACGTCGTAGCCATAACCCCTGGCTCTTCCCATCTCGGCCAACCGATGCAGCGCCTACCCCTGGGCAGGACGGAGTTACCCATGGAAGTCATCGAGCCATATTTGGACTCACTAAGGGAAATCTATACCGTTCAAGTGAGAATTGTGATGACCCAGTCTCGAATATGACGGCCTGTAGCTAACCCCCCCCCCCCCCAAGGCGTACGACCTATGGAAGCACAACTGCAACAACTTCTCAAATGACTTCGCAACATTCCTCCTGGGCAAGGGAATACCGGATCACATCCTCCATATGCCCGATGCTGTCTTGCAATCGCCCATGGGGAGGATGCTCATGCCCGCCCTGAACCAGCAGGTCGAGGCGGGCAGGCAAAGCAGAGAAGGAATCTGGGGTATCCAGAACGGCCACGCAGCGTCAGCGCCTGTCCAACCCCAGTTCCAGCATCAACAGGCCACGGTTCGGACGGTCACCAACTCCCACGAGCTTGAATCATTGCTCGCAAGCTCCCAAAAGTCCTGCGCCGTGGTTTTCTTCACATCTGCAACCTGCGCCCCTTGTAAGATGCTGTATCCCCTGTATGACGAGCTCGCAGCCGAGGTTGGAGACAAGGCAGTGCTTGTCAAGGTGGACATCTCACAAGCATTTGACGTTGGCAGTCGGTACTCGGTCCGAGCCACTCCCACCTTCATCACCTTTCTCCACGGCAAAGAAGAAAACAGGTGGTCTGGAGCCGACCCGGCAGCCCTGCGCGGAAACGTTCAGCTGCTTGTGCAGATGGCGCACCCAACCCATCCCCACGCGTCACTGAGGCTGCCGAGTTTGCAGAATCTCGAAGCCAAGCCTGTTCTGTTCACCAAGATCCCACCATTGCAGAAACTACTCGCAAAAATGGGTGCCGCAGCAGATCAGGAAGCTGTCAAGGCCCTCGCGCATTTTATAGAGGCTCGCAGCAAAGAAGGCCCCGCCAACGACCCGCTTCCCGATATGCAAACCCTCACGGCTTTCCTCCAGGCCTCGACGAGTACCTTGCCACCTGAGCTCATGTTCACAGTCATCGACCTCCTCCGTTGTGGCCTCGTCGACCCTCGCCTGAGCGGTTTCTTCGCCGAAGAGAAAGACCACGCCACAATCCTGTCCCTCCTCTCCTACGTCAACGGCCTGAAGGACTGCCCGTATGCACTAAGGCTCGTCACACTGCAGATGGCCTGCAACCTCTTCACGACTCCTCTCTATCCAGACCAGATCCTCACGCACGAGGGTCTGCGGTCCGCAGTTACCGGCCTGATATCAGCCAGCTTCCTGGACGACAACCACAGCAACGTCCGCGTAGCCGCGGCTTCGCTGCTGTTCAATGTCGCGCTGGCCAACAACCGCAAGCGGCGCACGAGCCAGGGCGACGCGCTCCCCGAGGCCGACCAGGTCGAGCTTGCCGCCTCGCTTCTCGAGGCTATTGCCCAGGAGGGCGAGTCCACCGAGGCTCTGCAGGGGATGCTGCTCGCGTTGGGGTATCTGACGTACCTTGCGCCGCTAGACGGGGAGTTGGTGGACCTGCTGAGGGTCATGGCTGCGGATGACACGGTGAAGGGTAAGGAGGGCACGTTCAAAGACTTGGCGCTGGTTCAGGAAGTGGGTGCCGAACTACTCGGGAAGGGCCTTCGGAAGCCTTAAATGGGGAGAAGTCCTCGAGCGAGGTATTTATTCTACCAGGACCTAGACATGGTAGACATTGTGAATTTTTGCGTGGCGTCCTTCAGTTGGCGGTTTGGAATGGCACGGCTTAGACTTTTAGAGGAGTTGCTTGGCACCGATTTCTAGACTGACATGGCAGAATATGACAAAGAGTGGTCTTTCAAACATTGTATTAGATTACAGTCACACTTACAAAAGCGGAGGGTACACGGGTACATAGCTATAGCAAATTAGAGCATATCGCCCACGGTCTAATCCACACACACCCACACCCAACACCTATAGACCTATTACCACTACACCCAACATCGATACTACACCCAACACCGATACACCTGACACCTACGCACCCAATTTATACAGATAATTTATATCTTACCCAATTAGACCTGCTAATTGGGTAAGGTATTAGTCGTACGAATTAGGCGTGGGTGTTGGGTGAGTGAGTTCACGTGGTTTAGTGCTGGCTATATTTCGTTGTACCCTCCGTTTTTGCAGGTGTCAATCTCTTATTTCTTGTATTAATCATTGTCGATGGCCTCCAGTCCATTCATCTCATGGCTCATCCAGCCAAATCGCATTCCTTCCGAGATTCCGTCCCACCGAGCACGTTGCCCAACCAAATCACGGATTGACTAATCATTGACATCAACTGGCTCACAATATTCACATAAAACACAAGTGCCCCCCCCCCTCCACCTCTTCCTTTTCCTCCCCTTTGTCATTTGTGATGCCCGTCAATTCCCGTCGTCCGAGTTGTGTCCGTGCAGACAGCATGTCCCACAAAAGAGAACTCGAGATTTCTCGAATTCGGAGACCGTGCGGCCGAATACTTCAAATGGCGTGAGACGGCTGTCAGGATCTGCCTGCAGCATTTCAGTAACCCAATCTAGAACGACATCGTCTCCTCGAGGCGCGGCGCCTCGTAGTTTACCCATCCATCCAGGCATGCTATCGATGTTGTCGTGGAAACTGGTGCTCTCGTTTCTGTGGCTGAAATACTTCCGCATATTCGCAACGGACAGGCCTTTCAACACCGTGCACATCTCGAGGAAGACGCATCCGAGAGACCATACATCGGCTGATTGGTTTTTCGGGCCTCCTCTAGCAACCTCTCGTGCAGCATAGATCCATGTCCTGCCCATATCTGCAGTGGTAGTACCTCTGGTGAGTCCCTCCCAGCTGCGTGAGATTCCAAAGTCGGTCAGTAAAGCACGGTGCCCTTTGACCAGGATGTTCTGAGGTTTGACATCCTGGTGGATGACCTTCTGCTGGTGCAAGTAATCCAGAGTCCCAGCAAGGCACCCGAAGAAGCCTCGTAAGAGGGACTCCTCGTCTGTGTTCGTAGATGCCAGCATGTAGAAGTTCTCCAGATCGCAGTCGGCAACAGGTGTCATAATCAACGCAAAGTACTTGGGGTCGGAGTAACTACCAATCTTTCCAGAAATTTATCAGTCACCTGTTCTTGTCAATGTGGAAGGCAAGGTCAAAACTTACAAGCTCGACACAATGTTCATGGTTGATTCTTTTGAGTATTTTCAACTCATTGACAAAGGTCCTGGCCTCTCTCTTGCCAATGTCGGGTTTTCTGAATAGCTTTCGGGCATATTCCCTGTCGCTCACGGTGCTCACCACCTTATCCACAACCCCATGGGCGCCACCTCCAAGGTTTGCGACAACCCTGAATGGCAGCGGCTCGTCTTGGCCGAACTGAGCGTGCTCCTTTCCTGACGCGTGGTTGCCAGGGCCAATCCCCTTTTCGAGACAAAAGAACTTGGAAAGGACAACGTCCTGCGCTCGAAGGAATTCAGACCGACAACGCCGTGTCACGGCTGTGGGTAGTGTGCTGTCAGAAGAAGGGGAACCAAATATCCGTCCTGTCCATCTGCAAAAAGGAGTCGATGAGCTCCTCCGAGTCATGGTCAATCAAGCGCAGGACGGCATAAATCCTTGGGATTCTGCTCCAAGCCTGATGACCCTCGTTTCTCAGATGGCGTGCAATCTCCTCGATTTCAGCGTCCGAGTATCGATGGCCAGTGTTCCAACCAGAATCGGGAAAGAGACGCTCTACTCCCTGCCGCCTAGAGCTGCTCCCAAGAGAAGGTGTGCTTCCCCGTGATGTGATTTTAGGCGCCGCATCCGTTTTGTCACGTTCATCTCTTGAGAAAGCCATGTTGGAAGCTGAACTATTACGAACTGGCAAGCGCCTGCTTTCGCTTTGATATTTCCAAGGTTTGCTGGCTCGGTATTGTTTCAGCCAACCCTCGCTGGAATCAACTGATGCATGCAAAGCAACAACTTCTGTGGTTTCTGATGTTGACAGCAACTCGGTTCGCACGTCCTCGAGTTGAGCAAGCAATTGGTCTATCAGAGCACACCTCTTCGTCTCAGTCTCCCATCCATCAACAAGGTCCTTGATGCAGTTCAGTACGTCGCCATATGTATCGACATCCATGCTTTCTTTCGTCTTGTCCTAGTAGGGTACAGAACGGTTTCAAGAGTTTGAGAAGACATCCCATTGACTGCATCCTGGAAGAATTGAGGTTAAAATCCATGATGTTGGCGAGTTCCAACACGACTGCATCCCGCTCAGCGACGCGGTCTGCCTCTTCGTCATCGTCTCTTTGAAACCTGTCTAACTTGGAAATGATAAGATCCACATCCTGTTCTTTGATGGTCGATCTTCTTCGAAATTGCGCGGCCAATTCCGTTTCTAGATTCTTCGCAGTGAATCGAATGTCGTGGAAGAAGTGTTTGATTTCCACGGCGACTCTCAACTTGGTCTCGGGATCTGAATTTGGTACCAAGCTTTCGACATCCATTTCTCCAATCAAGGTGTTGTCTTTAGCGCTGACCTGCTCGCCTTCATATGTGTATAACAAGGGCTTGATGAGTGGACTGTGGAGCTCTCGGACAAAAAAGGTGCGCTCCCATTTCCCAGCTACGGGTCTGTGACGCTTCGCTATCGGCGTCATGACCCGCTTATCCATGGATGATATGGTATGAGGTTTCATTAATGGCTTCATGATCCCCAACACTTTGCTTCCGAGATTGGTTCTGGGGGCGAATGTCCCGATACCGATACTCGCTGGCAAAGCACCGTATATCGATAGGTTGCTTAGTGTACCACTTTCTGCTATCCCAGTCCTGATAGCAGCAGTTACAGCCAAGCCAGAAGCTTCGCTCAAGTCTGCATTGAATTCTTCCGACAGTGTTGTGCCTCCAAAGAAGTCAGACCACGCTTTTTGTACGCCCGGTATCCGAGAACACTCACCCACGATGGCCACCTCAGAGACATCGGACTTGTCTCTAGTGTTTCCAGCGAACAAGCTGGGTATCTGCTCACATGACTCTCGACATAGCTGTGAACAAACCGAAGTAAACTCGTGGAGCGTTACCATCCAGTCTACAATAATTTGACGGATACGGCTGGCGAATTCATCTCCGCCAAGCCAAGGCGCACTTGCGTATGCCAGTATTCTAATGCTGCAATCCTTGACCACTACCAAGCCGGCGTTGAAAGAGCTGGCGCCGAGGTCGAGGATTACCACAGTCCTCTCTCCAGCTCGAACGTGGACCCCAGGGTCGTCTATTTCGAGTGCGGCATACATGTGAAGCGCGATCGACTCGATACTCGTACAAATGCACAAAATCTCGAGACAAGCCAACCTGGCAGCCATTTGGATACTGTCTCGTTGCTCAGCATTGAAGTACGATGGAACGCTGATGACAGCTTCATGCACTCGCTCCAAGAGGCAGGACTCGGCATTGCTCTTCACCTTGGTGAGAAGCATAGCAAGAAGTTCCACCAAGCGGAACCGTTGGGGCCGCCCCAGGTATTTGACTTCAACTCGGAATTCTTGATCATCCGATCGTTCCATCCGGTATGATAATATTTCGACCCTCATACCCTCCAGCCTCATGTCAGGAGACTTTAGCTTTCCAAGATAAGGCTTGATTCCATAGATGGTGTTTCCGGCATTACATTCAGCTTGACTTCGCCATAGCTGCAGCTAACCAGAGCACATCGCCCAGACCTATTCACACACCCACACACCCAACACCCATAGACCCATGCACCTACTAGTAATTTACACACCCAGTTAGAATACCTTGGCCTCATCTAGATATTTTCTATCAGTGCATTTAATGACCATCTTCCTTGTCAATGGAGGGGCAAATTTGAAACACGCCATCAACAAACAGTTGCAGAATAAACAGACTGCGTCATATAGTAATTCTACTTGTTACTGTTTAGTACATATCTGCGCCTAGAACTGTGGCCTGCCCGGTCGCTGTTTTAGTTCAGGCATCTGATGGCTTGGAATCTGTTTAAGGGTTTTGAATTTCTAGCTTTTCACCTTTAAATTCTTCCTAAGTAGACTCTGAGGGCAGAAAATATGAGAGAAGAGTCTGAAGGCATGAATCAGTAGGGAGATCAATTGAGGCCAATGCCTATTTACTATATAACTGATTCAGTCATGCAGGCGATTTTAGTTTAGGGTTAACAATTAAGTCGGCGCCTTACACAAATTATCATCCCGATGAAGATACCACAATAGCTGCCCCAGAGAACATGGTCACGCGAATAGACTTGAGCCAGTCTGGTGTGGAAACGCCTCGTAAGAGTCTAGTTGGCACAGCCTCACGTTATGGTCAGTCCTTCCACCACCACGTGTCAGCACAACGAGCCGTGCTGCAGACCATCTCCGCAACCACGTTCAGATGAGCTATCACTGATGATTTCTGCACAAGCCTCCTTCCGGTCTAACTGACAGAGTCTTCCGGAGAGATCTTTCTATATCCCGGAATTCCGGAATCACCCAGAACAAATTGAAAATGCAGGACAATCAAGCAGGCCAACAAGTGGTAGCTTTCCGCTCCCGTGGGTCTGCAGGTGAGATGGATTTGATTTACAGAGCCCTAGGCAAGCGGAGACACAGATCGCACATGTATGTATTAGCATCAGCGGCTTCCGAGTTGGAGTTAAATTCTTCCCAGAATCTCACGAGGCACAGATCATATTGCCAATAATGGCTCGACTTTAAGTCGGTCAAATGGCCCCGCAAAGTCCCACTGATATGACCTGGGGCGTTTTGCGGTCAGAGTCGGTGAGCAGCACAGTGCACTGTCTACTTGGCCTGTTACAAGGTGCGACACTCGAGCCAGTCTGATATTGAATCATCCGAGAAAGCGCGAGACAAAAGTGTCTTCGCTTTAGGTCAAAAGGGCTCACCCGCGCAACGCTTTCGGGGCAAAGTTCGCAGCGGATCGCAGGAGTGCACAGCCCGGTCTCGGCCGACGGCAACGGTGCTGGGCGTACCCGGAAGCGCGGTAAAGCCATGTTCTGGGCCCAGCAGCTAAGCTTTTCGCTGATCTGCTGATCCCTTACTGCAGATGAGAAATGCTTAAAGCGATTGCTTGTTTGGCAGGGCGTGCTGGGGGGCCAAGGCACACGCGCATGGGCGACCCGGCCAGAAGGACCCATTTTCCGAATGCAGCATCCCGAGCGTTCGTCAGCGGTGCGGCTCGCGGGCACGAGGGGCGAGAAAAAGACAAGCAGGGAAAGGTGAAAAGAAAGACATGACCATCACAGGTGTTTGTTTCAGGGAACCGGGAGGCGGGCAATTTATCCAGATATTAAACGTGCGCCCGCTAGCAGACGGGGAGCGCAGGTTCTCGAGCTGGTTCCGCAGTTAGCCTGGCAGTGATGCGAGACCTGTTCTGTGTTTGATGAAGCGGCTGAGAAACAGCATCCTACTCGGCCATCCACTGCTACCATCGTCAGACAGATGACGAGCAAGACCACAGCTTTTTTTTTTTGCATGTCGTGGAACAGAGAGATCCCACATCCCACATCCGCATGCAGGACGGTCCGGCACAAAGTCCACAAGATCCGATTGACACCCCTGCCCCGAGACAACGCAATGCTACTGCGGGCAGCTCCACGGCACACCCCACACTGCTGGCCATGATCTGACGCTTTCCCATCAGGGACATTCAGGAACGTGGGGCTCCGAGATTAAGCTCAGGCGCAAGGCCTGTCAACCCGATGGTGCGAGATGCCAAGGGGCGGGCCTGGATGCCCTTTGGTTGGCGGAAGTATCGATCCTTTCCGTCTTGGGCCAGATGCCTGCAGTCGCCTCCCGGGACTGGGGTACCCTTGGGGGCGGCCCAATGTGTCCAAGTTCGACGTCGTCGTGGTCTCCCACACCGCGCGAGTCGACGACGGCGAGGGATCTTGCTGGGTGTCAGCTGTTGCTACCCTGAGCAATTGTGTGATGTGATCACGAGGGAGCCATGAGTTTCGCTCCCCCTGCCGTGCCTGGATGGCTTCCTTGGTCCTCGGTCCCCACTCGGGACGCGCTGCCTAAATGCCTAGTCCGGGGACCGGGTGCGGACAGCATCTCCCCCATCCGCCGCGCTCCACAGGCATGTGTCGCTCAAAGAAGGGTGCAACGTACCCCGGAGGAAATGGGGCGCCGTCCGAGCCCAAGGGGCGGTGGTCCAGACGTGAACGTTCGATATTAACCACCAGAGGCCGTCTTCCCGCCTATCCGATACACAGCGGGGCGTGACTGTCGTGCGAGACATGCTTCTTCATAAAAGGAGGACCGCCGCGATCCCAAGCTGCCGATAGAAGCTCGTCTCCAGCCACACCTCCCACTCCGATCGACAACACAACCTCGACTGGCACTAACAGGTAAAATGGCCGTCAAACAAGTTCTTCTCGCCGCTGCCCTGGCCAGCGTGGCTCTGGCTGCCCCCGTCGAGGAGCGACAGAACTGCGGCAGCGTGTAGTAAGTCCACCTCACACCTGGCATTCGAGACTCGGATTAGAGATACTGACATCTGCGGTCAGCTCCCAGTGTGGCGGAATCGGCTGGTCGGGAGTGACTTGCTGCGCGTCTGGGTCGGCCTGCAACAAGGTCAACGATTATTACTCCCAGTGCCTGCCCGGCTCGGCTGCGGGCAGCTCCACCGCCGCCACGACATCCAAGGCCACCACCACCGCGGCCCCGTCGTCGACGACCTCCAAGGTTACGACCAGCGCGACCACCTCCAAGGCGAGCACCACCAGCGCAGGCTCCGCGACCACCTCGTCCAAGCCGTCCACCACGATTTCTGGAGGTGCCGGCACCACCGCCTCGTACAGCGGCAACCCCTTCGTCGGCGTCAACCAGTGGGCCAACTCGTACTATGCCTCTGAGGTCTCGTCCTTGGCCATCCCAAGTCTGTCGGCGGCCCAGGCCGCCAAGGCCGCCGCGGTTGCCAAGGTGCCCAGCTTCCAATGGCTGTGAGTCTTTGCCCTCTGCTTCCTGATCCGATCCCGTCCCGTTGCTGCTAGTAGCTGACTCCCCGAAAGCGATACCGCCGACAAGGTCGACACCCTGATGGCAAGCACCCTTGCCGACATCCGCACCGCCAACAAGGGCGCCACCACGCCGTATGCCGGCCTGTTTGTGGTGTATGACCTCCCCGACCGTGACTGCGCGGCGGCCGCCTCCAACGGCGAGCTGAGCTACGCCAACGGCGGCGCCGCCAAGTACCAGGCGTACATCGACTCGATCCGCAAGCAGCTCATCGCCTACTCGGATATCCGGGTCCTGCTTGTCATCGAGCCCGACTCGCTCGCCAACCTGGTGACGAACCTCAACGTCGCCAAGTGCGCCAACGCCCACGACAACTACCTGCTGTCCACGCAGTACGCCCTCAAGCAGCTCAACCTGCCCAACGTCGCCGCCTATATGGATGCTGGCCACGCCGGCTGGCTGGGATGGCAGGCCAACTTGCAGCCTGCCGCCGACCTGTTCGCCAAGGTGTACAAGGATGCCGGCTCCCCGGCTGCCGTGCGTGGGTTGGCGACGAACGTAGCCAACTACAACGCCTGGAGCGTCGCCACCGCCCCGTCTTACACCCAAGGTGAGTCTTCGGTGAACCAGTGAGATGGGGAAGTAGAGAGCAGGACACTAACATCTCCCCCAGGTAACGCCAACTACGACGAGTCGCACTACGTCCAGGCCATCTACCCTCTCCTCAAGGCCGAGGGCTTCGACGCGCATTTCATCACAGACCAGGGACGCTCCGGCAAGCAGCCCACGGGCCAGGCGGCATGGGGAGACTGGTGCAACGCCTTGTAAGTATTCAAGCAGACAAGGACAATCGGTGGGAACAATTGCCTAACAGAGACGCCCAGGGGAACTGGTTTCGGGTTGCGCCCTTCCTCCAACACGGGCCTCGACATCGAGGATGCCTTCGTCTGGGTCAAGCCCGGCGGCGAGTCGGACGGCACCAGCAACCAGACCGCCACCCGGTACGACTTCCACTGCGGGCAGTCCGACTCCCTCCAGCCCGCCCCCGAGGCCGGCACCTGGTTCCAGGCGTACTTCGCGCAGCTCCTGACCAACGCCAACCCGGCTTTCTAAGCTGGTCGGCTGACGGTGACGGTGACGATGAGACCCGGTGATTGTACATAGAGCACGCCCGGAAGTTGGTCTCGTTCTCCAAGGTATTTCCTTTCGATGTATATAGTTCTTGCGAACACCATCGCTGTCAATACAAATAGAGCACATTCTCTTGATCATGTATCGAACCACTGCCGATTTGCCGTGCTCGCTGATAGGATTTGTCTCCGGGGCGGGCTGTTTCGGGTTGTCTTTTCTCTCAAGAAGCCGCAAACACAAAATCCAACCTGCCATCAAGGACCTCGTCCACTGTCTTCTTCACCGTTGCAGCAAAGCTAGCACTTTGGACGAGCACGCCGAGCTCCTGGCTTGTGAACCAGCTCGCTCGGTCCATGTTGCCCGAGCCCAGCACGGTGTGCTGCCCATCAAAGATGCTGAGCTTGAGGTGCGAGTGCACGGGCTCCTCGTCTGGATTCGAGTCTGCTCTTGACCGGAAGTAGGAAATCCGCAAGGCCCCCGGTGCGATGGCCTGAGCCTCAAGGTCAATCGCGTCGGTGCCTCCTTGCTGTAACTGTCCTTGGTCTCGGGCCTTGTCACACAGTCGTCGGTATCGCTTTGTCAGGCCACGGATACACCATCCGGTCGTCGTACCCGCTGTGAGGACTTGCTCCAGCAGCATCATGCGCCGACTGGTCACAATTGTGACGTCGACCCCGCGAGCGAGGGCCTTCTCGATGGCGGAAAGCACTGGTGGGGAGGTCAGGTTCGGCGTCTGAAGATAGATCTGCCGGCTCGCTTCGTCAAATAACCTCAGAACTGTGGTATTGAGAGGAGTATCCGGTGCCGCTGAGAGCTTCCAGGGCAAGAAGCAGAAGGAGGGGTTGCGGTGGTGCCAACCGGGGAGCCACTCGACGGCGGCAGCTGGCACTTCGACGCCCACGAGACTAGCTGTGGTATCAGCCGGAGACTTGACTGCTTCCTCCGCGTGGCCGCTGGAGGCGGGTGGTCGTCCGGCACCTTGCTCGGCCAATGACGGCAGAGATGCGCCCAGGTCGAGCTCCCTGTCCCAGACGGTGCGGTAGAACTCCAGCAGGCCGTCGACCGGGTCGTCACGCTCCGTCCTCCTCGACATCTCCAGGCAGCCCTCGAGCCAGGCCTCCCAGCTCACATTGCAGCTTGGCACGAATGCACGCCGGCGGTCCACGACCAGGAACTTGGGGTGCATGACGCTGAAGGGCAGGAAGAAGAGACTCTTCACCTCGAGATCCACGTTTCCCGCGGCCAGGACTTCGGGAGCTGGCAGTCCCAGCTTGCTGCTCCAGGCCGAGCTGGGGTAGACATATCCATCAGCTGAGGATGTGTGGGAGAGCTTCTGGAGGATGGAGCGTGAGGAGAAGCAGATGCGCACGCGCAATGGTCGTGCAGGCTGCTGGGCCTCGCGGTGGCGGGCGAGCTGCTCGAGCGCGTTGGACAGTGCCGTCAGCGTCTTGGAAGGGGCCCAAAAGCATGTCACCAGGATGATCTCATGCTGGGCCAGCAAGATGGCTGGTAGCAGCTTCTGCGTGTAGATGGAGGCGCCCGTGCCGAGGGTGAAGGTCTCCATGAGTGGCGTGTTCGGTGTTGCGAGTCCTCAATTTGTTGACGAGTTGACCAGGTGAAAGGAAGACAGCTCTGAATCATCCACCAACTCAGGTCTTGTGTTCCAAAAGGCGTAAAGGAGTGCGAACAGTCTGGCCAGGTTCGAGGCTGCGAGTCTTTGAGGTGCTGTTGAGAGCTGTTGATCCATCATCGTGCCCGTCGCGTTGATGTTGGCTGACGTGCGCCGCGCCTGCGTCCCTCCAATGTCCTAACCCTGGCTACACTCTCCTACCGAACAGAGGTCGACCGATATTTGGCACCGATGGGGAAGTTTCAGTCTCTCCTTATGCTGTAGCGGGCCGATATTTCCGGTTTCCTCATGGAGCTGCTGGATACAACTAGTTCCGCCGGTTGTTCTGGAGTCTTAGTTGACTCCCAGGCGCCGTGCTGTGTTCAATAGTCTTGCTTGAATCAGCCAACCACCCGACCTCTCCCCAACAACTCTGCCAAAGCCCCGAGACATATTGGCTCAGACGTTGACCCGAAACCCCGTCACTGATATGATTGCCAATATTATTATTCTCGACACGTGTCTGTACATTGAGAGCCAAGATAGAACCCAGGCCTGGCTCAAGGTGGAAGCGCTGATAGATCGCTCGTAAAAGTCATCCGGTTGAAATGAGGTGAGTAGGAAATCAATTGCTCTAAAAGCTCGAGCATTGTGATGGTCTTTGTGAAGACAGCGCACACTATTCTTGAGACCGTAATCTAGACCTGTCGTGTATGTTTTGGCAGACAAGGAGATGTCGAGATCGAGGAAGGGCTCGCGAGCCCGTTGATGCTAAATTAACCACCGCGAGGAATACAACACACCTGAGAAGTGGTCGCGAGAGTTTCTCAGCAGAAAAGTGTATATGGGAATGAGAAGGAATGACACCGTACAAGAAAAGATAACTACCGACGTGGCGGTTGATGGCGGGAACGGAAGGCATTTGATGAATTTGGAGTAGGCAGGGCCAAGACTTTGTTCATATACTTGAATATATGACCGGAACGAGCACCACCGCCCCAACATCCAAGCAGAAACTGTCATCAAAATTGGGGTGGGTTGTGATCGGACTCGCAGGACTAATTTCATCAATCATTCCGGCAGGTGATCCCTGATATTCAACAGCTGGTTGGGCACCATGTCATCTCGAATTCCTCTGCGGTATTTCACGTGCGCACACTACTCAAGTGGTCTCGGGATATTTGGAGGCATGCAGGATCTGTTGCATCACATTGAAAATGTGCAGATGTGCCAAATCGTAGCTGCTGCATACTTCACGAGGCAGTCGGACCAGCGGATCCCAACCTCTGCTGTGAATCAATCCTTCGCACATGTCTTCGACAGATGTCACATTCAACACGTTGTTGATGCCTTTTAAAACACACCGTGAACACTGATCAATGGCCATGATATCACAAAACCAGGATTTTCCGGCGTCTTTACCTTCTCACATACGTGATACCATACATGTGCAGAGACGCACCTGATTTCAGTTACCTGTATTCAAGTCCTCCTCCCTAGGTCTCATGCATGTATCGGCAACTGAAAGGTCGAGTTTTGTCATTTAACTGTACTCGAGAGAATTCATTTAATTAGCAAGTGCGCATCAAATTTGCAGGTGAGTTTGCGATCCGCCAGCCACTGCCACCGTTACAGACGAGCTGATCTTCTCACCAAATTCAAATAATTGGCAGGTACGTTCCTGGAAACTTGTGAGCTACAATTATATCTTCTACGTTAAATATTGTGGGAATGGAATGGATGCATCCATCAGACTGCAATCTCGTTCAACGCTCCAAGGTCTGGCGCATGGACTTGGTCAGAAGTTCAAGAAGGATTGTGCCGTCGGGACGGCACGATTTGAAGGCTGTTTCTCTCGGCACTTTTTGTAGAATCCCGAATATTCGCTGGTGTAATGCACACTTAATTGTCCTGCACGTTCTCCACGAAGTGAGTGGACCGGTAAATTTGGATGAATTGAGAGAGCTGCATTAACTCCCGGCAGTTGGTCAACCACCAAACAAACGCCTCGTGAGAAATTTGGGACAACCATAATTATCGATGGGAATATATTGGAAGTCACCATCACTTAGAAAATGCGTATGGTCCTGAGTTCGAGTAACATAAAGTGTGCGCTGGTGTCGTCTATTCAGCTGTCAGCTTGAATTTGTGAATACCATTCCTCACGCCCATCGTACCACAGGCAACTGATCTCCCTTCTTTTCAACGAGAAACAAAAGAAAAAACAATCCATTTAGGAAAGCAGTCACGATATGCGTTTGAGATCTATTCTTGCTGCCGGCGTGGCGGTTGCGCCCTCGGCCTACGCCATCATGCTTCGATTCTTTTGCTCGCAGCTCGTCGTGGACCGTCTCGACCCGTAAGTCCGCTGTTTCAATTACACATGACAAGCAAGCCCGTAGAATCTGATATCCAGGCCCTCTTCACAGTCTTGTCAACCCGGGAGCTCTGCCATCCCCACATCTCCACCAGATCGTCGGTGGAAACGCGTTCAACGCTTCCATGAACCCAGCACTGCACGACGTAGCAGCTACAGCGACTTGCACCTCCTGCACCGTCCCCCAGGATAAATCAAACTACTGGACCGCTGTGATGTTCTTCAGAGCACGAAACGGGACCTTCTACCGCCTCCCCACCATGGGCAACCCCCTCGGCTTCACCAACGCCAACGGTGGCATGACAGTGTACTACCTCACCAACGGCAAAGCAACCTCTTTCAAGCCAGGTTTCCGCATGACGGTCGGCGATCCAAATTTCCGCACGGCAGAGCAGATCAAGAAGTATCCCAGCCTGATCTACACATGCCTGCAGACAGCATACACCCGCGGCGCCGACACCACCGGATTCCCAACCGGCACGTGCGCGGCGGGCATCATGGTCAGCCTGCGTTTCCCGACCTGCTGGGACGGCAAGAACCTTGACTCGGCGGACCATCAATCTCACACGGCCTATCCCGTCAACAACCAGTGCCCCTCTACGCACCCCGTCGCCATCCCGCAGGTGTTCTACGAGGCCATCTGGGACACGAGGAAGTTCAACGACAAGTCCCTGTGGCCGACGGACGGGTCCCAGCCGTTCGTCTGGTCATTTGGTGACAAGACGGGCTACGGCAGCCACGGGGACTACGTGTTTGGCTGGGAGGGCAACGCATTGCAGAGCGCGCTGGACTCGAGCAATTGCAACAGCGATCTTCTGGGGAATAGCCTGAATTGTTCGCCGCTCAAGAGCCAGTCTGTTCAGCAGAGCAACCAGTGTACCGTCAAGAGGTCGGTCAATGAGAACCTGGATGGCTGGTTGGACCAGCTCCCTGGTGGTATGCCAGTAGCATAAAGCTGAGGATCTGTTTTGTTCCTCGCTGGTCTTCCGCCTGAAACAAGGGTTGACTAAGTATTTTATTGTTCAGGCTAGATATCAGTTATACATGGTCATGGAATATAATAGGAGCTAACATGTGTTCGGCGAGTGTTTTATGTTGCGTGAAGCTTCGTAGATCCGTTTTTCCCTCTCAGATGGGGGCGGAATGTTGTGTTTCGTATAGTCAGAGGCTACTTCAGAGGAACTCAGAGGTAAACAGCTGGAGACTTGAAGCGCTCAAAAAGACCTCGAGCCACCAGGGGATGGCCCCAAATGTCACAGTTGACATTCCGCGAAGCTATTACATACCAGAACATTATGAATCACTTTCAGAGACACGCCGGCAGATCGCCGTTGATGTTCTTAATATACCTAGCAAATGCAATGGCAAGAAGGCTGACATCTTTCTCCACTGTATCGTATAAGCACATGACACCCAACCAAGGACCACTTGATTCAAAAAGCCCTGATGGTGTTAACTCATATGTTTTGTGCTGAATTCTCGGGTTCCTGAAGTCGATGTTCTTGGGGAAATGTTGGATACTTGCAAGATGTAATTGATGTCCAGGTAGATGGCCATTCTGGATCTTATCAGTGTGCGCCATGAGACCTGTTTGACATAAACAGTGACCGTGCAGTTCACCCGCCAATCTAGGACGCTTCATGCCACTTGGTATGCTTGCGTTGTCTCCCCACCAGCCCAGCTGCCTTCATCGCCTGGTCAGCGAACTTCTCGCGAAACTCACTGCCGCCTCAGTTTGTCTTCCTTTTTTGTGGTGGCCTGCTTGTGCCTGCCATACCCTTCGGGATCTAGTCCTGATGAAAGACCGGGCGTTGTGCCCTTATTCATCATTGTGCGGAGAACGATTGACGGAAGGCAAGATGGCTTTTATGTGAATGCATTTAGTGTCTTTTGACTCACTCCGTGGTAGCTACCCCCAAAAACAGGCGCCGTTCTTGAACTATTCAACCAAACTCGGGTTCAGTGCTTTTGGCGAACGCTTAGACCTAGACCTAACTTGAAGAGCCACCCGCTCGCTTCCAAGCATCACAAGGGGCTGCAAAGCTTCCGCATGATGAATAGCCCAGGTCTGATGTTGAGAAAAGCTGGTAGACTTTGTGATAGTCAGTAGCGTGGGCCACCTGGGTGGGCATTAAGAGTGGCGAAACAGATAGGCATCAACCTGTGAGGGCTCGGGCCGTAACCAGGCAGTGCCTTAATTTAGCTAGTTCTTTTCGCATGACTTGTTTAATAGCCAGTCTTCTATCCTATCATTGCCCCATGCTTATCTAAGGCAACCCTGTCGCCCTTCGTGCTGTTATCTTTCAAGGTCCTATATATGTAGAGGATATATATATATATCACCGGAGGGGAAAACGGATCATGTTCCACCCCTGCCGGGCCGCCTCCGACACAGCCTCGCCGTCCATCACCCCGTGGAGATAGACCTCGCCCACGAACCTGAAGGATCCCTCCGAGAGCCTACGGATCACGTACGGCACCCTGCCGCCGCGCGCGATGATCACGAAGTCACCTTCCTGCGCGCCCCGGACCGCCAGGCCCACACGCCCGAGGGCGGTGAGGACGAACGACTTGTTCACGCACTTGGCCACCGCGGGAACGCCATACTCCCTGACCCAGTCGTTGCGCATCGGCTCCCGCGCCGCCCGATCCCCCGATCCCGGCGGCGCCCGCCGGCCCAGGAGCGCCTCGAAGCGCTCCTCGAAGTCCTCCGGCAGCGGCCGCTCGCCGAACACCAGCCCGTCGCAGCTGAGTGTCCGCCAGAAGGCGGCCCTCCGCCCTCCGGGTAGCCCCGCGTAGGCGTCGGGGTCAGGTTTGGTCGCCGTTGTTGTTGTCGTTGTGGATCCGGTAGATGGTGCAGGCGTAGCGGGCAGCGCGAGGCCCTCCCACTTCTGGAAGGTGTCGACCGTGAGATTTACACGTGTTCTTTTTGTCTTTGCTGCCACGGCAGGGTCGTATCCTTTGTATTCGGGAACGAAAGGCATGGGGTCAGCTTTCGTTATGACGTCGCACAGGCAGCCGTAGAGATGGAACACGCCCCGCTCCCGGTTCCAGTCGCAAGTCAGCTCCGCCACTTCCGGGGCGAGCTTTGAGTTCCCGAACAAGGTCGCCCACGCCGGGTCCGTGGGGTCCAGGAAGGCCTTGAAATTGTGCTGGGCCTCCCTGGCGGTGGGCAGGCGCTGGGTGCCGTCCAGGGCTGTGAGGTCGGGCACCCAGGACGGTAGGTCGAGCTTTTTGTTCTCCTCAGGCCCGACATAGCTGAGGAATAAGAGGCCCGATGATTTGAGTGATCGCAGCACGACGTCTATAACGACATCACGCAGCGGCCTGTTGTAGTCGGGTTTAATGGCGGCCCGGTCCTCGGGAAAACACATCCCCAGGACGCCGTAGATCCTGTCGTGAGGCACAGTGCACTCCAAGTTCGTACTTGTCGTCGTGATCCACGAGAATGGCGAGTCACCCCCTTGATACAGCTGTCTTGTGATGTTCCAATTTGAAAGACACGTTGTGAACGGCACGCCTTGGAACAGCATGTTGTCTTGCCATTTTTCTTGCTCTTTCCAGTACGAAGCATCGGTCAGCTCCTTAAGCTTCACAAAGCACTCGAAGGGTATGTCCTTGTCGCCACATCGGGCGATTGGATTTTGAGACAGGAAGGCCTCCTGTAAGATCCAGACCCTAGTCCCTACACACAACAGGTTGTCAGCGGCACACTTTAAGGGGGGGGGGGGGCATTTTCTAAGTGGCGATCGTTTGAGATAAATGATACCGCTCAAAATCGAAGACGTCTCATCAATCCTCCTCAAAGTTTTGAGGCGGCGAATCACGACAGGAGAGGCTGTACCCACACCAGGAGCGTTGAAGCAATAACCTGATAGCCTTCCAAACACCCCTCTTCTCCTCAAACCGAGGTGACTCGACGTCTTTCTCCTCCAAGTCGCGCACAGCATCCATGGCGACATCACTGTCATTCTCCGCAGGGCCCAGCCATATCACGGTCCGCTCCGCGAGGCTGTAAATATCCCCCATCAGATTTATTTGGGTCATCTTCTCCTCGAGGTCGTCCTGGTTTATGCAGACCGCATCCACCCATAGATAGGCGGTGTCTTTCCGCCTTCGGAACGCTCGGAGCGCCGACAGCAGGTTCTTCCGAGCTGGTATGGCCTCGCCGTTCACCACCAGTGTGTCATCTTCCGAGCCTGACATGGTTGACGGTGGCCCCCACACATATGACAGGGCGGTGTAGGCGAGTGGACTTTCATGACTGAGGCAGTGAACACTTAAATCGCAGCGGACCAGCGATGGGCTTTGAGGATTTGGAGAATCCTCGTCTGATAGGACCCCGAGTAGGCGGATCTGCCGCTTTGACGGATCTAGGACTGTATAAATACCCATACTCAAAAGCCAGACGGCCTGTTGGAACAGGAAGCCGGGAAAAGGATAAATATCCAGGGTTTGACGGATCTATTGCTGGCTGCGCTTTGCTCGTAATGATGTATAATCCAAGAACTTGTGCATTTGCCGGCGGGGAAAACGATGTTTGAAGACCTTCAGCTCCGAAAACTCTTCGTGGCCAGCGGCTGAAAATCTTTTCAATGATTGGTCATCTCTGCGTCGTGTCTCATACTAACTATAGCGTTGCGATTTCAGCCTCTCGACTTGAGTGGTATAGCGTCTCTAGACAACTTTCAGCTTTCTTGGTGACTGCTCCGGACTGAAGTGCTCCGGACTGGACATGATAGGCGACCTACCGAGGTATAAGAGATTGAGATACTGCACGACCAATGTGAAGGTCCTGGCACCTCACCTGTTTCTTTTTTCCACCACTTCTTTTTTTTTATCTTTTTTTCTTTTTGGATCAACTCTTTGGATAATCACGCCATGTTTTTCAGAGCCGACATCGACGCCGAGGCCTCGGTCCCAACTTCCGGGTGTTGTATGTATTAACTAGGGCTGGCGTGTCCATCCCTTCTATCCCAAAACTGTTGGCCGCAGAAGGCCTAGTGTACTTTGATTGAATAGTGTTTGGAGAACAGGTTGGAGAAAAGCATGCTGAGGTCGGTATGTAGGTCTCTGTGGGGCATAAGCTGCCCGTAGGTACGGCACTTTGGAAAACTCACCGGCAGGAGACATCTTTCCACAACAATCAAATGGATTACAGTCGGTGGTATAACCCACGACGACCAACCGTAAGGCCCAATCTCAGGGTTCTCGGACCCAGTCAGTCGTATTCAAATGAACGCTTTGAAGCCACGGACGGTAATTTCCTTGACAAAAACACAATGTATGGCATTTCGTGCTTGCCCAAAGCTCTGCGAGTTCCAGCGTTCTAACTGGATGCTACGAAATCAAGCCATGTTTCGTCGCACCTTATGTTGACAGTGTTCTTGAGAGGAAACAGCAAAACATAGTTCAGAATGGCTCAGAATGAACATCAAAGCTGTGCAACATGTCATAGATTACTGTTCATACGGCATTTCTACTGAAAGGAAGGGGAGCTTACTCATGAACGAAACTTGTCTCAGTTGTCAAACTACCATGACTACAAACTCTGTCCGTGTTGCTGCCAGCCACGATATCGAGGAACCTTTGTATTCCCGCACAGCCTTGAGGGCGGTATCAAGTACAATAAGATTCCTAGCTGCAAATTACTGAAGTGAGAGCATCTTCGAGTTTAACGTGAGACGATCATGTTGATCACTTTATGGCCATCGGACCATTTTGACACCTTACTGATAATATCGCAAGCACCCTGGTGGACTTGATACAAGCCGCTCCAAAGGAAAGTACACGCATAAAGCCAACCTTTCCTTCTACCATCGACACAATCGGAACTCTGTCCAGAACCACACTACAACACTCTTATGCTACGATCATACACTCACTACCTGTAACCGACGAGTTCAACCACCCACGAGTCTCAAAATGCTCAAGACTTTCTCTCTCACCCTCGCAGCGGTCACGCTCAGCAACGCTGCCCCCGCCAGCGGCTCGGCTCTGCCAACCGTCGACATCACCGTTTTCGATCGGCACGCGTGGGTCAACACTACCATCTGTGGCCCCATTGATCTAGTTGGGGTGAGCACACCGGTGACTGGTATTTGGAAAGGCTGTTGAGACTAGTTATGAAACTGGCACTGGTTAATGATGCGGAGGATGGTGACCAGTGTCTATATAGACCCATTGCGACGGGACGGTGTATAGTGGTGAGGACCGAGGAGATGGATGTAACTAGAAATTGTTGTGCCCGCGCAATAACAATCAAAATGTTTCATATGTTGACCTGATACAAGCACTCAAAACCCTTCAAAGTATGCAGAAATCCTGGCGGTAGTTCCAGGACAAAGACTGTTGGGACGGTGGATGATACCTAGGTAGGGATGCCAATGCCGTCAAGAGACTTTTTACCAGCTGAAGGAGTGGATGGGGTTGCACTTGCACGGCTCCTGGACCGGGGCTTGCCAAAACCCGTTTAGCCAGGGCTAAAGAATGCCTATCAGTCAGGCCATGGAGTCTCGGTATGGCTGCGCCCTGTCTAAGGCACACAACTCAGAGCGCATTGTGTGAGTGGGCCAGCGGCCCAGGCCATCACGCAGCTCGCTTAACCGGCGGAAATACACGTGAGAGGTGGGATGAGCCTTTACTATGCCCCTTCCAGAGCTGCACAGCCGCCTGGATTGAGCTACACATGCCGGTGAGTCAACCGTGCATGTAAGGTGGTGTGAGGCTCAATAGTGTACCTGGCACCCATTTTCGGGCTGACTAGGCCCCCGCTCCAAAACGACGACCTGCGACATCGTCGGCGTACATGGCCCGTTGCTCGCCGTGGAACCGGCCCCGAGACGCCCTCACCAGTCTTCACACACTACGACGGCCACGCTGGAAACGTCTCGCTCAAGGAGATTTCGAGCCCGTCCCATCGAGATACCCGACGTCATCTAACTCCTCACTGCGACCTTCCTGGGCTTTCAATGGACCCATTCTCGGTCTTCGCGGTGGCGGAATCCGCCATCGGGGCTCTCAGTGCCGTCTACAGAGTCTATCAGCGCATAGAAGGCGCGTACGAGAAGATCGACCATGCTGGGGAGGAGATCGGGCTCAACCTGAGCTTCCTGGAGGAACACTTCAATCATCCGCGGGCGGAACTGTCCCCGGAGGCACTCAAGCGCGTTAATACACGTTTGGAAAACGTCCGAGTGGCAGCTGAAGAAGCAACAGACATCCTCGAGTTGTGGGAGGATTCGACGGACTGAGAGGATTGTGATCAAGGTTGGGGCTCTTCCCGGGAAGCTGCAGGACTTGTCAGACAAAATTGAGAAGAATATGGTGAAGTTACAAGCAGAATACTGGGGACTGTCTAGGGGTACGACGGGGCTAAACAACCACACAGCGATTGCACCTGGTGCTCCTCCCTCTGAACCGATCCGAACATCACCAAGCGGCGGATTCCAGCCCAGCTTGCCTATGCCAATCCCCAACCATCCCCCCCCAAACTCTCTCCCACAATCAGGAGCAACGACCTGGCTCCGCATGCCTTGGGCCTGAGCCCATCTTGCCCAGCCGGCCTAGTGAGCTGCGAACCGCCTGCGGAAACTTCAACAACCCAGGGTCGTTGCTCTCCAGCTCCGCACCTCCGGGCACAAGTGCACCGGGTGGGGCCACGATCAACGCACATACGGTCACGATCAACAACAACCAGCAACCAGTTGCATCGCATCCTCGGCCGCCGTTGCATCATTCCAGCACCGCTCACCCACTAATATCGGTCCATCAGCAACAGAACGCACCCTTACAGAACACGCTATCCCCAGGGTGCCAACCCCAACGGGTAGGAGATGCCTCATCTTACTCACAACCAGCGGCACAACTTGGCGTTCCGCCACCTCAACCGCTTCAGCCAAACAATACAAATCCTCTATATGCGTCTGGAAACGTCAATGGAGTTGCAGCTGCTCAAATTCCTCCGTCCTACGGGATGCCTGTTCGTTCTGCGCCTCCCGCCGATCTTGCGGCTGTTGGACCACCAGCCAGCCAACCACCACGAGGCACCTCCCATCACCCACCCAACATACCTGCCCAACCTCTGAACTACCAGAATCAACCTCCTCGACATCAACCACATCTGAGCCAAACTCCAACGCAGTCGTCTCGGCAACCTCAACCATCCGGCTGGACGGGACAAGGCATGCCAGTTCCGCCAGCCGCCAAGCGACCACAAGGTCCCCAGACAGCCCATGTGCAGTTTCCACATAACGCTCAGCCGGGACGTGGCTTTGGCCAGACTTCAAACCAGCCTCAAGCACCTCAAATTGGACATGTGCCAAATACAGCAGCTACTAAGCGATTCCAGGCTCTCCAGCAAACCCATATGCAGATTCAGAATAACGCTCTGTCCGGAGGTTGTTTCCTTCAACCTTCCAGCCAGCCCCAAGTACCTTGGACTAGACAAATGCCAGCTTCAGCAACTAGCAGCCGACCACAAGGTCTCCAGACAACCCAGTCCTCGAATAACAATCAGTTGGGAGGATGTTCTGTCCAGCCTGCTATCCAACCTCAAGTACCTTGTGGGACGGGACAAATTCCAGCTGTATCAGCTACCAGACGACGACAAGGCTTCCAGAATATCCAGTCTCCAGATCAAAATACGTTGAGAAGAGGATTCACCCAACCCGCTCGCCAACCTCGAGCACCCTGTCCGGCCGGGCAAATACCAACTGCATCGGCTCCCAAGCCAATACAAATTCCCCAGCAAAACCAGTTTCCAAACAACGCTCCCTTGAGAGCAGGGCTTAACCACCCGCAGACTTCACATCCCCTCCCCAACCCTGGGTTTGCTGGTATCCCGCAACATCACTCAGGGGCCCCCACCTACTTCCCTGGTGGCATGCCTAGTAGTAATCTAAACACATCGGCGCAGTCATCTCGTACCATCCGGGCGCAGCAAACACAAACTTCTTGGAATGGAAACATTCACCAGGCACCCGGGACTCTACCCTCGGCAATCGGTGGCGGCATCGGAGTCCAGCATCGGAACAGCTTTCCTGGGGTGCCTGGGGACAGCCTTCAGCCAGGTTTCTGAGAAGAAGGAGTATCCGTTCGGTAAGCTTGATACCCGAATCTCGAATTGGGTGGCGCGCTGCTTTATCTTATTCCAGCTGAGCTCGGGACTTACATTGTTTGCTTCTATCTCTGACAGACAGCGGCAGGCCTTAGACATATAGAATAAATTTGAAAATGGTGTGATTGCATTTTCTCATTATTTACCACGTTTCTATTTTGTCAATTGTGAGTGCGACTGTGTCTATACTCCACTCCATACAGTGTTTTACGAGAGAATATAGATGTCCAAGTGCATCACGGTATGAATGAAAGTTCTCAAATCTTTACTCCCACAATTGCGAACGTCTGTAAAGACTGCCCAAGTCGTTGTAAGGATGATAGTTTAACGGGATCTAGGAGGAAAATTGGCTTCAGCATTGTGGCTTATAATTACATCGAATGGTTGGATGGATGATGCCCAAGTGTCCTTTTCCCCCGACTACCGCTCAGCTCGCTGGCCAGGTACTACTCAGGACCTACGAGGCTGCTAACGCGGTGCAGCTGGTATAGCCAGACGCTTTTGAGTTGAGGGCCTGATGAATAACTTAAGCGTCTCAAACATTTGCCAAGACTTCCCATGTCACTGTACAAGTTGACAGGCTGACAGGCAGTAGCGTCACCCAGCCTTGAACAGGCAGCAACATCTTTGGAGACCTGCCTGACAAGGACTGTAAGGACAATGCACTTCGCGTTTCTTTGCCCACCAAGCACACAACACCTTGAGCAAGTCTTGCCATGCCAATAGTGGCATTAACGAAATGGCTGAGCCAAGCCAGAGGCTCGTGCCCGCCCCTCTATTACCATCCACTTGATCCAGGCAGCCACGAGATCCGCCTTCTCACACCGCTCAAGGTCGACGCCAAGGACCGCGTGGAATGCAAACTCGTGACAGTCCCCCTCCGTAGCTGCCCTCCCTTCGCGGCCCTGTGGTACGTGTGGGGGCGACGACGCCGGCCGCGTGCCCATCCGGGTGAACGGCCAAACCTTCCAGGCGACCAAAGGCCTCGCGTCGGCCTTGCAGTAGTACATCCCTCGCCACTGGAAGTCGAAATTCCCTGGCCGCGATGAGACAGGGCTTTGGGTGTGGGCTGATGCCGTCCGTATCAACCACAGCGACAACAGCGAAAGGGGGCATCAGGTGCAACTGACGAGGGAGATCTTTTCCGGTGCCGAGGTGGTCATGTGTTGGCTGCCGAGTGCGTCAACGCGCTTCTTCGATGAAGTATCCGATGATGACCGGAAGGAGTTTCACCTACGTACGGCATTCGAAACATTCGAGCTCATCAGCAAAGAACTGCGCATCGTTGAGGAGGAGGCTGGCAAAACGATTCTGGAGACGGACCATAGCGACGAGAGGCTTATCAGCTGGTTGGAAAGGGTGGACCAAGTTGCGCGACGGCTCCGAGACTGGGGAGTGGCCGTACTGGTTGAACAGGAAGTGGTACGCAGTCGACTACCTTTTTGAGTTGCAGTGTTGGAGGCGTGTCTGGATCCTTCAGGAAGTCGCTCTGGCGCGGGACCCGCTGATGTCCTGCAAGTCCAGCTCCTTGTCGTTCCGTGACACATTCAGTCGCGCGATGGCCTGGTTCGACATTCTGGCGTATGGCAAGCTCCCGGACCCCAGCTTCGCCTCGACCGCCCGGTGGAATTCTTTCATCAATGCAGACGGGCCAAGGTACGATCTGGTCTCCGGGCATTGGCAAGTATGGATGTCTCAGCATTCGAAGAACGACAATAATTCGTTGTGGTTTACGATGTTCAACGCCTGCGATCTTACGGCAAGCGAGCCGAAGGACTACGTGTACGGCATGCTCGGTGCGATGGGGATCGAAATCGAGGTCGACTACTCCGAGCGGACATCAGTGGCAAAAGGGATGCATGATATGATAGCAGCTTGGCTTGAGCGTTTCCAGAAATCTGAAACAGGAAGACAGCGCTGTTCAGGCCGCCTTGCATTTCCTTCCCCGGGCTGGACTGGGGCGAGAATGTACCGACGCCGAGTGCCAGGGCTTTGCATCCTGGGCTCCAAACAAGCCACATTTCAAGCACGGTTACAGTCATGCAATGTTCTTTGGCGAGGCCAATGCCGACTTTGGTGTATTCGCGGATAAGGATTCAAGCATCACCTCTATCCAGGGCTCTTCGCTCTTTGTGGACGGTGTTGTCATCGACTCCGTTCAGGAATTATACACCAGTGTTCTCGAATGCAAAGACCTCGCTCCGTTCTTGTCGGTGCTTCTCCGGCCCCCAGAATGATTCTGGGGAGCCAGCCGACAGACGACGCTTGTTAAAGGGTTCTTTTCGAGTTGCTGTGTTGGGAGGATATTCCCCGCTTGGGATACGACGCCAGACGGCACGTATCAGGTCCAGGTTTACATGAGTATCTCATCTACGGTTATTCTTTTATGGTTGGAGTGCTTCAAGGAGGTCGCGATCACGGCGCCATGCTTGAGAGTCTGGGGCTCCGGACGGAATCAGAGGACGGTTTCGTGCAGTCCCTTCGGGAGACATTTCTGGACTTGGAAGATGATGGCAGTGGTAGAGTTGGACATGAAGCCAGCTCATGTTGGCCCCAAGACTTGTTGGCTCCAAGACTTGTTGGCGTTCGAAACCACAAGGAAAATGCCACGGAACAGCAAAGTGGCTCAGTATTGCCAGCAGATTGGGATAACTCGATTGTCGCCTAAGGTGGGTCGACTGGGCAGTGGTGTAATCTTCCGAACATCAGGCGGCTACTTTGGTGTCGGATCATGGGAGACAGCCGTCGGAGATCTCGCATGTGTTCTGAAAGGGTATAGGAGCATCGCGCTCCTCCGGAAGCAGGACGATCATTTTCTCTATGTCGGAGGGGGCATGGTCCACGGCATGGTCCACGGCGAGGCTGCTGGGCTTGTCAAGAATGGAACATCACGGGTTAGGGAGTTTGAATTGAGGTAGCATGAGTGGTGAGCTACTCCTGGTGGTGAGAGCTTGATGTATAATATAAATGGGAGAATGAGGCACCTATTGGTACTTGTATAATATCGGCGACCTCCTAATTGTAGCGATATGTTCTGTAAGATTATTTATGAAGGAGTTTGTTGATGGGCACAAGCGCACATATGCAAATAGTGGCGATGGTCAGCCTAGGTGTTAGGAAGAGACGAAACAAGATCCGGATATCTGAACATCTCATGTATCACACAATGATGATGTCTCTCTCCTGAATTTCGGTCCACCTTTGGGTCCCATCAACGTAAATCCTTCCACTCGGCCCCTGGCACCCAAGACTTCTCTCCTCCGGGACAACGTCTGCAAAACACTCTGACCTCGATCCCCCGATAACTTTTCCAAGAACAGATACGCCGCAAGGGACTCACTTGCTCTAAAATGAGCTACCCGCTCGTAGACTCCCGCAGCGGCGTCCTTGGGAGTCAAGACCAGACCTTGGACGTGGTCGGGACCACCCTTACTCCCGGCGAAGATGGCAATGGGTAGGAGGCTGATGTCGAGAAGGGTCAGGTCCGGGCCGGGGCACGCGTCGACTTGGGTCCATAATTCAGGAAGCCCTCTCGTTGGGAGATCCATCCCACTGGTCAGACTCTGGCGAGATCCGTAAAACCCGTCGCAGGTGACTTGATATCTTCGAAAGTCATCGGCGCGGTGCTCGGCTACCAGATCCCACTCGGCGGGCTTGAGACGGCCTCTGAGCTGAATCATTGCGCCAGGATGAATGTTGCCCGTGGCATGTGATGGGTCCAGTAAATCTACCGCCGTGCTTACGACTGCGGCCAACTGTTTTCGAATATGTTGTGGGTGTTGCAGTGTCATGGCCTTTACGGTGCTGTTCGTGGATAGCCATGACCACGTCGGCGCAATGCAAGGGTTGGGGCGAGGCTTGTTGGCTTCTGAAGCCGACCACAAGAGCTCTGTGAGCAGGTTACTCTCCCATAGGCCTGCCACATATCGATCGCACAGCCTTTCCTGCATTTTCTCAGAAACACCAGCTATAGCTATGAGCTCATCAGAGTCTTGAGTGAGTTCCGCGGTGGAATACGCATTGACAATACTGCACCAAACCTTTTGGGGCTCGGCGTGCGTGCCATGAAGTTCAAGCGTCTCGGTTGGTATCATTATATCAGGGACGGCAAGCGGAAAGGACTCGCAAAATTCGTCCTCAAGGCACTGGTAGAACATCTTATTCTTTCCTAAGAACAATAACCTCGGCGAGAGTACACGCTCTTGTACTGCCCACCCGCGCGTGGCCAGATTTCAATATTCGACATTTTCGGTGCGAAGATGCATGTCTATTACGCAACATGGCTGGGTAGGTTACCACCACGCATCTCGCCAACTACAAGGTACAATAGGTGGTGTGATGCTGTTGGGGTCTCTTTCCGTGAACAGACCCTTGGTAGAGTCTGAGGCGTTGGCGGCTGCGATTGTGATGGCTCCTTGGCCGTAGACAAGCTTCATCGTTTGCGACTCTGTTTGCCAGTCTTGAGCAGAGTCTTGGAGGTTCCGACTGATCAAGGCGCACACAGAGCATCCGCTCATGGCATTCTGGCGTAGCACCGACAACGTCTCGCTGTGTGTGGCCGCGATTTGTGGTAGACCTGAGAGACGTAGACGGAAGAATTTATGGCAGTTCTCGCAGAGCGCGGAATCAAAAGTGAGCTATCCAGATGATGACGGTGTCGGTTCTTGTTGGCTGACATAGTCGATCTGCCGCTGTAGCCTTTGCTTTTGCCTTGGTCTCAGCTCAGGCTGTCGTTGCTGCTCGAGTCGCAGGGAATGCTGTCAGCGCCACTCTTCGTGCCGCTGCTGACTTTGGGGGATCCACCAGATCAAGAACGACACGATAATGACGATTGCCAGATATTCCAAGTTCGCCAGGAATAACAGAACGGCTGGAGAAACAAGATCTTTGAGCCAGTTCATTGTGACGTGGGTTGCGATGAGATGTGGTGTCGTTGGAATCAGCGGTTGGGTGTATTCAGCAAAGCTGTGCGGGGTGGTCGCGTCGACGTGTACTTACAGGGTTGAGTTGCATTTAAATCGTTTCACAGGTCGCCCCGAAAATGTATTCGATTCGCTTTGCCAAGTATTCTCAAGACCAACAACAGTTTGCTTACAGTGTGTATGGTAAGTAACGTTGGGCAAAGTGGAACTATTTTAGTCAGCTAGACTTTGCAGCTTTCAGCCAGAAAAAGGATGATTGACCCTTCGTTATTATGAAAACAGGTTTTTCTAGTATTGGCATCTTTTATCATCATACCTAGGTATCAAGTGTAATACTAGTTGAAGATGCGCCAGGGCTTTATGAGAATTACTTCCCGCTGACAGGATGGTTGTAGAAGTCTATTTCCTTTATTAAATATAACAGAGTCAATCCCGCGTCAAGGAATAGTGGAGAGCGTCGGATGTACTATCTACGCCGGCCCGGAGTGCTCCCACGCCGGCGACCGCTGCATCGCTCCTAGAAATTCATCGCGTCCCACGGAATAAACATCGCAGACAGCCACGGGTCGTCCCCGAAATTGTGCACATATTCCCCCGTGAGGGCATCCTGATTCATCTGCAGATTCGCACCCATCACGCCGTCGCCGCCCGCGGTCATGGCCAGCCGGCTATCAAGAGCATGCGCCCCAGCCGCCGCCGGATCAGGAGGCTCGCCGCCGCCCGCGTTGCTCGCCCACTCCGCCTGCACGCCGGCCTTCATGAGCCCCATGACCTTGGACGACTTGGCCCAGATGCTCTCCTCGCGCTCGTCGTCCTCCTGGATCCCGGCCACCGTCCTGATCGTCTCCATGCGCGCGGCGATGCGGTCGAAGAGCGCGAAGACGTCGAGCCGCCGCCGCACCTCGGCCGCGTCCCACGCCGGGAAGTCCTCGAGCTTGCTCAGCTTGATGCAGGTCACCAGCCCGGTCACCATCTGCACGAAGAGGTGGAACGTCCCGCCCAGGGCCATGGACGCCGGCGTGCGCTCGTACGTGTCGAACCAGTTCTCGATGGCCTTCAGGCACTTCTGCAGCCGGTCCAGGCGGTACATGACGTCGGTGTGTGCCGTCGAGGGCGGTAGGTGCAGGGCGAGCTCGTTGATGATGACCTCTGAGGCGTACATGTGGAGCAGCACCGTATCTGAGAGGAAGCGTGGTTAGGTCCCAGTCATTCAGTAGCAATGAGCGCTGCCACATTTAAAGGCCATGGCCGTTGTGATTGTTCTCCTGGAAGACTCACCATTATGAGATGTGGCCCTCATTTCCGGCAAGGTCCTCCAAATCTCTTGCAATTGCCCATCGAGAGCTTTTATGAAGTATGGTGATGTCTGACTCTCTCCGCTCAGAGACTGTTGTATCAAGAAATCATTCATTTGCTCCGAGATGAGGGCACAGCGGACTTGTGTGGCAAGGATCTTGTCCCCTTCACACTCGGGCTGCTCCATGAATAGCCGGAGGCTTTCCTCCATATGCGGTGACCAGCGGAGGTTGTGGTCTCTCCGCAGCATTTGCGATGCCCTGTGGTTCATGTCAACTCATTATCGGAACCAATCAGAGCAGACTCATCATGGGGAATGTGTTGTGATTTGAATGCAGATATTCGAGAGGGTATACTTACGTATTACACCAGACATACAAAGCCAGCAATGTCCTCCTGGCTTCCATTGTGCGTTCTTTAGTCTGCGGTTGTTTCATTCCGTGAAATGCAAACTTTTTCATAAAAGTGAAAGCCGTTTCAGTCTTGTTAGCCGTAAGACCGAGGTCGTGAGCTATGGCAACTCCGATACCAGTCCAGATCGATATAAATGGGTTTTCCTTTTTGTGGGAATGTGGCCTATGTTTGGTCAAATATTATAATCAGCGTTTGCTGCGATTGACGCTGACGAGGTTGAGTCTGAAGCAGACACGCCTGACTGAACATGATAGCCTCGAAAAGTCATCCACTCCGGACGAAGTCGACATGCTCAAGTAGGAAATCCAATAGCATAGAAAATCACATAGAAAATCACACGGGGGATAAGGGATGCTGACGTGCAAACCAACAATAACACAATGTAGACTGCATGGAAGATATGGGGCTCCTTACCAGCATAAAAAGACCAACAAGCCTTGCAACAAGTCCAGACTCCTCTCGTACTGCCGCACCACCCTTTCCGAGACAATGTGCCGGACCTTGTCGCCAATCACATGTGACTCTTTCGTAGAGCGGGTCGTACAGGCCATGATGGAGATCCACAGCAGCGGGCGAGTCTGGTGGAGTTCCTTTGCAGTCACACTCGGTGGGATGTGTACCACCGGGCCGAACTGCGGGTAGTCACGCCGGAAGAGGTCGAGGCGCTCCTGGGCCTCCTTCTCGGGGACGTAGTAGTCGAGCTCTGCGTCTGCAGTGCTGCTGGAGGGGTTCGTCTTGCCGCCCCACGCGCGGCAGGTCGGGACGACTGAGGTGTTGACGGTGTTGGGGCTTGAGTCTGATGAGAGGGAGGGAAGAGCTGTGCCATCGGATGCCGACTGCCCCAGCGACCCCGGGGTCGGGACTGGCGGTGATTCATTTGGGCCCTTCACGGCTGTTTGGGACCGTATGAGGGAGACCAGGTCGTCCAGCTTCTCCTCCAGGTGAGCTGTTCTCGATCCTGGCACCTTTTTCTGACTTCGCTTGCGACTCGGCACTGATGGCTGGCAGACCTTCTGCAAGCGGAAACACCTAGGATCGGGTAAGTGGACGAAGTAAACAGATACGGCGTGGAAGAAAATGCGTCGGGATTAGAGGCGTGGAAGTAATAAGGAACGCTCGGAATTGGCTGTGCTGAGGGTCGGTCTTGGTTCTACATGTTGCAGTCCAAGACAAGGGCCAAGTGATCAACACGATCACAGCAGCGAGTATCTCACCTCTCGCACGCGCCAGTATGATCGCCATACATGCATTTGCACTTGGCCCTGACACAATTCGTGCAGGCATGCCCGTACGGCGCCGGTGTGCCACCGCCGGCCTTTGCCACACGGGCCGGTGACGGCTGCATTTGTCGGTGGCGGCGGGTGATTGACTTGTACGCGCGGGTGGATTCCAAGGTTCACTGTCGGTCGGGGCGCGCTCAGTCGGGATTGGGATTGTGCTGTGATAGGAAGCACGAGTAAGGTTGCGAAATCCACTCGACGGCGTACGGGCTGTGGGCTCGAACGAGAAAGTTTAGACGCGGTCGCCGGGGAGGAAAGCGGATTTGGCCAGAGATATAGCATCCGAAGGCCGCCGGAGTTGGCCGGGCTGTGCAGGTGGTGCTGCTCGGTGTGTGCAGTGGGTGATGTAATCCGATCCTTGGTCAGGATCTCGTTCGTTGTTCCAGCGCATCCGAGCGTAAGCTGACACGGCCCTGGGGACATCCGCCTCTCCCGAATACGAAAATGACCACCCTGCAACAGCTGACTCTATCCGATGGTTCGCAGAGCAACGTCCGCTGAGGCATTCCGGGCAACGCGGCTCTTCTGGCGGCTCTTCTGGTGCAGAAGAGCCGCGCTCTTGTGGGTATTTCCTCTGTGGCAACGATAGCGGCACAATTACGCGAGTATATGAGCAGAAATAAGAACCTCTCATGCCAAGCGACAAGAACGGATCACCCTGGCTCATCAACTCTTAAAGTTTGTTTGACTGCAAAAATCGAGACTGAAAATAAGGATTGACGGCTGTTATGCGTCTTGTACTTTCGCTCACATAGTTATGGCGTTGCGAGATGCAGCGACCATCACCGTTAACAATCCAGAATGTTGAACTGCATGAGGACTTCCGCTCACCGAAATCACTTTCACATTGATTGAATCAACACAATTAGTCTTTTTTGCACAATGAGGTCTCAACATTGCAGACCAGACACGCTCTTGTTCATAGTCACGCTCATGAATTTGACAATCTCATTATATATCCCTAGACTACCTCAGCACTCTCAAACAAACAAAAACAGGATCCCTCGCCTTTACACACCCAGCTGGATCCGCAATTCAGATTCGACCACAACCACGGCAAATGCCTCTGAGGAAGGCATAAGACCAGTATTGGATGGGTCCTCATTGGGATGCTTGCTGTTCGCAGGCATATCCCTCAGGGACTGCAAGCCCTTCCCTCTCAACCATTTCTCCTCCAAATGCGAAAACATCTGCAGCACCATGTCCTCAATAACCTTCTCGTCCAGATACGAAATTATAAAAGTTTCAGGCCCATAGTTCTGATCAAAATCGATGATTCCCACCCGGCAGAACGCCGAGATCCATAGCAGGTTCCGGAGGTTTCTGATGTCGATGTCCGCGCTGCCCCGGCTCCCGAACAGAGTCCAAGAGATAGGCAGGCCGGAACTGATTTCTGTCCATCTGCTCGGCACCACCTTCGAGTTGGGCCAGATGTCGGAGCTTGGACTTGAGCTTGCCTCGCTGTTCCTCGGTCAAAGCGTGACACGGCCCGGCCGGTTCGCCCTTGTGCACTATTGCGCCTCGGGCGTTGAACATGAAGCGAAAGATTTTGTTAGCCTCTCGGTACACTTCGCGAGTGTTGTACATTAACCTTGAGTCGGAGGCTACTTGCAGCAGGATCGTTCTTGCCATCGTGGATGTCCCCGTCAGACCAAGTCTCGCCACCCATCTCGGTGATACGGAAACCCATAATGCCAATGGCACGGTTGTTCGAAGCGATGACAGATGAGATCATGATGGGTGAGGATAATGTCTTATGTTGCGTTTGAGCAGATTTGCTAAACCCTGATGCTGGTAGAGCCTGTGATAATCTATATGTTGCTATGTGATCGGACATACACAATGCACACAATGCCTTTGTTCTTGCTTCTTTGAGAGCCTTTTCAATAGCGGGAAAGTTGGCAAAGGAAACAAGAGCAGGCCGCTTCGAACGTCTTCTCAGTGTTGCAGCATGCGATTCTTCTTTTTTTTTTCTTCTTTTCTTTTCTTTTTTTTTTTGTCATCATGGCACCATTGGATTAGAGTATGAGCCACAGCTTTATGCAAGTCCACAGATAGTACACCAACCCTTTTCGATAGCACGGAGAGGGCTTGGAGGATTTGCTTATTCTGACCAGCCACGGGATTGTGCAGCGGACTTGGAAACCCCAAAGCGGAAACGGTCAGTTGCGATAATCGCCGGCTGGATCAAGTCCTGCCGTCTGACGTGCCGAATCCTTAATCGATAAAGAGTGAAGGATCAGACATCAACAAGGCACATTGAGGCACATTGTTCTAGCCAAATGCCCAACAACAACGGTCGGCGCCAACTGAATGCAGTGAACCGGCGTCGGTCTGACAGTTGGGGGTGAAGCGGGATTCATTTTTGCGGGCCCGTAATCCGCCGCGTTGACTTGCAGCCTAGTGAGTAAACATTTAGTGACAATAGAAGTGAGGTTAACCGGTTACCTGTTGGCATTCCTTATATACTCCAAGGAAGGTGTCTTGAATCCGTGGCCAGGGCCATGTGGCTCAGGTTGCGCCTGTCCATGCTCAGAATATAGCTTCAAATATGCTCCACTCAGGCATCCCAACTATGGGTGAAACGAAAGAAGGCCCAGCCGAACCAAGGATGGCCGAACCAGAGAAGAAGAGTCCGCCATCTTCGCAAGATGGCGCATCCTGGGCAGAGGACCAGGCAGAAAAACAGCCCAGCAGAACAAGCTCCCGCAGACCAAGCCTCGCACATCCACACCAGCCTGTCCTGCTCTCGCTCGTGCCCTCCATCGCAGCATCCGTACCCCCGGGCATCACCAGCGACGCCGAGGAAACCACCCGAGAAGAGGTCAAAGATGGGACAGGACACCTCACGGGTGCTCCGTTGGTGCTCGCCCTGACAGCCCTCAACTTGTCCACCGTCCTCATCTTCCTCGACAACAGCATCCTCAGCACGGCCACGCCGACCATCACGAACGAGTTCCACTCGGTCCAGGATATCGGTTGGTACGTCTCGTCGTACCAGCTGGCGCTGTCGGCGCTCCAGCCCATGACGGGCAAGCTCTTCACCTACCTCCCCAACAAGCAGACCTACATCGCCTCGGTGCTCCTCTTCGAGCTGGGCTCCCTCATCTGCGCCCTCTCCACCAGCTCCAACATGCTCATCGGCGGCCGCGCGGTCGCGGGCCTCGGCGCCTCGGGCCTCTTCAACGGCGCCCTGACCATCATCGCCGCCCTGGTCCCGCTGCGGCGCCGCCCCGCCGTCACGGGCCTGCTCATGGGCGTCAGCCAGCTCGGCCTCATCGGCGGTCCCCTCATCGGCGGCGCCCTGACGCAATATTCGACATGGCGCTGGTGTTTCTGGATCAACCTCCCCATAGGTGGCGTCGCCGCCGCAGCCCTCGCCGCCGTGCGCATCCCCGAGCAGGTGGCCAAGCCGCCCTTCCGCAGCTTCGTCGCGAGGCCGGGCCTGTGGAGGCGCTTCGACCTCGTGGGCACCGCCCTGCTCGTCCCCGCCGTGGTGATGCTGCTGCTGGCGCTGCACTACGGCGGCGGCGGCGCGTACCCCTGGGGCTCGGCGACGGTGATCGGGCTGTTCTGCGGGGCCGGGGCGGTGGGTGCGCTGTTCGTCGCGTGGGAGTGGCACGTCGGCGGCGAGGATGCCATGATGCCGCTTAGTATGTTCCGCGAGAGGGTCGTGCTCGCGGGAAGCCTGACCAACCTGTGCCTATTCAGCTGCACCTTTATTACGTCGTACTTCCTGCCGCTGTACTTCCAGTCCGTGCAGGGCTCGTCGCCCTTCACGGCCGGCGTGCATATGTTGCCAAGCATCATCTCACAGCTCATCACGGCTGTGCTGAGCGGGTTCGCGGTCAGCAAGCTGGGGTACTATCTCCCGTGGGCCCTCTTCTCGGCCGTGTTGTCGAGTGTTGGGGCGGGGCTGATCTCAACCTGGACGGTTGGTACGAACACTGGGACGTGGATTGGATATCAGATCATCCTTGGTGTTGGCCGTGGTGCGGGCATGCAGATGGTACGCTCTCTCACTTCTTCCCGCAGTATAAATGCCTCGGCGACCACCATACTGACTGACTTTGCCTCGCTACTCAGGCCCTCATTGCTGTACAAACCGTCCTCCAGCCCTCCCAGATCGCCGTCGCCATGGCGATGCTGACCTTTATCCAAGGTCTGGGCAGCGCCGTGCTAATATCTGTGGCCAACACCATCTTCGACGACAGCCTCGCATCCCAGATCCGCTCCAGGGCCCCGCATGTCGACCCAAAGGCTGTCATCGCTGCGGGAGCTACTGCGTTCCGCAAGGTCGTCTCCGCGGAGGACCTGCCGGCCGTGGTGAGGTCGTACGCGGTCTCGTTCGACAGAACCTTTTACCTTGCGGTAGCTTTGTCGGCTTTGTGCTTCTTCACTTCCCTGGGGCTGGGGAACAATGATGTCAGGGCGAAGCAGAAGCAGGGCGAGGCTGCGACGGAGAGTCGCGAGGAGAAAAGAGATGACACCAATGTTTGATCAGTTGAATTTTGTGAGCACCCTGGTTTTTGCGATAGTTTCATAGCGTTGTTCACAAGTTCAGTAGGTCTTGAGTCTGCGCCGCGTTGGATAATGTACAATCAAAGTCTTCGAGAGTTGGGATCTCATGTTCGCAAGTATAGACGAGGCCGGGAGTTCTCACGGATCGGGTGACCGATACAGTCGGCTGAAGTGTCCTTGAATTAGATGATATGTACAAATCGACTGTCTGTCACGCCATTGAAGTCACTTGTCGGGCTCGGTCGACAGGGGAAGCCCGATTTCGTACAAAAATATCCCCGCGCCGTCCTGCTGTGGCCCCGATATTAACCTCCGGGCGGCTCGGATGCGCGTCATTGCAAGCAGACCGCACCTTTTGACTTGCCCAGGCAGCTTGGCATCTCCACGATGGCTTGGCACTCAGATGCCTCGGACGAACCCTTGGCTTGATATTCGCACCGTGCATCACGCTCCAGGCTAAAGCCGAGCAAACAAGGCCGGACGTCGTTCGAGCGTGGGTGGCGGTCCCAAGCGGAGGACACTAGACTCGCCTTCGATAGCCCGTAAGGCTAAATCCGCCAGGCGAATGTCTTCCATATCTGGCTCCAAGATCCTGGCGTGCTGCCAGGGATCTGAATCTTAATCCGTTGGTAACGTCCGCGGTGATGATTATGGTGTGCATTGGAAGCGGTTGCCCAACCCTGTATTTTCCCAGAACGCCTCGCCATGCTGTAGAACATCGAAAATTACACGAGCCTACGTATTCTTCAGAATCTGGTTTACGGGTGTCAGTAGTTGTCTGGGTCGCGGAGGATATCGTTACGGCTCACCTGATCTCGTAGCTCCCAGCCCTTGTCATGTACCTGACCCACTTCACACTGCTGTAGTTACTCTTCTCAAACACCTTGAGATACCTCACCAATAACCCGCTGCTCGTGAACATCAGGAGGCTGAAGCTCATGCTCAGCGGGGGCCTGCTCCAGGTCTTTTGGTTGGTCATGGAGGTGAGCTCGGCCTCGGCGCTCAGCACAAACTCGCTCTGTCCCGTGAACCTTCCAATCTTCCACACGATGTGGTTTTCTGCCGGCTCGTACTTGGCCTTTCCTTGTGTGCACCTCTCAGTGATCCTTGCGGTGTTCAGGGGCGTGGGGATGCGGACGACGACGTTGGTGGCGAACAGCTTGGTGCCGAAGTTGGCCTTGACGCCAATGCTGTACTCGACCTTGGTCTTGCCCACCTCGTTGACGATGGCGTGGACTTTGAAGGGCAGGTTGATGTTCTCGGTGGCGCGGTAGCGCATGAGCTCGAACTCTCCGTCGGGAGGGACGAAGGAGATGATGCGATCGGAGTCGAACTTGCCCAGCTTGACGCACTGGTGGAACTGGCAATCCTCGAGGGTGACACTACCAGCCGCCGCCTTGGTCGCCTTGGTGCCCATCCTGTTGCCGCTGGGGAGGCTCAGCAGGCCGTCGTTGTCGAGGAGCAGCCTGTCGTTGAGGCCGAACTTGCACTCAGGGGTGCCGGACAGGTAGGCGCGCATGATGATCTGGCCGGTGACGTCGGCACGCAAGACGGCGCCGGTGGCGGACATGAGCAGGTTGACGTCCTCGATGACATCGACAAAGGCCTCGTTCTTGCGGTACTTGACGTCGGCCTTGCGCCAGGACAGGGCGCCGGTGGCCTGCATTGTGATCTTTGCCGAGTCCTCGAACTTGTTCTCTGACTTGACGCCCTCGGTGGTGATGTACATCTTGAGGGTGTCGGTCTCGGTGTTCTGGGGGTAGCCAAAGTCGATGATCTCGTCGAGCAGCTCGTAGACCAGGACGAAGTTGTTCTTGACGGCCTCCTCGTCGAACTTGCCGAAGTAGCCGCGGCCAAGCTGGATCAGGCGGTAGAGGAACTCGAAGACGAGGGCGGCATTGGCGTTGCTCTTGGTGATGGCGACCAGGTAGATGTTCTCGTGCTTGACATGGCTGAAGGTGGTGCTGCCCAGGGTCAGGATGGGCGAGCGCACCTGCGAGTTGCTGATGACCTGGATGCGGAAGACATCGGCGAGCCGGGGGCGGCAGTCGTTGCGAAAGGCGCGGAAGATGAGGTTCTCGCCCTTCTGGTTGAAGATCAGGATGCCGGACAGCATGTTGATGGAGGGAGGATTGTGCTGGCTGCGACTGAGCCGGCGAGGAACATTGGCTGGCTTGTCTTGTCTCGACTCGACTCGACTCGGCTTGAACTGGACTCGGCTCGATCCAGGCGGTTTGGGCTGGTAGGGCGATGCCACATTGAGAAGGAGCTGTCGTCTACTGGCAGTTGCTTTTGCCCGGGCAGTGATGAATAAGCCAACTCAGGGGTAGGGGATGCGAGTGCCGAGGTACGGAGGTACAAGTAGAAATGCCCCCGTACCTGCCCGGTCTTGCGCTTGACTGATTACCTAACCCAGCACCAATGCGTGGCCCCATTTTTTGGTGAGCTTCTTCGCTGTCTGTTGGTCCGTCTCACTTCATCCGCCCATTATCTCTTTCGTGCATCTCGCCAGTTTTAGTCAACCCAACTGCTCCTACGTGTATTACGGTCTGGCTCGTGCTACAAGGCTCAAGAACCCAAACCCAGATCGTCGTCGACCTAGCTCAACTCGGCCACAATAGCTCGTGCGACTGTGGATTCATCCGCGCCTCACCCGCTCACACTGTCTGCTGTCCTGACCTGACGAGGCCGAAGCCCTGTATATCCATATCGATGGATCCAGCACCACATGTACCGCACCAACAGACATGTATCTATATGCAATGCTTCGCTGGCTGCCCTGTTGGTTGCATGACCCTCGGCTGCCATGCCAGCGCCAGCTGCACCTCAGCTGCACCTCGTCTGCACCTCGTCTGCACCACGACCAAAAGGCATGATCGCTCTCCCGTAACTCGACTCTGAAGCCGAGAAGCTGTTTCAAGTCCGACATGTCCCTGGTCTAGACGCCATTCCCCCCCCAGATAGTGACTCTGTCAAACAAGGGGTGCGTCTCTAGATGCGCGGCAAGCATATCCCGTACCGTTTACGCATCTCAAACCCGAGGACGCGTCTGCCATGCACAACAGGGCGTCTGCGTGACAGTGGGTGTGTGCTGCGTGTGCCTCTGCAACGTTGTTTAAATATGGCTCTCATTTACTCCACTCTCCAGCAGCCCCAGTAGAGCCCAGTCCGCAGAAAAGTCTGTGCCTTGCTGGAGAATTTGGAGAGCCGAGCTTCGCAGAGACGATCGCAGGCACTGCATCAAAACTTTCCGATGCACTGACTGCAGTCTGCTCATCGCAGACAACACCGCTCACACAACTCAACTCAGGCTGGGATAAGCTCCACCCAGTCGGCACATCCTTTGGTGTCGAATGTGGCCAACCCCGACCAAGTAAGCTCCTCGAGCTCTACGAACGGCCCGCGACTAGGCCTCGCCGAGCGCAGCATGTCTACATTTGGCCCTCTGAAACATTCCATGCGCGCCTCGGCCTGGCCCTGCAGGAACCTTAGCACCCTGCCAGCCTGCAACGCTTCCAAACTCAACTCGCGGCTGCACGTCTTCGCCTTTGCCGGCTTCCGACCTCCACCAACAACCCGAGGGAAAGCAGCCAGAGCATGAATGTCGGCTGGCCAACATCAAATAACTTTCAGGCTCGCCGCCATTGACGCCAGATATCTCACCGTGGTGCAGCTGGAGATCCCCACTGGAGTCGAGGATGACTGCCTGCGCGTACTTTTCGTGTCGGGGCCCGCAAGCTGTGCCGCAGCTGAACGTTCCTCCAAGGCCATCCTTGGACACCCTCACACCGCCCATGCCATATCATTATACTCTCCATCTAAAGGCTCTTTCAGAAACGGGGCCTCGTCCATGACCTCACTCGGCTGGATTGCCGCAAAGCACGGCACGGCAAACGGCACTTCTCTGACAGCTGCCATTGCAGACCTCCCGTCGAGTCTAGTTTACGGCTCTGACATTCTAGAACCCAAAATACCAAACACATGGGACGATCCTGGATCCCGCCCACAAAGCGGGCAGGCCCACCGGCATTGATGAGATCCACCTCCGCCATGGTCAGACTGGCCAGAGGCTAGAACACTGGGGCCGATTCCCCGTCGTCCAAAGGGGCCCCACTAATGTAGGTCCCGCTCCCTGCAGCCGTTGGCACCCGCAACAGTGGCAGAATCTGGCGCCGCCCCTCCCATGTGGTCTGGCTTGCAGGCGGCCAACCAGTCTTTCGCCCTCAACCATTCTATTAGTCCCTCTTCTCATTACTGTGAGCTCCCTTGGGATCCAGCTAGGCCGGCCTGGAGCTTCAGCTGGACCCCTGAGCCGTGCTGACAGTCCACTTGGTCAACTCCTCCTTGCTTGACCTTTTTTTTTTTTTTTTCCTTTCCGACTTTGACAGTCCCCCCCTTCATATCCCAAGTATGTTGGCTAGCTTGATAGGCCGTTGGTACAGAAGTACATGCAACGCAATACGATGCCAGCAACCAATAGCCCAACAAACCCACCAACCAACCATTCACTTGACGAATTTACTTCCAATGTCCGCCTCCCCGGGAGGCTTGTCGCCATGGGCGAATTACCACTTCTGGTATCTGAGTTGCCGATCCTCCTGAGCCACGCAGGCAGGGCACGGCAAGCAGCGGACAAAGCAACCTGCCAGTTGCTGGCTACCACCCAGATCCCGGGGGGCGGCCCCCTATTCTTGGCCAAGCCAGCGGAATTGAACTGCTGTTTCAAATGCTTCCACCACGGTCCCCTACTGCCGGTTACGAAGTGGACCCTTACATTCACTCCAATCTGACTGGGTCTCCCGATCTGCCCAGTCTCGCCAGTGCCCCTAGCACGGCCCTGGCTGGTCCTTGACACGGCCCTGTGCTTCCATTTCTGGCAGCCTTGACCATGATTCAATGGCTGAGCTGCGTCTGTGTGGGGACTGGTCAAGGACCAGCTAGGCTGCATTACACGAACGGCAGCCCGTCCCAAATTATTATTTTGTCCCCATCCAAGCTCACGCTGGTTTTCTTTCTCCATCTCTGCATGACATTGCCCACTACTACCGTTGATCTCTCGAGTTCCGGGCATCTCGATTTCCTTTAACTGTGGAACTGTCTCTCCTTACACTCTTTCCTTGACTCTTGCGCTATTTAAGCTCTGTTCCTTCTCGTCACCGTATAGATTCACCTCTGGTGGTGCTGGCCCTACCTGATTCCTGCCGTTGGGGTTCCCTTAATTTCTGAACATCCAGGCGTCCAGCTGCTCTAGAGCTTGACAGCACACAGCACATCACTGTCCCGGTTGGTCTCCGAAGTCGTCCCCAATCCACCTCGCTCAACATGGCGGAAGGCGGGGAATACCACGCTCCCAACACCGCCGTCAATGGCAACGGCGACACAGTCGGCCACAAGACTCAACGGCCTTCCGACGAACAACCTCCTCTGGAGCAGATCGAGTCCATACTGCGGTCAAGAGCAAACACACCAAATCCTTTCAGCCGGCAGCATACAAGTTTAGATCTAGACGATTATTTTGTAAGCTTCATTCACACCAGGCGTGCTGCTGCTGCCATGGTAGTAGCGGCGTGGTGCCTGTTGGCCGCGTGCGTAGCTTCTAGATGCGCGCCGCGGGTTGCGACGAGCTATTGCTGACCATGCAACCTCCAGACCGGTCCTCGAGATATCCTGAAGCATTCGAAATGGCCCATGTTCATGCAGATGCATGGCAGCATCTTGCCAAAAATGATCATACCGCTGTTTATTCTGGGTGGTTGGGCGTCGTGCATAACACTCGTTACGAAACTCACCCATGTCGATCGTATGTTTACACCCATGAACCTCACTGGGTCCTATCTCGAGATGCTAACACAATTACTGCCATAAAGTCAGCGTGCAGTCGGTCCTTCTCACCGTCACCGGTTTCGTCGTCAGTCTTAGCTTGAGCTTCCGGAATTCAAGCGCATACGAACGATATATGGAAGGCCGAAAGTATTGGGCTCAGCTTATCCTGACATCGCAAAACTTGGGACGTGTTTTCTGGCTGCACACTAAGGAACGTCCCGATAGCAGGGAAAAGGACATCCTAGCCAAGCTGTGAGTATCTGCGCTCCTACTTGTCGCGGCCAACAATTACTAATACCCCGGGTCAACCAGCACGGCAATGAACCTGCTTGTCGCATTCGCTGTCTCCCTCAAGCACAAGCTGCGTTTTGAGCCTTACACCGACCACGAAGACCTCAAGAACCTTGTCAGCCACCTCGACACGTTTGCTCAGCAGGCGACTTTGGAGACACCCGAGACCGCTCTGCCACACAAGCACAACAAGCTGAGGGCGACTGGCGAGTATCTCGGGGTCTCGTTTGCGGCCAGCAACCCCCGGAAGGCCATCAAGAAAGCTGTCCGGCCCCTGGGAAACTTGCCCCTCGAGATCCTGAGCTATCTGGCCACCTTCATTGATGATATCATCGATGGTGGGCAGCTGACGGTTCCCATGCAACAGACTCTGGCCTGTAAGCTGAGACTCTTATTTTCCAACCGGCCGATGTGGTCTTGCAAGTCTCGTTCATGTCGCTAACTGCGTTCCTAGACAACAACCTCGCTGCTCTGAACGACGTCCTCACTGGTACCGAGCGTGTCCTCACCACCCCTCTGCCCATCGCCTATGCCATTGCCATCTCGCAAATCACATGGGTTTACGTGTTCCTCCTTCCATTCCAGCTTGTCGGTGTCCTCTCCTGGGTAACCATCCCCGCCACCATCGCGGCCGGCTACATCATCCTGGGCCTGCTGTTCATCGGCCGCGAGATTGAGAACCCGTTCGGGCAGGACGTGAACGACCTGCCGATGGAGCTGTACTGCGCGCAGATCGCATCGGAGCTGGACGTTATCACGTCCAAGCCCAAGCCCCAGCCGCGCCAATGGATCGAGAGCCTCGACAACAAGGTGCTGTGGCCACTGAGCCAGAGCGGCTGGAACGTGTGGATGCACCGGGGCGAGAGCAAGCTGCGCGAGGCGCTCACGACCAAGACCGAGCTGGGCTATGAGGACCGCCAGCCCGCGAGCAAGGCTGGCACCGAGGCCAAGAGTGACGCGACGACTGCTGTGAACAGTGTCTGAGGAGGATGATGACATCCGGATGCGAATAGAGTGGTACATGCGGTCTGGGCTTGGGGCGAAGTTTCAGGTCACATGCTGATGGCGAGTCAACTCGGAGGGAACAAGAGACTGTTCCACCTATCTGAGTCGTTCTCGGCAACGACGACCTGCGCTTGCGCCGCGGCCGCCGCCCATCGCCAAATACCCGTCCTCGACAATTGGAGCGAATTTTCATGGACACCTCTTCATGGCGACAATTTGAGCGTTAAAAAATTGGAGAATTGATTTTATATTTGGTTCATTTTCCGTCAGCATAGTCTGTCTGGATTGCATTGCTGGTCTTCAGGACCCGGTATCACACGCGCAGTAACAGGAGAAAGACGTGGCCAACCAGCCCAACGCATTGGGGAAGGGAGCACAAAATCGACATCATTGATCATATAACCATGGCACGTGGGAAACGGCGTCATCGAATTTCTTTTTTACACATTCACGGATAACACCGGAGGCCACGCGGGCGATCCGACCGTGACGCCGAAGCTACATATCTTCCCCGGCCATGTTGTGAGACATGGGGGTTTGGGAGCGATCGGAGAGAGACATGTATCTTGACGTGTCTCGCGATGGTGCGACAAAGAGGATCTTGCTGGCCGGGGTTTGGGGACTCGGGGTACATTTTTTCTATTCTCTTGTAATACATTTCTAGTGTTTATCCATTACGTTTCTCTGGAAAACTGAGGCCAGCCGGTTTTGGAACGGAAGCCAATGTCTTGTAACTATCACATATCTGCATCCTCTTTAAGTCTGGTCCAAAGTAATAGTGAAATGCCATGCTGAACCGGAACTTGTCCCCGAGAGCGGGGGTGAAACCTGCCCGCGCGTAAAGGAATGGAGTCGTACACGGTTCTCCCGTGATCTCGGTCGTGTGTGCTGGCGGGGGACCTGACCTCCCTTTCCCCCTTGGTGATCTTCGACACACCCCTTGCGCAGATTGGTCGCTTGGACACTGTTGGGATGCGATGGAATCCATCGCCGCGCAATCGGGGCGCATGAGCCTGTCTCGCGCGTCGTGCTTCCGGCCTCGGGGGCTTCTTCGCCTCTCCAGTTGGCCGCCTCTTGTTCTGACCCTCATCCACATGGTCCTTAGCCTCCCGCTCCTCCGCCTCAGCCCCAAGACGAGCCGGAGGCCTTCGTGCTCTTCAGCCTGGCGTCCAGCCCAGCCTGGCCCACTGGGGGCCCGGCCGCCTCCGCGTCCTTGGGCATGCAGTCATGCGCCGGGGGGGTGGCCGGCGAGACACGTCGGACACCCTTCAGCCCACGGCGTGATCCATGTACCCGCTGCGTGGTTGGGCGGCCTTGCGTGGTTGGACTTCGGCCGTTGTGACAGGCTCCCTCTTCTGTGTTGCTCGAGGTCGGGCACAGGGACCGGGGCCGGCCGGTGTGCAGGGGAGACCTGCAGGCGACAAGAAACCAAGCTAGCTTTCAGTGCCTGAGCCCGTGCGGACGGTGTTATCTTGTGTCCCGCCACCGGCTGGGAGATGCCGCAGCTCGGATGGGATTGTTCTCTCCCAACAACCGTGCCCGGACAAGCAGTCGGATGGGCGAACGTGCACCCTACTGGTATGCTGCAGCATGCGAAGAGTGTGCGGACCTCAGCTGGACCGGCTGAATAGGTCAACAGACGCCTGTGCGCCGTTGGGCATGGGGCCTGCGAGGCTGGCCTGGATGATCCTGTGTTACTTGAGATCAGTGAATGCTGTACGGGTGGGGAGACTGAGAGTTGGTGAGCAGATAGGTTCACATGGCCTCATTCGTCAGTTGATTTTGTCATCCTGGTATATCAGATGGAAACTCATTCTGTTGTGCGTAATCATGGGCCAGGGGAAAGTGTTGGGTGTAATTACAATGTACCGCCATAAACGCTGGGCATGGACTCACCGGGTTGCTGAGAACCCGCATACCACCATGCTGGATCTCTCCCGCTCTAGAGGTCCACCGTCTCGTTAGTCAGCTGGCTTCATTAGCAATGGGCATGAGTTCAGGAAGAGATGCCGATGGCCTCAGTGCTGCCTTCTGGCTTGGTTGCGCTTCATGACCAGAAGCTGGCTCAGACACACCGCTTGTATTTCATCGTAAGCCGGGCTGGAGGGAAAAGATGGATAGTGTATTGCCAGAGGGACTTGGGAACCACTCACCATAGTGTCAGAAAGATGATGGTAGCCAAGTGTCTTTCGAGCTCGTGAACGCGGAGTACCGTCTCTTTGTCAAATTGGCCTCGTTTGGGAACAGACAGACGTGATCATGGATAAGGACTTAGAAAGTGTGGCATTGCAGTTGGCTTCAGGGCAGATTGGAGTTGGCGCTTCATACCTGGGTAAAAAAAAGAAATGCCTCAGGGGAGCTTGTCTCTTCTCTTTCGGATTAGGGAGGGGCAGGGAAGGATATTTGTGCTGCCTGTTCAGGCTGGTGCGAATCTTCATCGTGATCTTCCTGCCTTTCGTCTGACAGTAGAGCTGTTCCATGGGAAAATTATCATTCTGAAAAGGTGGAAGTACAGGGCTGCCTATTGTCAACATGGAGCGTGCAAGCACTGCTTTGTCAGATCGAGAAGTGTGTCATCGTTGCCAGGGTAGTGGAGTTGTGTATGTTTATGGCCAGTTGGATGTAGAGAGTACATACCGCGCTTCTCCTGAGGTTCAAAGGTTGATGGAGTGCCGTGATCCTGTCTTTCTGGTCAGTCTCCTGTCTCAGGGGCAAAAGATGTTCGCGTCGGGAGACAATTGGAAAAGCCATCAGAGTGGTTAGGCTGTCAACACATGGGGCTTTGAAGTCCTTTCAGTGCATGAATGGAATGGAATCATCATCATTAAGTAGAGAAATAGAACGGTAAAGAGGATGTGCCAGTGCAGGAGGGAAAGGACTTGCCGTGATGTAATCCTGCCAGTGGTTGATTGTTGCTCCTTCTCTGCTCAAGTCAGTTGAGTTCTCAAGGGGACCGGGGGATCAAGGAAAGCAGATAAATGATGATGGCCTCAGAATCAATCTTTTCAACATGGGGCCCGAAGGCTGCTTCAAAACAAGAAGATACTCATCATTGCCAGTGGCCGAAGGAGTAGGTCTCGGTGCGGGTATGTGCTCAGCTCTGAGAAGGATGGAGAACTTACCCAGAGTAGTTGTAGTGGCACCAAGTACAATCAAGTCTGGGTTTGCTTTCCTTGATGCGCGTTGCCTTCATTAGTTGGGTGATCAAGGATTAGACGAAGAAGAGCAAGACGAAGACAAATTAGATGAAGGCTTCAGGTAGACAAGAACATTCAGTCGTCAGCACGAAGGGTGGCTCCGCTCAGACATGCAAGTCTTCTGTCATCACCGGCTGTGGAGAGAAAAAAAAGGCAAGGATGGGTAGAGCATTGCACCAACCTTTGTGCACTGCGTGATGGGAGAAGTTCATGTATGGTGTTGTGTTGCTGGGACACGTGAGTTGAAAGGAGTTGTTGACACTCCGCAGAGTTAGGGAAAGCCATGGCGAACACAACAGTGGATGCCTGCAAAAGTATCGATCGTCAGTCAACTAGGCTCCGCAGGCAAAAAGCCAGCTCTGTCAGGCATGGTTCAAGGACCAGGTGAGGGCATGGTGCTGAACTGGGAAGGCCCTCAGTCCCGAGTGCTGTTTAGGCAGCGATGTAGAGCAAAGGGCGAAGACGACAGAGGATGGCGAAGTTTGTATAGGGTGAAGAGTTTAAGGGATCGAAACAGAATTAAGGCTTTGAACTTGTGCAACACAGATGTGTGGTGATCAGGGCGATCGTGATGGCGTCCAGCACGAGAGAGGCGTTGGGGAGGTTGTCCTTGGGCTGTATCAGGGGAATGATGAAATGGCAAGAGATGAATCCTGGAGCAATTCTTCTCTTTTTGATTGGAAAGCGGATGTGATGAAGATGACTTCAGGAGGTGAGCAAAGATCCGAGATGATTTAGCACTTGGCAGTGCTAGATGGTGCCAGATGATTGGAGACATTGTCAAGGAAAACACGTACTGAAATTCCCCATGGAATCTAAGTGGAATACATTGACAATCATGAGTCTTCTGGTGGAAGCATGTGTAGTTTGTTTTGTGGAGACTGACACTGACCACATTTCGAGACATCCTACGTGTGGCTGTCAGAGGCGATTCCAAGGGGACGCAGCGGAAGCTACCAGAGATATTCCACGACCAGACCACAACGTAGGGATTTTGAGACATTTCTTTTATTCTACGGAGTCATGAGATCTTCAATAGTAGCACAGTTTGTTTAGATCATCATAGATGGGTGTCTTGGGAGAATCGAAGCAGAGTGATCATCGTCACACCCGGGCCAGGAAGAAGGGGCAGGCCACAGCCGTACCTACAGGCAGGGCAGCTAGCAGGGCCGCTGGTTCGAACAATTGACCTGGGCGAGGGAAATCTCTAGGTTTTCAATGATCTCCCTCTTTCACTGCTGCTGGAGAGCCCCTAGCAGCAATGTGGAATTGCAAGATTCACCCATGCAGTCACAGTCCACCTGGTAACAGGCCATCTCGACGAGTTTTTATAGCCCCAGATTGCTGACCATCTGGACCCTTCCACCTTTCTCTCTTCCCTGATTGCCCAGCTCACTACAAGGAAACTTGGTCTCGGCACTCACTTGGTCCTTCCAACACCTCCCAAGTCGCAACTCTTTTGCCGTCCCAACACAACCTTGGGCCCTTGTCTCCTCAACACCACCGTCCTCGCCCCTTGACTCATCACCAGATACCTTCCATCAAGCTGCCATCCATTCATGCTGCCCATCATGAACTTCCTCATGACCTTGTTCGTTGGCCTTGCCACTCTCACCTGGGGCGTCTTGGCCAACGCCCCCCTGACTCGGGACATCCACTGGGCAAACACGACCACTACCACGACCACGACCACGACAACCGCTACCGTTAAGCCGTCTGTCTGGTGCGGCACCGGTATTCCCTCTGGAAACCTGACTACTGCCTCCAAGACTACATCCGCTGAGCCCACCGTCTACACAATCCCGTCCAACTACACCGTACCGGGCAACGGGTCCGTCGAGCCGATCCACTGGCACCTGTACAGCCTTCAGGCGTTCGCTGACAGGGAGAAACAAATCGCTCAGTAAGTACTCAGTTGATACGTGGGAATGGATTGAAATGCGGACCAATGTCGCTGACGAGCACAAGTTATGCATTCCAGGCCGTCATCCAGCCCAACATCAATACGGTGGTGTGCGACGAGGCTGCGCACTCCTCCCATGGCAAGCTCGATGGGTTTGATCACGCTGAATGCAAGGCGCCAGCCGGATTGTAAGTCTATCTCCCTTGCTTCCAGTCACTTGGATGACACGAGGCCCCTGTTCTCCAGCCGTTTTCATCGTTTGAATGTTGTGACTAACTCCGTCGTTCTCAAAGACCCCCCAAGGACGGTTCGATCCCCGTCACGTTCCACTTCGCCTGGAGGTCCAAGGTGCACAACAACCTCGGCAAGAGGGGAGACCTCCTGATTATCAAGTCCAACTCACCTGGAAGTGCCCACGCCTGTCCGAACCCCCCCTACGATGCCTGCTGGGCCCAGGGTCTGTACTGGATCTCTGAGCGCGATATCAAGCCGACGGATGCGGGACACAGGTACATGGGTCCGGAGACGGTCCACCTCAATGGCACCTACTGCCGTACTGGCATGCCCGAGTGTGTCTGGTCTGAGTATCTGTACTGAGAGGCGAATAAGCGGAAGGCGGACTTGACTGGATGGATGGTTTTGGTGTGTTTTGCTCGAGGAAGATCTGGTGACAATGTCTTCAGCTTTTGGAAGACTTGATCCGCAACGGGTTCGATCTTGATACAGAGCCATGGTATCGATCACTAGGGATTGAGAACCAAGATTCAAATTGGGCTGCAGGTTCGTAGTAAAGATCAGGTCACGCTTTCCCGAAAGACCTCATATTGAAGATATGTGCTTTGTGCTCCAGGACTCTGAACTTTGAAGTGTCCATTTTTGCTTGTAGTGCTCGACGTCTGGCCTGAGGCTGACGTACGCCACGTGAGAACTTCTAATCACAATCTACCCCGGAGACTTCAGTGAGCTGAACGTAAATCTGCACCAGGTACTGGTAGAATCGCCCAGTACTCAAACTACCATATTTGATCAAGGGTTCGTTTGATGTACTGATTGCCCATAGAATCGAGGACTGTTATGTGGGCGGCATCTACTTGGTGCACAATGCCATGATCAATGCTTGACCGGCACCCTCCGTCGTTTTGTACAACTATCCCCCCCCGCCACTCAGCCTCAACTCAGGACATGCATACCTAGGTATATGCCATTTTCATCCATAACACCAGCTGTCGGAGATGTATTCTATCACTTCCTATACTCGACAACGGGTAAACAAGGCCATTTCTACGCGCAAAGCAGGGCCGAACGAGGTAGCCACCACAGCATCCTTCCCGTGACCCATTTTCCGAGTGAATCCAGGACCATCAACACGGCGGCGCTTGAACAGTTGCCCCGCGTCTTACAAATATTTTTTGTCGCACGAAGTTGATCGTCTGTCAGGCCCGGAAGCTTTTGTGCTCCTCTGATAATGGCCTGGCCACCAGGATGCAGTGCCCAGTCAAAATCAAGAACATCGGCCCCACCCAGACCCGTCTTCCCTCGAAGCGTCGGCAGCAACCTCTCAAGTATGGGCGGGATCGCCTTGGTTGTCAGCGACGGCACTTCACGCGTCAGGACCGCCCGATACCCCCTCGCGTCCGCATGAGAGCTCATACTCTCCAACGTATCCGGGATCGTCTCGCTGCCCCATTCCCACAACCGGAACAAACCTCCCTCCTCTAGCCGACCATCCTCCGGCACACCATACTCATTACAGAGAACGAACGCCCCGGCCCCAACCCCAAACAACGCAGCCCCGATGCTCAGCCGGGCGGGGGCCTCGCACGCCTCCGCCTCGGCCAGCTCGCGGCTGAGCATCGGCGTGCACAGCTCACACGCAATGCGCAAGCACGCGCGCGGGCCGTCCCATTCTTTGAGTGCTAGGCGGCAGGCCTCGACTGCGATTTCGACGCCGGCGGATCTGAAGTAGGCGTCGAGGTCGGAGATTGAAGGGGGCCCCGTATGCTCAGCGTTGGTGAGATCGGCGCCGTAGTCGATGGCGGAGCTGCGGGTGTCGATGCCGGTTGTTTTGTTGATCTGAAGGAGCTTCTTCAACCTGCCACGTCCCGGTCGGTTAGGTCGCAATGGGAATCTTGTGAAGAGCACCAAAATACTGCTCGCTGGCTATGTGAAAGGTGTGACTGGAAGAGAGGCCAGACGCTTGTAGACTTACCCGGGCTTTTCGACGTCGTACAATTGCTTCGCAAATACCTCTACCGTCTTTGAACGCAGGCAATACGGAGGACATGCTGATCCAATGCCAGTGATCCACAGGCCTGGAACTGGTGCCGTCGAGTTCTTAGCTCCGGGAGTATTTAAGCTCTCCTCTGTCAGAGAACCCATGGCGAGCGTGAAACAGATAAGACACAATACTATCGTGTCTTGGAAGCGTTGGCCCTCCAAAACGAGGATCTAGAGTTAATATAGTATCTGTACTCTCCCCACTTTTGGGGATGCTGCTTGTTTTACTGTCCACCCCCCCCCCGGCCCCCGGGCAAGATTTACCTAGGTGCCTAGGGATTCAGCGGGCCATGATATCACTGCACCATACACACGCCTGATCGTCACTCAAAAGTTCAGCCAAGGTTTAGGCCGGATTACATGCAGCTGAAGTTCATGTCACCGGGAACTCGTCAGCGAAAAAGGAGGAGCTGTAGCCAGCCACATCAGGGGCGAGTCCAATGCGCGGATCTTGCCGTAGCTTGGATTTAAGAGGCTGCATCCCGTCTTCCAGGCCGGAAGCCATCGTTGTCCTCAAACAGGCTTACCATATTTTCCAGACAGAATAGTCCAGTGGACAAATTCGGTCAAAAAGTCTGGAAGTCTATCGTGCCCCGAGACTCAGTCATGCGAGGTCGGGGAATAATTTGCAGTATGGTAACTAATACGGGCTCGGCTGGAGGACGCAACATGGAGTAAGGGCCTATCCGCCCAACACACCAATTGCAAACAATTGGTCTTGTTTCCGAGTGTTCACTTTGCTCTTCGGATCCTACCTGTACTTGATGCAAGCGCTAATGCTGGCCCCCGAACAGCTGAAGAAGTGGTTGTCTCCCCTATGCGACTGATCTTGGTGTCGACATGGATATGCAGCATGGCTTGCCACTACTAGTACTGTATGAACCTGTTGATTTGAAGTCAAGCGCCTGTGTCACGTGGTTTGACGAGGACCAGTCGCCTGGGAGCAGCGAGTGGAGACTTGTGGCCGATGCTGACAGCCAAGCATCAAGTGCTCCGGAGTCTGAAAATCCGGGCCCCATCTTTCCTCGAGACGAGCTCCATTGGCATATCGTACCCACCCGCATCGGATGCATAGCCGAGCGGCAAACTGGTCTTTTCATACCGTGCTTTTGGGTGGGAGGAGATGATCTTGGCGCTAGCTCACACACACTGATAAGTAGCACGGTCGCTAGGGACGACTGCTTACAGTAAGATTGGCTCGCAGGAACCATGCGGCTTCTCAACGCCAACACGCATAAGCTGGAAAGCTACGACGACGAGCAGTCTGTCCCGGGCGGCTATGCCATCTTGTCACATACTTGGGGTAGTGAGGACCAGGAGATATCCTTCGAGGACTTCAAGGAATTTCGTCGTGGGTTAGGGCCATCCTCGTCATCCTCGTCGCCGTCATCCGATGATATCCAGAAGGCGAGGGCCGCACTTCCCGAGTCCAAAAGTCCCGGGTGGGCCAAGATAGACGGCACCTGCGACAAAGCTCTCGAATATGGCTACTCATACGTGTGGATTGACACCTTCTGCATCGACAAGTCCAGCAGCGCCGAGCTGCAGGAGTCCATCAACTCCATGTTCCGGTGGTACGAAAAAGCGGCGGTATGCTTTGCCTACCTTTCGGACGTTTCGTCGCCGGATGGTGCTGAGGAACCTGACTCAGAGTTCCGGAAGTCGAAGTGGTTTACTCGCGGGTGGACGCTGCAAGAGCTTCTGGCCCCGTCGAGTTTGGATTTCTTCGACAAGTCATGGCGCATGATCGGCGTCAAGTCAGATCTCTCTACGATCATCCAGGAGGTGACTGGCATTAACTCCCAGTACATTATTGGAGTTCCCATGTCAGCCGGCCTATCTGTTTACCAGTGTCTGTCCCGGGCCAGCGTGGCGGAAAGGATGTCGTGGGCTGCTCGCAGGCGCACCACGAGACCTGAAGATCTGGCATACTGCCTGCTGGGAATATTCGATATCCACATTCCCATGCTTTACGGTGAGGGCCTACACGCGTTCAAAAGGCTGCAAGAGGAGATCATGAAGGTGACGGACGACACGTCCCTGTTTGCCTGGGGACTGGGGAGGATTTGGAACTCGTCAGAAGCGTCGAGCATCCTGGCCCCGGCCCCAGAATACTTTGAGCACTGCTCAGACATCGACATCATGGACCTCGTCGACTTCAAGCGCCCCTCATTTCACCTGTCACAGCAGGGCCTGGTGGTCGACCTGCCGATAGTGCAGGACCGAATGTTTGACAACATCTCCTATCTCATCCTCCACTGCGGCATCGCGTCCGATTCCGGCCAAAAAATCAGCCTCGTCGCTGTCCCCATCGTGTCCACTCGCTCGGCAGAGTCCCACCGCGAGTGGGACGCAGATGGGAATTTCGTCAGGCCCACCTGGTGCACCCCCAAGCTCGTGTCGACTGCCTTCCTCGACGCGGCGACGACGGCGAGGGCGCTCATCGTCAGGTCGTCCCCGGCCAACGACCACCTGTGGACCATTCCGATCTCCCTGAAGGCGCCGCAGAAGACCCCTGACAACACGCAATGGAGGCTCCTTGGTCTTTATCCTCCGCAACCGACCAAACAGGGAGGGTGCCTCGTGTCACTCTACGAGTTCCCATATGTCGCCCGCGCGAGCAGTCGGCAGGTCCACCTCGTGCAGCTGTCGGCCCCCACGCCTCAAACTCCCACGCAGCCCTCACGGGATTCGAAGTTCACCCTGCCGCCCAAGGACGGCATGGTCTCCCTCCACATCGACACAGAACTCGGCGCCTTCCTCTTGCTCCTGAACTACGAGATCGCAGGGCCGCGGCAGATGAAGTCTGGCGGTTCTGTGCTTTCCTTCGGGTACTGGTCCTCACTCAAGTCAATGCGGTGCCGTCTGTTCCCTTGCCCGAGGGACAGGGATGCCGAAGGCGTCCAGAAATTCGTGGCGAGGATGTCTCAGACGTCCGAGGGAGTAGGCGAGATTCCGTCGGTAGATGTCGACGGCGACGAGTACAGGGCGCGTTTCGCCCCTCCTGGCTTCGGCGGATACCTGGACGTGTTCTGGGAGACGACGCCCGTCCGCCAGGAGGACCGGCGCCGAGGAAGGACCGGGGACCAGATCCACCGTATCAGTGTTGTTGAGATATTCGTCACGAAGGGAGTAACCAATACGTTGCCACTGGTTAAAAATGAGTAGCTGCCCCAAGGCCGCTCGAACGAAACCCTGACGCGTGCCGTTCGAATGCTCGACATGCACAGTTGTGTAATTATAATCAGGAAATACCCCAATGCAGTAGTTCTATCCGCCCTTGTACCTGGCTTGCTACTCGTTCGGACGGAGAGTGATTTCTTTGGCAGTGCAGAGGAGGCCCGGTTGAATTTTGACCGATTGAAACCTTGTTTCTAACACACTTCGGTATACGTACAGGTCTATGCGGTTGTGATATCGGGTGACTGGTCTAGTCTCTGCCCCCGTGTAATACCCGCTGGCCCAACCTCGGGATGTGCTGTGGTCTCACCCCACAATCGTCTCCGACTTTCACTTGTCCGATTTGGGGTCACGATTCGCCCCCATCCCTGGTCCCTCGGAGCTGTTTGCGCGCATGCACAGCTTTCGATCGAAACTAACCCGAGGAACCGGGTCAAGATCGTCATCGGCAGTTCATTATGCAGCGAGGCTAAGCATACATTGGAACCTCGAATCTTTTGTTGTTAACATGTCGTTGACCTCTTGAATTGGGCAAAACAACAGCCCAGAAACCTGCCCAGATCCTCGTGCAGTGATTCCCCGCCGCCATGAACCCGCAAGATTCGTTCGCTTGGACAACGTTCCAGCCCGACTCCTTCTGGGCGCGGAAACGCAATGTCGTGCTCAAGAATACCATTCCTTTCCAGTTGGAAATGCTGAAATCCACCGGGAGGTATGACGCATTCGACCTCAAGTGGCATCCCATTTACGACGATGAGCCCGCTACGTGGCCGGTGCCCAAGCATCTGTTCTGGGACTCGGACGTCGGGAAATGGATCGAAGGTCTAGCTTACTTTGGAGACCTTGAGGAAGGGGATGACAACCCTCTCGACCAAGCTGCCAAGGACCTCGTTGAGAAGATAAGCAAGGCCCAGCAAGAAGACGGCTACGTCAACATTCATTTCACCGTGGTGGCCCCCAAGGAGCGCTTCTCCAACCTGCGGGACCTGCACGAGCTGTACAATGCCGGCCACCTCATCGAGGGTGCTCTGGCTCACCAGCTACGCTTCAAGTCGGACGAGTTCATAAAGCCGATGAAGAAGTACATCGATCTGCTGCACAAGACCTTTGGGCCTGCAGAGGGCCAGAAACACGGTTACCCGGGCCACCCAGAGATCGAGTTGGCTCTCATCCGATTCTACAAGAGAACAGGTGACAAGAAGGCCCTAGAGCTTGCTCAGTACTTCGTAGAGGAGCGAGGCAACACGACCGGTGCAGACGGGAGACATTACTATGACGTTGAGGCCGAAGCTCGGGGCGAGAGCATACACACTGCACCGTCGTACTATCCCGCTGCACGGAGTTACTGGTACGTCTATCTAAAGACCTGATGGAGGCAGGGCCGCTAACTAGCTCAATGTAGGTATAACCAGGCACACAAGCCAATCCTCGAACAAGAGACCATCGAGGGTCATTCAGTCAGAGCAATGTATCTCCTGACTGCCGTCGCCGACTTGGCCGTCCTCGACCCCAAGGCCTTTGGTCCAAAGTACCTGCCTGCGCTCAAGCGACTCTGGGATAACATGGTGAACAAGAGGATGTACCTCACAGGCGGGATCGGAGCTATCAGCAAGTGGGAGGGCTTCGGAATCGACTACTTCCTGCCCCAGTCCACTGACGAGGGCGGCTGTTACGCTGAGACATGCGCGGCCATCGGCGTCATGATGCTGGCAGAGAGGATGCTCCAGGTCAGTACTCGAAACCGCGCTGCAGCTTTCTTGACACGTACTGAGAAACACCCAGATCGAACTCGACCGCCAATACACCGACGTGCTCGAGCGCGCCCTGTACAATGCCATGCTGACCGGCATGTCCGTCGACGGCAAGGCCTTCACCTACGTCAACCAGCTGGCCACCTCGGAGCAGGATGCGTCCAACAGGCGTGAGGAGTGGTTCGAATGCGCGTGTTGTCCCCCAAACGTGGCCAGGGTGCTCGGGCACATCGGAGGCTACCTGTGGACTGCAAGGACCAACCCCGAAGGGTCCGCCACGGTGAACGTCCACCTGTATGCTTCTGCGTCGCTCGACTACACGTTGGAAGGCACCGAAAAGAAGATAAAATTGAGGCAGGCGACCAATTACCCATGGGAGGGCAGCGTCGAGTTCTCGCTAGAGAATAACGCCGGCGCCGAAGTGGACGTCAACATCAGGATACCGGCATGGGCCGACGATGCTTGGGAGGTAAATATCACAAACCCTGTTCCACCGCAACAATGACTATTCGCTAACAAGGCCCGCAACAGGTCACGCCCAAGCCCCAATCCACGTCCCTGAGCAAGGGCTACCTCCACCTCGACGCCGCCTACCTGAGGAGCAACCCGAGCTTCAGGCTCGCCGTCCCGCTCGCGCCCCGCCTGCTCCGCCCGCACCCCTTCACCCTCCAGCGCGTCGCCGTCCTCGCCCGCGGGCCCCTGGTCTACTGCCTCGAGGACGTCGACCACCCGTGGGTCGCGGACCACTTCAAGGCGCTTGTTCTGGCACCGGCGCTCACGAGGGCGGGAGGGCAGCTGGGCGAGCACGCCGTTGAGGGGGAGAAGAGGGACCTGCCCCTCGGCGAGACCTATGTCGGCGTCACGCTCAGGAAGGGCGGGCTGGTCATCTCGCATCGGGAGCTTCTTCCTTCCCTTGAGTCCAGGGGGTTGGAGGAACTCGTCAATGGCAGGGAGGCTGTGGACCTGCACTTTGTGCCGTATTGGGCGAGGGCTAATAGGGGTGGGAAGCACCAGATGCGTGTTGGCATCAGGACTTTGGATTGATCGATGGATTTGTTTTCGCTATGTGTTAGCTGTAAGAGGACATCTTTTGGTAGTTTCTAGACATGTGACGGTGAAGTAGTTGTTGAACCATACTGAAGCATGAGAGATCCTTCCAATAACAAAATTGTGACGACTAAGTGAATACGAAAGGGAAAAGTATACTCGAACTCCTTTCTACTGTAGCTCTTCAATGGTCTTCGGAAATCACGGCACCGGAGGCCAGTAAATAACACCCTTGTGGTATCCGGTCCTGAGGAGGACGCTGCCAGTCTAGGAATTCCAGCCCTTGCTCCCGCTGGTCCCTGCGACTTTTCGACCACTCAAGTCCGAATGCAGCCTCGTCATCATCCACATCAGAGTCTGGTACGAAGTCATCCAGGTCGTCCTGAGGGGGAGGCTTCAATCCCGGCCAGTCGATGTACTCCGAAGCTTCCGTATAGTGACTGACATTCTGTGCTTGTCGTCTAGAATTGTACCATGAGTCTAGTACTGACCGAAACTCGGCCACGGGATGATCAAGTCGGACCTGTGGATGCTGTTGCCACCTTGGTGGATAGTTGCCTCAGTAACTTTGCGATCCTTGTGGAGGGGAGAGCCTGGCCACTCACTGTTCCAAGCTAAAAATCTTTTTGGAGTCTTGCTCATGGTGAGGTATCTCCCTGAAATGCATGTCTCGCGTGATAATCTCGTAAATTGTGAAGAGAAACCCTTTTATATCGTCTCGGTGTATGCTGTGCTGCTCATGGTCCTCTTCTCGACGCGGATATCCAATGCGAGCAGCGAAATTGAAATCGAAAAGAAGCAGCTTGTCCGCCTCTTCGTCCACCAAAAGATTCCTTGGGGCTATGTCCTGATGCTGGATGCCGTACTTGAGGTTGAGATCATCGACGGCACAGAGGAGCTGCTTCAACCACTTCAGCTTGAAGGTTCGCGATGTGTTCTCCTCCACTGTGCCTCCTGGTATGTAGACACTCGTGAATCCGACGACCACGTCTCGGCCCTCGAGCTGATCCACAACGAGCCTGTCGAACGGGACGATGAAAGGATGCGAGGGCAAACGCATCCAGATATTGAGCTCGTCCCATCGTCTGAACAGAAACCGATCCAGGAAGTAGTATTTGAAGACGGCTTGTTTGGCTTCTCCTAGATTTGGCGAAGCATAGGATGTGAGATCGACATTGGGACCAAGTCGCTCAACCTCTCGGAGCTGCCCTCTAGATACTGCTTGTGTCCATTCCGCACACTCGACATCATCAAAAGCAGGATAGTGAGGACACTGGGTCTCGTCATCCTCAGGGTCTTTGGAAACGGCGATTTCATCCTGTTCTGAGATGCTGATGGCGAAGACGTCTGGGTCAAGCTTATCCACATGTTTCCTAAGAAGATCTGCAGAAGTTGATCAGCGCGTGAAGAAGATTATGGGTGCCTTGCATCTACCTGGGGGACAGAAGAGAGTTTTGAGAAGTCATACTTATTGCGACATCACTATCATACTCTTCTGTGGGAAGGTTGACTGAAATGGTTCGACGTTGATCCCAATCTAGTATGTCCCAACGGCTCGGTCCCCCAGCCGTGATCGCGCCGCCGTAGGCGAAATACCTCCAACTTTCGTCGATCATCTTGTGTGCTCAGCGTGCGCAGTCCGGCGAATCGTGTTGGTATCAGAAGCAAAAGATCTGATCGAGGAGGGGGGGTGGATGTTATCCAAGGATGCACACATCTGCGGCTTAAAACAAGACTTGAAGAAAAGGAAGGTGGTTGGAGGTCAACCGCAAATTCGATGTATGCAACATCGAATTGAACCAACCGAGCGCCTATTTTTAGCCTCTACATATTTCCAACACTCCCAACGTCACATGGACGCTACTCTCATATGCAACCCATCATTCCAAAGTTGCGATAGTGACACACTTATACATAACACAGTTTGCGATTTTAGCTCTTTATAGAAGAGACAATTATAGGAAGGACAATTTATTGCATTATCAAATCATATACTAAATTAACTTTTCCTTAGCCATAACCCGAGTCTTTAAGTCATTATTACTGATTGGCATACTATCAAAAGCTCTAGGTGACGTACGTGAGAGTCATGTGCAAGTACTATAGTCTTTGGAGCCAGAGTACGCCCACCTAGCTTCCACAGTACGCCTACCTAGCTTCCAGCGTGTACCCACCTAGTACTTCCTTTTCTTAGTATTATATTAATAAGATTAGGTACTTTTCTAAGTAAGCATAAAGTTTACCCTATATATAAAAAGCTAGGGTAGCTATAATTTAAGCAATACTTTAAAAATATAAGCCTAAAAAGCTTAGAGCGCCCAAAAGCCCCCAGAGCGCCCAGAGGCCCCCAGAGCGCGCAGAGGGCCCCAGAGCGCGCAGAGGGCGGCAGAGGGCGCAGAGGGCGGCAGAGGGCGGCGAGGGGGCAGAGGGCAGAAGAGGGCGCAAAGGGTAGAAGGGCAGAAGTAACTTTTAAGTTGCAAATAAAGGGGTAGCTATAGGACCCCTTTAGGATAGCTATAGCTATGCTTTATTAATAATCTCATAGTATTAATATTTTATAATGCATGCAGCCAATTTCCTTATACTAAGTGGGCCAACGCTGGAAGCTGGGTGGGCGTACTGTGGAAGCTGGGTGGGCGTACTCTGGCTCCAGTCTTTGATGTATAGAAACAATCTCATTTTACCACAAGTATCTGAACTGTGATTCAAAACTAGGCAGACAAAATTGTCGCCACGTTCATCACCTGCGAAAACTACGGGATTGATATAATCGTACCGGTGTCTGACTACAATGTCCGTAGCATCTCAAAGAATTCCTCAGTTGACCTGCTCGATGTGCGCACCGTTCTGCTCATGTTTCTCTGAAATGGAGCCTGCGACTGACTTCGCCGAGGTATCGACCGCGAACTGATCCACAGTGGTGTACTTGAACTTGCGTGCGGGGACGTGGTTGTCGAACATGAGGTCAATCTCGCCAAAGGTGCGGCCCTTTGTCTCGGGCAGGCGGAACCAGCACCAGATGTTGCACAGGAGGTTGGTGCCGGCATAGAATAGACCAGCCTTGGCGCCCCAGTTCCAGGCTAGAGAGTCTGGATGTCAGTGAAATACTCGACAAGTCACACAAGGAACAGACAAAGAGACCTACCCGTTGCCGATATCATGCGGGGAGTGACCGAGTTGCTGAAAATGCCGGTGACGTTATATATGAAACGGCCGATGGTGACGGTCTTGTATCTCAATCTTCCAGAGGGCGTCTCGGCGACGATGGGGTAGCAGACGGGGCCGATGGTGGTCATGTTTGCCAGTGTGGAGATCACGAGCAGGATACCGATAGCCAGCTGGGACTTCTGGCTGCTGTCGAAGCCAAGGCCGCCTATAGCGACGAGACAGAAGAACATGAATGTCATGCCTCCCATGTAGAGGGTGGCCCTGCCGAGACCGGGCATCAGCAGCCAGCAGATCACACCTCCAATGATGTAGCACGCCGACAGGGAGATGTTGAGGTCGAAAGCCTGGACCTCGTTGAAGCCCGCGGCCTCAAGGAAGACGACCGAGTAGCCGAGAATAGCGTTGCCACAGAGGATCTGGGCAGCCCAGACAACGCAGTTGATCTCGGTGCGGCGCAGGTTGGTCCCCTTGAAGCAGTCGGCAAAGGTGGCGTTCTCGGTCTCGGCCTTCTCCAGCTCGGTCGTGTATGCGATGTAGGCCAGCGTCGTCTCGACCTGCTGGTGGCGCTCGGGGGTGTCCTGGCGCAGCTTCGTGAGGGCCTCGCGGGCCTCGTCCTTCCTGCCGCGGCGGACGCAGTTCCGGGGCGACTCCGGGGCGAGGTAGGCGGCGATGAAGAGGGGGATCGGCCAGACCCACTGGAGGGCGAAGGGGAGCCGCCAGCCCAGGTCGCCCTCGACGTTGACGACGGCGCGCACGACGCCCGAGGAGAGCAGGATGCCGCCACCCCAGCACATGCAGACGTATGCGGTGACGTAGGGGCGGAGGACGGTGGGGACGACCTCGGACGCATACGAGGTTGAGAGGGTCTGGAAGACGCCCCAGGGGATGCCGCATATGAATTCACCAAAGGCGAGCACGGACAGGGACGGCGCGAAGAAGGGGATGAAGATGGCGACCAGCATCCACACCATGAACGTCATCATCGTCTCTGCAGCAAAAGAAGTCAGCTATCAAAGCACCAAGGAAGAAGTTTCATTCGGGTATAGGAAGGACCAGGCCACAGTGTGGCCATGGCTTGTTTCAAAACCTGCAGCCTGACAATACCTTTGAGGTATTGGCTACAGAAAGGATATTGTTTTTCTTGAAAGGGTGAAAATTGTATCCGGATGCTGCTTACGACGGCATCCGAACTTGTCCTGCGCGTAGGTGTTGATTACCAGGCCGACGAGCTGTCCAATCAAGGCCGAATTGGACAGTACGGATTGCCATTGTGCCGTGATGGATTTCGTGTCGGTCGTGGCATCGTAGGTACCGAATCGGTTTTGGAACTGAGTCTGTCCGTAGAAAGAGGTGATCTGAAGCAGAGATGGAAAAGAACGAGTCAGTTACTAGGCCATTCTTGAATGACCTCGCACTTATTGAGGTCCACTTACAATGACCAAATCATACCCTTCCATTACGAGACTGGTCGACAAGATCATGGCCCAGAAGCAAGCCTTCTTGTACTTTTTGATGGCCTCCTTGATGGTGAGCCGCCGGTCGGCAGCATCAGCCTCCTGGGCCTGACGGATCAGGTCATGAGTATTTTCCGAGTCGAGGCCCAGGACTCTGATTTCGTCCCGAGTCGGAACAATGACCTTTTCTTCTGCCATGACGAAAGTGTTCCACGGGCTGATGTCGTTGGACGGTAATATGTGGTGCGGCGGACCAGATGCAAGCGGATTGATACTATTAACGCACCGTTACCTTCGATGCTACAGGTAGCCCGGAGGAAGCCTGCCGTCGATCAGGGCTCGAGAGGACATGCGGCATGTGATATACGGAGGGTCGTCCGCGTGCCTGGAAATATGCCGTCGCCTAAGTAGTGGACTAAGCCACCCCACAGAGGTGCCCGAAGCTTTCGCGGCACTCTACTGTGTAGTAACTCCGTCACATCAGATGACAGCTACATGGTTCGGGCTCGGGTGTGGGGGTGGTGGGTGTCGGCGGCGGAGGTGGTATTAGAGCAGAAGCGGGCCAACCAGCGCCTGGCATTAAACTTAGTATGGGCTATTTCGAGCACGGCACTACAATTAGCATGGAGGAAGCGGAGGTGGCGGGGTCCATAGTATTTGGAGATGGGGGTGGGCTAGCTGGAGAAAGGAGGGACAGAGCACTTGAGGGTACAAAGTTGAGCCGCGACAATCACTGCAGCTCTATGAGTATAAGTGACATCGGACTCATTGTGCTTTTGACTTGCGTGATGTAAAGTGGGCTGCCCTTCGTGGAATTTCTTGGATATGGTACTCTGGAATTTTATTCGAGCTCTTGGACGTGGCTTGTGTGATATTCATTTTGGTGGGCACGTCGTATTTCCCATCTCAAAGCGGTCGCTGCTCCGGGACCGTTGTAAAATATAAAATCGTGGCCACTCCTCACCTTGAATAGAATTGTAAAATGTGATAACCGTGCTCTCCTGCTTGACAAGAGATATCCCTCGTCGACCATGCGCACTGCCATCCATAGTTGTCTAGGCCTGTTGGCCGCCACGGCCGTGGCTAACCCGCTCGAGCGCCGCCAGTCAACAACGGCAGTCGTGAATTTCGGAAACAACACCGGGACGCCACAGCACCTCGCCTCGGGCACCCTGTATGGTCTGCCTGACGTCTTGTCACAGATTCCCGACCACTTCTTCACCGACATTGGCTGGAACTATGAGCGAGCCGGTGGTGCCCAGACATCCGGCAAGGGCTGGATCGGGGGCCTAGCCGCATACAAGTGAGTCGTCCACGTCTGCAAATGATGTTCAGCTCCACTAACACGTCTTAGATCGCGATTCGCTAGCGCCCTTGTCAACTACAAGACCACTATCGCTCATGGCGGCACCTTCATCCTGCTCATCCACGACTTGTGGGGTGCGGATGGCACTCAGGGCTCGTCGGCAGCATATCCTGGTGACAGCGGAGACTGGTCCAGCTGGGACAACTACCTTACTCAGCTCTTCTCGGACATAGCCGCCAATGGCATGACCAACAAGCTGGTCATCGATATCTGGAATGAGCCTGACTTGTCCGCTTTCTGGGGCCGAACCCAGGATCAATACTTGCAGATGTGGGGACGCACCTACTACAAATTGCGGTAAGTTGTGCTAGTAGAGCAGAACATTCTTCTATGCCTTGGAAGGTGTATGTAATTCTCGTACATAAAGAACTGACGGTCTTATCCTTGCGTACAGTGCCCAATATGGAACCAACGTCCAGCTCTCCGGGCCCGCCTCGGCCGGTGAGCCCCTGACCTCCAACTCTTGGTGGCAGAAGTGGGCTTCGTTCGTGGCGTCCAACCGTAGCATTCCCGACCAATATGCATGGCATATGGAGGGCGGCGGCGGCGACCTGATATCTGCCAACGGCGGGCTCGTCGCTACCCTGAAGCAGCACGGCCTCCCCTCGAAGCCCATCAACATCAACGAGTACGCCGTCCTCAACGAGCAAGTCCCCTCCGGTTCCGCGTGGTGGATCGCCCAGCTCGAGCGCATCAACGCCCACGGCCTGCGCGGGAACTGGCTCAGCGGCAGCAACCTGCACGACTACCTCGCCTCGCTCCTGGGCAGGTCGGGAAGCACCTACTACCCCAACGGGGACTACCAGGTCTACAAGTACTACAACCAAAACATGACCGGCCACCGCGTCGGGACCACCCCCTCGGCCGACCTGAAGCTCGACGCCTACGCAACCGTCGGCTCGTCCTCGGCCACCGTCCTCGCCGGGGTGCGCATCAGCACCGGCACGTGGACGCTGCAGCTCAACGGCCTGTCCGCCCTCGGCCTGCCCGCCTCGGGGACCCTGGACGTCCAGACATGGGGCTTCCCCGTCGCCTCTGACGTCCACTACGGGCGCGTTGATGGCCCGACGAACCTGGGCGTCTATGGTCACGCTTACAGCGGTAATACCGTCAGCTTCCCGGTGTATCAGACGGATGCGAATACGGCGTATGCGTTCCAGTTCTCCATCTGAGTGGGTGAGGGTTGTCAGTGGGACAGGGGAAAACTTTCGAGGTGTTGAGCTAGGAAATATGTACATATCATCAATCTTCTTTTGTAAATCTAACAATAAATTGCACGAGGCTTGGACTCTATATTAAGCGTGAGGGCCGAATCAGCCATTGTTGGCCGTGAGAAAAGTGAATACTAGAGTTATACACTGCCCAAGTATAAACAGTACGGCAATACAGTATATGGATTAATTATACAGCGCATCATATTCAGCCAATGGTTAAGTCTGTACATATGCAAAAGCAAGACTAGTCTGGTCGAAGGCCCAATGTAACGTGTTCGATTTATTCGCTGATCGAATGCTCATCCCTGGCCCCCGAGTGTGTCATTGGTTCACTCGCCTACAACAGTCCATCAAGACGATGCTGGTTGGCGGGTCTGGAGACCGGAACCCGCCTGCATCCACCGCGCGTTCTGGCTGCAGAAATCGATAAGCCGGGTGAGCACTTGCAGGTACCGCTGTCGAATAGGCCACCTGTCCAGGGTGCTGAGCAGCTTGCGCCCCTCCTTCAGCATCCGAAGCGGGCCACTGGCGGCTGTGATGTTGCCGACCCCCATGATTGTGGCGGTCATGGACCTGCCCCGCTTGATGAAGAGTTGCACGAGCTCGTCATCGCAAGGACGATCGAGGCGGATGGATGAGATGTCGTCGAGATCGCATGACCAGTCGTCGTCCTCGCGCGGGCGACTATTGTTGTTGCTGTTGGGTCCTCGTAATGACGTGCTCGGCTGCTGTGGAGGACAGAGGCTGCCGTACGCCCAGACCACAAGCGTCACCAGGAACACCTTGGTCGGCTCGTAGAAGGCGTCCAGGGAGTACCGCCTGACGTGCCAGAAGAGGATGCCGCAGTGCACGAGCGCGAGGCGCGCCTTGAACTGGTCGTCCGCGATCCACTTCTGCACCCGCTGGCACTCCGCCCGGAACCTCGCCGCAGCCTCGCCGTCTCTGACATCCTCCGAGACCAGCAGGTCGGCCATTGTCCGTATGGCCTGGTACGGCGCGAGCAGCACGATCCGAGCAAAGTGCAGGTGCAGAACGGTCGAGTTCTCGGTCCCGGCCTTGGCGATGTCGCTGTTTGCGATCCAGTGGAGTACGTCCAAGCAGTCACATGCTGCGTTTCTCCATTGGTTGTAGAGGGGTATTTGTGGTAGCCAGACTGGGCCGGTGAGATCGTGCGACTCGGCGTCTCCTTTTTGTGAAGAGGGCGTCCAGCGGAGTAGTGGCCTGCTGAGCATTGTGCCAACGTCCCACGTCTGACAATACAAGCCATGAATTAGAAGAACTCGTGCAAAGTCTCCGGTATTTTTGAGTAGTCGCTTCTCCACATATAGTACCCTTAATGCCTTTTCAAGGGTGGGTTGTTTGACAGGGGCCTGCATATGGTCTGTTTCCGCCAGCCAGGTGTCTTCTTTGCAGGACAATGCAATGTTGGCATAGTCCAGCAATAGGCTCGACTGTGCATTGAAATGGTACCGAGACATGTTCTCGATGAACCAGACTGCATGGCAAAGGCGCCGCGCACTCTCCGAGAGCACCCAGTCTCGCCGACCTTGAGATTCCGCGTCGTCCCGTAGGACTGCGGGGTGAGTCTTGTACAAGGATGTATATCCGCGAACAAGATCCTCGAGTGCCGTCGACTTGTGTCTCTCCAGCCGGCTTGAGCCACAGTACGCCATGCCGATATAGTTGAGGACTTTCGACTGAACAAAGCCAAGCGACTCCGTAGTAAGACGCTCGATCGAGAATATGGCTCCTCGGTTTCGCAAGATTCGCCGAAGAAATTCGTGAAGCGCGATAGCCAACTCCATGTCTCCTGTGTCGAGATACTGACTCCCGATGGCCGACATGGCCAGCTTGACGACCCAGGATGATACCATGTCACTTTCCAGCTCATGGTGGATCATTGGAAGTACTTTGGGGTCGAAGCGCCGTCTATAAAGCGCGAGAAGCGTGGTGAAGGCGGACAGTGGCGGGAGCTCAGCCGAGAAAAAAGGCCCATCGTTGACGAAGCCAGTGGGTGCCAAGCAGTGATCCCGAAATGCTTGGCGCATCATATAGTATTCCTCAGGGCTGAATGGTCTGACCCATGCGTTCGAATACTCTGCTGAAAGGTTTGGCATAGGCCCCGACATAAAGCTAAAGCCGTCTGGTTCTGGTGCCATCGCCGGGAATTCTGGACGAGACCGTGGAAGATCGCTGGGAGTTGCCTCTCTAAATATCCTGTTTGCGTACCGGCCGTTCCGAGGCTGTCTGGCACCTTTGTTGTCCACATAAGATGTCCCCGGCGTTTCAGCGTCGTTCGAGTCTGGAAGAGTCCCCGGGGTCGATAGCGACTGGTTGTCGACCGGTCTCATCATTTGCGTCGTTGAAAGAGCCTGACCAGGCAGGCCATTGACGTCGGTGAGTGAGCTCCAATACTGCTCGCTTGGAGCTATTGGGTTGTAATCAAACTCGGTCAGGTCGAATTCCATGGATGGCGAGATCCAGTTCAGTGTGGATATCATGTAGGTGCTCGTCTCCTGCGGTGCCAGATCGACGGGTTGGACCTGCTGTTGCATGAAGGTGTGTGCTTGTGTCCGGTGCTCTTGTGAAGTCGTCATCGCTGAGTCTTGTTGCTGCGACGGAGCCGTCGCGGTCGGTTGCATCTCATCACTCTGTGGGCTCTCGTATTGCACATTCTCACGATGTGCATCTGCCCCCGCTGAGGAGCCATCACGCGCCTCGCTGCCTTCGGGTACTGTGCAGGCTAGCGACTTCTGCCTGCATCGCGTGCATGGTGGGACGCCGCTGCATTTGACGCGAGAGGCGGCGCACCTGGTGCAGGCGCGGAACCTCCGCAGCGGTACATGACGGCGGTGGACCCCTTGATGTCTGTCTAGAGCGTCCCTATACGCGGGTTATGCCATCAGCGGACGTTTCTCCCGTGAATGTATCGCTTAGAGGTAATGAGAGAGGAGCGGACTTTCGACTGAATTTCCTGCCGCAGACACCGCAGACGCGATTCCTCTCCTTGGTATGCGTCGCCACGTGCCGCTTTAGATGCTCGGCCCGGTCAAATTGTCGCGCGCAAATCGGGCAGGCCTGTCGGCTGGGTGATGGCTGCTGAGATTGACTCTCCATCTACGAAGGAAGTCCATAAGTCCGAAATCTGCATCTCATAGGTTGACTGTTTAACACGATGAAGTGTCATGGTCAAAGTTGGGCTTGCGCTTTGGGCAATGTGACGTTGAGGGGTCCGGGCTAACCTTCTCCGCTCTCCAGCATTCTCCTTCCGGGCCGGAGCCGAGACGGGCCATCTTGCTGAACTTGGATGGGCTTACATACCTGGTCTACTCTGAAATTGGACTAGTAATATAAGCACATGTCGTGTGGTCGTGGACGTTTATGGAGGAGGATATTCATCGTGCGGAAAACCACAAAGTCGATGCTTCGTTTGGCAAGATCAACTGAATGTCGCAGATGCACAAAATCGAGTGTCCCCTAGGCGCTGAGATCACTGGCGATTTAGTAGAAGATTTTACTGTCCTCCCGAAGTCAGTGTGAAACTCAGTTTCGCCAGTCACACCACACAGAATCAAGTTTTCAAACTTGACCAAGACAGAAATGAAATTCGCGTGCATCCGGGCGACACTCTACTTCGCTGTATATCAGAGCACATCAATTTCTTCAACATTGTTATGGAAGCTGGGACCTGGGGCCCAGGCGCAAGGTGAATTTGTGCTTGCAAGTCAACCTTGCAGTTTCGCGGGCGCTCTTGCGCAAGGGGCGATACGACGACGGCAGGCTTTCTCCAAGTCTCCCAGGTGTTGGGCCGAGATGCGGTGACATACCGTCCAGTTCCAAGAGAAGTGACAATTATAGGTAGAAATCTTCAGCGTCTCGTCGTCCTTTATATTTTTCCCCTGTGGATATCTTCAGCAATATACGATGAGCTATTACATTGCAGACACCTTGACTGATAAACTGGACGTATCTGAAAGAGGTCTTTGATATCGGTGAGGTCATGACAGTGACAATTGTACTCGAATTAGTAGTGCACAATTGTCTTCGTCCCTGGATGTGAACGTAATGCTGGTTAGTACGTGCTTGAGAGACCCGAACACCCCGGCAGCGCAGCAAAGGTGGCTCTTAGGGTCACTGCGTCACATTCCAAGGTTCTTAGTGATACGGACAAGCGGTATGATGTGAAATACATATGGCAGTGACACAGCATGGAAAAGTCAGAAAAGCTCGCCAGGCTGCGTTAGTGGCCGTCTCCATCCACAAGGTATTTGGTTTCTGACTGACACTTTCACCGAAACAACAATTCTTGGTCCTACAATTGCAAGTCTACCACCACATAGCAACCTCATACGGCTTGAAGTGACTACCAGCTGTTCTTCTGTCGACCTCAGTCACTATGAGACGAAGCTAGGCACGGCTCACCCTGGGTTTTCTATAAATTGCTGCATTCCACTCTTTGACTTCCTTTTTCTTCCACTCAATCGATCATCAACCCAGACTTCTTTGCACGGCACAATCTTTCGCAACCTCAAAAAGACACAACCAAGCCCAAGAAACCACTCCACGCATCGACACTCGCAAAGCCTGTACATCGGCCTTCCTTTGCAACACCAACGGGAAGTCAAAATGCAATACGGCAGCTGTGTCAGTAGCGGTGAGAAGCTGGCCACCGAAGACATGAATGCCGGCACTGCCAGAGACGAATCGAAACTTGCTTCCTGCCCCTGCAAGGACGCGACCTGTCCCAAGGGACACGGCAGCCGCGGCTGTAATGTCCGGACGACCAACTTGTGTCAGGACTGCAAGGCCCATAAAGATAAGCAGCCCAAGAAGTAGGCTTGGAACACAAGAGCCCGCAAAGAAAAGGGTACCGTGGAGGCGAGCGATGTAGCGACTGGGGGATCGGGGAGCCGGCGTTGGGGATTTAGGAGGTTAGGCGATAGTTGCAAGAGGCATGCACGCACCACCTCACTGCATCAATTACGAATGTCACTGCTTGTCTATCTCTAGCCGTCAGTCAGCTACAATAAATTGCGCTTTCGCTCCTGGCCCCCCCCCTCCCCCATCACGGCTCAATGTCCCTGTGAACATCCCATTTGAGTTTAATTATATATATATGCACTAAGTTCCAGAATCATTGCCAGATTTCGGGAATATCCCCCTTCTTTTCTTGCTCTCACTTCGATGCAATTATATGGTTAGACTCAATTTTACTAAGAAATAACCACGTTCACAGTAGCTACCACAACATACTAGTATCCTGATGATCAGTTTGGCGAAGTCCCCAGTGGAATTATACGCCTTCGTGTCCCGGGCTTGCTCCGTGTCATTATTGATACGGAGGATTGGCTTCAAGGACAGCAATTCCCAATCCATATAGTTGCTCTTCGAACAATCAAAGACAAACATTTCTACAAGACGTGGTCTCGGTCACCTCGTTCATTGATCAATCAGTGCTTGTATCACAGCGAGCGGTGAGTGGGTAGTTCCGCGCCTTGGCGAGGGTGGTTTAGGAATTCGACCCATCTACCAGTCCTCATTTGGTGTGACGCCGCGCGAGACTGAATCCTTGGGCCCGCTTTGCCTTGTCCCGGATGTTTTTCCTTCCGACATCAACACATTTCAACCACATCCAAGAACGTCCTGAGTCTACTGCTTTCCGTGCCGCTAGCCCGTCGGCTAATAAAGCCTGTGGACCCCAGTTGTTGTCGTAGTGAATCCTGTGCGGAGTCTTGCCGCCCAGCTTTTGCTCAAATTGTATTTATGCAATCGGCATTTCACAGCACGCTACCAATGTCTGAATAACATACTGTGAGCTCTTGAGACTATGTACTGTTGCTGTTCTCGTTGTTACTCGTATTTGTTTTTGTTTTTTTGTAAAAAAAAAAAAAAAAAGGTATTTTCGGTGCGTTATTTCTCTCTTGTCCTGAATAATGTACGTGGACACAATGTGGGAGTCCCCTACATCCGATGGAAATGCCCAGCCCTCGCCCCTGCTGTTTTCGAGTGAAGGAGTGCATTGCATGACCACGATGTCGCTCCTGCTCCTTCCACAAAGGTCCAGAGCGGCGAATACGTGTAATGAAACCAACGCTCTTAGATGTTCGAATACGACGATAATTCGCATGGACAATCCCTCGCCGCCATAGCCGCCCAAGCCTCTATTTCCAAATCAGTTAGTGGTGATGCACACACGAAGGCAGCACAGAGAATTCGGAGGCTGTGTCGTATCATTCAAATTATATAAAGGCCCTTGATGTAGTCCCTCACGTTAGGTTCAAATCGTAAAGTTCCCATCTCTATCAGCCTCATCAAGCGGATAAACCTTATCAATCAGACAATTTTATTCGGCTCGGATTATCACCCTCAAGATGCAGTTCCCTACCTTCAAGCTCGTTGTTCTCACAGTTCTGGGCTCCGCTAGCAGCGTGAGTGCCATCTGCCCCGGCTTCAACGCTGGTATTGGCCACCAACAGAACCTAGGCGGCGGTGTCTCTCGATGTGAGTTTCCATACAAATTTCTTCTCGTTTTGTTCCGGGCGCTATTTCAATCATCTGGTGAATAATAAGGCGTGTGACTGATCAGTCTGTGGATATGGACAGGGACGGTATACGATACCAATTGCAGGGCCATCGATAGCCTGACCACCACCGGAAACCCCTGCGACTCAGGAATGTTTGGATGCAGCCCGCCACCTATTATCTTCAACAGATGGCGGTACAACGCCAACGGATTGTGGTTTTCATGCCGCACAGATTCCAGAGCTGGAGCCTGCGGTGGAGACTCCATCAGCGTCTGCGTGAGTCTACACCATCTACTCCATTTAGCAACATCAACCCAGAGTCCATACTTCAACCCGACGGTTGGGCGAGCTAACCTGGTGATGTAGTGCCGCAACGACGGCGGCAGGTTGGCATCGTTTGAACCGGAGGAGGTTGGGCTAGACCTCACCGAGAAGGAGTTCACTGAGGAAGAATTATCCGAGGAAGCAACCCCAGAGGTAGCCTAAAAGTCATGACGAAATCTCTGCTTCGGTTTCAGCTATCCAAGCACGACTCGAAAATATGCCGGGGTTGTGTTGCAGTGGCATAAAGATTAGACCGCCTGGGCATTCACTCTACACTTAAGTACACAACTACGCATCGAGATTACCACGATTTGGACTGGCGAGGACCATAAAACCAACCAAAAGAGACACTTCAATTCTTCTCCACCATGTTCACCGACAGTGATAAGCCAGGACACTGGATTTTGAAAATAGAGATTCTCATCTTTGTGCGAACGCATGGCCACAGCTGTGAACACGCAGGCAGATACGGGCTCCAGTTTCAATTTTTGCCATGTTCTCATGGTGTTCGTTCTTGGACATAGTCATAATGCAACTGATCCAGGGGAGCCTGGGTGAATTGAGGCAGGATAATTTAGCTTTCTCATGGGAACAGGTCGATTAAAAAGTCTCTTTGTATTCAAATATGTTCTCCACTCTCCATCGATATCAGGCAATCCTACCAGTCTCCAGCCAGTGAGAGACTTGACAATGGAACGCGGTCTAACAAAGTGGCTTGCTCTCTAAGTAATTGTACATCGTCTAAGGCATTCTCCAGCCAGTATCCCGGTTTATTCACTGACCCAGATTGATCAGCACTCTCGTTCTCTAGCGAGCGCCACATCAGCCTGCGTCTCGGTGCCGACTCAAAGAGGACCTCTGGTCCGTCTTTCGGAGAGTGACTATCGAGTGACATCCTTGCTCGGAATACATTTGTGGGTATGGCCACAATGTATCGTGTAGTGTCCCAGCCGGACGAACGGCAGAGTTCTCGCAGCATCTCATCAAGAGGCTGCAGCATGGCCGGCTCAGAATGCCTCACGATGTCGTTCACGGCCATCTGCGGTGGGAACCAGACGCCACGAAGGGTTAGGTGGAGATACCTGAGGCGCGGAAGAGATTTGGGTAGTTGACCCAGGAGTGACAAGAACAAGCGCCAACCGTCAAACCGCGGCTCGGCTGAGATGTCTTGGTCCGTCACTGGTGGCTGTGCCACCTGGCCCAGGTCCCAACACATCTCGACTGACTGGATATCAGAGAGTGCATTTGCGGGTAAGAGGCTCGGGAGGTTCTGGATTAGAGGCATGCCGGAGATATGGATCCGGTTGGTAGAGTAGAGGATATCGATGCCTTCAATGTACCTGTCAAGATGATCAGCCGATGAAACCACAAACGGGGACTTGCATCCCGTGTGCTCCCCTGGGTGAAAGAACGTACGCCTGCCTACATGTCATGAGCCAGCCCATGACGCCCAAATAGCATCTCGAAATATCGCCGGTATCACCAGGAGGAGCATCACATGACTGAGTACTTCTCCGGAGACATGTGTCGGCCGCAGGCTGACTCGCCAAGTCTCTCGCGTCTAGCTTGGCGCCTTGCATGTGCCAACGCTCCACGAACCAGACCGGATCTCGGTGACACACGCAGCTGTACCACTGCCAGGCGCGAGGCTTTCTCACCTGGCGAGAGGCCGAATGCCCCTGGTCGAGGACGTCGACACCGCCCGCGTGCATGATCTTCCTGGGAGGCCTGGCCCGCAGCGGCCGGTCGTACCGCAGGTCCATGTGGACGACGCGGTCGCCGAAGGCCTCGACGAGGATCATCCGGCGCAGGTCTGGAGACAGCCGCTCAAAGAAGATGCCATTGTGCGGAGCTGGGACTGTCGTGGTCACGTCTTGTGCGGCGGTGTTCTCGCCGCGTGGAGGTGGTGGCGGCAGAAATGGCAAGGGAGGTATCTCGATGGTGTCATGGCTCTCCTGCCATATTTGACGCTGGGCCCAGTTGATGAGTGTGCTCCACATTGTATGACGACGAAAGATGGTTCGTCTTGTGAGGCGTACGGCGTCGTGGGAATGGTGTTTCTCCCCCGCGCTTACCGATATATCAAGTCAAACCCGGTAGTTGGTTGGCAAGCTGGCGCTTGCAGGCGCCAGTCTGATGTTTCAGCCGCAACGCAGCCCAATCACTGAAGCTTACGTATGCGATCTATAATACTGGATGTACCCACTAATTCTCTTCTTTCACCCCCATTGCTTTGTACTCCCACCCACCAAGGCCACACCCCTCCGGATAACCTCCACAACTGCATTTTTGAAAAAGGCTATAATATCAATGAGGCCATTTTATTTTCTCTGAACAAGGCTGCACATGATTCTTAGAAGATACAGACCGGGCGTGCATACAACAAAATGGCCCCAGGCCATTATGGATGACATATCAGTCCTCAGTTGGCGCGTGTGCGCATCAAGGGGCCAAGTCTATTGCGTGCATAGAGGTCTACAACTTTGTTGATGCCGTTTCCCAGCATCTAGCGGTCACCCGTTCAACGATTTGTCTCAGTAGTTCACAGTGATGTAACATGACACGCCCATTTCACACATTCATTGGACTTTTGTCATTGCCAGGATCAGCTTTTATTGTGATTGAAGCAAATCAATTTCTGTGTGCCTTAAGAGTTTGACGAGGGTGGCGGATATTTGACATCCAATAGGTAGAGGAATTGCATGCGGCATGCGATTGCACTCCGCCCAGAACGTATCAAATTCACCGCTCGTGTAAATAAACCAAAGAAAGGATATCAAAGGAGTGACGTCGAATCAAAGATCAAATTCAAGCAACCACATTGCGTCTGAAACACCCCGCTGACACCCTCCACCAGAACGAAATGGCTTGATCAGCTGAACTGAATAGCCTCTGTCACTGCTTAGTAGTTCAAGATATCGTCCTGGGACTCTCGGCGATAGTTTCTCGAGATATCATCTGGGGACTGTCGGCGGTAGTTTCTCGAGATGTCGTCTGGAGACTGCCTCTTGGAAGCCTTCACGTCGTCCTGGGCGTCGCGGCGGTAGTTTAGGATATCGTCCTGGGATTGGCGCGCAACAGCATCGCGGCGGTAGTTTCTCGAGATGTCATCTGGGGATTGCCTCTTGGAGACGTTGGCGTCGTCCTGGCCACCGCGGCGGTAATTCAAGACGTCGTCCTGGGATTGACGGCGGTAGTTCAAGATGTCGTCCTGGGACTGGCGCGCAACAGCTACATTGCCGACGGCTGGGTATGATGAAAATGTCAGCATGTTTTGTTCTGGCGGGTATGAACATGTGCGCTTGGGTAGAAATGAAACGGGCCGCACACTTACAGCCTGCGGGAGCTGCGAGGGCGGACAGGAAAGGTGTAAGCAGGAGGAGGGTGGCGGGCTTCATTTTGATGGCTCGTGCTTGACGATCTGAGAGGCTTCAATTGCCGCTTTTTTGAACTCTTGCTTGATTAATTAGATGAATTTGGGGTGGATGCTGATGGACAACGGGAAAACTCACTTATACCAACGGAGACATACCTCCTTTTTATACTTCGAGGCACGCGCGCTCACGGAACGTTCTCACTCGAATGGGGGACAAAGATCGCATTCCTATCTCCTTCATCGGGACCAATCCAGGCATCCGTGCCGAACTCGGCTCTATTGCACTCTCCCGGCTTTCAATAATTGGATTGGAAAACTTCCGCTGACTCTGCCCGAAAATACCTCTCGACTGTGGGTTCCACCAAGACACGCGTCCGACCATATACATATGGCCCTATCGAATGATCAGAATGTTGAGCAGTAAAGCTTTGGGCTGAAAAGGGTCAGACTCCGAGGCACGGCATCAAATACAGTGGGAGAGCAGTAAGCGCTAATTCGTATGAGACCTGCATTTGCGACCCTTTGCTCCAATAGCGGCGATGGCGACATGAGCTTGTTTTCACGTTTGCGGTTATTTGATGATTTTGGAGAAACAGCGCAACTTGTCATGTCATTCTTGCATGTGCAGTGCATGTAAGGATCTGGTTCAGGCCGCCCACATCGATATGTGTCTCAGTGTCAGCTGGCTACATTCGATAACTCTTAGGTCGTTGCTGTTTGTAGGATCGTTTTTCCCAGTACCCCTTATTCTCTTCATCCTTTCTAGTTCAATTTACTGAACGAACTCAACAAGGCAGAACATCTCGATCTCAATATCTCGCAACATGAACAGCTTCAAGTGGCCTGGTCTCATGTCTGGCAAGCAGGCTTACCGAGAGATAAGCGATGAGGCATCATTTGACATTAGTTCAGAAGACCACCTCCTGGGCGAGGAAAGCCAAGTTCTGAGGTTCAAGAGGGATAGAGGAAGCCCCCGGTTTCTCAGTGTGGCAACAATTCTCCATCTCGCTTGCTTCACATTCTACACTGCCTTGTTTTTTGTCTTGCGCATCTCTACGCAGAGCGAGTGCGCCTATGATCAAACCCAAGTGTGGTGTAAGTCAGACTGTTTTTATCGAACAGGTGAACCTTAATGGAACCCAGCTAATTCAGGCTCCGCAGCACCGGCCAGATCAGCACTGAAGCCCACCAAGTTGCTCTTCCAGAACGAGATCATGGACCCGAATCCCTTTCGTGGAATGCCACGGCCAGAGTTGGATGAGGCCTGGGACGAGCTGACACAGTATACCAGCATCAAAGTCACGGCTGAGGACCTGAGGCGAATCAACCGTACCTCGGTGCAGCTCTCTGATGGCTCGGGGATGTACTTCAGCGGACTGAATGTGCATCATCAACTGCACTGCCTGAAGATGATACGGCAGGCGATGTATCCAGACTACTATTTCAAGGGCGGAAAGCCGCCCCGTCACCAGGAAGATCACATTGATCACTGTATTGACAGTCAGTTCTCTCTATTTTACACCGCCTTCATTTGACAAGGTTTCTTCAATCATGCCACCACCTGCGGCGATACTAACAGGCCTCAGATATCCGAATGGTTCTGATGTGCAAAGCCGACATCTCCCTCGCGACTTATGACTGGGTTGATAACAACCGAAAGCCTCTTACTCATTTCCATACCGAGCACAGCTGTTACGACTTCGCATCTGTCGATGACTGGGCCCGCCAGCATAACGTGAACATGTACGACAACGTGTCGCTGGTCCACCCTTTTCTTGGTGAGCGTGGGATCTTCCCGGAAAATACACATGCAACACGCGCCGCAGGTAACTGACCATTGTTTCCCACATTGAAAGGGACGTCCTACCCTCTAGACGCCAATGGAAAGCTGGTGGTCACCGAAGACGGAGACCCCTTCCTAGGGAACAAGATAATACCGCCGCCTGTTTGAATTTCCTTGATTCTGGTGGTCTCATACCACAAGAAATCCCCCATGGAGGACGAGAGGGTTGGGGGATCGCTACCTGATGCACACAACAGGCAGCGGGTGTCTCGCCACACATCGATAAGCCAACTTTTCCCGTGGACTGATGTATTGAATGGGATTTCTGCAGCTGTTATGAGATAGGTTGCTCTGGGAATCTGATTCAGTGAACTTTGTCAAGAAATTGAGCTCTTTTTCAGGCGGCTTGTCGTCTTCTCGGCCAGAAACTGAGATTGTGAGACGAAAACGGTGGTGGTTTTTTTTTGTTGTTTTTCTTTCTTTCTTTCTTTCTTTTTTTTTTTTTTTTTTTTTTTTTTTTTGCTATCTACAGACCAGGTCCGAAACGACCAGGATCATGCCAACAAATCATGTGCTCCATAGCATCGTACTAGCTGGACTGTAAGGATTTTACGTGCACATTGCAGAACACAAACCACCTGAATTTACATGAACTGTCACTTGATAGATTGTCCTAGACTCACTGCTCGATAATTCGAAATGTGGAACCGTTTTTGCACTACCCAACTCCGGGAACCCAAACCAGCGGTGAGGACTGAGCCGTTGGTGGTCAGCGTCGTCCGTGAGACATGCGGCTGCTGTCGATAAGAACGGAGACATCAGCCCCAAGCGAGAACCCTACGGACCTTTTTTGGAGCTAGCCATGAGACATGGAGTGGACTATAGCTTATTTGCATGTTGACACAAAACGGGAGAGCTATATGTGTGATAGGTCTGTGCCGTACCAAATATGCAGTCTTCATGCATAACACTCGCGGATTACTTTAAGGGGCATAGTTCACAGCGACACAGGTTCTCAGCCTCCGGAATATTTTTGATTCAGCGGTGGTGCGCCCATCTCTCAGTCCGAACGAGGAGTCGAACATTTGGTGCGAGGGTGAGTCCCTGTTACTTCTTGCAATAATGCAGGGAGCTCAAGGACGACACCACACCCTGAACGGGGACTTTGTTTTGAAGTATTAGATGTGCATGTGGCAGCCAGGCCAGGTATTGGGAAGGTTTGGGTGATGTCTTAGAAGCTCTTTGAGGGCGAGCTCATTCCAGTGAGTAGGGTTTTGAGATACGTGAGACTGGAATCGGGATTTAGGCTTCGATAGGTTGTTTCATTTCCCACATCAGTCTTTCATGTGCCCTTGAATAATTATTATGCTAGAACACAATAGCACGATATGCAAAGAAATTGTCTGCAACATTGCAAACTTTTAATCCTCGCTGCCTTGAAATACTACTGACCCATATTGAACGCAAGTATGTGCCTTGATCACTCACTTCCTGAGACTTTTTGTCACTAAGTTAACTACACCTATTGGCTGACTTTTGGCTGAGCCGAGTGAGCTGAAACACACTTGGTACCACGAGGTTGACTACAAATAAGTACACCGAGACACGGCTAGACGGCGATAACCAACCAGTGAATATTGGCCCAATGTCCCCGGTCTGAGACACCCACGGCATCTTTGTGGGGTTCCGCCTTGTCAACCCTAAGATCGCCAAGTGAATCTCGGGCCTGAACTTGTACATACAATTTCTTCGGCTCGGGGTTCTTGCGGTACGCAGACTGAGGACCTGGCCCGGGAGGGTATTGGCCATTCGCTGAGCGCTGCTGCATGGGTCCGCGGAAGGGATATGCCGCTTCCCAACGGCGTATCCTACCTAGGTATTCAAGCACGCATATTTTCGCGGTCAAGGGCAGAGCATGGTACGGAGACCAGTTTCGTGCTGGGGAATCGGAAATGTCTAATGACGGTCTCACCAACCAGAGGTCTGTGGCTGGTTTGGATTGGACTCCTCCATCGTCTCTGTGGTGCTTTGGTGTGATACCCCAAAAGAGGTCTGTAAGTCGAGGGCTTGATCAAGTGATCCAGTGGGTGGCACACTCATGCATGGAGGTCTAGATGTAGGCTTGAAACTAGCTTCTAAACTTCGCATGTTGCGCCCTGCATGATAAGCACTCTAGCACCATGCGAACTGTCGGTTACTAATTAGTCCCAACTCAGTTGAAAGAATGACAAAGCGATACGCTGTGCAGTGCATGCCAGATTTTCTGACTCAGATGTTGCCCGGTCGCAGCTGACCTGCATGGGATTTTCCGAGTCTGACATGAATATTGCGACCGGTCTGTTAAGACCGGATTGTCCTGGATCTTACATAAGACTATGGGATGGGAAGTCTTTGAGCTGACAACTGTTGAGTAGATAGACTTTTCGGGATGGAACGGGCAGAGGACACAATCACAATTCAAGCGTATGTTGGTGTACTGAGATTGGAAACACGTCTGACGGCGTTGAGTTGGACATGGCCCCAAGTGACCTTCTTGAATGTCTCCAGTGCGAGCAAAGTCATTCTTGGGTCGATAGTACTTGCTTGATTCAGGCAAAACAGCCCATCCTGCTGGGCAATGCTTATGAAGCCACTGCATTAGTTAGAGCCTCCCTGAGGTAGGTTGTTGAATTCATCTTCTTCTCAGGTTGAGTAAGATACACAACAGTGCGATCTCTCGAAGTTGTCCTTGGATTTCAGATAACACATAGATTCAACTTTCCGAATTGCCTTCCAAGCTGATCTCCTGCCCACTAGCATCTTCACAGAGAAGGCTGAGCAAGGTTTGCCCACTGAAATGATCTCTGTAAGCCAGAAGGCCAAGCCTGTGGGATGCAGTGTTGTGTGCCCGTACCAGCACCGGTGTATGAGCTGACCCATGATATTTGGGATATCGCTGCCATGTGCTCCAGAAATGACTAGAATGTTTGGGACAATGACTTTCATATGAACAAGGGTTTGTTTGAACTTTCTCTAGGTCCACTTGGTGACCAAGCGCTGGATAGTCCGAGATTGTCTAATGAAATGCACGGGAAGAACCTTCTGCCACGAAATAGGCCCACTGGGCCCACTACGCCCTCTACAAATAGTGCTTCGGGGCAACCTTTCTGCTGCTCATTTCTAGTCAGCAATCAATTAGATTCCACCATACATGTGCTCTTATTCGTGATGTCTTCATGTGTACCCCAGGGAACATCACGACAGTGTCAGAAGGGGTCACTCCGGCACTGACAGAGGGTTAACAGGTCGGAGAATGAGTCACCAAAAAGCCTGCCTGCCAGTCGAACAAAAAGTACACATGCTCCATGACCCTGTCATTGTGTACGGCGGACGCCCCTCCCCTGGGCTTACCTACTGATACAAATACAGCCAGGCTTCCGAGCACTACTCCATCGTGTGTTGGGACTGCACGACATCGCGTGTGTGTGCCAATGATCCGACAAGGGAGACAGGCGGGAAGGGTGCAAGTCAACTCGGAAGGGACAATGACTTGATCATTGATACTTTTCGACAGCTGCATTGGAAGGTATGAGACAACCTGGAATCATCCCGGCCGCATTTATTGTAAGCCGTAATTCATTGTTTTGGACGGCGAGCGTCTTTCAATTGTACTACTATGTTAAGACGCAGAAGATTAGGGAGATTTGAATCGTCCGAGGTAATTTTTCGTATGGAACCATTTATTCCCAAGTTTCTGAATGTCTGCTATACTGTGGCTGGTACGTAATTGACGTTTTGGTATGCATAATGGTCAATATAAGGTTTCTTTTCTTATCTTTTCGTCTTATTTTGAGTCCAGTGTTACCGCTTCAGCGTTTCAAACAATTCTATGAAAGTCGTCAACATCCAAACTTTTATCTTGCCACTAGGCTAACTACAGCACTAGTCTCCTCTAATTATTAGGCACGCCTGTTGGTAAGCCATGGGCTGGGACGTCCTGGATCACATTGGCCAACACGAAGTTTCTGCAGCGGCTGCACGTAAGCTGACCAACCCCTCAAGATACCACGCCACTTCTGCACGCAAGGACTCGGGCAGGCAATGAACTCTCCAAAATCGGACGCACGTATCATCGCCCTCGACGAAATTATCGAGAGGCACGTATTATGTTCGGCGGGTGCAGAGTGTTACATTTCTCTTGTCCCGCCAATTCAGCTCAAATACATACACGAGCAGCAGAATATACTGTGCATGGAAGCCGGGCCAACCCTGTCTCTACAGGGTTTCCGTTAAAAGATTACCCATGCCAGTACAACTCCCCATAAAGAATGTAACCAAATCTAACCAATCATAACTTCTAATTTATACTTTTTCAATTAAACCTACACCGTTACAGCGCATACGGGATGTAATGCTACAGAAAAGCTACCTTTTTTCCATATAATTTTGCCTTGAAAAGCTGGTATTGTTATTGTGGCACGCATAGACAAAACAATAAAGTCAGGGGATCCTTCGCTAACGCCATAGAAGTCACGAATTAGGCTTCTTTTTCAGGAAGCCCTGTACATAGGCAGTATGCCAGATGCTTTGGGGGTTACAGACATATGATACACGCTTCTCGCAAATCTGTTGGCCGCGCATTCGCTGGACGGCTTCAGTCTCCAGTTAGCCAATTATGGCCGCCATTTGACGTGGCGCAAGACGAAACTCTCTGACCTTTAAGTGAGAGCTTTTCAGCTAGGAGAACAATTGAAACGATGTGCGCGGTGGGACAGCCCGAAGCGCAGAAGCGCGCTGATGTGTTTATGTGGAACCTCGGCCAATGGTCTGCAAAGAAGGTGAATCCTTTGGGTCAGCTCCGAGTGTCTGTTTAACCTTCCCCTTGTCTTTCCCAGCCCATGCACTCCCTCATTTCCCTCTCCCAAATATTTTCCATGCCTGTCTTGGCCCCAGCATTACCGAGTTTCAGCCTCCGTCCGCAATCTATCCGAACTGCCAGACGATCGCAATGACATCCCCAACATCAGTGCAGAGCGTGATCACCGTGTACAGGACGCGCCCCATCCTTGGGCCGCTTACCACAGAGTTCACTGCGCCACCAGATTGCAGCTTTGCCGGTGTCTCTGGCACACCTCTCAGCATCGGCTTTCTGGGGCAAACTTGTGTTGGGGACGCCTTGGCAGATGCATCGACCTGTTGGCCGCCGGCAACTCCTGCTGCACCATCCGCAACGACGCCGTTAAGCGGGTGGGGGTTCTACTCCCCTGGCATTTCGTGTCCGGCCGGACACACCACCGCTTGTTACGCCACACATGGATTCCGGACCGGCTGGGACATGCAGTACACAATGGAGGAGGGGGAAACGGCGGTTGGTTGCTGCCCGACGTACGTGCCGGCCACGAGCTCTCTATCCAAGGGTTCACGTATCAAGTCCTAACGTGTATCTATATATGTCTCTCCAGTGGATATGCTTGTACCAGGATGGGAAATGGCCAGACTTGCGTCCAGACCGTCACAGATGTGCTTCTGACGGCTAGTTGCTCTGCGGGCAGCTTCGTCTCGTCAGACACTGCGACGTTTCCCGTCGTCTATACGAGCTTCAGTGCTGAGGGCTCGTCAACAGCCTCCCTGTTGAGGCTCCCCATAGCAGCACCCATGGTCCAGATCAATTGGAGGAGCGAGGATTTGTCGCCCGCCACTCAAACCGCCTCCTCTGCATCCACCCCTGGCGCAGGAAGTTCAAATTTCGCAGGAAGTTCAAATTCAACTTCAAGCGGCTCTATTTCAGCCGGAGCCTTGGCCGGTGCTGTCATCGCCGGGGTCGTGGTCCTCTTTGCTATCGCGGTAGCAATCTTCAGATTCATGAGGTGGCGCAGGGCACGCCGCAACGCCAGTGCGGAGCAGGTGAGGGACGACACGATGAAACCAAGATACGATGGCAATCACAGGGGCAGCACTGAGCTACCAGCGAGCTATGACCGTCCTGAATTGTCCGAAATGCGAATCCCGAGCGAGCTATCGGGAGGCCAGGGTCCCGCGGAGTTGCCAGCGTCATCACAAGGGCCTCGTGCAGTCCAAGGCCAGCCTTAGCAGGTGGTTGTTTGTCAGCCAGTCACGGTGGTGAGGACCTTTTGTGTACTGATCCCAGACAGTACGGCTGTTGTGTCAAGCGTGGCACATGTAGGACTGGCTGGCCAGGGAAGAAGATTATCGAGACTCGATGACGAATAGAGGAAAATTGTCACACATGCTGGAAGATGCATAGTATCGGTGAATATTACTGATCCAGGCTTTTCTGTAACTCTACCCCCTGACCATCTATGGCAAAAAAAGCAATTTACAGAATTTTTTAAAAGATGCCATCGTATCCTTCTAATTGAAGACCACCGTTTTCGTAACGTTCAGGAACACCCTCCTCTCAGCGTACCATTTCACCGCAGCGGCTAGGACCTGGCTCTCGACGTTCGAGCCCTCCTCGACCAGGTCCTTGGGGCTCATGCTATGATCGACCCGGGCGACACGCTGCTCGATGATGGGGCCCTCGTCCAGGTCGGCCGTGACGAAGTGCGCCGACGCGCCGATGATCTTGACGCCGCGCTCGTAGGCCTGGTGGTAGGGCTTGGCGCCCTTGAAGGAGGGCAGGAAGCTGTGGTGGATGTTGATGATCCTGCCGCTCATGGCCTCGCACAGCATGGGCGAGAGGACCTGCATGTAGCGGGCCAGCACGACCAGCTCGACGTTGTGCTCCCTCACCAGCTCGAGGATCCGGCCCTCCTGCTGGGACTTGGTGTCCTTGGTGACCGGCAGGTGGTGGAACTCGATGCCGTAGCTCCGCGCCAGGTCCCCGAACTCCGGGTGGTTCGACACGATGACGGGCACCTCGATGCGCAGCTGGCCCGTCTTGGCCCGGAACAGCAGGTCGTTGAGGCAGTGCCCGATCTTGGACACCATGATGAGCACGCGCGTCTTCTGCGCCACGGGGTGGATCTCGTAGTCCATCTTGATCTCGGCCGCCAGGGCGTCGAAGGGCGCCCTGAGGGCGTCTACCGACGCCGTGGGGCCGAAGTGCACGCGCATGAAGAACTTGTTGGAGACGGGGTCCGAGAACTGCTGCAGGTCGATGATGTTGACGCTGTTGGAGGCGAAGACGCCGGTGACTGAGTGCACGATGCCCGGCTTGTCCGGACAGGACAGCGTGAGGATGTAATCATCGCCTTGGGGGGCTGCCATGTTGAGTGGGTGTCGACTTGGTGGTGATGGTGCTGTCTCGAAGGTGAGTCAACTTTTAGCTGTGGCAGCAATTTCCGGGTGATGTTGAATCCGGCTCAGATGTCGACGACCTCGGTGGACTCACACCGTTTCCAACAGCAAGCAGATCGTAATGAAATACTAGGTGTATGTATGTGTATATATGTCGTCTGCTCTATGACAAGTGCATGCGGCTCTTGAGTCCCTGTCAACGTCGCTGTCGGTCGCATCCAAAATGGTACGGCACGGCTCGGCTGGGTGGCATGAGTCGCTCGCAGAATTTGAATGGCCGCGAATGCCTGGTGGGGTCTTCCCTGTCCGTGGAAAAGGCCCGCCCTCGCCTTGTCATTTGCGGAGCAGACTCTTCCGCTAGAAGATTTTTGTCGGTCCGTCATCGGCACCAACAACAAGGCCCGGGGCTTTCCTTTGTTTGATGTCAAGAGCCCACCATCTCAATCTATTTCTGGGCTTTCCCCATGGGACAGACAGGTTCACAATGGTCTTGGCCCTCCGATGCGCCGCCGATGCGTCTATTGTTGTCAAATCAGCTGCCAATTTGACAGCTGCAGGCGTTCGTCCAGGGGGTCGCCAGCCATGGCACATGCACATGGCGAAACCATCAACACCGAAAGCCCAGACTTTAGCCCTCCGGTGTTAGCAACGTTCGAGGATCAACGTCCGATCTCGACAACTCTGTAGATACTGGCCAGGCATCAGTTTCCCGGTTCCGAGGTGGCGGCTGTCTTCACACTTCTGTACAACTTCTCGCTCCAACTGCTCAGCGGCTCCATTTCTGGAGGGTCATAGGGACTGTTAGATGACCTCCCTTTGTAAACAGTGACCTTGACAACCAACTTTTCCAGCGCATGCAGTTGTCCAAAGACTTTATCTCTGAGCCAATCCGCCATTAGCTGCGGCTCTGCTGGCTGTGACCACAAGATCACCACCTCAACGTCCAACTGTTTCAGGCTCTCGAACTGTTCCTGAAGCACTTCGAAGGCCTTGGCGACTAAGGCCGCCTTGCTGCTTTTCGACATCCATCTCTCGCTCTGAAGCGGTATGGCCAGATGCGCGTAGCGTATGAGTCGTAAACCCTCCGGGCTGGCGTTCCGGACAAAACACAGCAGCGATTCCGCCCCAAAGAACGAGAACGTGTTCCTCGCGTAGAAGTGATGCAGCAAGTCGCCATAGATGGTCCGACTCGATCTCATGATGTCGGTGAGGGAGCGGGGCTCGTCGTGTCTCCCCCACTCGAGTTCCATGCTCATGTCTCCGCAGATCAACTGCGTCAGGCAACTGTACACTACACAGCCTTGTCTCTTGGGCGCGGGAATGGGATCCAAGTAGGATCCCCCAACACGCAGAATCGCGCCGAGAGCCTGGCTTGGCGGGTCCTCGTCGCTGCGTATCTGCTGATGAGATGGCCAGTGAGGCGGCTGGGGCCCGTGATACTCAAAGAGAGGATACTTCGGGGGGCCTGGACACGGCTGGTAAACTTTCTTCGAGGGTAACACTAGCTCGTAGATTTGTTGTCGGATCTCGATTGGCAAGCTCAGGATACTGGCTGGTGAAACATTACTGCGGTGACCTGCAGCTTCGACCAACACTTGGCTGATGGGTTTGGACTTTGGCAAGCGGCCGTGCCGGAATTGATAGCTCCGTCTCTTGTTGTTGATGAGGCGCGGTATCCTTTTGCACTGTTTGATAGTCAGGTAAGGTCCTATGACGAAGACAACCAGGGCGCTGGTAAAAACGACCGAGACGGTGAGTTTGGAGGATTCCTTCAACCATCTTTTCGACCTGTGGGTGAAGTCGGAGCCAGTTGATGATGAACGCATTATTGTGACATTAAAGTGTTTGATGATGTTTAATTTTGATGAATCAATATTCTATAATTGAACTCCACGGTCGGCTCATTTCTTTATGGTTCGAGGTCGGTCTGCCCCTTCAGGGCTCAGCCCCGAAGGATCAAATGCCCAAGAGAGTCCTAGCACGGTTGCTGCCTGGACATGACAATCACGAAGTCCTAAATTCAGGAAATCGACCATGCACATATGTAAATCTGGCATTTCGTGCTTTCCTCTTCAATACAGCATAGGCATGATTATTTATCACAACACGCTTAGGCATTCCCAGGACCAATATCTACTAAGACAAAAGGAATCAATGAATGTATTTACCTGGTAATCTTAGATGACCACTATTAATTTTCTCCACTGCGCGACACCTGATCTAAGTCGATCTACTCAGTGTTCTCCACCTTCTTCCCGTTGTAGCCCTCAATGCGCCTGGCAAGGACCTTGTAGGCCTCCACCAGAAGGGCCTGGTCGGCTTGGCAGATGAGAGGGTCTTTCTTAAGAGAGCGGATCCATTTACCAACAGCCTTTGGTGACTTGATGTTCCGAGCGGTGTGCTTCAAGGAACGAACAATTGCGCCGTTGTCACGAGCGACGAGGTCCTCGGCGAACCGAGGCAGATCAAAGGCACGGAATGCGGCCGCCGCGTGGAACAGCTGCTTCGGGTTCGAGTGCGAGGGAACGAAGTCGCTGTAAAACGATCTAGCACCTTGGCTCACTTCGTGCACGAAGCTTTCGATGACCCAGTCAACACCGAAAGCGCCGACAAGGCTGAACTGATCGGTGTTCGGGAGAACGATGGTTGGGCCGGTCTCCTTGCAGCAAGCGTAAAAGGTACGAAGGTTTGGACAGTAGTGGTACAGAATGTCCGAGTTGATGTTTTCCTTGAGCACCAGGAGTTCATTGCCGTCGCGATAAGCGATGCAAACGCGGCTCTCACTCGATAGGAGCTTGGCACGCTGGAAAGGAGACAGCCCGCGCATCTGGCCCTGGACGACAACCTTCTTCGTTCCCCTGAGTTCAGTGTTGTCACAGAAGTCGAAAGTGTAGATTGTACTAGTAGGGGTCGAAGGCTTACGAGCCTTAGAGCCGGTGGAAGAGTTGGAGGTAGACATATTCATGTGGGTGTCCAAGCAATAGAGTTGCAGAAGTGTGTTGTTGATGTTGGTATGGATGATGGTGTGGTATGCAGATGTGATTGCAGTGGATGGTGGTGAGAAGGAATTTTCGCCAACTGGGAGAAGAAAACGGCTTGGTTAAATAGAAGTGAGATTTCCCTCGTTGGGAACGCATTGCCTTGTAATGCTGAGGTAGACAGCAGCACATCGTGAGGACAATAATACTGTCCTTGAAAGTCAATTAGTGCATACAATCGAGCTACACAAAGACTCCCAAAGTTCTCACAAGTGTTGTAAGTAGCTCCCATTACGCCCCTCGGGTCCCTTCAGTTGCGTCTCCATAGAACAAGGACATTGTAACACATTTCCTCATTAGACTGTGTCATTCCAAAGCCGCCTTTGTCCCCAAGAACGTGCGGTCAATGTACCCTTGACTACATTCCTTTTGTCGCCTCAACTCATTCGCAGACCATGAGTCGGCAAAATTCGCAAGGCTAAATCCATCCTCCTCGCTACTCAACCCGTTTGTTCAATGGAACTTCATGACGTATCAATTGCTGCCTAGCTACGCCATACATGGCTGGTGGACGGTCCTGTCCTCAGGACTTCGGTAGTCAGGGCTTTTGACCACATCAAAGCGGTATTCCCTTCACTGAGACCAAGCTGCATTTTAAAGACGCAAAGCGATAAGTTTTATGCCTAAACGATGCGTTGTGATGGATTTACAGGAACAGTGTCACGGCCAGTAGTGATTCACTTCATTGAAGTCTGATTTCTGATACCTGGTGATAAGCAAGCTACCCCCACCATACTCGCGTCCCAGTGACCGATCAGTTTGGTCCTACCCTCACAGCATATACCACTTTCCAAAAATCACACTCCCACCATCATCAGACGCTTTGGCGTTTCGAGCTCAAAAACGTGCTCACTTGGACTTTCCTGAGTTTCCGCCCGAGCCCGAGGATCCGCCTTTGGTACTAGACGCCTTGGAGGTGCTCTTGACGGCGGTCGTGCCGGCATTCGCATCGGCATTTAGAGTATCCAGAGAGACACCACTTCCCTGCCCCTGGCCCTGGCCCTGCCCCTTCCCAGACTTGCTCTCATTGTGCCCTCCCACGGTCGGCGGAATTCCAGACATGGTGATTTGATTTGCTGTCTGTGGTACTGGAAGGGTGTCTTGTTTTGCTAATGGCAAGTGCAGAGTTTCTGTTCGTACTTGATCGACTGTTTGGCCGGCCGGTACTCAAATGGTGTCTTATTGTCCTGTACGCAAGTGTGCTAGCTAGTAGGTTTTGATGTCTTGGTTGATTGATGACTGTTTGGTTGACTCTTTCGCTGCAGGTGTGGGAAGAATAGAATAACACTCCCGGAATGGTTCCATTTGCGGATATTTATAATAATTTGTGTTGTTCTTGATGTCAGTGACGGTCAAATACGAGAAGGTTGCTGTACATCACAGTCCTTTATACATCATCTGCTTTTTGATCCAATGTCCAACTCTCCTTACTTGTGAAGTGGAAACAGTGACTGGCAACAAGCTTAGGCTTTTGCTATATTCAAAATTGCATGACCAACCTTCCAAGGTAGCTCAGGCGTGACTTGTTGGTAGTATGGGACAAAGCAAGTATCGGCCACGTGGGTTCGCCTTTGTGACCTTTGTGACGGGAGCCTGAGTTGGGTTGGAATAATGATGGGACACCTATTCGATGACACTGCCATTTGTGATTTAGGCACATCTGTAATAAAATTCTGGCCTCTTTGCCATCATAGGATGTTTCTGCAATGATTTGACGAATAGCGTTATTTGGAGACACGGTCCTTGAATGACAAAGCCGCCGTCTAAGTCACGCAAGAACAAGTTGTAATTCTCGTGATTGGCAGATTATCCAAATGTACCTTCTGATTACTTGACATCGCAGGCCCAATTTTGTTGAAGACCAGCGGTTGAACACAATCCATGTGCGCGACAGCCACATCACAGTAACTTGTGGCATGACGGAGATTTTGGACTCCCTTTTTATATGTGTGTAAGCGTTTATCACTGTATGAAGGGACTGGATGAATACTGCTTAAGAAGCATATGTGTACAAATATAAAACGAGACCACCCACTTTTGTATGTGTACTAGCAGGTTGTAGCGAGAGATTGAGAACAGGACGTGTTCATAAGCTATCAATGATTATGATCAAAATCTTTCTGCAAGTTGGAATTAGGCTCGGCGACGGCAAAATCTCGGCTGATTTTGCATAACTATCGTCATGAATAGTTGATTTAAAAAAACACATTGTGGCCGAAGCCACAACAATAATAACAATGCTCAAGACGATGAGGAAAATGCCCAAGATGCTGCAGGGTGCGCCGCTCAACAGAACACGGGAAATGATGCGGATGCCGAGGCTGAAAACAACAATAATGCCCAGCAAGACCAAGCAGGCGGTACCCAGGAGGCAGGGGATGCTCAAGATGCAGGAAATGCGCAAGAAGCCGACAACACTCAAAATGAGGACAATGCTCAAGAGGATGCAGCCGATACGGCGGACGCTGAGGCTGAAAACAACAACAATGATAATAATGCTCAGCAAGACGAGCAGGTTGCCCAGGGAAATGCAGAAAATGCAGAAAATGTCCAGCAAAATGAGTCAGGCGGTGCTGCGGGTGCCCAGGATGAGGCGGCCACAGGAGAAGCGACGGGAGCTAACACCACGGGCGACAATGGGGGTGGCGTCAATCTCTTCGATTTGGCAATGCAAGGTTTCCAGCCTGTTGACTGTACGGGTATTGACGAGGCCGTCGTTGCCGCGAGTGGATTCAACTGCATCGGTGGGACTCGTGGTGCTTAGGTCACATTTGCACCGATGAGAGAGACGTATAGGGAGTTTTGGAACTGATCTGTGCATCCTCCCGTCATTACTTCTTAAGCCTTTCTCTTGAAAGAAATTAAACCCAGATCTTCCAGCGTGGTACAGTCGCACTCGTATGGATGATATGTGTGACCTATAGCGGTGACCTCCTTTTCAATGGCTGTTCTCGTCGATGAAGCCAGGCAGGGACAAAGGTATATGGCTTCTCGACGAACACGTTACATGACAAAGAAAAAATAGTGTCTCATCAGTCAACCTTTTGTTGACTCTTGAAACGTTCATGTGCGCCATACATCTATCGTATATCGCTGGGCATGGATCTGGCTGGGTAGTTTATTGATCAGCAGCCAGCAAGTCATGTTCTCGTTGTCAAGATGCAGGATCTTGGAAAGTAATGTGGTTTTCCTACTCGAACAAATACAGTAGTCTAGATAAACATCCTCGAGATCGACCCGTTGCTGACTAGAACTGAGATAATCCCCACAATAGGGTTCCGCTTTCAGTCTACGACGCCGTGAAAGTAAATTATGATGGGCTCTGTTTATACTACCATGTGCCTGCGACATAGACACAAATGCAGGCAGAGAAGTGTTCTTGACGAGGTTGATAGCATTCGAGCCCAGACCTCTGAGCTTTCAATTCGCATAGTTATATTGGCGTCTCAATGCATGTTCACATCCGAAAGTCATCCTGGAAAATTTCGACATTCCATAATATCTTCATCACATTTTCGTTTCATTTTCCGTTCTCACAAGAGATTCTCGATTGGTCGAGAACTACGGACCTTTCAGCAATAGAGGTTCCGACACGACCCAACTGACGTCGTTAATCACTCAGTCACATCCAGCTCCGTAGTACCTGTAAATCCCTTGGCTATACTTTTGTCGCCGGTCACTGGCCAAGTATGCCTTGATGTTGGGCCTCTCCTTGACCGCTTCATGCAGGGCAAAGACACCTTTGTAGTCACCGGAGTCCTCCAGCTTCTTGACGGCCTTGGGGAACATGAACTTGATACCATCGAAGCACTAAAAGTTCGTTAGGGACACACGTATTCCACATGAGGTTTAATTCACATGATTCATCAGCCCAAGTGTAAACAGGACTTACCTGGAACAGCACCAGATCGGCGTAGGTCAGCTTCCCGCCGTACAGCCAGGGCCCGTCGCCGCTCGCCTTGCTCTTGAGGACTCGCTCGAAGTAGCCGAGGAACTTTGGAAGGCGAGTGGCGACGTAGTCCTTGCTCTTCCTAAGGGACTCCTCCTTCTGGTCCTCGTAGTAGAGCCCACTGGCGATGGGGTGGTGGCAGTCGTGCGGCTCATTGCTCAGGCCGTCCAGTGCCGTGAGGGCCAGCTCATTGACGATGAACAAGCCGTCCTCGTCGTCATCACCGGGCTTCGGGGCAAGGCCCAGCTTTGGGCCGAGGTACAGCAGGATGTTGGGGGTCTGGTTGATGGTGAGGTCGCCGTGCTTCAGGATGGGTGGCGCCAATGGGGGAGGGCTGGTCTCATCGCCGATGTTCTTGGCGTCGACCTGGGCCAGCACCTCATTGACGCCGTCCTTGATGTGTGCGGTGTCTGTGTACGAGGCACCGGCTTCCTCGAGGGCCAGACGGACATGCTCGCCCCTGCCGGGGACTCCGGGCCAGTAGACTAGGTGGTACGGGACGTCCTTGGAGGACTTTTGGCGCTTGGCGGCGGGGGTGGACATGATGGATCCTTTGCGAGGTAGATACTGTGCTATTTGAGTCTGAAAGGGTACGACAGATGTCACAATTGGCCTTGCGAGAAGCAGCGTTGAAAGTGTTGAGGATGAAGTTCTGATGATGGGCCGACATGCCAGACCGAGAAGCATCATCAAGGTGCGGGGAGCTCGTTACGTCAGACAATTGTCAGGGTGTTCGATAGACCACGGTATGTACTGCTGCATGCTGCATGCAGGTTGCATTGGAAGCTCCACAATGGCTGTTACGAGCACGACTCGACCATAACTTGGTGGTTTTATCAACAATCTGGAGCAGTCATCAGATGGCATTCACACCTGTTCGATGCTCATTCAGATGTCCTGGTCCCTGAACCCACCTGTTGCTGGGTTAGGGTAGAAGGCTGGTCACCGAGCTTGAAGTGCCCAAGTACCCTTTTGCTCGCCAGGCAGGCGGGGATCAAGCAAGTGGCCCGTGCCGGACGGGGGCGAGGGCTGATAAGATCCGGTGACGTGAGCAGGGGTCTTGGCGCTACGGCAGCTGCAGCTGCAACCTGCAAGGCACCTCGCACCCTCTCGATGACGGCAGTCGTTTGTTGAACTGCCCGCCCGTTTCATCAGCCCGTCAGCATGGTTCCTCCTTCCGCCACCAGACATCGACTTCAGTTGGTCTGCATCCAACAACTCGATTCACACTAGCTCACATCATCATCCTTCGCCATCTTCCTCGGATCGGCCCAGGACGTTCTTGATCACCTGCGTCGCCTCAGCTGAAATCTACCCAAGCACCGTTGCCGACCATGTGGAGCCTGGCTGCTAGACGAGAGCCAATTTGGCCGTCCTGTGTGACACACCATGAAACCAAAACGGCTTAGGTGGAGGCACACCTGACGCAGTGCCAACCCTCTGCCATCCAATCCATCCTATCTCGACCGAGTTTGGCAAGTCCACGGTCCTTACGGCTGATCTCGCATCCTCCTACGAGCGAGCTGCTCAGATGTTCCGTCATTGCTGAACGCCAAAAGCTGCCACTAGACCCGGCCCTGCCTCTGGCTCTGGCCCAAGCTCGGACTCTGGGGGCGAGGGGCCAGAATAGAACGGACTGCGGCATCATGGCTGCTGGCTGAGGGCAGTGCTCCTGCAACATGGCTCATCATGGTCACAAGGCTGGAAGGCAGACTCCAGATATCAGTGCCAGGTCCCCTCCTCCACACTCGGGCGTGACTGCGGTTGTCTACTGCCTGGTCGCGCCTCCGTACCTGAGCAAATGACACCCTCCCACCCACCAGCAGCTCCTCCTTTTCACCCTTTCTCTGCCCCTTGCCCCAGTTAACGCACATGATCTGATAGCCACGATCGACTCTTGACTACTACTTCTACCTAGGTACCTTTTGCTCTACTCAATCACCGCTCTACTGACCTGCTATTCGCACGTGAACAACATCAGCTTCAGCCTCCCGACGCAGTCATCTCGTCGTACACACTTGCCACCTGCCTCGACCTTCATATATCAGTAGACTGCCCTCGCGGGGGCCCCCTCTGCGCATCATGGAGACACTACGATATTCCATCTCGACCTGCAACGCCGACGAAATGCAGCAGAAAACACGCCGCCAGAGCAAATTCCCAGACGTCGAGGCGAGCCTTCAGGCCTCGACCCCTTCCAACTTCAAGACATTCCGCCCTCTTCAACCAAGGCGGCTGGTCTCCGACCCTGTCGCAAATATCCTGTCGTACCTAGGCTCGCGCAACCCGTGGCCCCAGCCGGTCTCCAAGGACGACGAGTTGTGGCTATTCGACAACACCGCCTTCGTCGCTACAACAAAAGGGAAGGACGGGAAAGAGACGCACACATGGAACGCAGAATTCGTTGCTGCTGTCTTCGAACAGGATCCGTCGTGCACAGTCAGCGATGTCGTCATACAGATCGCGGATAAGATCGGCTTGGCGGACGACGATGAGGCCAAGAAGACCATCGAGAAGAGGCTACGTCCGTTCCTGATGGACATACAGCCTGGGAAACAAGTCTTGGCTCTGTATGGGGGAGAAACCCACCTCAAGCTCAGCTCTGGGAGCAGAAACGGGATAAGCACCGACGTCAAGGCCATACCAGCGGCCCCAGCAGGCATGGGCGTTCCAACGACTGCCCAGGTGCCACAAGGCGTAACGGGTCTACTGCAAAGCAAGACATTCTTTGCCGATCCGGAAGGCTGGGCTGTGATATCAGGTGTGTATATTCCGAGAGCTTTATTCCTCTGGCTAGTCACTAACTTTGTGCAGACGTCGATGACACCATCAAGATCACACAGACGAGCGACCCAATCGGCATCCTCCGAAGCACGTTTGTCAACAAACCCGAGCCTGTTGCTGGCATGCCCGAGCTGTACAAATTCATCCAATCCGAGATCACTTCCGCCTCGCCATGGTTCTACCTGTCCGCCTCTCCTTACAACCTCTACCCGTTCCTGCGGGAATTCCGTGATTCCTACTATCCTCATGGCCAACTGCTGCTTCGAGATGCTTCTTGGATGAGCATACCTGGCCTGCTTTCCAACCTGACCCTCGGCACCGAGGGTTACAAGGTGGATCGGATGAAGAAGCTCCATGGCTGGCTCCCCAAGAAGAAAATGATCTGCATCGGCGACAGCACACAGAGCGATCCCGAGGCCTACGGAGAGATTTACCGCACACATCCGGAATGGGTCAAGGCCATATTCATCAGGAAGGTGACGGACATTGCTGCCGTCGGGATCGAGGAGAAGAACAAGGACGAGAGGTTCCAGGCTGCGTTCAAGGATGTGCCGACGACAGTCTGGCGCGTCTTCTCGGAGCCTGACGAGTTGTATGATGTTTTCAGGGAGCTCGTCGCCTCCAAGACTGCGTAGGAACCGGTCCGTGGTGATGTTGTGACGAAGGACCGAAGGAGAAGTACGCTGCGAAGTCTTCGAAGGAGCACCTTTACTTGGACTCGATGATTGCTTGCTCACCATCCGACCCTTGTTTCTGATTCTTGCCTACCTCAGCCTGGCCTATTATACCTAAGCATGCCGGTTATAATATGTATACACAGCGGGTTCAATTCCGATGAACAATAGAGTATCTAGCTAGCCTATCTCATAACATCAGAAATCTTCCCTGAATTGAACATGTGGTATTTGTGTGTCGAATGTGCAAAGATGAAAATTGATGAACTTGTTGATTGTAGTCATGTGCACCAAGGTAGCTTTACTTTCCGATGAGACTTTCGAGCCCATAAGCCGCTTCAGCTGATTGGTGTCTGTCCGTCTGTACAGACACGTCAAATTTCGGACGAACTTTATGTACCTGGCTCGGAATACGATCCCCTCCTCATTACACAATACTAGAGACAGGGTATAAATATATAGGCTCTCTCATTCTTCACAGCCTGCATCTCCGTCGGAAATCGGCGCTGATCTCGGGACCTTGGTTATTTAGACACTACTCAAGCGAGTGCGGAAGAGCAAAATGATTGCTATGTGCCCCATGCGACTGCAATGCAGCGGATTTCAGCTACAAAGGAGAGTCGCGCGCAAAATATTGCTGGTGTGTGCTCACAAGAGGCGGTTTTTGACAGCTTCTCGCCTGTGGTGCTGAGGTCCGGGTGCTGGTGACTGATGCTTTGCAGGGGCTTGATCCATGGGACTTGGTTAGAATCATGTGTCTTGCTAATACGATGGACACAAGACCCAATCTTGCTGTCTCGACAGCCCCGAAGCTTCCACAAGGTCGTTCCGAGACATTTCGGCCACCTCGAGTTCGCCATGTATGTATACTATGGCAAGCTGTTCAGACCGATCATCTCAGATGGTTGCACGGAAAGGCATGTATACTACTTTGCTCATGTGTTGCAGGTCAAACTCTCACAGAGCCGTTTCGTGCTACGGTCAATGTCCTACCCGTACTCAAGGTCTCACATTGTTTGTGCCTAGCCAGTTTCCAGTTCCTAATAGTTCATAGGTTACATCACGTGAAATCTTTTCGAACATCTGAGTCTGTTTGATACATGTATTTATCGCAATTAGCTCCCCGTCATTGGCCAGAAGTATTCAATTTTTAAGACTACCAGTATTAATCTGTCTTTCAACCAGCGTGTCGGATCCAGCATACATTAGCCTGATTGCAAATTCTCGGCAAGTCGGCCTTGCCTGAGCACAAACCTCGCTGGTTCACCCATGTGTCCTTCATATGCTGAGACAAACTCGAGGACAAGCAAATTTGACTGCGCCAAAAGTGAACTGTTCCCCAATACTGCAGACCAGAAAGTCATACTAATGAAATATGTATTGTGGATATCTACATGAATATATTATCCTTGGCTTCTGATTCATAAATCCGTCAAGTCCCACCGCCGTGGTCTCAGATGTCCTCGCCATGTTTACCGCCTCCTCGCTTGGGGAAAAAAAAAAAAAAGCGAAGTGTGTGCCCACCACCCGAGTCACCCGGTGCCTTGGACCCCAGACACGTAGTATTTAAACAGTCTTGGGGGCAAAGCCCAGGCGGGGGGTGGACGAGCCGTCAAAGACAACCAGGGCGGCCTTGAGCGCGACGTCGCCAAAGATGTTGATGCCGATGCCATCGCTGCTCTGGATGCCCCCGAAGCACGAGGAGGAGCCGGTGGAGACCTGGCCGTAGTTGATGACCTTGCCGGGGATGGTGATGCGGGCGGAGCCGACGCCGAAGGTGAAGGAGGGCGGGGTGGCGCTGCAGGGGAAGACGTAGCCGCCGGCGCTGTTGCTGTTCTGCGAGCCGCTGATCTGCCTGTAGTAGGCGCTCACGACGGAGGCGGGCAGGTACAGCAGGGTGGTGCCCGTGTCGGCGATGCCGTCGATCGAGGTCGACACGAAGGAGCCGGAGCCGACGGCGTAGCCGGTCGACACCCACTCCCAGAAGCCCTGGCGGGTCGACACCGAGGTGTAGGTGATGGAGCCCGTGTGGGCGCTGTCGTCGATGAAGCCGAAGTTGTAGGTGCCGGCTGTGGATGCGAGTTAGCTCTCATGTCCTCATATACCTGGTGCGCTCATATTTTGAGAGTTCATATCAGATAGCAAGTTACTTACCAGTGTGGTACTTGAGATCGGCAGTGAAGAGTGGGGAGTCCAGGCTCGCCTTGGCGTTGTCGAAGAAGGTCTTCTGCGGGGTGGGCGAGACGGTGTTGAGGCTGCTGAAGGCCAGGCCGAGCAGGCCATCGGTCTCAGACTCCTGGGAGAAGGAGCTCGACACGGTGGTGGCGACCTCGACGGCCTGGTTGGCCACGGACAGGCCGCCGACGGCGACCTTGTCGGTGTAGACCTTGCCGCTGGAGGAGGAGCCGTCACCGTAGCTGATGCTCCAGGAGGCGCCGCTCATGACCTTGGAGGTGCTGCTCTTGGAGGGGTTGTAGACGGTCTGGCCGTTGACCTGGCTCGAGGGCGTGGAGCTGGAGAAGACCCACAGGTCCGAGGAGCCGGTGTCGAAGTCCAGGTTAAGAGTCTGGGCCGGGGTGCCGATCTGCACGGGGGTGATGTAGGCATCGTCGAACGAGTCGATGGGCGTGGCGCTGGCGGAGCCGGTGGCACGGCCCTCGAGCCCGAACTCGGCGGTGATGTTGGCGACGGCCTCCTCGAGCCAGTCCGGCACGGGCTTGCCGTACTTGAGGTAGGTCTTCTTGACGGACAGGGCGCCGTTGAACTTGTAGTTGGGGTTGCGGACCTGCTTGAACGAGGCCCTGCCGGGGCCCAGGTTGCCCGGGGCGTTGGCAGGGGTTCCGATGTGGACGCCGGACGGGGCGCTCACGGCAGAGCTGGCGAGGGCTGCTGCCACCAGGGCGGTCTTGACGAGGGGTGCCATTTTTGTGGTGGTATCGAGAAGACGGCGAGGGTGGGCAAGGAGGCAGGAAGAGGGTCACAACCAAGACGGGACAAGACAAGACAAGCACTGAGGCCAAGAGACTAGGACCAACGATGGTGAGGGCCAAGGAGCAGGTGCAGAGGGCTGGAGACCAAGGCTGCCATACCAAGAGATCAACCGGCTTGGCCTGCATCTTTATATCTTTCGGAGGGGGTGTCTGTCTGGTGGTGGAGGGCGGCCTTTTTCCCCTCCTTCAACACCACTCTGGGACCCCCTCGTTGCTGATCAGCACCACACGATGGGCTGGCTGCCATGTCGGACTGGAGCATGGTGCCTGCTATGCCAAGTCGGGAATTCCCCATGTTGCGTTGCAACCTCTCATCTCACGGGCCAGGGCCGATAAGGGAAGGGGTGTCAATACGTGGGCGATGCTGCCATATCTCGTAATTCGCCTAGTCCTCGGCAGTGTAACCAAACACAAGGACAGGACTGCCAGGCCACCTACCGCGATAGGGCCTCGTCCGTCCAGCACCCTGCATCCAGAGCCCCCAAGGATCCCGGGCGGAGCATGCAGAGAATGGCCCACTTGTTCGGCCGGCCGAGGTCGACCGAGTAATGAACACCGCCAATGATGGACGCGATCTGTGACGACGATCCAAGAGCAGGGCAAGCTCGCCATCGGGCCCGTGATACTTGGGTATCTGCAAAGTGTGTTCAGTGGTGTGGATGTACTTCTCGCAGTGCAGAGATCGCAGACAAGTGGGCAGAATGCAGGCATCATCACCAATCCAAAAATCAGATGACAGACGTCAAGGGGTGGCCCCCACAAAGAACCCTGGAGCTTCCTTTCCGGTAGTTGGGACGGAATCCAAATAGATGAAGAGCAGGCCAGGCCTGCCGGTAAGTGCCGGCGAACCAAGAGTACTGTAGTCATGTGTGCAGGCATATGGGCCCCCAATCAGCCAAGCAGAGCTCGAGCCGGCGTTTGCAGATCTGGGGTCGACGTTGTTCTGGATTTTGGGGGGTGGAAGACGCGAGGAGAGGGGGCCCGAGTGCGCGAAGTGCCAAGTCGTGGCCGGTGGCCAGTTGATTTGTTTTCTTCTCAGACCTTCTGGATGAAGTCTAGCTGGTGTTTCGTGCTTTGTTAGCCTCGAGGGCCTCCCATTGGGGCGTGGCGGCATGTCGTCAAGTCCGTTCATTTCCAACGGCTGGCCAGTCAACGGCTGCCCGGCTGCCCGGGTGGCCGGTGACCAGTGACCAGCTGGGGCCCATTGTTAGACTTGTCTGTGGGGAGGCGAACAGGCTGGCTGAGGGCACAGACTGGACGGCCAGAAAGGGACCCGTCTAGAGGTCACCTTCCGGAAGAGGAACATGGGGCGCGTGATAGCTTGTCCACGGTGGGGGCTAATGCGTGAGTTGTGAATGGGCAATGGGCTCGGATAGAATAGATTGAATCATCATGGATGCAAGCTGTAACAATTGTTGGTCTGGTATGTTATTGCTGTAGTAGGTCAGAGAAGAGTGCACAGTAAGAAAGAGGGCAGCCTTGCTACCAAGTTCGCCCCCAGATAAGCATAAAACCTAATTTAAACTCCCGGCCAATTGCGGGATGTTTCCGCCACTCGACCTGCCTAATCATGCTCTAGCACCCGCAGCACAACGCTTCAGCCCATCATGTTTGGACGAGAGCGGGCAGATGGGCCAGGACAGGGGGAAATTATTTGATTGTGTCAGCCGTGAACTGGTCGTTGACTGGCCACCCCCCCCCCTCTCCTGTTATTCTGGTTCGTGTTGCCATGCCCTCAGCCAGCCTGCTCTGGTGCTGGTCCTTGCCCGCCCTCAAATCTTCCAAGGTACCACCAGCCACTCACTGTTCATCAATCCGATGCACTCCAATTGGCACCGTTGCTTCATCTGAGAAGTGACGTTCATCCCAAATGGCACATCGTCTGAACCAAGACAAAGCAACCCTGGAAGGTATTCTCGTCAACGGTCAGACAGTCCAATTCCCCTTCCCGACCGACTGCTGGAAATGGAAGTGCTCCGCCGACCAATGCAGTGTCCGCAATCAAGGAAATTCCCACAGCAGTCTATTCTTGACACCATCAGCCACACAACCAGTGACTCGTGCGAGAGCTGCCTATTCCGGCAGCCTAGCACCGAAGCCACTCGATGACCGGCGGTTAGTCCGATACCCACCGTCTATTTACTTTCCTCTTCTGTCCTTGGCTCAGCTGTCATTTCTGTCAAGCTCCGTGGCTTCTCGCCCGTTTGAGTACAGCTTCCTTCGCCCTGGTCCGACTCTGCGCCAGTGTCACCTGCCGCGGCCCCCGTCTGGCCCACTTCGAAGGGGTGGGGACGGACGGCGATACGGGCCACGATACCATTACTCTCTAGTATGACAACAGTTGGGGCCGGATCACGACAGATGCAACCAGAATGACCAAGACACGACTCTCGTGTTGTTGAATTCTGCCAGGCCCGTGACGGACCCCAACATACTAGTGTAGACCCATCAACAAATATTTCTTGCATTGTCCAAGGGAAATCATTGCAGCTCCAAAACCTGCCACCTGCCCATCATCTGTCCGCGGTGCAGTGCAGCTCGTCGTCCTAATGTCAGGCCGATAGACAGACAACATGACGGCCTGTCGTCCGGCCCAAACTCGGACATGAATGATTGTCTCCCTCCCCAGATTGAGGCTCTGCGCCTTGCAACCCACCACCTGCACGCCCAGCAATCGCCAAGAGGAATCTAAGCACCGCGGGATGCACATCATCCAACATCAGCGAGATCATCTGGTTCCATCCGGGGGGGGGGGCTGTCAGGGCGATCTATCTGGTCTTGGCCCTGCACCACTGGATCTTGCCAAGTTTATGACACGCTGATAACGGGCGGCTGTCACTGATAGCGCCGTGTGATCGAGTGAATGGTGTGAGTGGAGGGGTTGAGGTGTGCACATGAGCGTTGTCCTGTTCGCCCGTCGTACAGGAAGCTGTACATTAATGAGCAGATGCCAATGGAGAATTTATCCATCAAACACTGATACTTAAGGGAGCAACGGATACCATGAGCATCAGTCATTTCGCCCGCCGTTCAGCCTGGCGTTGTGAGATGAACTGAATCTCACTCAGACAGCGCGCCCCTTGACCCGACCTGCAAGGAACAGTGTACAGATAAGCGACACGCAGGCAAGAAGAATGTTCTCAGAAATACAATTCACACCATAATTATATACAGTATCGAAAGAACCCTCCCCCCTCCCCAGCACCTTCTCATACTCAAATACTCAAATACTCATACTACACATTAATCACATCATCAAGCAAGCGCCTCGCTCAGCGGCAAATCCCTCGACGACCGCCCGACCCAGACCGTCTTGGCCGCATCGCGCACGACCCAGTCCTGCGCCGCCGTGTCCCACGAGCTGACGTCCCTGCGGGTGACCCCCACGCTGAAGGTGCGCGACTCGCCGGGCTGGATCGCCGACAGCCTCTCGAACCCGCGCAGCTCGCGCACGGGCTCGTGCCCGCCGCCGCGCGAGACGTACAGCTGCGCCACCTCGTCGCCCGCCAGGCCGCCCGTGTTGGTCACCGTCGCCTCCACCGTGTAGAGCACGTCGTACAGCCGCGGGTTGCCGCCGGGGGCGCCGCCCGCCCTGGGGACGGGCTGCGCCGAGCCGTTCCGCGAGTTTTCCGGGTACTCGAACTCGGCGCCGTAGTCCGGGTCGGCGGACGCGGCGCTCAGGTCGGTGCTGTTGAGCCAGGGGTAGCAGTACAAGCTGACGCGGGCGGCGTTGATGGCCTCGGGGAACTGGTGGTCGGCCGGGTCGGCGCTGTAGTTGCCATAGGTCTTGGCATCGGTGGTGTAGGCCGTGGACGGGGTGTACTCGGACACGTTGGTGTGGGCCGTGACCTTGAGGTCGCTGTACTCGAACGTGGTGTAGCTCAGGCCGAAGCCGAACTCGTACGTCGGGGTCACGTTGTACTTGTCAAAGGCGCGGTAGTCGATGAAGCCGCCCTCGACGTAGTTGATCTGCGGCACGTCGTGGTTGGGCGTGTACAGGATGTCCGTGCCGTAGTCGGTGCGGTTGGCGCCGATGGTGAAGGGCAGCTTGGCGCTGGGGTTGACCTTGCCGTACAGGACATCGACGATGGCGTTGCCGCTCTCCTGGCCAGGCACTCCGGCCCAGAGGATAGCACTGACGTTGGGGTTGTTGGCGTAGTCGTCGAGGATGACTGGGCCAACAGAGTGGACTACCACGATCGTGTTGTTGCTCTCAGCAGCGACGGCGTTGATGACGGCGTCTCCGTTCTGCCAGAGGGTCAGGTTCTTCCTGTCACCCACGTTGCCGTCGACTGCGATGTATCCCTCTCCAGCGTCAGAGTTGACAAAGACAATAGCTGGTGCGTTCAGGTCGTTGGCCCGGCGGGCCAGGGCAGAGACGGTGTCGAGGTCCCAGTTGTCCAGGATAGACTCGTAGTTGCCGCCGTTGGCCAGGACGTAGTTCTGGATGGCAGTGTCGGGCGTAACCAGGTAGGGGAATTCTGTACTGCCGGAACCCCAGGCCATAGCAACTGCAGGAAAAGGAGTCAGCCATCAAAGAACGGAGGAGGAAGTTTCGCTTGGATATAGGGAGGACCAGGCCACAGGATGGCCACGACTTGTTTTAAACCCTGCAGCCTGATAATACCTTTGAGGTACGGGCTACAGATGGGAAATTGCTCTCTTTTTTGACAGGGTTAAAATTGTATCCGGAAGCTGCTTACGGGTTCCATTGTCACATCCGCGGTCAGAACAGCCATTAGGGCCGTTGAGGTTGGGACCTGCGTCCTCACCAAAGACGGTCGTCAGTTGCTCGGTGCCCTTCAGAGGCAGCACACCGCTGTTCTTGAGCAGGACGGTGCTGGCGGCGCCGATCTCGCGGATGATAGCAGAGTGGTTCGCCGTGACGTCGACGTGCTCGTTGATCTGGACGATGGGGCCCTGGCCTCCGTAGTAGTGCTCGTGGCCGTACGTGTCGCGCGTCCAGGAGGAGAAGTTGATGGGGTCACGCTCGACGGGCCGGTCGACGAAGAAGAAGCCGGCCATGATGCGGAGAGCCATGTCGTCGAGGCGCCACTGCGGGACGGTGCCGTTGAGCACGGCGATGGTCAGGTTGGAGCCGAAGTAGCTGTCTCCGGTGGAGAACAGGGTGTCTCCGGGCATGGTCATGTCGAGGCCCGCGAGCACGGAAGACACACCCGAGTGGGTGCCTTGCCAGTCGGAGACGACAAAGCCCTGGAAGCCGAGCTCGCCCTTGAGCAGGTAGTTGAGGATGTACGAGTTCTGGCATGCCTGGCTGTTATTGACCTGGTTGTAGGAGCACATGATCGACGTCGCCCCGGCCCTGACGCCATCTGCAGTACAAGTCAGCATCCAGGCCACAGTGTCGGGTCTATTCACCGGGAGGAATTCCCGGGGACTTGAAAAAGGCGCGAAGGCAAGGCAGACATACCAGCAAAAGGCCACAGGTACAGCTCGTGCATCGTCACATCATCCAGGTTCGCCGAGTTGGGCTCCGTGATGTTCCAGCCAAAGTCGTTGGACTCGGGCTGCTGGCGGAAGTGCTCCTGCTCGTTGGCAATGTAATGCTTCGCACTCGTCATGACGCCGGCGGACTGGATACCCTTGATGCTCTCGGCAAACATCTGGCCGGTCAGCACGGGGTCCGGCGAGAAGCCCTCCCAGTTGCGACCGCCCTCGGGGGACCGCCCCAGGGGACCGGCGACGGGGCCGAGCTGCACGTCGACGCCCTTGCCGGCGTGCTCCTCGCCCATGCCCTGGCCGCGGAGGAAGGCGAGGCTGCGGTCCCAGGTGGCGGCGACGTTGACGCCGGCCGGGAACACGCTGACGAAGTCGGCGTCGCGGACGCCCGTGGGGCTGTCCTGGAGACACATGGCGCGGAACCCGAGGCGGGGGATGGCGCCCGTCTGGCCGACGCACTTGTCTGTCTCCCACCCCGTGCCGGTGGTCAGGTTGACCTTCTCCTCCAGTGTGAGCTGGCTGACGAAGGAGCGCGCCTTGGTGTAGGCGTCAGCCCAGTCGCCGAGTCCTTCACCCCCTGTGCGGAACAAGTGTCAGCCTGCTGGTTTGCATCTGGATGTCGGGGAGATGTGAGGCCACTGTCGTCACTTACATGGCGAGGGGTACTTGGGAGGCGAGGCCTGGAACTCCTGAGATCCCTTGATGGTCACCGGGTCCTCCGACTCGAAGCCGGGGTGCACCGTGTCAGGGAACGGCGACCCATAGTTGCCGTCCTGCGAGTAGTCGTAGGCGGAAGCCACGCCGGCTGCTGCGAGCAGCAGGGTTGAAACAGTCTGCATGGTGCTGGATGGTTGTCGACAAAGGCAGCAGTGCATGGGGCGAGAAAGGAGGCACGTCTCTTCTGGTGGGCGTGAGGGATGACCGCCATCTTATATGCATGCTCGGCTGCGGTGGAATTCCGGGTACCTGCAGGCCCTGTTTGTTCTGGCATCATCGTTGGACGGCCCTTCCCTCGGTGCTGGTACAACCATGTGCTATGACGGAACCACGTAAGCTACTGTACCACGGTGAGCCGTCGAGTGCTCACTTGCTCGGCCGTTGATCGGAACACCGTAGGTTGTTTGCAGCATGTCATCCCGTGACGATCCCTGATCCCTCGCCGGCTTCGCGCTGGGACGCATGTAATTGGCCCGTCCTGGGCTGACTAGATTCGCTTTTTTGCTCGTGAACGACTCGGTCGTCCCCCGTTTTCGCGGGGTGCATCTCGGGCTTCCTGCAATGCTCTTCCGAGCCGGATGCTAGCTCTGCCGTGGCTATGGAGACTCTGGAGACCCGTGGGGAACGGGCGACTGTCGACTGGGCCTGGTCCACTCCAATGTTGGCCTTGTGGTCAGGTGGAAGGCACAACCGTTCTCGAATGTCGCCGTGGCCGACATTGTTGCATTCTCCATTTGTCCTTGCATCTGAAGCTGCCGGGCCGGGGAAATCCAAGGGCGACTCCCCGGGACATGGGGGGCATTTGAGCCGCACCCAGACACAAGCTTCCTGCCGTTGCTTACCACGAGATTCTACCGCCTCCCGCTGCTTGGCATCTCTGGGCCACAGGTTCGTCCCATCTGCAGCAGCATAACGCTGGTTCCTGACGATCGTTGAAAGTGCACGACGTCATACCACTCGCTCACAAAGTGAGACCCACCCCCATCCTCCGTGGGGAGATGATCCATTTGCAAAGTGCAAGCATTCGGCCCGACCATCGAACTTTGTCTTTATGGGGATAGAGGCTCCACCCTCCCTCTCCACATCCCCCGTCTTGTCGGCTGTTCAATGGGACCTAGAAGGCGGGGGGCGGGAGAACGTCGGCTTCATTTGCAGAACATCACGCTTCCCGTCCTCACATAGCAAACCTGCCTTACTATCCAGTCTCTTAAACATATCCACAATAGGAAACTCCGACTCTTCAGTATGAGGCGAAAATTCCAACGTGGATCGAAGCAACATGAGATGATCGAAGGATAGATAGCCTTATATCTCGGGGAGCGGCCGCTTTCTCACGAGCGTCTGCGAGGGAGGCACCGCGACAGTCGCTCGTATCAATCTGGATCACCTCGGCGGCCCCGACTCCCGTCCGGTATGATCTGTTCAGGGCCCATCCTGACCACAACCCTTCGGCATACCGCTGCCCGTCTTTCCACATCAAGCGGCAGGCTAATTCATTCTCTCCGGCCGGGCTCTACTCATTCTACCTTGTGGGCCCAATGCCTACGAGTCGTTCGGGCGGTCTAGAATTAGCGAACATCGGCCCACGGACTTATTAATCAACTCGGATAAAGATGGGGAATGGTACGCAAGAGATGTAAAAGCGCAGATTTTACTATATTGTCAGGCGTAAAAAGCCCACGGGAACCCGCGCCTAGAAGAAACAATTTCTGCTTCTAATTTCACCTAGAGAATTCTTGAGAGCCCAATGCTGCTGCCTTAGTTGAGCCTGCAGCCCGTAACACTCATCCACAACTTCTATTTTGTTAGCAGGAATCGTCGGTCATCCCCAAGCTTGTTGCTTTCTCAGGGCCATCGCCTGGAAGGTGTTATCCAGTCCTGCGTGAGTTCAAGGTCAAGGCTAAAAAGCCTTATAATCATAACAAGGCACAGTGTTCGAACCATAGGCCACTTATTCATCAGCGGAAAATATGTGGAGAGACGCAATCGATAATTCAGCTGGTCCAGCATTTTCGAGGTCCTCGTGTCACCGTTCCGGTTCCACAATGACGAGTCAAGGAAGGATTTGATACTTTGGTGAGCCCGAGGATAAAACACCATTATTGTCCTCTCTCTCGCTTTTGGGATCTCACACATGACGTCTGAACAGAGACCTGGAATTCTCAGCTAAGTAGCCGTTGACAAGTGTGGCCGGCAACTTGAAGTATGAGAAAGCATCAAAAAGTGTACCGCCGGGCTAATGCAGCCAATGATGACATAGTCTATCTAATAGTCTAATGTTAAAGGTTGAATGAATATCGCCGTAGGGAAATACCAGGTCTTGGCTCCTCTTCCTTTGAGAACCAAGCTTCCAAGCCATTCCTAAGCCGAAGTACCCCAGTGGTGTGTTTCACCAGATTCAACGTGTTGTAGAAGTATGAAGTGAAAAGCCTAACCCGTCACTGCAATAACAGATCCCAAAGTCTCCTTGCGGAACTGAGGGGACCATGCTGCCTGCCCTGTGTAGTCCTCAGTGCCGGGCCCCGCCCAACTTGCGAGGTTTCACCCCCCTCCCATGTAGGTTGCGGAACATGTATACCCCTGATCCTTCCATGCCCGGGCTCTCTTCGACGAATTGACAGTCCCGCCGGCTCTTCCAGAACGCGCTGAACAGGGGCGTCTCGAGGTCGGCGTGGTACTGGTCGCCCATCACTTTCTTGATAGCCTCAGTCGCTTCTTGGGCGTGATAGAATGGAATGGACGATACGAGGTGGTGAACCACATGAGTCCCCACGATGTTGTGGAAGAGATGCGTGTCGATAAATCCAAAGTCCCGGTCTATGGTGGCTGCAGCACCTCGGGCAAATGTCCATTGGCTGTGGCTATAGTGTGGAAGCCGCCCGTCCGTGTGTTGAAGGAAGGTGATGAGGACTATTTGTGCAAAAGAAGGTTAGTATTTTACAATGTTAGACTACTACCTTGGGCAGAGAAAGGTCCACACATACCTATCCAATGGTTCAACCAAAGATAAGGCACACCGTAGAATATCAACATCTCCCACCACCCAAAAGTCTTGACGCCCAAGTAGAGTAATGCTGTTGTCACGAGTATTCCTATGTCACTGTAGAAAACAAGTCGAAGCTCGGAGTCTTTGAAAATCCCACTACCTTTTCCAAACCAGTAATGACTGTAGTATGGGAATCCATGCTGATCGTCTTGACCGCTCAAGTTATCTAACATGTAAAGAGGCCATCCGAGAAGTTGGACGAGCACGCAGTGGATCAATGTGACCACTGGGGCATCCTCCGAGAGGCTTTCCACTGTCACGGGGTCGGTGTCATGACCTAGGTTGTGTTTGATCCAGCCTTCCCGGTCATGAGGCACGAAGACTGTGTCGCGCTTCAGGTCTCCCGTCGCTTTGTGGTGGTGAGCGTGTGTAATCTTCCAGCTGTAGTATGGCACCAGCAGGGATGAGTGGAGGACAAATCCCACGGAATCATTGAGTCTCTTGTTCTTGCTGAATGCACCGTGACCGCATTCGTGGGCCAGGATCCAGATTCCAGTCATGATAATTCCTTCTAGGATGGTGCAGAGTCCATAGACAACTGCTCGGAGGTATGGGGATGGCAATAACGGTGTGTACCTGTACGTTGAGTATATCACGGCCCCGAGATACAGGTAATCTCGCACAACGTATGCCAGACCTCGTGGGATGGAAGGCTTGAAGCAATGGGCCGGGATTGCATCGTGAATTTCTTTCATCGTGAACTTGGGCAGTTCGAAGACATTTCCGTGGAGGTCAATGTGTGCTGGGTGCTGGAGACCATCGTGCTCGATCTGGGCCTTCTCGTGCGCGACCGCACACGTAGAAGTGGATTGAGAAGCCATGTATTTTGCTTAACGAGAAATAAGACCTCGCTCAATCAGAAAAAAGAATCAGGATGCATTGTTTTGTCTCCGAAGGCTCACTGAGACTCCTCTTGGCCATATGGACCACTCTTATATGGGCCATATTTCCATCGAGCTCTCAAAATCCCGCCACCCCTTCCCCCGAGATTTCCTCGCGACTCGCAATCAGCCTCGCACTAATAAGGCTCAGACATCGCCTGTTGTCTGCACTGTTTCTCTCGTATGGCATTCGCCGAGAAACGAAGGAACACCCACACAAGACTTCAGTCATAGCCTGGAATCATCTGGCAAGGCAGCCGCGGTGACGCCGAGGTATGTCTTCGGTGGGCAAATCTTTCATGGGCATGAACGCCCCCAAAACTTGTGTCAAGTTTTCTCACCATGCCCGGGCAACAGGAATGGTGCCAAGACTTAACAAGGTAATATACAGTCACCCGCGTGGATGGAAGTTTCCAACAGCCACGTTGGCGAAGCCGGAGGGAAGCTTTGCATCGGCATACGCATTGGCTCTCAAGGCTGAAGGAAGGCTGGGCTCTTACCAAGTGGGCTAAGATTCCACACCCACGTTCCTTTTGCCTTCTCTCGATAAGGACCACCGATGTACCTGCGCCTGTCAGCGCCCTTTGTCCGGATCTATCGGCAACATGCATCAATAGTTCTCCCACACCTTCCTTCCAACCTCTGACACTGATAGGGCAATGTGGGCTCCACCGTCAATCTCCGTCTCCAGGCTTCGACTCGACGGATGTATGTCTCTCATTGCTTGTACACCCCCCCGGGGGTATACAAATTGTGGGGCGCCATGTGGAGCGCAGCCTTCCTGATTCACAGGGTGGTCATCCTCTTGGGGGCTGGACGCAGTCATTGTGACACATAACATCCTCTTTGGTGTGTAGCACCTCGCTTCAAGATCTTGCGTTCTCCAGAGATTACTGGAGAGATCTATTTAGATTACCTTATCGCCTCTTTGTGGGCTCTCGTCCCGAGTTTCATGTCGTTATCTTCTACACCACGTCCTCGTGTAGAACGGAGCCCTGTCAACGACATATTCATCAATCCCGAGGAATGCAGGGCCTTCTCAAGAAAATCGCGCTCGCCTTGGGCGTCTTGAAGTTTCAAGACGCCAGTGGTCACCCCGTGTGCATTGTCGGGGCTGGCCCGGCAGGTCTCACAGCCGCGGCTGAGCTCGAGTTGAAAGGCAAGCAGACTGTGGTGTTTGAGAAACAAGATGCCGTGGGAGGAAAATGCCAAGCCGTTTACCAAGAGTATGCATCTCACCCAGTCAGGCCTCACAATGTTTACTGACGTGCCACAACTGTAGTGGCGGCTTTAGTCCATTAGGAGCTCTCATCTTCACACCACCAACCTACAGAGAATCCATCAAAATGATAGTCAAAAGCGGTGTGGTCTCTGTTCCATTCATTTCAGGTAACAAGTATCAGTACAATACTACAACTGGAGAACTATGGGAACGGGCGAAACCTCCTCCTGGCTTCGTCCAGCTCCTCATGCAAGAAGTCGGTAGATACGTGCGCTGGTGGAACAACAACTTCTACTTGTATAACACCGCTGCGAGTTACAGAGTAAGCCATTCTCCGTCCCGTCTTTCCAGCAGCATGGACTCACAAATCTTAGCATGGAATCCCAGATGAGCTCACAGTGACTACGGCCGATTGGTTAGCCAAGAATCAGTACAAAGCGCTCCAGACAGTGTTCATCCAGTCCATGGTAGCGTATGGGTATGGGGATTACAGACAGGTCCCAATTGTGAGATAAATTCCACATGTGCATCTTCCCATGTCATCAGCTAACAGCCTCCAGATCTACATGCTTCAATATTTGACACCGGATGTCATGATGGCTCTGCTGAAAGTGCAGCAGGGAGTAGAAGTCAACATTGCTGGTAAGCTCTCCGGGAAAAGCGTCCCAATCCCACCCATTATGCTGACACAAAGCCATCAGACTTCCACGACGTGCTTGTTCGGTATGCAGAAAAGTCGATACAGGGACCAATCCATCTTGGTACTTCAATAACTGAGATAGATCGGACGGGTGACCACCCCACGATCAAGTACCACACATCTCAGGATCCCAATCAACAGACCAAGACGCAGCCATGCTCTGCAGTCGTAATAGCTTTCCCACCCACTCTTCGCGCCCTGCAGAGCGCCGGGCTAGACCTCACCGAGAGCGAGCGAGCAGTCTTTTCTGCTGTGGGCATCAACTCGTTCTTCTCGGGCGCAGTCCGCATGAAGACGCCCCACGCCATGACATTCGGGGCCGCCAGCCCTCACCCCATGCTCCCCGTCGACCCCACGGGCGAGCCGGTCGTGGCCGTCAAGCTGCACCAGGACCTCGAGGTCGCCATCACGTCCTCGTGGGGCCCCTACCGCGGGAACCTGACCAAAGCCGAGGCTTACGACCGGCTGAAGTCCACCCTTTCCAAGCTCAACAGGGACCCCCGAGACAGCGCATCGGTGGCTGTGCCAGTCACGGATGAAGACGTTTTGGCATTCCAGGAGAACGATTACTTCCCGCACTTTGATGAGCACGAGCTCGCCATGGGCTATTACGAGAAATTCGAGAGGTTGCAAGGCCAGGGCAAGACTTATTATGCGAGTGGGTTCAACATGTTCGAGCTGATAGAGTATGCGATCCGGGCGGGTCAGGACGTTGTTAGAACACACTTCTAGAAATTTCAGTGTGCCTTTTCTGCCGATCTGGATGTCAGCGATTTCAATAAACTAGTCTCTCCCCCGAGATTTTGTCGTTCCTCAGCCTACATGAACCTCTACATCCACACTCAGTTGCGAATTTTTCTTCTGCCTTGAGACGCGAAGAACGTAGTCATGAATGATCAAACTTGCTTTTCTCTACCTATTTTGTATTCAGCCTCCCAATTACTTTGTGACAAGTGACGCAACCTTGGGCTCAAGAATAATCCCAGTCCCACAAAATCCAAGGCCTCCACCACAGCACATTCACTCATCTATCAAGTTGTAGGTAACGCCTTCCATTGTCTTGTCTAGGTCTTGATCCCGTCCCGAACTCTCGATAGTTTACAAGAAGTAGCAAGAAAGATTTTGGACGTGGACCGTCAGAGCGAAGGGCCCACGGTCGATCTTCAGTACCATCGAACCATAATGCCACTGTTTTCTAAAGTTTCGATAACATCAGTACGCGTCCTCTTTCAGGTTCCACAGGCCGGAGCTTACATTTCTCTGTGGCCAGCACTTTCCCCAGCCACGTGATTGCCTCCCCGTAGATGGGGGCGCATTTCTTCTCCCTCTTCAGCTTCTTTTCTGGCTTGGCCCCGAAATGATGGGTGAAACCGTGCGAACATCCCACCGCCAGTGTCCACTTGTAAGTGCCCTCCTCAAAGTCTCGCTCCTGGTCCCGGCCCCGGAGCCCCGCGAGCGCGTGGATCATCTCCTGGCTTTCCAACCTGAGGACGTCCCACTGCGCCCCGATCATGTAGATCCAAGTGGGGAGATCCTCCTTCCGGGCATAGCATGGGCTGAGCAACGGGTCACGCCGGTTTTGGCCTGGCGAGACATACGCCCAATCGAACCACCAGCTTGGTATCTCGAGCGAGTCTTTTGGGCCGCCCTTGTAGGGGCGTCTTTCCAACTTGACGTTGGGGGGATGACTCCAGTCCACAATCGGATAGAAAGTCAGAGCCGCCTTGATCCTGCCCTTCAAGCCAGGCAGCTGACTTGCACATAGTGCAAGGTTTGCACCTGCACTGAATCCTCCGATAACAACTCTAGTCTTATCAATAGGCAGACTGGCATCAGCAAGAACTGCCTCAGCAACAGCCCCTATATCATAGACTGCAGTAGGGAATGGGTAGACCGGGGCCTTGGAGTAGTCAAGAGAGACAATAAGCATTCCAGTCCGTTTTGCCCACATGACACAAAACTCGTCGTCTTGCTGGGGGTCCCCGACTGCAAATCCACCTCCGTGGATATTCAGATATAGCGGCAGTGGAGCGCCGCCGGCCTGATAGTCTGGGGGGAAGAAGATTCGGGTGGGCAGAGATGGACGACAGGAATAGTGCTTGATCAGGGTAGGGTTTGTCCATTGTGGTGGCGGGTGGATGAATCTTTCGACTGCATAGTAAACATATGCCAAGAACTTGAGGACCCAGAGCCTGAGGAAGCAGTTCAGACGATGGGGGAGTGGCAGCCGAACCTTCAGGAGGGCAGGTGCGTCCAGCTCCAGAGCAGCTTGAGCCTCTGGCATCTTGACGGGGTGAGCAAGAAATGCAACTTCAACTATGCAGAAAGGGAAGAGAGATTGATGGTAGAGAGGTGGCCGGACCGTGGCGGGAGGACCGTCTGCGGTTGTGATTTTGAAGGCCTCGGCTTCGCGGACCGACCTCCACTGAGACTCCTAGAAATCCGAGGCAAAAGATTCTCGAACAGGGGCGCGTCGAGTGCTAGCGCTGATCTCAGCTCCGAGACAGACTGCTTATCTGCGAACGCCCCCAACACAACAAGGGAGGCGTGTGCATAAAACGAGGAAGGAGTAAAAACTCCACTTGGGTGAGGGTTTTTATGTAAATGGGGGCGGCTTATGAATTATTAAGGGCTTAGTTAACTCTCGTCCCGGCATGGGGTCCCAATCCCACGGACGCGGGCCACCCTTCAGAGGCTGCCTGCTAACTGCTGTTTTTTGTGACGAGTAACAACTTTGAATGCGAGCATGATACAGTTGCTTCCTAGGTCTGGTTTTACCAGCTGGTGGTGTGTTCATTTAATAATCTTCAGGAACAAGGACCTTTCATAATTTCTGAGTATATGAGTTGAGGTTTCTGAGTATGTTTAGATTTAATAAACTACGTTGACTGTCTAATTAGGCTGCTGAGTGCAGTGGCGCGTGGGTGTCACATTGTGCTGACCACTCAACAGATCTGATAAGAGCCGCATAGCCGCACGCCAGCTGGCGCACAGCATTGGCAATGTGACTGGTCTGCATTGCCAAGTCAGACAGTGTGGTGCCCAACGGATTACTGGTAATGATTTTACACCTCACCACCTCAAAAAGGATTCCAAACCTCGCTTGTACAAAGGATCTGCAGGATCGTGAAGTCGGCGTGCAGCCTTGTGAGATATGGAGCAGAGAGGTTCGGAGTGTGCCTCGATCCGGAACTGGTCGAGCCACGCCACATAATGTCTCAACATTTCCATGACACAATTGGGTGTAAATTGCTTCTTCTCGCCGAATTTCGGCACCCGGTGTTGTTGCCAAGCGCTGAAACGAAGTCATTGGATTCACTTACGAGATGGTGACGGTTGGTATTCATCCTACGGATCGGACATATTTTACTCAAACTTGCAACGCTCTGGGTCCTTTCCCAGATGTCGTTTGAAACCTGGATGCTGTCTTGCTAACTCTTCATGTGTTATCAAATGCACTTCGTATAGCTTCGTTTCTGTCACCCCTCGTGTTTGATCCTTTGGACCCATACGCGCCTGTTGGGTGCTCTTTTCTTGAACCATGGGTTCCACCACTACAGAGCCGTCTTCCCGGGGCAAGGCCGATGAGGCCCTTGCGACAAGCTCCGGGCTTGAGTCACCAGCGGAGGAAGAAAAGCCTCAGCCCAAATCTCTTCGGTTCAAGCTCACTGTGTTCTTCCTGTGCGCTGTCACGGTCGTCGGCGCAATGGACGCCGTGATAGTAGCAGCTTGCTTGCAAGCCATAGCCGAAGACTTTAAGAGCACCTCCGTCGAGTCCTTCTGGGTTGGAACATCGTTCCTTCTCGCGCAGACCGTCGCAATCCCCATCTATGGCACAACAAGCGAGATCTTCGGACGCAAATGGCCAATACTCACGGCCGTTTCCATCTTCACATTCGGCAGTATCTTGTGTGCCACTGCGAAGACGGTCACATGGCTGATTGGCGCACGAGTGGTGCAAGGGCTCGGTGCCGGTGGCATGATCCAGCTCGTGCAGGTTATTCTGTCCGATATCAGCACGATGAGTGAGCGCGGGCTGTATATGGCCTTTGCGGCGTTGGCTTGGAGTCTGGGGACAAACGTAGGGTAAGCCTGATCTTCTCACGCCTAGAACCCAGCTGGAGTCTGAGGCTGATGAATGACACGCAAAAGAATACCAATCGGCGGTGCCATTGGCACTTATACGAGCTGGCGTTGGGTTTTCTGGATCAATCTCCCGATATGCATTCCGTCCATAATCGGTCTGATCTTTTGCTTGCACTTGCACCAGGATACGTCTTCCTTCGTGAAGAAGCTGCGCATGGTAGACTGGCTTGGTCTGTCCGCCATTACCAGTGCATCCACTTTATTCCTGGTGGGCCTTACTTCTGGAGGGGTGTCCCATCCTTGGAGCTCTGCCAAAGTTCTCGCACCTCTGATTGTCGGTGCCTTCCTCTATGTGGTCTATGTCTACATCGAGTGGCGGGTGGCAGCGAGGCCAATGATGCCGTTGAGAATTTTCAATGACCGGTCTGCCATCACCGGGTTTACTACCAGCTTCTTTCAGGGGTTGATAGTCTGGTGCTACACTTATTACTTTATCCTCTTCGTAAGACACCTAAGCTCGCAATTGAAGAGAACATACTGACAGCATTCAAGTTTCTCGGCGCGATGCAGCACAGTCTTCTTCATTCTGCGCTTGAGAGCATGACGACGTTGGCCTATTCTGCCCCGGCAGGCCTGGTGGCCAGTATTATCGTCAAGCGGACGCAGAAGTTCAAGCTTCTGATTTCGATTGGATGGGCCCTGCTTGCGGCAGGAGTGGGCTCCAATGTAAGGAACGTGTGCCCCGCCCGTACCGGAGTGGGCTAACAAATTTCATAGGTCACAATGAAGCCAGACAGTAGTAAAGCTATTCTGTACGCTCCTCGCTGTTTGGCGTCCATCGGTGCCGGCATCTTGTTCCCGATGCCTCTGTTTGCTGTGCAAGCTCGGCAACGAGGAGAGGACATTGGCATTGCAACCAGTGTTCAGGTGTTCGCCCGCAGTCTCGGCACAGCTTTCGGAGTCGGACTCGGCGGAGTCATTGTCCAGAATGAATGGACGAGGATCGTCTCCCGGAACGTGAGAGAGAACAGGATACCGGCCAGCCTGGCAATTCCAGGCAGTCACGCCGAGATTGCATACGAGATCATTGAAAACTTTCCAGAGCCAATACAGGAAGCATATCGATGGGTGTTTTCAGATAGTCTCAAGACCATCTGGTGGGTGCTGATGGGCCTGTCAATTGGAGGGTTTTTGGTCAGTCTGACGGCAAGGAATGATAAAGTGGCGGGTGGACTATCGGGATCACAGAACTTCAATGACAAGACAGCCATTGGGCTCGAGGATGGACGGATCCAAGACAAAGCTAACCAGCAATAAGGATAGCTTCAATATTGCATACATCAACTACTATCAATCGACACGACACCATAGATGAGCCCCAGAGTAGCCAAGATCACATTGATATCAAATACCCTCATCTTCCTGTTCCAAATCGATCTTTATCCGCGTGGCCGCTTAGCTCTAGGGCTGTTGAAGCGATGAAAAAGCGCGTCTTAAACTTGGGCTGGTTTCTTCCATTAGAGGGGCTTGCGTTCATCGACCCCTTCACATTGGCTGACTTCACGGAGTCGTTTGAGCGCTTTTCAGCCGGAAAGGTTTAACTATCCACGTCAGCCGCTTACAGGGCACCGGGTCCAGAAAATGACCTGAGCCTGACGCAAAGCTTGGTCAATAACATGCCTCTCTGACAACAAACCGATGCAGCTTAATGTGACACAAATGACATTGATGCCCGAGCTCCCTCGATCTACTCAAACAAGTTTGTTGCAAGATACATATGATTTCCCTAGACGAGACTTTGCTCTCATCTACGCGTCTCTCACATTCAAACCCTTGGATAAAACATTTTCATGCCCTGCTAACTTAATACGTAGGCTCAGAGAAAGTAAATCTTATTCCGTCAACATGAACAACAAACGGTACAATAATTTTGATACCTATAGAAGTTCAGGGCCAGAAAACGGAAAATATATAACAGCAATTTCGCAGCCCTTACGATGTACTGGTAATACAAGAACCCGAGGTGCTGCGAAACCTCAAATTGATAGACTGCCACTACTGGAAGCAACAGTTGTGTACACATCGTTACTGCACCCCGTCAGCGATGTGTAAATACCGAAAATGCCTTTGATAATCGGACAACGAGACAATGGTGCGGTGATGCTCACGAAATCAGCAGCGAGTGGAATAAAACAATCTACAATATGGAAGGTACTTCGATCGCTTTATTCCCGCTCAGTACGGCATCTGGGCATGACCTGATAACTACGAGGTTTTGAATGACACGACAACGCTTTGACACATCGAGCTGAGCAGGCACAACACGACCACCTGCCTTGGAACATGAATCGTCTGGGACGAGCACTCAACCTTGACAGATCTGGATATCATAACCCAATTCAACGCAGCCTCATCGAAGACACTGGCGCGCGCGACGCGTTCTTGTTGTCAGAAGATATCTGGATAATGCAATTCAAATTACGGGCCGCTGTTGAAGCAACCATGCTAAACGCTCCCCAATTCGTCACTCGTGCAGAACATTCATCTCATCTATTTTACTTGGACAGGTCACCACCCCAGACCTCCTTTGCGATCTCGGCCTCGAGCCTGACCTTGGCCCACTGCTCCTCCTGGCTCAGGTCGTTGCCCTCCATGGTGGAGCTGAAGCCGCACTGGTGCGACAGGCACAGCTGGTCCAGGCCCTTGGGGCAGTACTTTGCGGCCTCGTGCAGCCTGGCGACGATGGCGGCCTTGTCGTCGAGCTCGGGCTTCTTGCTGCTCAGCACGCCGAGGACGACGACCTTGTTCTCGGGCAGGTGGCGCAGCGGGGAGAAGTCCCCCGAGCGGGCGTCGTCGTACTCGAGGAAGTAGACGTCGACGTCGAGCTTCTTGAAGAGCGTCTCGGCGACGGGCTCGTACCCGCCCTGCGCGAACCACTGCGACCGGTAGTTGCCGCGGCACAGGTGGATGCCGATGGTCAGGTCCTTGGGCCGCTTCGAGATGGCGGCGTTGATCAGCTTGGCGTAGTTCTCGGCCAGCTCCTCGGGCTCGACGCCGTGGCGCGCGGCCGCCTCCTTGCGCATGCCCTCGTCGCAGAGGTAGGCGAGGTTCGTGTCGTCGAGCTGGACGAAGCGGCACCCCGCGGCGTAGAGGTCCGCGATCTCCTCCTGGTACACCCTGACGAGGTCGTCGAAGAAGGGCTCCAGCGTGGGGTACGCGTCCTTGTCGATGGCCTCCCTCCCGGCGCGGAAGTGCACCATGGTCGGCGAGGGGATGCACACCTTGGCGGAGACCGAGTCCTTCACGCCCAGCTTCTGCAGTTGCGAGTCCAGGAACTTGAAGTCGTCGACCTGGATCGGCTTGGGGTGGCCCAGCTTCCCGGTGACGATCAGCCTAGGGGGCGTGGGCAGGCCGTGGGGTGTGACGTTGGTGGACGAGATGTAGCCCTGCGCCTCGACGCCGTCGAGGTGGATGCAGAAGTCGATGTGGAAGTAGGCGCGGCGGAACTCGCCGTCCGTCACGGCTCGGAGCCCATTCTCTACCTGGCTCTTCACGACGGCGGCAACGTGCTCGTCCTCGACCTTGCGGAGCTCCTCGGTGGTGATCTTGCCGGCTGAGGCTTCGTTGCGCGCGGTCAGGACAGCCTTGGGACGCAGGAAGGACCCGACCTGGTCTGCCCGGTAGACGCCCTGAGGAAGAGGCATGGTTGATCTGGTTACTCTTTAGGATCGGGTCTCGGCCGAACACTGTAGCGCCGCAGTCTAGTCCAGTCAGGGTCTCCAAGATTTATGCGCTCGCGGTCGAGGTGGGTGACGAAAGACTGGGACGGCACTGAGGGCCGTGACTTCGCAGACTTGGGATCTGAGGTAGAGAGGGAAGCAGCAACCACTTGGGAGTGCGAGATCGCCTCAGGACTCTGAGACTTATAGACAGGAGAATATTTAAGGCCGGAGCAGGGACCTGCTAGGTTCTTTTTTTCTCCCAGCGTGGGGATCGGGAAAGCGCCCAGTTCCGCGTCCAGCGAACCAGGGGCACTCATCATGTCCGAGACTGGATGAGATGTGTCCCAGGAGCGGCAGTTCGCGCGAGCCAGCGGCCGCGCGGTTGACGCGACCACGAGGCTATGACGATTCACGAGGGGCAGCGGCGGGCGAGGAGATCCATGAAGGTGAGGGGGCGGGGCAATATCGAGCTCAGGTTCTCCATAGCCGGATTATAGTCGAGCCGCCGGACCCTGAGTCAAGGCCGAGGGACAGCTCATATAAGTCGATGGGAGACCCCGAGTAAGTCGGGCCACGCGACGGTGCTGCTTGTGCCATATCCAAGGAGGCAGGACAGACATCTCGACAAATGAGTCGTCTGCATCGTAGACAACTAACTACGCAGCAAAAGTTTACGCAGACTTTTGCTGCGGACCACGTGTGCATCCAGACCCCACAAGCAAGACGCTGGACGGTTCACTGCGCCAAGGTGCGACATAAGGTTACCAGACTCCGGGAAGACCGAGCGACGGCAGCCGAGGCCCGGTGCGAGAGTTGCTGCTGCGCCTGTCCGCTTGTTCATGCGTCGTCTGGCAGAGGCCGTTGAAAGACCCCGACCGTAGCCTTACTCGCTCACTGCAGTTTCCCAGTTGCCCGATGCCCAACTACAAATACGGTGTGGCCCCCAAGAGACGTGGCGAAAAGTCCCAGGGGACAAGAGTAATTGACGATATCCATTTCAGGGGCCAGGAGGGGCAACTGCAGCAGGCACGCAAAGGCGGAGACGAAGGCACTGACGTTGGCCCATTGATGGTCCGTATCTGGAGATGAGGATACGCAGCCAGATTTAGCCGACCACGGCACCGGCTCACGATGGTTCGAACACGGGCTGCGTTCGATGTTGGGGCTGTGCTGGAAAGTCTGATTCGGGTTTCGTCGCGTGAGATTCCCTGGCCGGCGGGCCTGGCGCTGGAATGCACATGCACCAGATGGAACTGGCTGGTTGATGATTGATTAATTGATTGATTGATTAATTGACCCGAGTGTGTCTCTCTCGCTGTTTGAGGAGTCAGATTCTTTTTGACTGCAAAACGGCCGGCCATCAGCCAAGGCCTTGGCCCAAACCGGAGACAAACATTTCAGATCTTGCGACACGCCTCTTTCGCGCTCTTTCTGCAATTTCTTGTGCACAGCACAATCGTTTGTTCGCTGCAAAAAGAAAGTGAAAATACCGGCAGTTCGAGACACACAGTTCCTTGACCAAGTCTCCCTGAGCAAGATCTGCCAGGGCTGCCAGGGACAAAGCCCATAAATTGACAGCTCACATGCCCACACTGTTTGAGTTGGGACGAGTGGCTCAGCCATGTCGTGATGACGATTTGCATATCAACGACACGATCATGGTGGCAACCTGACGTGTGGATGGGAGGGCAGCCGGTGGGCAGTCAGGGCACTGATTTGACTGGGAACTGCTATTTTGGGGCTGAAACGTGGATCTCGTATGGGCGCTTCGCGGGTCTTCTTTCCGGGTCGGTTGTTTCGTCCCAGGTGAGACGGGCCCCACGAGGTTCATGTTGCTCCCGCCCGTGTCCCGCCCTGTGCTACTCTGCAACGCTGGGCCTGTGTGTCTTTGTGATGCAGCACATGTGCCACGGGTGGGTTACATAGCTGCATTGCATGGCAGACGTCGAGCCGCAGACCTTGGGGCAGAGACTGGGCCGGCTTGAAGATCTCTCGTCCCCCCACACAGCGAATTGGAGGTGGTGATGATGATGATCAAGCCAGAAAAGGGTGACGTGATGCAGCAGCTAGACTGGCCCAGGCGCTGATCAGGCCTACCCCTGAGACGAACACCACAGGAAGCTCTGTTGCGTCGTGGTAGGTACACTCCGACTGCAATGTTGTCATGTCATCTGGTCTCGGCCGCGTCTATCTGTACGCGCCATGGCCAGCCATGCAGCAACGCATGGCCCGTCCGTCTGATGTTTTGGACCAGGGATCATCAGGGAATCGATGATCAGAATTCCGGCGGCAGGTCGTGCAATGATGTGCGGCAGGCTTGCAGCGCTGCAATGCTGCAACCTGTACGTAGTAGCCATGCACCGTTGACGTACGTATCTTCTTTTCTTGTCTTTTTCTTTCTTTAACAGCAGCAACAAGGGTGTTACGCGGAAGATGCACAGACTGGCCGATCAACAACAGCTGCCAGTCTTGAGACATTTCGGTTAGGTAACAGGAATCGTTCTGGCAGTTTGTGGCTTGGAGTCTAGAACTCTGCAGCGAGTGCTGGGCAACAAGAAGTCTAGAGTCCAGACGGCGGGAGAAGAAGCTCCTCTCAAGCGCCTGCCCTGCGTATGCATGATGGGTGTGCAGGTACGTAGACCCTGCCAGTCTGCGTGCTGGAACACGCAGCAGAACGGTGAAGTACGTACAGTGCAGTCGCACGAAAGGGGTCGCCCTTGGCCGCACCTGCCGCATGAGCAGCTACAGCTAGACGTGTCTGGGCGGTCCGGTGCAGTGGGCGTGCAGTGGCAGAGTGGGCTGGCAGTGGGCAATAGCCACTCTCTTTCCTCTCGACCTGGGGAAGAAGAGTCCAGAAATCAGGGGATCGAGTGGAAGAGATTGGACCCAGGGGCAGGGGACCACCCTCCATCACCCACGCCCATCATCAAGCTGCAGCACTACCGCAAACGCTAATCATCCCAGGGCAAGCACGGCCAATTCAACCGTTTTGGCGAGGCACGCCCGAGACGAGACCTTGACTTGGGGTGTTGTGGGTGTGTGCTGGCTGGTACGATGTACCCCCGTACCTCCGTGCCTTCCCTCCCTTCTGCCCCTCTGGTCTCTGGTGGCCCTCCCCTCCTCCAATCCCTGAAGACGACATCCCTGCCTCTGAAGTATCCCGGCCACATTATAACCTTCGACCAGATTCATGGTTGGCGCTGGACTGCAACACCTCTCTGGTCTTGCTTGTTGTTTCTTTTGGGCATTGTTTGCGCCTGCTTTATTGCCACTTATTCCCTCTCTCTACCTGCCTTCTTCTTTTCTGTCCCCTGGGATCTTCCAAATTCTTCCTGCTCGCTCGCTCTCCACGACCCAGCTTCGAAACATCCATCCGCTCGCTGTTGACCTCCACGCCCTCTCGAGATAGTCTCCCACCACGGAGCTCCCCATACATCCCCAAACGGCCCAATTCCTCGCACCTGCGATACCGGGATTATATCCCTTGGCATTTTTGCCGGAACGACCAGCTCCGACCTTTGTCTGCACCTCGTTGGAAACTACGAGCTTGCATCCGCACACCGTTGACCCTCCACGGAGCTGAACACAACAACTTCAAAACCAGAAGCGACAAGACTACACAGTCAAGATGAATATCACAAAGAAGTTCGACCGCGCCTTCCAGTGGGCCGGCGAGAAGATGGGCTCAGAAGCCAGGACAAACATGTCGGATGACTTCAAAACCCTAGAGACAGAGATGGCCCTCCGCTTCGACGGTATGGATTTCTTGGAGATGCTCGCGTGACCAGTCACTGTCATAGACTCGACCAGTGTGCTAACAATGTGTGTTCACTTACAGGAATGGTGAAGCTCCAATCCTCCATGAACGAGTATGTCAAATGGCTCTCCCGTCGTGCCGAGGGCATGGACCGCGAGAAGGGCGTGCCTGCAGCCATTCTGGGACGGTCGATGATAGCACACGGCGAGGATTTCGACAACGATTCCGAGTTTGGAAACTGCCTGATTGGTATGCTGAGCTCGAGAATCCAAGCGTACTAGGACTGCAGCTGACAACTTGAACAGCCATGGGCCGGGGCAACGACCGCGTAGCCAACATCCAGGAGCAGTTTGCCGCCGACGCCAGCTGCTTCTGGCTCGAGTCACTCGAGAGGTCGCTGGCAATGATGAAGGAGTATCAGGTACGCTCCCCAACAAACCCCAGGACAAAGCCGTAGTCGCTGACCGCTTTTCTTAGGCTGCCCGCAAGAAGCTCGAATCCCGCCGGCTAGCCCTCGATGCCTCCACAACCAAGATGCAGAAGGCCAAGCGTGATGATTTCCGCATTGAGGACGAGCTGCGTAGCGCCAAAGCCAAGTACGAAGAGTCTTCCGAGGACGTATACCGACGGATGCAAGACATCAAGGACGCCGAGGCCGACAGCATCCGCGACCTGACGCGGTTCCTCGACGCTGAGCTGGACTACCATGAGCGGTGCGCCGAGGAGCTGCGCCGCGTGCGACAATCCTGGGTCGCAGGGGCGGCCGGAGGCGGCTCGCCCCACTCACGCCGGCCTTCAGGACGCAGCAGGTCCAACACCGCAGAGCAGTCGTCTTACGGCGGCCCACGGCTGGCGCTCAGCAGGACAAACAGCAACGTGTACGAAGACGAGGAGGCGGACGACTTCCCCTCTCACAACGCACGCGCGCCCATCCGCTCGCAGTCTCGCATCAGTGTCAACAGCCAAGCATCCGACCGGCCAGAGATGCCCGCCCGGCCTGGTATTTCTAGGAGCAACACATACCAGAACGAACGCAACCTCGGCGCAAACCTGTCCCGCACGACCTCTGGGACATCGACGCCACTCAGAGAGGCCCCTCCTCCGCAGATGAATGTCGGCTCCCTCCGCGGCCAGCTGCGTCCCACCGGAAGCAGCAGGGCGTCCGCGATGGATGTCTTTGCGGACCATGACGGCGACGACACTGGCGGCAGCAGCGACACAGCGGACAGGAGCACGAGCCCAGCCACGAGTTACGGAAGCCTTAGCAGAACAAACACCGCCCCCAGCGTCGCCATCGGAAAGAAAGCCCCACCACCGCCACCGCCTAGCAGGGCCAAGAAGCCCGCACCACCTGTGCCAATGCGCCGGGAGGTTGGGTACTAGGATTAGGCTGGCTTCGGGGAGATCCGAATTATCGTTATTTGGAGGGGATAGAGGATTCGTTGGATTACCAAATTCAAGCATTGCGATGGGGTCAAACTGATTATGGGTGAGATACGAAATTCATAGAGGGTCGGCGGCGTTGGACTGGCAAACACGTACTCGTTGGATAGGATCGAAAGATGCCAGACATCTTTAGGGAGTCCAGAATTGATCATGTTCAAAAATTGATTCCAACGGGCTTGAATTGTCCTGAAACGGCGGCATGGTTGGCCATGCCCTTGTGATGTTGGCGACGCATCCCCGAACCATATATTCTACGTCTCAACAACACGGAAGTGAGATCAATAGTTGATATAGTATATCTCAGACTGTATATTGCTATCTACCTCTATTGCGGCACCACTTACTGCTATTAGTTGCAAACTGCTGCGTAACAATGTATAGACGAGATTTGAGCGGCCTTCAACCATGCACACTCATGAGGAGCCAGCCTGAAAAATATCTGGGTCTGAAGTTGCAGATGGCGCCTTGCATTATCACTCGACCCATGATGAAGTTTCTTTGGGAGTAAAGCTGGAAATGTACCAGTAGTGGAAATATGGTTCTACCCAATTCTCGGCTATGCTGCTTACACCTTCTCGTATATGACATCTGTCCTGAGTGTGTATTTGGTCCCCTTCCGTACTTCTACTCCCTCATGATACATGTCCCTCTGTTGGAATATCAACACGCTCCCTTGCTTCGGGTCTATGTCTAGCTTGTCTTCCTTTGGATTCTCAAAGTCAATACCAAACCTCGTAGCTCCTCCCTCGATCTCCTCCCCGCCGCCCTGGCCCCCGCCATTGAGATACAGATGCACCGTCAAGAAGCTCTTCTCCGCCCTGCCGCCCTTGCCGACGTAGTGCCCGTCGCAGTGCGGGCTGAAGTACTGCCCCGGCTCGTACCTGAGGAAGCGCAATGCACTGTCCAGGCGGGCGATCTTCCAGGTCTCCATGTTGACCACAGCCGCCTGGCCAGTGATGCCAGGCGCGTTGGTCAGGCTCGCGACCGCGGGTGGCATGTGAGGCAGGATGCGGCCCAGCAGCGCGTCGGCCAGGGTTTGGGACTCGTGGATGATGCGGCCGCAGTCCCGCGACGCCAGATCCACGAACCGGGTCCCGTTGTGCGCCGTGACCGTGGCGGGCGGCCACTGTGGCTTGCTGTTGCCGGCGGGCTGGACGACGGAGAGCAGGGCTGCGCATTCGCTGGGGGTGAACAGGTCGTCGATCACCATGGCGAAGAAGTCCTCGTATAGCCCCAGGTTTGTCTCCTTGAAGTCGATCAGCCTTGCCGTTGCTGAGGGCGGGGCTGGGCCGCTCGGGATCTGGCACTCGACGACGGCCGTTGGGTTCTCTGCAGCCATGCTGATGATGACTGTTGTCGATCCTTGGTAGGTATGGGCGTCTGGGTAAGTTGCCGGTGCTTTTTTCAAGCGTTAATCTGAACACTCGGTAATTTTATTGTTGGATTTGTTGCCCGACAGAATGCCGTCAGCCATTATATAGATCCAACGTTCCCGCTATTATACAGTGTGAGCAGGCAGCCACCTGTAAGAATATCACTGTGCTGTACTTCTGGAAATATAATTTCGAGAGAATGACAATACATTCAGATCACTAATTGTGGCTCAGCTGGTTGGTTGAGGTACTAGTCTTGAATGTTGAGTTGGTCTTGTTGATGCCGGCTGAACATCATTTGATCCAAATCAAGCTCTCATTCCACTCAGACATGAACATGTGTGTCCATTCAATGCACGTGAGTCTATCTTCACATAATAGTCAGAAGCGAAACATTAGAAGCTTTCGATATGGAATTAAAGCGGGTTATCTCAGACGGGAGACTAGGGTACAAAAGCTATTACCGAACATAGAAAGACACGTATTTCCCCTTCATGTTGTCAGTCTGCTAATGGTTACCCAGGGTACGGACGAGGACGAAACAATTATAATAACCAAGGGAAACCTCATCATGCGTAAAAACTCTCAAAAGAAGGTGGGGTTCTCCATGTACTCGCGAATCTTCTCCTGCGTCCACTTCCCAGTCGTCCCAATACTCGTCACCACGCCGGTGGTGCTGCCACCGCCGAGCAGCACAGAAAAGATGCCGCGGAGCGGGAAGTCACCCCAGGACGGGGCCCCGAGATCAAACGGCTCGGCGCTCTCGAACAGCGACTCGACGTCCTCGTGCGGGATGAGGTCGGAGGCGAGCTCGATGCCGAGCACGACGGGGTGGATGTCCTGCAGGCCGGAGCCGACGCCCGCGTCGCCAAAGACGTACGTGCCGCCCGTGCCCCAGTGGTCGGGCTCGAGCGAGTCGGCCGTGACGGCGTCGCCGGCGGCGCGCGGGACGCGGCTGGCCGGGACCTGCCACGGCATCACGGGGACCTTGAGCTCCAGGGCGACGGAGCGCACGAAGTCGTAGAAGCGCGCCCACTCCCGCGGGCCGTAGCAGTACCCTTTGCCGTACCCCCGGTATGTGAAGTCGTCGGCCTCGTAGCGGTCGATGGCCAGGAAGTCGGGCGCGTACTCGCCCTCGTGCACGCCCAGCGCCCTGATGTAGTCGGCCGTGCTCTTGGCGTTTGTTATGGAGACGGTGTTGTCGTCCTGTTTGTAGATCCACGCCGAGCTGCCGACGCCCCACAGGTTCGCCTGCCAGCCGAACGTCACCTCGGGGGCGACGGTCCTGATCAGCCAGTTTACCGCCTGGACATAGCCGGCGAGGGTGTCCTTGACAGTTTCCGGGACGACGGCGTCTATGTTACGGTGAGCCAGCGCGTTGGTGAGAGGCTCCCTGACGGGCATGATATAGGATGGCCCACGGCCTTCCTGTTGGTTGGCTCCCAGGAAGTCCGGGTTGACGATGTACCCAGCTGGGACCTGGTTCTGCGACGCCTTCCTTGCCAGCTGCATGCTGAGGATCAGATTGCCGAAGGAGTGCTCCAACCGGGGGACACTCTGCAGGAGCCTTTCGCTGTCGCCGAGGCTGAGGTTGACCGTGTAGCTGATCATGACCGGCAGGACGGACTGACCGTCCAGGTTCTCGGAGACCCGCGAGGCGAGGCCGACCGTCCTGGTGGTTGCCGGGTCGTCGTCCAGGTAAGCGCCAGCGTCTCCGGCGCCGTCAGTGCCCGCGTACTTGAAGACGGACGTGACCTTGGCGGCTGTCAGGTCCTTGCCATCCGGGTCGACGAGGTCGGATATGGCGCCGAAGCTGAGGTAGTCGGGGAAGCCCCGGACCGCCAACTTGGGCCCTCGCAAGACCTCCATGTCGATCTTGGAGGAACCGTCGGATGCGACCTCAATCTCGCTGACCACATGTGCGCCATAGACGGTGCCGTCCTTGATGTAGCCGGGCGCGCTGACTTTGTACCTGCCCGGTGCAACAGGGCCGAGCGTGATGGTCCCACTCTCGACGGGCACCTCCTTGGAATATATGAAGGCAGTCTGGTCTCGAGAGACGAGGCGAAGTGCGATGGACTCGTCCGAGGGCTCCAAGTCGGTGTTCACCTTGATGGGCAAGTCGACGAACGACGAAGTGTCAATGTTGGCCGACGAGATGTTGCCGTCCTCGATGTCGACGTTGATCAGGGCGTTGGAGAGTTCCACTGGCTGCTGGCTGGTGTACTTGATATTGTTCAAGGTCAGCGTCGCGATGACGGTGGCGGTGCCCGATGGCGGCAGCCGCCGCACGCTGGTTGTGTGGTTGTTGGGACTGTCAAAGACCTTGACTTCGCCACCGCCCACCTTGACCTGGACGTGAAGCTGCTCCTTGTCCAGAGGAGACGACAGCTGGCCGACTTTGATGTCAAGGGCTGAGAACTTCTGGGGGGTTCCGTAGGACACTGTCAGCGTGGTGGTAGCGTCGTCTTTGACAGTGATCTCTGTCGGTGAGACGGACGCGGTCGCAACGATAGTCTCGTTCTCGTTGATGAGATCGTCCACCTTGACCGTGTAATCGCCAGTAGCCACCTCGAAGGGCGTCGTCTCGCCAGGCGGAGCGAGGAGGGAGAGTGGCACACCGCCTTTGGAGAGGGTGATGGTCTGCATGGAGGTGGACAAGGCGCCATCTGGGGCACCAGGGACCACGGCCTCCACCGTGCCGCTAGGCAGCTTGTCCGCGAAAAGCTCGAACGATTCGGTGTACCTCGAGGCATCGCCTCTCAGGTCACCGTTTATGCCCCAGGTCAGGGTGTCCGAGGCGTTGAACCTGTACGGGCCCGCAATTGGGAGCTCGGCCGTGACGGCGACACTCTTGTCTGCCATTGGTTCCAACGTAAAGATGGCGTCGACCTTCTGCCACGGACTGAGCAAAGCAGTGAGTTGGGGGACACCTGTGCTGGGAGGAGCAAGGAACTTGACGTAGAGCCTGTCCTGGACGGTAACAGGGCTGCCATCTTCGTAACTGATGCCGTTCGTGACAAGAGTGCTGTAATACTCGCCGGGGCTGGGGCCGACAACAGTCTTGGATACAATGCTGGGCATATTGGCGACTTTCAGGTGGGAAAGATGGCGAAGCGAGTAGTGAAGAAGCGTGGAAATTCTCGAGGGCAGATTATCTGTGGGAAGTAGTTGACTTGGGTTCTGAGGCTGGGATCTGATTGTTGACTACTCGAGGACACAATACTCAACGGGGAAGAAAATCGGGCTTTATATACTTCAGTCCTCGTCAGTGACCCAAGGCAAAGATGTGATTTCTCAGCCAGGTCTGAGGACCGTGTGTCACGGGGGGCTGGATCTCAAGCGGTGTATTCCACAAACTCACTGGACCTTCGAGGCACAACGTGTTCATTCGAGCTCGCAGGTTGACAAACTTAACCAAGATTGGCAGTTTTCAGTTCGTAGTCAACGCACAAGAGAGATTACGAATAGTGTTTCTGAAGATCTAGACACTTTGATTCATCACAATGCTGTCGTGACAGCCGTCGACCTCTTCCCGTGGTATGCAGCACTTCTCTAGCTACTGCTCGGCTCTGCGCTTCTCATGACCAAAGCTGCCAATTGTGGTCAAAGAATTCGAGAGGCCGAGAGTCTTGAGCGAATTTCAATTATTTAGTAAAGCCGCCATTGGGTACGATGTTTGCATGACCTAGACGTAAGACGAGGCAAAAGACGCCACCCACGCAACCCAAAACTTGTCCTCCCCCAAATATGTGTTCATGTGGGGTGAGTATACCTGTGCGCGTAGCATGTGTGCCCAGATTTCAAGCACTCCTCAGAGGTGGCATCAGAGATGCATGGAGGGTGTCAATGGCGAAAAGCCCTCCCAATGCCCCCATCCCCAAAGTAATCGCTTGCATGAAAACACTCAGCCGCAGATACGAGCAGTTGGAGCTACATTATTTCATCGACGCCGGGATAGGACGTCTCCTGATCAACAAAGAGAATTTCAAAACTGCTGCCATGGTGGTAAACTGCACTTGGTGTACGTCTGACTATACAGACGACGACAACCAAGACAATGGTCCCTCCAAGTGTGCACAGCGGCGAGTTATACGCACTCTTGTCCTGATCAAGACTATGAGTACCTATTAAACGAAATATCCCTCGGCCATCAACAATAGCTGCGTATTCTCGGGATCGACGAAAAACCAGTCGCTCAGATATCACAGACAGGGCCGCATCTGCGGTCTACCAGCGGGGTTATTCATGAACACCCACCACGATCGAAAGCTGAAGTCGAAACATGTGAACGGGCCTGAGCGACGGCATGAGATCACGCTTTCGGCAGGATGGCTCGAGGCCGACAGTTAAGCGGCTGTTACACTCTCTGTGCAAAACTGGGGAAAGGTGACAGGTCACAGACAACTCTCATCGTTGACACAGGTCCAATCTGCAGCTCACTCAAATGAGCTGCCACTACCATCGTGGTTTTTGCACCTAGGAAAATATCGAGATCGCCGATCGAGGCTGAATGGACAACCAGACCGGTGAAGCGGCGGGTGAGATAGGATCAAAGACCGTCGCAAGGCGGTAGTCGCGCTCGTCTGCAGACATTGCGGAGGCTGTCAGCATGTGAAGTAAGTTTAGACCCATTTGTCGAGGCGCATCTCGCCTGGCCTGCTGTGAAACAATTGATGCATTATAACTTGTCTGACCGGCTCTGATCTCAATGACTGCCGAGGCAAAGGCGTTATTTGTGCAGGTTCAAACTGCCAAACTGACCCCGGCCGTTGGTCAATCGCGAGCTGAAACCATCCATCAAGCCCTGCGATCATCTCCTCCGGGCCAGAGACTGCGGTCCAGCATACCGCATCACAGGCGGCTCGAACTGGACTCTTACTTACTCGTGGGTCTGGCCTTCGGGGTGCCCCCACGCCTCCGGTGTAACAGTGGGTGAAGCGAAGCCGAAGCCCACAGGTAGCTCTCGTGAAGGTCTTTGCAAATCGTTGATTGCTCATCGTAACGTTATTCCACCGCCTTGTGGCACTTCTTCCCCACCACGCATCGGAGATCTGGACAGCGGAGACACAGTCACTTACATAAAAGAAACAACCCATGGCCTAGCAGTGACTTTGCAGCGTCTGGTTCAATACAGATCCAAGTCAGCAAATCAGCAAGTATAGGAGTAGCACAACGTCATAGCATTTGTCGACCTGCAGTCCACGCGCGAAGGCATCTACGCTGACATGGGACTCTGTCCTCGCCTACCCTAACGAAGGCGATGCCGCTCATCTTGTCAACATCACGCTCTCCGGCGTCACATCCCTACCGGCATCCGTGTTCTTCACGTGGACCTCGAGCACGAAGTACAAAATATCCATGCATCAAACTGACGCCTTCTCACTGACAGAGATGGACATCGTTGAGAATGACAACTGGCCCCAACAGCTCGACGTGGAGCGGTCGGGGCCCAGCGGGGTTGTTGTGACTCTTGTTGGCAGTGAGCTCAGCGAATGAGTTGCGGTTCCGTCTTCTGGCATCTGTCGGCGAATCTAGGCATTCTGACTGACCTACTGTTTTATACCCGTCGTAGGGAGGATGGAACGAATCAGCAATGGAGGAATGGCTGTGGCGAACCAAATCACATTTGTAGCACTCATGTGTCCACGGAAATGTGCGTATCTGATTGATATCAGATTGGGCAGTACTTCTGTCAACCTGGAAAAGAATATCTGCGCCTCATCATCGTGTTGCAATCTCGAGTAGAATTTCTCTCAAGAACTAGTAAAATGTGGGAGGGATATCAATTCTCCTTGTTTGACAGTCCATGCTGTGAGTGGTCCAAGATACCTGGAAATCCGACAGCAACTCATCCAATCTAGTCACCGCCCGAGCTCGTAGGCTACTTAGGGCGAGCAATTGTCCGACGCGTGGTCAAGTGAAACACCATCGACATTTCAAGAGCCACACACAACTGTTGAGTTGCGGAACGGAGTTCGTCGAAATCTAGGTGCTGCTGTGTCTATGTTTAACGTTTTGGGAAGAAATACAATGGGTACTCCAGGTCTCGAGGCTCAAGAGAGGATCTAGATCCTCTGTTGTAGTTTGCATGTGCCTGGGAGTCGATCTTAGCAGACAGCTCATACTTGACAAAACAAATGGTTCGATAAGCTTAATTCTATTCAAAACTCGGAACGAATTTTAAGAAACTACCTAAACTAGTACGTGCTAGAGAGTGTAAATTAGATCCTCGCTACGATTAAGGACAAAGTCTAAGTCCTTACTACAAAGATCAAAGAGATAAGGGTTAACGAGAGCGAGTTCACCCAAATCCTTTGCAAAAAGGAGTACAAGTCCCTGATCAGAGACTTCAAAATCTATGGATACGCAGACGCTATGAATTGCGTTGAAACTCGGGTCGACGGCACCTACGAATAGATAAATCGAGACACACAGTTCTTGCGTTGTCTCTTACCAAACACATAATCTAGCACCACCTACCAGGGGGAGGGGGGGTATTCGTTTGGGTGCTGCAAGCAAGTTAATGGGAAAGTAATATAATAATGACATGCTATTAAGGTTTTAATAGTATGTTTTTTTATATGCCTTGCATTATTTACACGTTATTAATATATATTTATTCTTAACATAATATTAATATTAATATAATATTAATATAATGTTAATATATAATATAAAGGTAAAAAGAAAACTTTTTTTCCCTTATTCTTAACCTAACTACTTATTTACTCTTTATTAGCTTAATTATTTATTATAAGAGGATTTATAAAATTATAGAAATATTTAAAAATAAAATTAAGTTTAAAGTTAATAAAGTTTAAATTAAAGCTTTTAATATAAAATTATAATAATATTAGCTAATATAAAGTTAATATTAATATAATTTAAAAGCTTTAATATAATTTGCTTTTAATAGTATTTTAATAATCTTTTATTAGCATTTTGCTAGAATTATAAAATTTCAATTAAATGTTAAAACATGAGTGCATTGCGTGACCCCGTCAGAAACCCCCCTCCCCCCTGGTAGGCAATAGGACGTTTGTGATAGCGGCCAACCCGGGCTGCGGAAAGTCAGTGTTGTCTTGCTACTTGATAGAAGAAGGACTTTTCAGAGCCATCGGACCTGTCGTTGAAGTCACGGTGTGCTACTTCTTCTTCCAGACGTCTGATGAGAGGTTTCGGTCCTCTGCAAACGCACTATCCAGCATAATTCATCAGATTTTCACTAAGCATTAGAACCAGGACGAGATACTCAGCGACATCAAGCATGGATCAAACGGCGGAGTGATCAGAAAGTCGACAACCTAACTAGTCTCATCCAGATTCTTCAGAAATCAATGGCCTTGGCCGGTCGCCGCCAAGGACCAAGCAAACCACTTCTTGTATTTGATGCACTCGACGAGTGTGCTGAATAAGAACCATACAAGCTGATCAAGGCAATCCAGGAACTCTCTTCCAATACCTTGGATGTCCCAGTAAGGTTTCTAATCACAACACGTCCAAATCCAAGGATCATGCGCAGTCTTCTCAACGTTCTAAAGTTTAATGATCCGTCTCAATCACGACTAGTCCAAGGAGAAGTCAGGCTTGTTATGAGGAAGAAGGTAGATTATTTAGGCACCGAAGGTTATGATCTCGGCCAGATGGAGGCCGTTCAGGCTGCATTAATCAAAAAGGTTGATGCTGAGCAGCGGATATACCTGTGGGTCAAACTCATCTTCGAAAGGCTGGCTAGGACGGCCAGAAGGCGTATTATTGACCTTGAGGATGTAATAAACAAAGCTCTACAGGACATATTGAAATTATATGACCTTCTCCTAAGTTAGATCGAGATGAGGACCACTAAGATGTCACTACACTTCTCGATCTAATCATATCTACTCACCGTCCATTACACCTAACAAAGGCTGACATAGCTGTTAGTCTTAGAAGATACCCTCATGCTCTAGATAAGGAGATCATTACTGAATTCAGGGGGAAAGGCTTCGACGACTAGGTGCTCCAGACGTGTAGCTATTTCGTGATAATTTATTTAGACGAGCTATTTTTCATCCACTAAACTGCCAACGAGTACCTCCTCAATCGTGGCGTCAAGGAAAATTAGGATCTGGGGAGAAGCAAAGAAACCACATCACTAAGGCTTTGTCACGCAGGATAGGGTGTTGGAAGATGCGCTCCACCGTGGTCTTAACGGCTGTTATGCGCGCGTTGGCGAATAGCCCTTGTGGTATTTTTCCTTAACTCCGTTCTCCACCCTGCAAGTCGATCAATGTGCACAACGGAAAATACGTGCTGGGTGTGGAAAATGAACAAGGTCCGTGTCCACAATATCTGCTGGCTCAGCAGCTCGCAATACCTGCTGGCGTCATCAAGCAACGACTGTTGGCGGCCGCAAGTGGTGGAGCCAGGAAACCGCTCCCGACGCATTGAATTGTCGCAACAAGGCTCCTGCACTGCTGCGGCCGCCCCTGCACTGCTGCGGCCGCTCGTGCGCTTAACGCCGTTACGACCTCATTATATCCGGAAGACCAAACCATCCCGAGCGGAGAGCTTGGGGTGGACCCTCAACGATCCTCCGTCTTTGTAATTGAGTTACTGGTATGATAGCCGCGTAAGGTGATCGACCTGTCACATCATAGAGAGTCTCAAGTCTGGATATAAAACCAAGGCGACCCATCCCTCTGTTGATTTATTGACATCGACACTCGCATCACACCCAGTACAAAACTAATTCTCCAACACATCCTAACAACACCGCCACATCAGACAAGCCATCGCCATGTCTTTCCTCAAACCAATCCCAGAACCCGCGACCGAGCTCGGCCGTTACCGCATCCTGTCCAGCAATGCAGGCGTCAAGGTCTCCCCTCTTGTTCTCGGGGCCATGTCCCTTGGAAAGGCTTGGGGTGCTGTCACCGGGGCCGTAGACGAGCAAGAGTCGTTCAAGATACTGGACACATTCGTGGAGGCTGGCGGGAACTTTATCGACACGGCAAACAACTACCAGGACGAGGAGTCCGAGACATACATCGGCAACTGGTTGACTGCCAGGAAGAACCGTGATCTGCTCTTCCTGGCGACCAAGTTCACCAATGCGTTCCGATCACACGAACTTGGGCCCGGCCGCTCCGTCAACTTCGGCGGTAACAATAAGAAATCTCTCTTCCTGTCCGTCGAGGCTTCCCTGCGGAAGCTACAAACCACCTACATCGACCTGCTCTACGTCCACTGGTGGGACTGGTCGACATCCATTGAGGAGCTCATGGACTCGCTCCACATCTTGGTCGAGCAGGGCAAGGTCCTATACCTCGGCGTCTCCGACACGCCGGCATGGGTCGTCGCGGCCGCCAACACGTACGCCAGGGCCCAGGGAAAGACGCCCTTCTCGGTCTACCAGGGCCGCTGGAGCGTCCTGGACCGCGACTTTGAGCGCGACATCCTCCCGATGGCCCGCCATTTCGGCCTGGCCCTGTGCCCGTGGAACGTGCTGGGAGGCGGCGAGCTCAAGACCGAGAGGCAGATCGAGGCGCGCAAGTCGTCCCGGGAGGGCGGCCGCTTCACGGGGCAGAGCGAGGCCGCGCGCAAGGCCAGCGAGGCGCTGGAGAAGGTGGCTGGCGAGCACGGCGTCGGCAGCATCCAGCAGATCGCCCTCGCGTACGTCCTCAGGAAGTCCCGCAACGTCTTCCCGCTGGTCGGGTTCCGCAAGGTCGAGCACCTCCAGGACGGCATCGAGGCGCTGCGCGTCCGCCTGACCGACGACCAGGTCAAGTTCATCGAGAGCCAGAACCCGTTCGACGTGGGGTTCCCCCTGAATTTTGTTGGCGACAACCCTAGGGAGACCGGTGGCTACGGTCCCTTGCCCGAGATGCTTCTTGCCGCCAAGGTTTCCTTCGAGAAACCAGCTAAGCCCGCTGGCTATGAATAATTTGAGCTTGGGTGGATCAGAATTAGACATCAGTCTGAGGATACATTTAATTCCCAACAATCTATCTGAATAGCGTTGACGTCTGCTATGGTTAGGTACAGCGTATATACACATGTATAAAGTGTATTGTTAGGTATAATATGATGATATCTTATTCATCTATATGCCCATAGGCCTATATATATTAGGAAACTATTTATATTTTGTATGCAGGCGCATGTTGGTGTAGTCATTCAGCTAGTGACAGCTGGCTAACCTTTCCCACGGGCTGATTTCACTGCTGTGCTGATCGCATTCACGGGATCTTGCAATGGTCAGTACAATTGGTTGAGTGGGATGAGGTCGTTGGATGAGTTCTGGATATTCATTCCCACGCAAAACAATTTCTGCTGCGTGTAGTCGAGTTCGCATTGCTGTCACCGCCCTTAGTCCTACAATAGCAAAAGTATCCCTGATTGTTCTTCTCGTCTACGTCAAGTAACTAGTTATAATCTCATGACTACCTGGGTTTCTTTGAGCGCACCCACGCATGTACATCGCAACGGCTGTCCGGCAAAGGTGACCGACCCACGATGACGGGCGCGTAAACAAGTCCAGAGATGGATATGAGAATGGCGAGTAGGAAAACCAGAAGGGAAAAAGTAGGAATTTTGAGGCAATTGTATGAATCCCGGCAACAGCAAGGAAAGTGAATACTCTCACCACATGTTATTATAGATTAAGTAATATTCCAGGGTTTATAAAACATCCGCGGACAATGTTTAAACCCGCAGTGGCCAGGACCGATGATAGTATCTTAAAATTACTGTTACCACTAGTAAAGAAGATTACAATTAAACAAAGTCACTCTTTTTTCTCCCCTCCACTTCTCCTCACAGAGCAACAGGTTGCGAGAGAGTGAAAGATACAGGCGACCCCGACAGCTGCACCCAAATCGTCAAAGGGTCCGATCCAATCTGCTCGGTCGCGAACCCGTGGGTGTCAGTCACGGACCCCGGGACGGTGACGGGGATGGGCGAGCCGCAGGTGTTTCCGCTGGCCGTGACAGTGACGCCGGTGATGCTGCCGGAGGCGACGTCGTACGCGAGCCCGTAGGAGCAGGCGTCACGGGCCATGCGGTTCGCGAACTGGGCGGAGAACTGTGGTGAAAAGGAGGGGTTGTTAGTGTATTGGGTCTCATGGTGGAGATCGGGTGGTGGGCAGGTAGCATTTGCGTGGGACGAGACAGGTGGGGTGGTGCATGGAGAAAAGTCACAAGACAGGTAACACATACGTCAACTTGCTGCAGGGTGATGATGGGCCATTCCAAGAGACGGACGTATTCTTGGACGACGGTCTCCACCCAGGCCTGGAAAATGCCGATATTAGAAGCAACGCCGTTGATTGTTGTCGTACCAAGTCCCGTCGTTCGGAGGTTAGCCTGGTGGAACATGAAAGCATCGTGATAAAGCCCCGTCAGGTAGCGGATGGAGTCGGCCTTTTCTGCTGCCAGAAGGTCGTTGAACGTGCCACTGCCGGCCGACGTAGCGATCCATTCCTGCGTTGTGCAGTCGCTGGTATCACAGTTGAAGTATATCCTCGTCGGCCACCGACCGTTTACCTGTATGCCGGCATATCCGTCAGCGCCCTCCTGGGTGATATAGGGCCACATGTCGTTCTGCTGATTGCGGAGCACGGGCCTGCTGTTGTCTCCAACACACTGGACAAGACCCGCGTCGTGCCATGCTCTCAGGGCGTCTCCATTGTGCAAGCCAGTGATCGCCGGGGGGATGAGGCCGTTCGCGGTGAAGTTGGCCGAAGCAATCCCGGACTGGGCGAGCCAGGCCTGGTTGAATTCAATCTCCTTGAGGACGTCTGCGTACGTGGCGTTGTCTTGGTTTTCGTGAGTGAAAGTATGGCTGATGGTGTTGAAATTGTGGACATTCGTGTCGAACCACGTCTTCAAAGGGTCGAGGTTCAAGCAGTCTACAGAGTAGTTGTACGTTGTTGGCGTGGTCGGCCAGAGGTCTGTGCCCGTTCCTATCGGCTTCTTGAACTCCAACGCGGTGTCGGGCTGGTCGCCATACTCGATGGAGTCGGGCGAACACACTCGCTGCCCTGCATCGGAAGCTTCGGCCTGTTCGATGTTGCCATTGCCGTTGAACCCGATTTCCACGGAATAGTTGCTCCCTGCAGGCATAATGGCGCGAATCGAAGGCAGCCAGCCGACAATTCCAGTCATGTCGTCTGGCGTAACACGATAGGTGGTGCCACTGGGGGAATACAAGTCGGTCTCGAGGAACATGTCATCAATCTGAGTGTTCAAGTTGACACGACGGTATCCGGCGTATAAGCCCCTCGTAAGCCAGGTAATGTAGGCATGCTGAAGGAGTGACGAGGTCGCCGACCAGTTCTGTGAGAAATCAATGAAGAAGACCATCTGCTGCCGGCCAGATGCGAAATTGTTGATGACGGCGGCAGTGCTGTTGGATGTAAAGCTGCCGTCGCTTGCGGGCCCGAATTCTGCAATGGCAGTCGTGGTCGTCGTGTTCGAAATGGTAGATGGGTAATGGTACAAGCCTGCCGTTTCCAGCGCAGCGTTCGCCTTCAAGCCTGCTTGCGAAAATGCACTCGTGTCGGTGAGGTAGATGGACTGCGAGACGCTGGTGTTGCAGCAGCCGCCCGAGGCGACCACTCCCGCATCAAGAGTGGGAAATATGCCATATTGGACCATGCGGACTCCGTACGTGATTTGGTATTCGTACAAGGCGTTCCATTGATCATTAGTGAGGGCACTCGAATAGTTGTTGGCATTGTACTCGTAGAGGACGCCAGATGCAACGATGATACCGCCATAGTTGCCACCGGCAGGGGAGCTCAGCGTTGGCAGAGCAACCCCAGTCTGTGGGACAATGAGGCTTTGGTGTGGGATGCCGTAGCCATTCAATCCCTGCGCGGCAACAGTTGCTGATGTGGCATCTGTTGCGATGACAAGAATGGTTGAGGCAACGCTGCCGCTGAAAGTTGTGTAGGTATTGGTTGTATTGGAAGTCTGCTGCGCAAGAGCTCCATGCAGAACAGACAGAAAAGGAAGCAAAAGCGATGAACGGGTTTTGGAAAACATCATGGAGAAGGTCTACCAGCGGATGCCAAAAACGAACGAAGCTGGGTCGGAGAAAAACACAGGGCAAAGAGAGAATGGAACGGAGGTGAATGATAACAGGGCTGATCTGCCGGATGTAATGGAAATACCCGCCAATATATATAATCACACCCAAGGGGACATCGTGAGGATGGGTAAGCATGCACGCGCCGCCATTGGGAAAGGCTCTGCAGCAAGACACGAGAGTTGAACGTGTCATTGAACAGGGGGGACCTGGTATCGGAGCTCGTGAAAGATTTTAGCGAGAAGCTTAACAAAGCTTGTTTGGACGGCTACACGGCAAACTGCAGGGCGTTTTGGGTGTGCCCGTGAGTCCGCGCTCATGATTTCCCCTGGAACACAGCATCCATGTAGGGGATCCAGCCGCTCAGATTTTTGGGAGATCACCACGGACGGGCCATTGATTCTCTGCATATGCATCCTGGAAATCGGATTGAACCTACTGGGCGGAACGGCACGGAAGCGCCAAGACCGCTACATGGCTAACCCGGGAACGGCAAAGTGTTTCTTTTTTTTTTAATTGTTTTCCCTATTAGGCGGATCAGTGCAACAGGCTTCATTTTCGAGGGACGCGTCATCGGCAAGTCGGCACATGGCTCGGTGCTCAGAGGTTGCGATTTGATGATCAATGCATGTAAAGTGGGTAAGGGCAGTATGGAAGAAATGATCGATGATGCGCAATGGAGGGGTCGCATCTGGATGCGAGACCTGCAGGCCCTGCCTACCTTCAAGTACCGTGCCTCCTATCCCAGCACGACAACAATTAGCCCAGCCTCTGAGAATACTTCCAACCTCCTGGATAAAGAGACACTCCAGATGTCGCAACATGTATGACGCCTTGGGCGGCTCTGAACTATCTCCAGCCACACATGCCTGAAGTGTCGAGCCGGACTGGAGTTGTCAGCCCAGCGTTTCCCACGATTACGTCTTGCGAGATTGGCACGGATGGCGGTATGCATACTCGATATGCCGTGCCACCCTCCCCTACCACCGAAGGCACAGCATCCTTGCTCTAAGCTAGCCACCGCATCTCTGACCACGCCTGAGCGTTCTGGAGGGAATACGAGCTGTTGCATGCCAGCATAAAGCCTGCAAGACTAGAAATCGTGCTTGCAGGCTTAGCTAATCTTTTTAAAGTGCGATCGGCTTGTGAACTTAATTGACGCTGTTGTATCTCTCAAGAGCTTAAGTGCATTAGGATTTTGCCTCATGAACACTGATACTACTTAAATCTTAGACTTCAATATAATACTACAGCGTCGTTTTGAGCTATAAGCAAGGGCTTGACCAATAGGATCGCTCATTTATATAAGAGAAATTCACCAAAGGCAACACTCTTAACATTTGTATATCTTGAGTGTTAAGTGATTCAGATTCCCATACAAATATTGAATATCTGGTCCAGAATATCCCTGAGGGGAAATACGTCCCGGAGGCGCTGATGAAACGGAATGGTTGGCCAGGATAGATTGCGTGTGTAATTGCTTGGTTGTTGAGAGAGGCTGACAATTGTTCCCTTGACTCTGCACTGTCCAGGCTCCCCAGCATTGTGACCAGTGCGACAAGACTTTTGATCTCCTAGATGCGTGGTAGAGTCAGGTTCATGGGTATTCAGATGGCGACTCCCCTTTGCCTGAGGCGAAGTGGTGATCACCGCAGTTTTTCAAGAGGGAAGGGGCTGGCTAGCCGATATCATTACCGATCGAGGATTCTCGGCAGTGTGATTGTGTAAAAGACTACCTCATTAGCAGCCGGCAATTCACCGAATCTGGGTTATATTTCACAGTGACATTCTGACCTTATAACTATTCCAGAACCAAGGTCAGCTAAGCAGGATGGGCGACCATAGAGGTAGGTACGTCTTGATTCTGGTCCACAGACAGAGTGGTCGTCTTTATGGACGTTGTGGTATTTTTCAACGCATCTTGTAGGTCCAAGAAGCTTAGGGAAGGGCACGTGAATAGCAGGCTATAGAAGGGTGAACTCTCAGATAACCAAGATGCTTCCAGTACTAGGAAACCCACAGTACTACAGGTCCATTCCTAGAGCTGTTGCGCCGCTGGTTAATGCCAAAGCCATCGAATAAGGCTTCACAAGGCCCATAATCTCATTTCCAGTCTGATTTAGAAGCACGGGAAGACCCCGGTGACAGTGCTTTGTCACTTTGGGCGGTTCGCCGTTTGTGAGTCTTCGAGCTTTAGGTGCAACATAGCCTTTGTCACAGAACAGATCTCGGCCAGATCAAATGACATGGAGGAACACAACAAGTCTGCGGTGAAATCTAACAACGCGTTGTTCAATACAATAGCTTTCTTCGAACAATGGGATTGTCTACTTTGACAGTCAAACTCCATGGTTGAGAGCAGCATGTATAAATATGATGGGAAGGCCGTCTTCGAGTTCAGAAATTCCCCCATATTTGCACATAGAAATCTGCATTCGCACACCAACATACACCAATATCCTCACAAGCAACTTCATTATGGCAACCTCAGCTTCTACTGAACTCGACCTGAAGAGGACGACTTTCGTCCTCTCTCCAGAAGAGAGAGCGCTTGGCTCAACTCTCGAAAACGACATACACCCATTGTATCAGCGGTTCAATTTCAGGGCAAGCGCTTTGACCTATGATACGACTGGAGAGGAAGTTGGCGAGCCATTCCTCGAAGCGCAAGTGCACGAGAGGATGGTTCCCGCTTTTCGTCTTGCATCTCTCTTGCTCGACTTCAGCCTCCCCTTCCTCGCTAAAGTATATTGTGCGGATCTCGTCTTTGTTGGCGAGTAGTACGCCTTCAGCCCTGTGTACGAGTGTACAGACGCGGACATCCAGCGCGTTCGTGATCTTCTTTTGGAGTGGGCTGAAAGAACGCGTTTCTACTGCAGAACCCCGGACCCCCCGCTTGGACCGGACGAGCTCATCATGGAGGCTATCTCAGAGGTAAGGACAGGAGGAAGACCGTTTCCAACCCCGGCCCATTCGCTCATCAGCATCAAGCTGAGAACCATCGAGTTTTTCAGTCAGCAGAACTACGATGAGATCGACACAGAGACCAAGACATCCATGCTCGTGCAGCTGGCCTTCGTCCTGGTTCACGAGCAGGCCCACGCGGTCTTCTGCCACCGATGGACCGAGTCTCCGGAGTTGGACCAGGACGAGCGAGCCTTCATCTCTCGTGTCACTCCGAGAGAGCCCATGTACCACATGCACATGGACCCTCGCTACTACGAGCTTGGGTTCGCCCTGCAGGCGTGGATCCACGGTGGCAGCATTTTCAGCCGCGGCAAGGACCTCATCTTTGTTCAGTACCCAGGCGATGTGCTCAGTGAGAGCACCGTCGCGCAGGGGTACCCCTTCCGAGGCAACCTGTTGAACCGCGAGTTCTGGCAGGCGGCCCGAAGCGCCCAGAGGCCGTCGACGCACTGGCACGGCGATGAGCTCCCTGTGGGATGGCTCGGACAGGCTATGGCGGATTGGCGGCTCGCACGTGGTGAATGATCGTAGATCACCCCGGGCTTCGGCGGGATTCTCTTGGATGTGAATGTGAGGCTGTGCAGGCGTACAAAATCAGGTAGGTGCACCCTCATTGCGATAGTAGCTAGATAGCTTTGCTTCCCAAAAATAGATTGTATTCACCGGGAGTACCTCATCACTTGAACGTGAAAATGCATGCATAAGATGAAGTGAATCGTAGGGCATAATTGAGCTTCCCAAAATAAAACGACATCACCAGTAACTTGTGTCGGCGGATTGCTGGCTTCGTGAAGGGGCATACAATGTGCGGTTGAAAATTGATTACGCATGAAAGGCTCTCTCTATCATGTTATCTCTGACAAAGATCCTTGATTCGCGTCAATTGACTGATGAGAACTGTGTTTGGAACCGTAGAGCCTCACAGTATGTGACTGAGAGCCAGCACGGGCGTCTCAATCTGCGTCAAATTGAAGGTGTCGTTGAAAGAGCATCCGGGGGTGTAGCTCATGGTTTCCAAGAAGTCATCAAAGTTGCAATTAATGGCCGGTGTTAAAGTCAAATCGCCCCCTAACTCAATCTCGAACACCTTATTTGCAACCTTACCGATCCCACGAGGTGAAGTAAGTAGGGTCCAGAGCATGTCGTCAGCAACAAAGGCTATATCACGAAACAATGGAGCGAGTATTGAGGCTTTTATGGTATTTAGCCGAGGCTCCTGAAGCAGCATTGAATGAGAAAAAACATCTTGTACTGCTCTTGACTTCTACCTCTCATTTATTTCACCAGCGGCCCTATCTTGACTTTTCGGCCCTCCTTTCGGCTTCTCTGCAAAGGCGGGCATCTTCGAGTTCTGTTTGATTCTCTCTTGAAGTATCTTCAACGGCCTGGATGCCTTTGGTGGATTCGTCATTCGTTCGAATCGCCGCAGGAATGCGTCAGCATCGTCATCTTTGTTGCGTGACTTCGCATTGATTGACCATTTTGGGAGGAAATGACCTATGTGCTCTCAATTTTGAAAGTCAGTAGAGTAGCAAGTATAGTCATATCGGTGTCCTGACGTACCGAGAAGTTGTACCACGTCCTGAATGTTGAGGAATATGATCTTTGCCAGCCAAGATAACCCAAAAACAGGCATGAGCGTAATTCCAAACCAAATATTTGCAAGTGCCCGTGGTGACAGACTCCTACCCTTGAGCTCGGACATCGCGACCAGCACCCTGCGCGCCGGGATCTCTATGAAGATGTACGCCAACCAAAAGTAGTATGGAGACAGCGATCCGCGATTCACTTCGTCCCGGCCAATGTGTTGTTGGCTAGATGCTACAGCCCGGTTGGGTGACGATGGTTCGCCCTTCTCTTGCTCACCGCACCCTCCCGGTTTCTCACACTTTTTCATGAGTAAACTCTGTTACATAGTGGACCGCGAGAATTTCTCAATCGCCAAGCCTGCCTTGGACCTAATGCGCCGCAGTGGGACAACCAGAACATCGACGGCCAAGAAGAGCGTCTTGGCACTGGCCAGCAAGCCGACCGTGACAGCGAGGGCGCCGGCAGCAAACTTGATAAGGGAGGTGAGCAGCTCGTTCTCCGGCGTGCCGTTCATGCTGTAGAAGCTCGCAGCAAAACCGAGGGGCAGGAAGATGACCGTAACGTACGTGAAGTACCGGATATTCTCGTTCCGGCGGAGCTCACGGTCGTCGCGGATCTTCTGCCTGCTTGTAGCGAGGTAGTCCTTGAGCTTACCAATCATATCTTTTTGGATCACCAAATCTCTTATGTGCTGTTCTGTCGAGCCTCGATACTTGTTGATTGCACTGCGATACTTTCTCTCGTCGTTGCGTGTCCAGCGAGGCTGTTCTTGGCCGCGATCTTGTTCCCTGGTTGTCCACTTCTGAAGAGTGTTCAGAATTGACATCAGGTCCTCTTCCACAGTGTGGAGTATTTGTTCGAACTTGTGCCAGTTATCTTCCGATGAAGAATATGCTTCGCTGTCAAGGATAGAGAATGAGAGACTGCTACCCCCCAAACCAAGTTCCCTCCTTACGTGGAATTGGAATTTCACGGCGCTTTTCGTAATCTCCTGAAGTATGTCACCCAGAAGGAATAGTTCGAGAACCTTTCGCTGCCACCATTGCTTTTCTAGATCTGTGCCGGATGAGTCGAATGGGAATCGCCAACTTGACTGGTGCCGCTTGCTGGGAACATGTTCAATGTAATAACATGTCCAGTATCGATCGAAAAAGTCACCATCAAAGCGAAAACCCATGGAAGCACGGCGTATCTGTTGTCCCGACCCTCCTGGGAAAGCATCATCTGCCAGAGGAGGCAGGCCGATCCAGTGAGGCGTCGAGGCATCGACCAACTCATAAAAGCTAAGGTGAAGCTCAGTCTGCCAGATATTCAGCACCATTGTCGTATCGTCCCAGATGTGCTTCTCATAAGTCGAATGGCGGTCAAAGAATAGTGAAACCGCAGCCCTTTCCCGCTCAGGAGTGGCGGCCCAACAAAGCAGCGCCGTCTCGGCGTTGGCATGGGGGAGCCATATGAACCGTTTTTTTGCCTGCTCAGCTGTTCGTGGAGATGTGAGCTTCGACAGCAGTGTGACATTGTTCAAATTGAAAGCATTGTTTGCACTCTTCCCTAAATGCTCCCTTTCTCCTTTTCCAAGATGCTTCTGCTTCTGCATGTCGACAATGAATGTTAGTGGATCGAAAGATTTGGGACCGCTTATGGAAAACGTTCGCTTCGTATCATGGTAGCTCTCAAGTCCCTGCCTGATGACAGTTCCTAAAACATCCGTACTGGGCTGACTGGTGGTGGCTGAGATCAACTTGTTGGCTTGGCCATTTTTGCTGGGATAGGGCAGAGCAAGCAGCCGATTTATCAGACCGGTAACGTCGCTCCTGGCTTGAGAGAGAAAGTGTGGATAAGGGTAGAGCCACTCGTCCTCAATGGTAATGATGCTGGTCGCATCAATCAGACTGTTGAATGGTATGAACTTTTTCATGGTCAAAGTCTGTTGGCCGTCGGAATGTCGATCAGGGTTAAGTTGCCCGACTATTGGATTGTCCTGGTAAACCAGATGGCCATTCTCGAGCTTCTCAACTTTTGGGTTCATTGTAGCCCAGATCGGAACATGAATGCTCTCAGACGGTGGGGCTGGGCTTGGACCGTCTTCTTTGTCTCTGGAGGAAATCGGTGAAGCATCGTTGAGTGGCCTTGAAGGAGCTGTTGTGCTCTTTTCATGGCATCTATCGATGGCTCTTGCGTGGGTGAGGAGGATGTAGTTGATTTCAAAGCCTGCATGGTAGTAAAGGACCCATTCTTCCCCATTACTGAAGAGCCTCGACTTTTTGGTCGCCTCGTGCAGTTGGCCTGGAAAGAACCCGTTGTGACTAGTGCTGCAGAGCAAGACCTCGACACTGTTCCTCACCAAGTCTTCAGGGGTTCTCTTGTTGAGCGTCAAATGGCGGCACCCGGCCATGATCCCTAGTGCATATCGGATTGCATTACTCCAGCCGGTGTCTTCACTTTCGTTGTGGTAAATTTGCGCCTTGATAGTGTTGGTCCAGAACTCCTGAAAGTTGCTCCCGGGCAAGAAGAAGCTGCAGTCTTGGCCATAGAAGAGTGCAGTATCGCGAGCGTGGAAAAAGAACCGTGTTTCTCTTGGCGAGCGAGCCACGGCAAGCATCCTCTTCCGTGAGACATCATTCTCTGTCGTGAAAAGTTGTAATACTCCTCGCTGCACATCACCTGGGTTCAGTCGCTTGACAGTCTTCCCGAATTGTTCGTAGAATCTCTCAAAAAGGAGACCATGTGCATTGGTGGTATAGAGTTGGAGCATCCAGTTGTGTTCTTCACCTTTCCAGATGAGCTGTTCGGCTTCCCTGAATTTCGTAGCGAGCTGATGGTCAAATACTCCCAGATCGTCGAGCACTTTCAGTGTTTTCCAAATCCAGAAATGGTCCGCAAGCCTGTATGTCTCAACACCCTCGTCTGTGCCGTGTGGCCAAGAAAAGCTCGCACGCTTGTCTAATCTATCGAGCTCATGAAACCATGGAACCCAGACATCCTTAAAGATGCGACGAATCTGCATCTCGGCTTCTCTTCCGTTGTCGTCAGATTCTTTACAGAAATCCATGTACTCCACCAGCTTGAGCACATGGAAGGACGTGTCAGTGACAGAATTAATCGGCTGCCAAGATCGGCCGCCTGCGTTCGGCTGAATTCTGCCCATCACCCAGTAGTTGGCTGCAAAACAACCGGATTCCAGGAATTTCTCCCCCATTCCTGTCGCTGCTGGCTGGTCTATCGTTCGCAATGACTCAATCCACTTGACGTGGCCCCGTAGAACTCTTCTGATGCGCCTCTGTAGCACATTTATGTATGGAATCGGGGCTGGGTGGTGCGCTAGTCTCTTCGCCACTTCGATGAGAAACCGAAATGCGAAGCTCTCAGAATTGTATCAGCTGATGCTGCTACGAATATCGGGCTGCCGGCACTTACAAACTTGCCGATGTACATATCCGGTGGCCGGACATGTCACCACATGTTAAGGCTACAATGGTGTCGTCTTCCTGCGCCTCTTCTTCTAATGAGGCAGGTTGGGAAGCACAAGGATCTCCGGCCTTCTGAGCCCAGCGATCTTCAAACCGTGGTGGCGAACTGATAGGAACCGCGCAAACCGAAAGAATGTATTCCAAATGCCTCATGTAATATATTCGATGTGCGACGCTGGTGACGACCCTTGCGCTGGTGCTCCTGACGGCAGGGAAAATGCTGAAGACTTCGGACTGGACTGCATCTGTGACTCATCAGTTGTATCTGCAGATGTTTTTAGGATCCCAAATGATGTTGCTTTTCTTTTTCCTCCATTGAAAGCTAGGTTGGGTCCCATTCCTGCTGCGGCATGGTCACTTGGTCGTCTCTTCCTTTCAGGTTCCTCGTCGCCCACGCCATCTCGTCCTGTGTCTGTTCGATCCGTTTTAGGACTGACCATTTCCACCGGTTCGAGGAAGGTCAGACCCAGCGAACACAGGGATGAAATCCCTGTGGAGTTCTCCCAGAGATGCTCTGTTTCTTCGCGCAGGATCCGATTGACATCCGCATCTCGTGCGGGCACCAAGAAGTTCCTCCAGTCGACTTCGCCGTCCGGGAGAGGTATTAGCTTATAGGCCACGACTATCTCCAGGTTTCCGTGGACCATCCCGTCTGGGCCACTCCGACTCGCTTCGAGAGCATGCTCGTGCCAGAGACCTCCTTTACCGTAGATCTTGCCGGCTTTGCCATTGGTAAATAGGTTGATTATAGCTGCAACGGATCCCGTGATATGCGTGTCATCATCAGGTGGTCCAGGTGGCCGAGCCTCTGAGGGGGCCTTTGGCATGTTAGTCCATTGGTCTGTGGTGCTGTCCTCCCCCGAGCTGATGCTCTGGAGCTCGACTGGTTTCCTTGGATCTGACAGGCTCAGATCGTGGACACATATGTGTCCATATCCGTTCGGCCCAGGCACGCACGAGTATTCTTCCTTGACATTATTGAAAAAGTCAACGGAGTGCAGGTGATTGAGATCGCGCACCGACATGTTTTTAGGAAATCGATATTTAAAATCAACGGGCTGATCGCTTGAGTTTTCGAGACAGAACTGCTGTAAAACGGTGCCTTCGTGGACAACCCATTGAAACCACGCCCTCACGTTTGGTAATTTTGTGTCGTACTCGTATCGGGGCCATCTCCTTTTCTGGGCAGAATTGCGAAGGAAAGCACAGCATATAGGAAAGATATTCTCCCCTGTCACATGAAAGTATATCGAGATTTGCCGCCCTCCTTGCGACCAAATAGGGCTCTTCCGTTGAACGATGATCCATGGAAAACATGCCAGAAACCCCTGCGCCAAGGAATTGACTCATCTGCATGAGATGGCCGTAGCAATTGACGCTGGCCGTTGTCCCTTGATCTCCAAATGAGGAATGACACCACCGATTCGGTGACGAGTGCCATATTCCACAGTGTTCATCCTTGGGAGCGAAGATCTGACCTATCTGGTCTTCGCCATCCTCTGGATTTCCTGTCATTCAAATTAGCTCACGAGGGATAAAATGTTTCATGTGAGAAAAAGAGGGTCTTACGAAATATCAGGCGCTTGAACTCCTCATCACTGCTAGTCGGAACTTTGTCGTGGCTCCAGAATTGATATGGCGAATCCTGTCTGGCACCTGGACTTGCTTCGGCATCGGACGCAGCAGCTTCCTGTTCGACGACCATTTTCGCGTATTGTTTGGCTAGAAAAGATGGTCTGAGTTGTAACATCCCCTCACCCCTTCTGCCGCACACCCCATCTGCCGCACCCCACACCCGCGTCACGCGCATAAACGCATCCCTACCCACCCCATATATACTCCTTAATATCTTTATAAGGAATTTTTCTTTAGTTATTAAACTTTGCATTATTATTAATTTAATTATTATAAAGTCTTATATAAAAGTTAAGATATAAGAAGCTTTTAATATAATTTCCATTAATATGCCAATTTAAGCAATTAAAAGGGAATAATATATATTTAAATATATATTTTAATATTATCTCTTTAATATTTAAAATTATTATAATATTATTAACTCTTAAAAGCTTTTTTTTAATATTAAGAAAGATTAATTAACTTTATTTATATTTAATTAAAGTACTTTAGGGTTAATATTAATCTACTTTAAAATAATAGCCCTTATAAGTTAAATAGCCTCTTCCTTTCTTAATAGCCCTTTCCTTAAAAGGCAATAATTTACCTCCTTCCTTGCTTATTATTCTTAACTTAAAAGCCGTTAAAATTAATATATTAAAGTAAAAAAATTAAGAGCATTATTAAAAGCTATTATTAAGTCTTAATTTAACCTTTTTAAATTGCTTATTATTAAGGTAATTAAGTTAAATAATTGCTAAAATGCTAATAAAAAAGGATTAATAAAAGCATAATTTAAGAATACCCTTATTCTTAGCTATATAAATAATAACCCTATTTATTAAAAAGATTATAATTTAAGAATATAAATCTTCTTTATAAAAAGTATCTTTATTATTAATAAGTTATTAATACCCCTTATTATTTTTAAAGAATTAAATATATAATAATAGTAATTTCCTATTACTTTTAAAGATTATAATAATTAATAATTTATAATAATAAAAAAGAAGTAAATAAAGAAAAGAATTATTATTAAATAGCTTAAAAGAATATTTATTCCTTAATTAACTCCTATAAACCCTTTTAAATAATATTTATTTATAATTAATAGGTATTATATATATAATTATTAACTTTATATAAAAATGCTTCTTAAATTATATATATATAATCTTTTTACTTATATATACTTTTTATATCTTTTAACCCCTTAATATAACTATTTTTTACTTATTTAAAATAATATTTAAAAAGCATTTTTATTAACTTAAACTTTATATAATAATAATAATAATAATAATAAAAAAGAGATTTCTTTATTATTATTATAAGGCTTATATAAAGGTACTTATAAAGGTAAATATATATTTTAAGTAAAAAGTATTAAGTTTTTAATTAATTAATAAGGTTAGGGCATTAAGAAGCATTTATATCCTTAAAAATTATTAAAACTAGTATAAATTATAATATTTTAATAATAAGAATAGCTTTAATAATTAATTTTATATATTTTAATCTTTTTCTTATTTTAATAATCTTATTTTTATAACCTTAATAAAATTTTAAAAAATAAGAAATTTAATAATTTATTATGCTTAATAAAAATATTTAAGCCTTATATAATAATTATTATTTAGGAAAATTCTTAAGAGATATAATTAAATAGCTATTAAATTAATAATAACCTTAAAAAAAAATTAATTATTAAAAGCTTAAATTAAAGTTAATAAAAAAGTTATAAGAAAAAAAGTTTAAATTAACTTAAATATAATTTTTATTAATATTAAGGCTATTTAAAAGGCTTAAATTAATATTAGCAAGATATTTATAAATAAATATAAGTTTAACAATTCCTTAATATTAACAAAAGAGGGATTGGTAATCGTTATGGCGGGTAATTAATATTGGGAATAGTGGCATTTGTATGGGCGGCGGTGCGGCAGATAGGGTGTGCGGCAGAAGGGGTGAGGGGATGTTATTCAATATAATCAGGACTCTTATGCAAATAGAGCTCCTTCGTTCGGACCTGATAGACTCATGCAGCTGGAGAGTGTGTCGGCAGAACCAACGCTGAGCGGGAAATTCAAGGCCAAACGTCCTAATGAGTATACGAGGTTAGGAAACAAGTTGCGCAATTGTTTCGACCGCCCAATAGCTGGGAATTCACTGCAGCACATGTGACGGCATGTGTTTGCTTTGATCACATTTGCAGTCACCCGCTATTCTGTATGACATGTCCCTTGATCTTTCAGCAATCTAGACCTCGATCATGTGTGACGCGTGTCCCACGTTTGGAACTTAGACTTATTGGTGTCACAGGATAGATTCAAATCTCAATATAAGCCGGCACATCTTCAAATCGGGAGCATTGAGTCACAGCTACAACTACTGGCATGGGATGAACGAGGAAGACATATGAAATCCTGAACCCTGGGAGCTTCTCTTCGAGCCAGTCCGCTTCCGTTAGTCTCGATGTTCCAAGTACATGGGGAGTGCCAACCTCGCCAGGACCAATGTAGGATTCCGATGTGGCAGCCCATGTTTCAACAGAACAGAATATCTGCCGTCCAACCTAACCAGTCTGCCAGTGTGCCTGGATGTCGATCTGCTGTTTTGCACAGCTCTACATCCTGATCCCGAAAGGGAGGCATACGCTTGGAAGACATTTGTGCACACACAGTGAGGGTGAGGGGTTCGCGTATCACATGCGGATCGGCCTGATGCATGCAGCGGCGTCTAGTACTATTCCAGTAACTGAACAGGAGCAGTGCCTGGGAGGATTCAAGGCAGCAGGATGGCCAGACTAATACATGAGGAGAATTGATACATCATTAAGAATTTGGGCCATTCGGGGTCCTCAACAGTCCGCTGCCAGTGGTTGCCCGCTAATGGACCGGTCCCCGTCCGCGAAGACTACATAGTTATTCAGTGAACTGCATCATGAAGCCAGCCTTGCTTATTGAACGCCCATAGACATACATATTCCTTTGCCTTTGTTACAGTCGCACGAGATCAGAGCAAATCAGCAAGAACTTGACAATCGACATGGCATCAAAGCAGGAAACGTACCAGGAAGCCTCGGAAAGGGAATCGATATTTAAGAAACATGCCTTCCCGGAGCACACAGTGGACCTAGGCGAAGTGCGCATGAACTACGCCGTCGCGGGCTCGGATTCCAACCCAGCTATCCTGCTCATCCCGGCGCAGGCCGAATCGTGGTGGGGATACGAGGACGCTATGCACCTACTGGCAGAGTCGTACCAGGTGTACGCGGTCGACCTCCGCGGCCAGGGCAGATCGACTTGGACGCCTGGGCGGTACAGCCTGGACAACTTCGGCAACGACCTTGTCAAATTCATCGACCTCGTCATCAAGCGGCCCGTCATCGTCAGCGGGCTGTCGTCCGGCGGCGTCTTGTCCGCGTGGCTGTCGGCGTTTGCAAAGCCCGGGCAGGTACTCGCCTGCGTGTACGAGGACCCGCCGCTGTTCGCGTCCGAGCTCACCCCGGCCGTCGGGCACGGCATCAGGCAGACGATTGCCGGTCCGATATTCAGGATCTGGCACAAGTGGCTGGGCCCGCAGTGGTCCGTTGGGAACACGGAGGGGATGCAGGAGGCCATGGCCCACGAGCTGCCGAGCTGGATCAGCAGGGCAATGACGACCATGCTGGCCGAGATCAAGATCGGGCCCGTGCCGCCCGAGCTGAGGGAATACGACCCGGAGTGGGCGGAAGTTTTCTCGAGCGGGCGCTTGGCTGCCGGGTGCGACCACGAGAACATGCTGAGGCATGTCAAGGTCCCCGTGCTCCTCACGCACCACTACCGCAAGGTCGATCCAGAATCGGGCGGGCTCGCTGGTGCGATCAGCGACGAGCAGGCCGAGCATGTCAAGAAGCTCGTCGAGGGCGGCGGGAACTCGTTCACGTACAAGAGCTTCCCCAAGACGCCGCACTCGATGCACGGCCACGACCCGGCGTGCTATGTCGCTACGGTCACTGCTTGGCTTGATGAGAGAGGCCTCGGAAAGGCGTTGAGGCCATCGAATGATAAGCCAGCCACGACAGTGTAGGACTGACACACATCCAGTATGAAGTACAACTTTTCTCTTTCCCGGCCTTGATGAGGTGCTCTAGCCTCTGTCTCACTGGCTCAACGCTTGAGAAGCCACAAGTCCGGGTGCCGCGCACATGAATAGCCGCAACTATACATCATACTAGATAGATGTCCAAATTCAATTTGCCCAAGCCTGCGCTGTTTGTTCTGTCTCGGGACGACGAGTTGTGGAAGCACACAACCAGTTCCTTGCTGTCTTCTTGCCAGTCTTGTCTGTATTGCCTGTGGCTTTACATTGTGAGGAGACTTGTCGGGCAGCCAGGCAGTGCACAGAGAAACGGCTTTCCAAGTCGCTTGTTAATTTTGCTGCCTGCTCCAATCCATCGTGTTGGATGTGGTTGATGTCAAGTCGTCTGATGAAGTCGGGAGAAACTGAGGCTTTTCTCTCGATGGCCGCGTCTTGCAGCCGACGACGCAGAGTCTGTTGGAATAAGGCACGATTCGGAAGCTCGAGAGAATGAGAGGGCGTGGTTCAGACATTACCGACGTGCCTTTGTTGTTCGTTGCAAAAGCACACGTGGGTACAGCATGATCGAGTGTGAAGGAAGTGGGAGATGGTGGGGCTTGGGCCTGGACCTCCTCAGTCCCTGCTGCTTGTCTCCTGACGGATCCCTGCCACTGACACCTGCAGGGGAGCTCCATCCCGGCAACAGCTCCCAAGGGTGCACCTAAGATGCATCAGACTTGACTGAATGATTTCAGATTGGCACTGCTCTCTCAACCTGACCCTGTCAAGCTTCAAGTTCCCCAGCAACAACCCCCGACCAGGAGCCTGTCGATCTGCCACGATACTGCCTAGGTACCTAGGTAGTCTGACGTCAGCCTCATAGTGTTCCTCGAGTGACTGCTCCAACCCCGTCGAACGAGACGAGATCGCACCCCGATCACCTGCGACGACGACCACCGACGACACTGGTCTCACACCTACGCCAAAGCGGAGCTCTCGAGACCCGCCAACATGGCGACCGAGGACGAGCGCTACCGGCAGTCGACCCAGTTCCGGCTCTGGTCCTTCTCGCCGGCCCAGTTAGCCGAGCTGCGCGCCAAAACAAACAGCCTCGCCAGGCAGAACATCTCGGACCGCCTCGCCTCGTCGACGGCATCCTCCTCTACCGTCGCATCGGCGAACCCCTCCGGCTCCAACACCCCAATACCCGGGGCAAACACCTCGACTCCTGCCACCGACCCGTCACAAGTCAGCGCAGCCGCCGCGCCCGCAGATGTCCCGACCGAGTCCACCTCCATCAACAAGCCCCCACTGCCCGAGTTCCTCACGCCCGCCGAGGAGGAGCAACTCCTGCGCTTCTATACCGTCGAGTGCCTGCGCGCCGCCGAGTTCTGCCAGCTGCCCACCGAGATTCGCGCCACGTCGGTCATCTTCCTACGCCGCTTCTTTGTCACACACAGCATCATGACATATCCACCGACCAAGATGCTCAAGACGTGCCTCTTCTACGGCTCAAAGGCCGAGAACTCGTACCCCCGTGTCAACAGCTTTGCAGAGAAGTTTCCCAATACTACTGGCGAGGAAATATTGGCTGGAGAGTTCTTGCTGTGTCAGGGGCTCAGGTTTGCCTTTGATGTCAGGCATCCCTACCGGGCACTGGAGGGCGCCATCATGCAGTTGCGGTCCTTTGGAGATGTAGATGTAGGTTACTGATCTTCTGTGATCTCTACATGATCCGAAATGGCAATACTGACACTCGAACAGGACTCCAAAATCTCCAGAGCACAGGTTCGGGGCCGTGACATCCTCAAGTTCAGTCCTCTGGTCACCGACGCCTACTTCCACTACACCCCGAGTCAGATCATGCTCGCAACATTATCAATGGCAGACCACGACTTGTTCGAGCGCTTGATCCTGGCCATGTTCCCTCATCAACCGAATGGAGACTTGAACTCACAAAAGGCCGAGGTACTGACCCAGGCTATTAAAGAAAAGACGGTGTCTACGGTCATAGCCTGCAAGGAGATGCTCAGCCAAGAGCCTCCGGAGCGATTTACCAACTTTTGGGGGACGGTAAGCCTGTGTCTTTCCAGCTTCTTTCCGAGGTTTGTTGTGCTGACGTTCACTCCTAGCCCGAAGCCAATACCCTTGTGAAGCCCCTCATCCGGAAGCTCAAGAAATGCAGAGACCCAGACAGGTTTGACCTCATCGGCTTGCACAAAAAGAGGCTGGAGTTCAAGGAGAACGAGAAGAAGCCGTCCAAGGGTGCGGTAGAGGACGACGGGGCCGTCTTCAGCGGCAGCAATGGTGCAGGCAAGGGTGACGCAGACCGCGACGCCAAGAGACGAAAGGTTGCTGAGGATCCTTTCGGACCGCCTTTGTAGGGCGCAAAGGTGGAAGTCAATCCCGGCAGAAGGTCTCTAAGGGCCAAATTCTGGCTTTCTCCGTTGCCCGTCAGTTCACGTTGTCTCGTTCATGTCAAGCATAGCTAAAATGGATAGAACTGCAGCAACCCCTCGAAATAGATCCCAAGTGAATCGAGTCTATGAGCTTGCCATCTCTGGCTATATGATCGAGCTAGACTATGTGTCCTCGACCTAAGTGCCCTGAGGTCTTCCAGGTAAAGATGCCTACCTTGTCCAAGAAAGGTTGCGGCCATGGTCAACTGGGAGTCACAACATAGGTGGTGCCAGTCGTTGTCCCTAGCGGGCCAGTATACGCCTCACCATCCACGGCGATTTGCGACCCATTCATGTATCGGATCGCAAGCTCAGCACCAGCTTTGCAAGTGATGTTCGCGCTGGTCAAGGCCCCTTGGTCCCACGCAACATCAACGACAAAGTTCCCACGAGCGACGAGCCCTTCCACAGACCCAGTGGGCACCGCCGAGGGCAGGGCCGGCAGCAAATGCGCAACATCAGCATGACTCTGCAGCAGCATTTCGGTGACGCCGCTGACAAATCCAAAGTTCCGGTCGATCTGGAAGACGTACTTTGGCGATCCAGCGTCCGTGTTGTACAGATTATAAGGCGTGGGGAACTTCTGGAACCACTTCATCAGCGGGTCCCAGGCGCTGTCGCCGTCAAAGACCCGCGCGAACGAGTTTATCAGCCACGTCCGCGACAGCCCCGTGGACCCGGACCCGGCCGACACGCGCCGGTTGAGGAGGACCTCCGCGCCAGAGCCCAGCGTCGTCGCATTGCGCAGGAGGGCGGGGGGGGGCTGAACTGCCGCCCCGGCATGAGGCCCACCAGCGGTGAGAGGTGCTTCTGCCCGACCGCCGCCTCCTCGTACTCGCGCCGCCACTCGAGGATCTGGCCGAGCGAGCCGACTTTCTGCGGCAGGATGGTGGTGAGATACAACGTTCGCAAGATCAGGGACAATACGTAAACATATACCCGTCGGATAAAACCCGACTTGGAATCATGGAGGAGATCGATGCATGCCACATGTGCAACACATGCCCCGCTGGGACTATTCTATTGTTTAAAGCAATTTTTCACTGATGGGAATTGGGGAAATACGTATGCGGCTCAATTTAGCCATTCCAAGTCGTTATTTGTGTTCGCGTTTCTCCGCAACATCGCGTAGGCCAATTTGCCACAAGCGTGTGGGGACTTCTATGTCTAATTACTGTCAACTCGCCAGCTCGGTCCAAAGACCCGACGTGACATGCGGGAACTACGTCTACACCTGCATTAGATTTCTCTTAAAGGGAGCTTCGTCATACAACCATCTACATTTACGATCCACCTAGTAATTGTCCTGACTCAAATCGGGGCTCAGTGCCATCCATTCACTGTGGCTCCACTGCTAGCCATTGCAAACTCCCGACTAGCAAAATCTAGATACTCTTTCGTAAGGAGGGGCCCGAGTCGCCTCGCAGCCCACGCCCCTCTACCAGTGTTCTCAAGCGCGTGTGGATCCGTGCCTATCACAAGCGTGAATGACGGGAGCTCCGGGGGCAGCTCTTCCCTCTGTGCCATTCCCAACAAGCGCTTGATCTTTTCGAAATTCTCTACCCAAACCTGCTCGCTGGTCTCGTAGCCCTCGCGCCTCAGGTACTCGGCCTGTCGGCAGGGGCTCTTGAGTGGATTACCTTCGACCAGATTTTGGACGATATAGTTCGCGGGAAACTCTGATTCGCAGTCTTCCGGGAGAAGGGAGTACATCTGGCCGTTGTTCGAGGGCTCGGTACGCAGGACGAAGAGGCGTCTATTCTGCCCTTGAAGCGGAAATGGGACGGGAAAACTTGAGAAATCACAGGTCAGCTGAAAGGAATTCAGGGGGGAGAGGGGGGAGGTCCCTGAAGTCACACATCATGATATCGCCAAAGTAGGGATAGTAGTGTGTCATCCCGAGGTCTGTGGCACATTGAATGTATTGCGTCAAGGACTTCTTGAACGTGTGGGCGCTGTCCAGGTCCGCTCTTGTCATCCGCATCCAGATGGTTGAAACGTCTTCCACACCTTGAATTCTCTTCCCTAGAAATATGTATAGAACGCATGTCCTGCTGTAAATTAGGCTTGGGGGTTCTGTTACCTGAGCTGACGCGGGTTGGTCCCTGCCAAAACCCAGAATCTGTGTCTGACTTGCCATTTTAGAGCTGCTGGTAAGTAAAATACTCGATTAATTTGAATCGGTCGTGTGTGCTCCTGATTGGTTCTTGGGTAAGATCTTTGCATAGTTATTGAATGGTTTTGAGCTCTCCCCAACCTCGACGTTTTATATATTTCTTCCTGGCCCAGTCGAGTCACTCCTGAACATGACAGAAAGACGTCTATGAATGGGAAGTGCCAGAAAAGACGCAATGACAAGTAAACAGGCAGTCAAAACTGAACTCTCCCGCTCATAGATTGCGCATAACCGTGCTTCATCCGTAAACAAATTGTCGTGTAATATGTGGCCACCGCGACAGCAACAAGCAAACTTCGTATGTTGGCATCCCTAATACCCGCGCTGCATTTCCTGTCTCTGGATCTCGGCCCTGAACACGTTCTTGTTCGGTGTAGGACCCCAGCTCTCGCGATCCGTCAGCTCCACCTCACGGTTCTTGTCCTCGGGCCAGCCAAAGTTTGACATTGAATTCGTCCTGTGAGAATCTCGTCTATTCTTCGGGCCACCAATCCCAAAGACATGGCCATGCCGCTTCCAGCTCCAGATCACGAATGTCACAAGTGCGAGTAACACGGCTGAGATTGTGACTGAGACTGCAATCGCCACGGTCCTGCCATGGTTCTCGAAGCTGTTCTCCGGCGAGGCGTTGTACGACGGGGCTGAGTTGCTGATAACGACATCGGGCCCAATGACATATACATCTGAGCCGTCTTCTGAGGTCTGGTACTCGATGAGACCTAGCGTCGCATTCAGGTCCCTTCCGCCGCGGCCGTTTTGCGAGAGAAGGTCCTCGTCAATGTTCCAGACGTAGTAGCCAGTCCGCGCTGTGACATTCCTGTCTGCTATGAATCCGCCGTAGTCGGAGTATCGAACCTGGATAGAAACCACAGCGTCGTCGCGCGCGAACTGTACTGCGTCCCAAGTGACTGGCACGAGTTAGTCGGGTACCCTCTTCAATGCGCTCATGATCCGCCGTTGAAGTGAGACGCACCATAGTATGTGTTCCCTGGCCTCAGCACACCTCCCCGTCGGGGCTGACAGAACGGGGCATCGGAGCCGTGGTAGTTGCGGCACTGGAAGAAGGCGCCGGCCCCGGAGCTCGCCGTCGCGGTCGCCACGGGAGCTATGTCCGTGGTCGTCTGGACCATCCCGTCCGCGGTCGTCAGGGCGTAGACCGAAGTCTGCGTGACATACTCGGGAGCCCCGGATACGGTCTTGGTTCCCGAGACTGATGGGGTGATTGTCCGTGCATCACCGTTGGCGTCGACGGTGACCCATATCTTCCGGGGGTTGTAACGAGCAACGAGGGCGGGCTCAGACGAGACACACGTGCAAACGCACGCTGCCAGGGCAAGCAGCGCAGGCCGGAAGAGAACCATGGCGGCAGCTGGTTGCTGAATCACAGGTGACGGCTCTGGAGGTTTCCTTGGTGAGAAATTACGCAGGTCTTAAATGGAGTGTGTTGCATCCCTTGGAATGTCAGAGTGGGCAAACCATTTGGGATCGGCGAGACATGTCCTGATCAATGTCCAAAGGGCGTTGGAGCGATCCCCTCTTTCAGGCATATCATTCAGGTCATACTGATAACATTAGGCCAAGGCAATAAGTGCTTGGACGCGGCTCCATTAGTCGATTTCCTGGCGAATGGGCGGGTCGAATACGGTCTGACTGCAGCGGTTCCTGTCAGCTGGCCGCTGACATCCGCGGGGGCGGTAACCGTAATACCATGGCTGGGCAAAGCACCTGGGCACACTCCCCCCTCCCTCCCGCTCCCTCTCCGTGATGGTGTCATGCAAGGACTGTGACTCGTGCGGGCTTAGCTTGGTTGGGATTTGGACCAGACGGGAAGCGGCACCGTGGGCACTACGACATCCGCGGCTTGCATAGAGACTCACGGCAGTCTGAAGGATCCTCGGTAGAAGCTCTGTGACGTGATGGTGTGTGCGTTGGAAATTATGGCTCGTGATTGCAGCTGACCTACGACTCACAGCCTCTTTGCAAAATCCTACAAAATCCCGTTTACAAAAACAAGATATAATCATCCCACAACTCCGAGTCCCTGTTGGAAAGTGGACCAAATCCTTGATCATTACGAGGGGCTGGGGATCCCTACGAACACAGGATGTCCTCCCGTCTGCTCGGGACGACCCCGCGTTGCCTGGCTGCAGGTCGGATGCCCGGGCCGCACTACAGGAATACCGAACCTGGGTGCACCATACGAAAAAAGATGCCAGCTGTGGGTACTCCTAGGGTCGGAGAGGCAGGCGTGACCGGTCATGCAACGGCCTGCTCTGCTTCTCAGGTCCTCCTCCAAGCGTGCACGTTGTGATCGAGTGCCGGGGCATCTCACCAGTCTCTCACATTGCACCCCAGCACCGGCCTCGAGTCTCGACACGAACCGCCTTTCTCAGACCCTCGCACTGCCAATGTGGCCCCGCCTGGCCTTGGTACGCAAGTCCACCACCCTGCCGTTCCTGTGGTAGTTATGAGCGTTTCCTAGACGAGCCAAGGTTTTGTCGTTGTCTCTTAGCGGCCAGCAAGTCGTCACGATGCGAGGACGAGTCTCGCTCACTCAGGGGTGGCAGTACGCGGGGGACGGAAGGGACACCTGGCAGCCTGCGTCAGAGGTACCTGGCTCGATACACACCGACCTCCTCCACAATGGCCAGATCCCGGACCCGTTCGTCGACCTCAACGAGCTGGCAGTCCGCTGGGTCGCCGAGCGCGACTGGCGCTACCGAAGAACCATCTCGGCAGACGAGCTCCAGCCCAGGAACGGCCACCCCGCGGGACAGGAGCGAGTCGATCTGGTCTTCGAGGGTCTCGATACTTTCGCCACGGTCTTTCTCAATGGAAACAAGGTCCTGGTAACGGATAACATGTTCACAAGTCATCGCGTAGATGCCACGGACCTGCTCCGGCATGCCGGCAAAGACCTGAATGACGTCGAGCTGGAAATCGTGTTCGAGTCCGCCGCTGTCCGTGGCCGCCAGCTGGTCAAGGAGCATCCGGAATACAACTTCCTTGTCCGCCAGACAGAGGCGGGCCGTCTCCCGGTGAGAAAGGCACAGTATCACTGGGGCTGGGATTGGGGCCCGATGCTGGCGACTGCTGGCATCTGGCGGCCGGTGTATCTGGACCACTACCTCGCGCGACTCGACGACATCTCCGTCCCGTACAAACTCACCAAAGACCTGCAAAAGGTATCTGGAGAGGTCGACTTCAAAGTGGTGGCCGCGTCTCGGGAGGTTTGCGGAGATCTGGCAGTCCGATCAACGCTGCTCGGCCCAGATGGTGAGACTGTGGTGTTCGAGAAAGTTGTGCAGGTCTCTCCCGAGCAGTGGAGCGAGACGGACAATGCGTTGAAAGGACATGTCCCATTCAAGCTTGAGAACCCTCAACTGTGGTATCCTCATTCGTATGGGTCACCTAACCAATACAGGCTCAAAGTGGAACTCCTTTCCTCTGGGGAGGTGCTGGATGCGCAAACGAAGTGAGTACCAAATTGTGTTTATGACTGGCATGACGATGAAAAATGCAGGACTCCTACAACGGGTTATTTGTTTTGAAGCAAACATCAAAGCTGACCAAAGCCAATGCAGACACATCGGATTTCGCCGCTGTGAGATCATTCAAGAGCCTTGCGGATCGGGGGTGGGCACTACGTTCTACTTCCGCGTAAACAACGTCGATGTTTTTGCAGGAGGCTCATGCTGGATCCCAGCGGACAGCTTTCTATCGCGGATATCACCACAAAGATACCGGAATTGGGTGGAACTCATGGTGGATGGCAACCAGACCATGGTCAGGGTCTGGGGCGGAGGCATCTATGAGCACGATTCATTCTTCGATGCTTGTGACGAGCTGGGGCTCTTGGTCTGGCACGATTTCCAGTTTGCTTGTGGCAACTATCCAACCTACGGCTCATTTCTCAACAATGTGGAGGCAGAGGCAAGACAGAACATACGTCGGTTGAGAACTCACCCATCACTCGTCATTTGGGCCGGAAACAATGAGGACTACGAGACCGTGCAGGAACGCTACAAGCTCGACTACAATCCGGATGACAAGGACCCTCAGTCATGGCTGAATTCTTCATTTCCAGCTCGGTATATCTACGAGAGCCTGCTCCCCAAGGCCCTCGAGGAAGAGCATCCTGGCATGATCTATTTGCCCAGCAGCCCATGGAGCGGAAATGGGGAATCCGTCAAGGACAGGACGGTTGGCGATGCTCACGAATGGAACCTCTGGCACGGAAATATGGTCAAGATCCAAGACATTGACAAAATAGGCGGCAAGTTTGTCTCCGAGTTCGGCATGCAAGGCTATCCTCACATGGAAACACTGCAGCGCGCGATAACCCAACCAAAGGAGCTTGTCCCCGGCTCCATGACGATGGAATTTCACAACAAGGCCATTGGACATTCGTGGCGCATGGCACAGTACGTGCACGAGAACTTCAGACTTCCAGTCGACAACGACCTGGCTTCATTCGGGCACCTCACGCAAGTCATGCAGGCTGAGGCGATGCGCTCGGCGTACAAGTCATGGCGGAGAAAGTGGAACGACGCGAAGGAGTGCGGAGGCATCCTCGTGTGGCAACTCAACGACTGTTGGCCCGGTGTTTCCTGGGCGGTCGTCGACTATTATCTGGTTAAGAAGCCAGCCTACTACGCCATTTCCCGTGCACTAAGGTCTCTGGACATTTCGATTTCCAGATCCTATAACGACTGGACGCACACCACCATTAATCCCACGCTGGACGTTGGGCACACTAACCCTACTGCCGACAGATTCGATGGTGGGGAAATGACAGTTTGGATTTCTAGCTTCAAGCGTGAAAACATCACCGCAGAAGTGGAAATCCGGCTCATTTCTATCCGCACAGGCAAGGAGCGCACCGGGAGCCCAACGCAGGCTGCGGCCTGGAATCATACGGTCAAAGGCAACAATACCACTGACTGCGGCACCCACCGGCTCCCAGTAACTAAAATCCCGCCCGAGCTCGACGAACCTGACCCGTATGTGGTCCTCGCTACGCTCCGAGCAGACGGCAAGATCGTGGCAGACGACGTCGCCTGGCCGCAGCCGATCAAGTACCTCGAGCTCTCTGATCGGCAAGTATCGGTGTCTTTTGACGGCGTAAACGCGGTCCTGTCTGCGAAGAACCCAGTCAAGGGATTTGTGTTTGACGAGGTGGAGGGGATGAAGCTCGGCGACAATGGCTTCGACGTCGTTCCCGGGCTGGACAGAATCGTGAGTGTCAAGGCCCCGGCGTCTGTCTCGCGCCTGGGATACAGGTACATTGGCGGGCACGGCTCGGTATCATTGAAACCATGAGGAAATTCTACACATGACTCATTTCTTCATAGAAATCTTTGTTGCATCAGAAAAGTAGAAATGTCCTGCTCGAGACCAGCGACCGCAAGGGCTGCGCTTGGTGTGGTTTGACGCAACAAGTCGAGTTCAGGGGCTTGCGGAACTTTCCGTGGAACCACGGGACACGAGAAGAGAGAGACACTCTTGACCCTCTCAACTGTCCAATCCAGAGTTTCCAGACTATACAATGTGCCATGAATCAGCCCTCTGCCACTGGGCGAATGTGGGAATTGAGGTGGGCTGGCATGCAGGACTCGGAACGGTTTTTCATGGTAGTAGACTGCAGGCTCCTGTATAGTCTTCTAGAAGCATCCATTCCAGTCACGATTGCCTTAGTATATACAGGGCTGAAGTACAATATGTTTGAGTGTAGATGTAGACAATGCAATCTATGCAGCAACATGACAGCAGAATTAGGCAAGGTACCGTTGTCATGGGTCTTTGTCGAGAGTGAGTCAGGTGCGTACCGAAGGGTGAGCACTGTCCATTTGCCCAGTATCAACACGGACGTTATAGTACGAATATAAGCGCGGCACGGTAGGCGGCGTGTGAAACTGCTGATGACAAACGCTCACCAATCAGGCGTCTGACAGTGCTCCTATTTCAAAGCGCTCATTCGCCGACACCCGAGCTGAAGCGTGCGAGAGTACTAAAGCAAAGCAGCTGCATAACACTGTGTTGACTTCAGATCGAGTTTATAGACGAACTCAAGCGGCCAATGTTCATTTCAAACTTTGCAAAAACAGTCCTTGGAGCGCCAAAGCCACAGAAAATGACGCGAGGAGCTGTTGTCAGTGTCTCTCATGGCGGAGGTAAGTTAGTTACGCAAAGGGTCCTTGCTTGGGGAAGCGCAAACACACACAAGGCGGAAGTCTAACCTACTCAAAAAGGTCCCATGCCTGTTCTGGGAGACCCAGGCCATGCCAGCATCGTCAGATCGCTCAAGAAACGGGTCCCCGAGATCCTCAAGCTGGGAACACCAGAGGCACCAAGGGCCATCGTTGTCGTAACAGCCCACTGGTCCGAGGCACAACCAACCATCTCCTCTGGCAGCACACATTCGCTCTACTACGACTACGGCGGGTTCCCGAGGGAGGCCTACCAGCTGAGATACCCCGCGCCAGGGTCGCCCGAGGTCGCAGGCGAGGTCAGGCAGGCGCTCGAGGACGCCGGCCTGAAGCCCGTCCTGGACGAGAGGCGCGGCTGGGACCACGGCGTCTTCGTCCCCTTCATGCTCATCCACCCGGCCGCGGACGTGCCCATCGTGCAGCTGTCGGTGCTCCGCAGCGAGGACCCGGGGGAGCACGTCCGCATGGGCCGGGCGCTGCGGGGCCTGCGCGACTCGGGCGTGGCCGTCGTCGGCTCCGGGTTCGCGTCGCTGCACAACTTTGCGCTCATGGGGCCGCTCATGAGCGGGGGACCCGTCGGCCGTGAGGGAGGTCAGGGCCGTCACGGGCGCGTTTAACAGGGCGCTTACGGAGGCTGTGCAGGAGAAGGACGCGGAGGAGAGGGAGAAGAAGCTGGTGGGGTGGAGGACGTTCCCGAGGGCGTACGATATCCACCCGAGGCATGGGGCCGAGCATTTCATGCCGCTGCTTGTTTGTGCCGGTGCAGGAGGGGACGAGAAGGCGGGAGCGTATAAGGATGATTTTGTAGGGGTAGATATCTGGTCTTACTATTGGTCATGAGGATTTCATTTGAGTTATGCAGATGGCACACTCTCTCGCCAACAGAGGAGATGAGACATTGCAGAGGTGTTCTCCCGATGGTCCAGCTGAAGGTATTTTGGGTGGCTGGTGTCCCATTATCTCGCGGTTGGCAGAATCCTGCATGCGGCTCTTTCGGGTCCCATCCAGCCTGCCAGACTTGGCCGGGCTGGACGAGCACCAGACCTCCACATTGTTGAGCTCCAGACAGATGGGTCCCCGGCAAATCGTGACCAAAATGTCTAACTCCGATAGGCCCGCCACTAGTGTCTGCCCGCGAATGCGACTTAAGCGCGAAAAAAACATCATAGGGGTGTATTCTAGTAGTGGCCAACACTAAAGCAAATCCAGTCAGTCGGTATCTGACGATCTTACTAGTGCAATGACGTCGTCTAACTAACTCGCAAGAGAGTCGCCGTCGTTGAGGCAGAGATATCTGGGTTACCAGTCGACCAGCTCCGTATTGATGAGCGCCTGGACCAAGTTTGTTTTCACTGAGCCATTTTCCATAGAGAACAACAACCCTCACTCAAGACCAAACACGACAGGGATCGAGATCCCACCATGGCTGAACCAGACCTCCCCATACTGTCCCGCACTGCAACGTCAAGGTTCGCCGTCCTCGTCTTTAGCCGGACAAATGGCTATCGCCACGAGTCCATCGAAGCCGGCGTCGCCGCGCTCAAGGACCTCGCCATCTCGTCCCATGATTCGCCTCTGCCTTTCACCGTGGACGCAACCGAGGACGCCATCGTGTTCAACCCGGCCACGCTGGCTCAATACCGGGCCATAGTATTCCTACAGGCGTCGGGGGAATTCTTCGACAACGAGCTCCAGCTGGACGCGCTGAAACAGTTCGTGCGGTCTGGGGGTGGCATCGTGGGGGTCCACTGCGCGTCGACGGGGCTTCCGTCGAGCGAGTGGTACGGGCGTATGATCGGGGGTGTCTTTACGAATCACCCCGTGCCACAGAATGGGACGGTCATTGTGGAGGACCCAGAGCACCCTATCCTATCGAATGGTGTGGCTTCCCTCGGTCCGGGGAAATCCATTGACGGGAGTAAACTGGAATTTGAGTGGCACGATGAGTGGTACAATTTCGCGACGAATCCAAGGCTGCAGGACGGGGTGCGTGTGCTACTGACGGCGAGGGAGACGAGCTACGAGGGGGGTGACATGGGCGAGGACCACCCCATCGCTTGGTGTCATGAATTTGAAGGTGGCAAGGTGTTCTACACTGCCTTGGGCCACTTCGACAAGGCATATCAAGATCTTTCGTTCATGGGCCAGCTGGTTAATGGTATCATTTGGGCGGCCGGGCTGTGAAGTCAGATATTAGGGGTTGTGTGTCCGAGCGTCTGCACTATCGGATGTTCGGAGATGATAATTAGAAGAGGTGGGCATTTCAATAGCCTTTTAATCACCCATATGGCCATGGGTAAAAGGAATGATGCAATATGTCGGCATTTCAAAAAGAGATACATTATATTTGCACCCTGGAGCGCACGAGCATCCTCAAGTCATACGATATCAAATGGCCTATGCCCGTGTCAGGTAACATATATATTGGCAATCGTTTTCAGGCAGCTGGTAGACCCTGAATGATATTTGTGGTGATATCCAACATGGTGTCTCTTATATCGAGCTCCTAGTAAAGCAGTGAGTTGAAGGCTGGAGAACAGAAAGTCCCCGGCGCATTTTTCCTGGCCCTCAAGAGAATAGAAGAATGACCCAAGTCCCGTCCCCGATTCCGGGTCGTGTCTCCTGCACAAAAGTGTGTCCCTCTTCTGCAGGCTCGCAGCGGGTTGGTACATGAACTTTACGTGAATATGCAATCCATCGCAGCTACTGGGTCTCCTGAAACATGCAGGAAGGTCTCCTTCAAACAGGTTGACCACCATCCCAAGCCAGCCTCGTCTCCATAGTCCCGTCATTCGTCCGAAGGTTAGCATGCATCACAAGCAACACCCGTGATGCGCCACAATTCTAAATCACTGCAGTAGTGATGGTTTTCTAGCCTGAAATGGTACTCTTTTGCTTGCATGTCAACAAATCATTCGCGTGGAATTCTTGATCTTCTGCCGAATTTCTTGGCGGCCTTGCTGCGTCGGCAGTGGGATATGGATTGCAACGTCGATAAAGAAGCGACCGAAGCGTGACGATGGTCACGCCGCAAACTGCCGATTCTGGAACCGTCGTTGCATTGTATTAATGAAGGTCACAGCGTAGTTGAAACGAGCGTAGTGGACAGCCTTACGGGGCCAATCACCTCTTCTAGACTCTTCACTTTGATGGGGAGGATACTCTGGAGGCCGTGTGTGCGCCCGACGGCCTGGGAAGACTGATTGAATACGAGTCTATCATATTCATGAAGTCTAAAAGCCGAAGCTTGAGCACAAAGGAGCGCACATAACCCTTTTCTCTCTTACTTTTACCTTAAAAAGCTAATATTATTTTTAAGGTGACGCATAAACAAGAAAAGAAAGTCAAGGGACCCTTCGCCGACGCCACGGAAGTTATGAATTAGGCTTCTTTGTCAGGTTTCCCTGTAGAATCCATCTTGATTCCTCGGCTGTGCTGATAAACCCCCAACCCCGCCTTCGTTTTGTGGCGTCTAGAACCATTATGCCCAACGGGTTCGAACCTTGACTTCATGCAGTGGTCTAGACGCTAGCTCGAAGCTTCATTCGACCCCTAAGAACATCCTGTACGTATGTAGTGTGACGACTGACCGGGTCGGTTTTCAGAGCTTGACCCTTGAAGCACTGGCGTGGACTTTCGCCGAAGGATTGGATCCGTCGGTGTTTCTCCACATGCAGGCACGACGTATTGCTATATGCCGGGTTCAAGCTAGCAGGCTGTGTCGTGTCGGACAGTGAAAGAATCCGAAGAGGTTGTACTGTACGGTTGCATCTGGAGAGGGGCTTGGGAACCATTAAACATACCCGTTAAGAGTTGCACCAGACGGTGGACTAGCCATTTCGCCTTTCTGGGTAGGTAATAGGTATCGCAGGGGCTGTCGCGACTTCGCGTTTCGTCGGCTTCCAATTCTAGTGTGCCGGCCTTGTACGGATACCGCCGATGGTGCTGACATTGCTGCTGCCACTGACACTGCATCAGGCGTGGGAAATTGTTGGGAGGAACTTCAAGTTTAACATCAAGGTTTGCTGTGAATCCAAAACATTCCATTGACATGCCTCTAGTCATCGTCATCGGACAGCACAAATGCTTTTTTTGGGTGCCAAGTCTCCCCGGTGTGCTCAAGACTTCAGGGGTAAGGTTTTCTGATCCGTGGCTCTGCGAAAGTTTCCGGTCTCAGGCAGGCACAATCCGCGGCTTAACTTCAGCTGGCCGGCGGCTGTACCACAATTCCACGTGGGCCGTCAAGCCGAACTTTGTTGATGTGTTACAATTCAACGTGTTGAGGTACCGTCCGGCACACGTCCCCGCGAAGCTTGAGTGGGTCACAGACGATCAACTGAGCCCACATTCAAGTTACATTCCTCGGCGCATGTAACATTCACACAATTCCGTAGATGAAGGCGGTCTGCCCAGGCCGGAGCCGTCATGGTTGAGCAGGTCTCACCGTGGAACGTGGACCATCCTGCCAATCCGTGGCACTGGGGCGGAGGGTTTGCCATCCACCAATTGCTTACCTTGTTGGTCACGCCAGCCAAGGGGAACAAAAGCAGTAGAACATTTCAAAGCTCGGTCACTCATGCGATGAAGCACCCAATATTCCCGCAGATTGAATCAGCCCGGCCTGACTTTGATTCACCTTTGGATATGTCGTCAATGTACATACTGTTGGCATCTCATCTCACCGTCATCTCATCAAGTTTTATTGAATAGATAGATAGCTGTGAAATAAGTACAGTAAATTGCTTTGTGGCATCTGATAAAACATTAAAAAGAATTAGAGAGAATCCACCCTCTGAGTAACAACAGTGGTCGTTTGGATCCCAGCCAACGAGTCACTGCGCGCAGCTGGCATTTCCGATTGCCGACTTCCTTTTTTCCCTCCAGTCACCGTCACGTTGTACATGATCGGCAACTCGAGACCGCCCCCGGAGCCTCTGCTCCCATTCCCCCTCAGCGCATCAGTGTCGCTGTCGCCATCGGCCGGGTAGACGCTCTTGACAGCCGTGTTGCCGGTCCTGGACCTGTTGTACATCTTCCCCATGCTCTTTCCAGAGAGCCCGTTGTACTGTCCCGTCCGTCCTGATACTGTCGACTTGAAGAAGCGAGGCAGAATAAGCGCAAACAGCGGTCGAAGAGTCGGCAGGCAGGCTGCAAGTACACCAATGGATAGCTCGATGAATGACCAGACGGCGGCGTCGGTGTTGTCCCAGCTTGGATCGGTCGATTCTCCTGCGACCTTGAGGGTCTTCATCCGATAGATGGAAATAATACATGTACTAGAAGAGACATTTAGCTTTGATACCAATACGTGATGATTTCGGTGGACAACTTACAGGAAACCGAGGCAAAACACGCCCATCAACATGATCTTCTGCTTCTTGGGCAGCTGCAGGTTCTTGATGACCGGCAGCGGCATGCTGAAGATGACGAAATCCGAGACCAAGTTGATCGACGCCATGACATACCAGATGGCGAGCTGGTTCAGGCATTTCCCGGGCACACTTGGGTCCCAGAAATTCGAGACGGGATTGCAGACCAGAGGCAGCAGGATCGAGAGGGTGAGCGCCCAGGCGCCCTCGAAGGCGAGCCCAGCCATGGTGAGCTTCTGCATGACGGGCCCGGTGAAGATGCGGCGGTACTGCAGCAGGATGGACATCTTGACGACGCACGTCGCGACGTTGTACACGACAACGGAGGCGTAGAACGCCTTCATGTACGGGGTGAAGTTTTCTGGGAGCATGATCCAGACATGACGACCCAGTCCCCATTTTGTTTCTGGTTGGAATATCATGTCAGAAAACGAGTTCATGATGACAAGACGAAAGGATGCAGCCAAGACATCCTCATAGGTGGGTCTCTAACAAGACGATAGACTTGAAAATGGTCTGGAAAGTGACATACCGAGTCCAATCGCTACAGCTGCTCCTATAGTGAGTATCTGCGCTACCCCCATCACCGCATCGTCGGGCCCGAATGTCCGCAGGATGCGGGCGCGGGTGAAGATGCGCAGGACGACGACCGCCGTGGAGATGACGGTCGCCAGGCTCAGGATGGAGACGATGAAGGTGACCTGTGACTGCCCATCGAGGGAGTGGTCGACGTTCGGTCCCCCGGATCCTCCAATGTTCGACATTGTGCGTTTGTTGCTGCTGTGACGTAGTTCCGAAATATGTTTCTTCCCTTCTCCCTGTGTCTCTCGTCGTAAGACCTTGTCACGACTGACTCGTTTGCTGATTTGTTTGAACCGCAAATCTACGACGGCCGAGCGTAGAGATCCCCCAGATATATCAGGTCACATAAAAGTGTGGGTGGTCTGGCTGGCAAAGGTCCGACAGCCCTGCGAAGGGTTGTAACTCAGGTCGATATAAGTTGTTCGGCCGATAGTGGTCCGATCATGGTTGAGGAAGAGGTCAGTGCCGGAACAAGACGACGTCCAGATGGGGCCCGCAGATATATTTCAAGTCTTCATGCAGGATATCCACGTCCCTCGCTGCTAGACAGTGCTAGTCCACGTCTAGAAGCGCAAATCACCCCCGTCGACCAAACCCAAACTAAAAAGGCCTGGGTGCTCGTCGAGGTACCGAGGTCAGTCAGGGGGAAGTATCCCTCGACCATTCCTGTTACCCCCTGTCTAGGTATGCATGTCGACCGGGCCCCTGCAAAAGTGCGCTCATCCCAACTGCCAGATCTGCGAAACAGAGTTGAGACCTGGGAGTGCCTTTGGACGGGGATTTAGCCCGCAAGACTATTACGAACGTCGACCTGACGGACCCGTGGCCAGCAAGCCATATCCCGGAGCGGTGTCCAACCGTGGCTGCTACGGCGAATATCCAACAAAGGGAAGGAGGAACGGGTGCTTAGGGTTCACCACCCACCAGGAAATGATGCATACGGCCTAGTGGTGCCATTGGCTTAGGAGTAGGAGCTTCCGGTGCAGACTAGTCGGGGTGCTAGCATGCCAGGGTAGCATCCGGTACGATGAAGCGTAAGGTAGGGGCAAAAGTAGGGGCATCGCAGTCACCGCAGCACTGTACCTGAAAAGGTATGGATTTCCCGGCAAAATGCAACCGGAAAGCTACTCCACCACGACCACAACAGCAAGCACTTCATCGTGGTTGTTGGTGATGGAGGTGCTATACGCAAATTGTGTGGCTTTCACCGGTTATGAAACTGCAGGGAAGCTCCATGTTTGCCACCCCTTGCCCATAGTTCCAGATTTTAAGACTCGCTCGAGTACTCTGTGGCCCTCGCCTAGCGGGAGGCTCACGTGGCGCAGATCTTGGTTAGATAGACAGTAGACTAGCAAGAGCTGTCAAGAGAGGCACAGACGGGAGGGAGGCAGCCATAGCACGCACATCACCCACCAGCACGTCGAGCCGTGGGTGGCAGTTGGAGATCTCAAGATGGCAGCCCCTCGGTACCACGGATTCCCATCGCCCCATGGCTGGTGGCATGAAGTCTGACGCGACGTGTCTCGTGTGGCCCAGCCCATCTGACTTGGTGCGAATCTCTGGGGCAGTGTGTGTGGTGGCCACAATTCACCGTGGCGGAAAGCCATTTCTCTTGGCACTTGCGCACTTGGGGGGTCGTCGGGGATTTGGAGCAGCAGAGCGGCGGCCCCTGGGCAAATCTTCCCTCGCTCCGGCACGATGGAACTACCTTGCAGGAAATGAGACGCGGGCTGCCAGACGATCCGGGGACACTAGGAACGTCGACGACTGCGTATTCCAGGGGAGTACGGAGCAGACAGTAGACACCATCGACACACATGATGCTACTCTCTGCACAGAACGCTGCATAGGTCCCCAGGGCGAGTGCTACGCTGTCCGGACGTCGAATTGCAAGGTCGGCCACTCATCGGACGCCGCTCGCCGTGGGTCGGCAGATCGTCGCGTCAGTCGCAATTCTTTCTTTAATGGGGCTATGCCGCTCTGCCCAGGTACCTAAATGTGCTCCACCTCGACTGGGATTCCACTATGGACCCGCCGAGAAACTCTCCGATACCCAAGTCGCTGCGATCGCGATTTAATGCGCGAATGAGGAGTCCACTGTTCCACTCTCCCACGCGTCACTGACTGTGTACATGCGCAAGCACTTTTTCACATGCGTGCGTGCGGCACTTGGAGTATCCGCGTAAGAAGATCCTAATCTGAATCTGGATGCCCGATCATCTCTTCAAACAGACGAAGAGCGCCCCCAGATTTCAAGGCGGTGCTAGCCGGCATCGATCGGGACAGGAGCACCCTGCCAATGTCCCCAAGGTCTGTGGTATAGTCCCGTCGGCCGCCGGAATCCACTTGGCGGAGCCCGTGGCGGGTGACAAGCTGGACATCGCCAGAGTTCCAATTTGCCGGGACGGGCGGGACGCAGCCGGACGATGTCGACTAGAGTGAAGAGGAATGTCGACCTTCCCAACACAATAATCACCTGTCCGAGGCCAGGGCCGCCCAGCGACGGCCAGGGGCGCAGTGCAGTCTCGGTCCTCGGAGAGGGGCACCATGGAAAGGGTGCAAGGCCGTCCGTCCCCCGACTTCCCATCCCTACTAGCTTCCTCGAGGACAGCGTTGCAGCCGCAGCGAACATGAACGCTTGGCCTAGGACTGTCGCGGAAAGGTGAGCGAGGCTAGTGCTCGACGGACAGTCACAGAAAATTGCCAACCGTCCGAGCGTCATCCAAGCATTGACAAGAAGAGTTTAACACCCTCTGTGTGTCTGCGTCTGGACTCTGCCTGTCCTCTCGCGGGCGTGTCTGTGGCCAAGGCCGGCGGCCCCGACTTACATAGGGCTACAAGCCTATAGTCTAGTATAGTTGGATAGTTGTCTCTGATCTTGACGGCGGCCCCATATTCGGCTCGACCCCGAGGGCACAGACGTTGTCAAAGACGTTATCGTTGATGCCGTCTGTGCGATGGGCTGGCTGAAAGAAAGGCGCTCAACGGCCTGACCTGCTGCGGTGAGTCTCGAGAAGTCCAGACCAGTCTCCAGAGTCTGTGTGCGATAAAGACTAAGTGTATGGGGTAACAAGTTACCGTCGGTATCCTCGTGGAGCGATGGACAAAGCCGGGCCAGTCCAATAGTGAGGGTCATGAGGAGATAGTTTAATGTTGATATTCAGGCCGGCAGCTCTGGATAGGTGTTTGGCGACAGCATCCGAAAGTCAAGATCCGGCCCGGAATCAGGCGTGGGTCCCCTAAAATACCAAGCCTTGTTGACAAGATTGCGGCATCAAGGTGCCTGGGCTAGTGTAGAGCTAAAAGTGACAGGGAGCGGTTGTCTTGGGCTCCGGATCACGGCATCGACGATGTCTGATATCGAAATGTGGATCCCACGAGTCAACAAGAATCTACAAAGGGAAGTGCTCTACGGCAGCATCCGGGCCATCCGCCTACGTGCTCAGGTGTTTGTTGCTGTCATTCGGCTCTCAGCGGTGACTTTGACGATCGAAATAAACCAGATCGGCGGCAGCTGGGCTCACCATATGGAGCTTGACCCCTAAAGACTGCATAGGTCAAGGCTTATATCTGGGGGGAGCCTGTCAAGGATTTACAACGCATCTCCACACGCGACTTTTTCTTTCTAACACAAATAGGGTTGAGATCGAGGCAAGCAACTGCACGAAGGAATATCGTCCTGGCACTTTCAGCAGGGCGATTTATCAGCGATGCCCCTGTTTGAGCTTCATGCTGCTGTGGGTAGAGCAAATTATGTCTCTGTTTCGTAGTGGCCTACAAAACTCGAAAGCACATCACTTGGGCAAAACGCCATGGATGAGAACTAACGAGCAGATCGCATAATCCAGCATGCCCAGACTCGCGCCACGAGGCTGCATCTGTTTCCATCCCCGGCAAAACACACACACGCACGCTCACACGCATGCGCATACGCTCACGTGCACACACACACGCGCACACCTCGTCTGATTACCCTGATAACCTAACCCACAAGCATCGGTCGGTCAGCCACCCGGAGATCTACACGCCCAAACGACTTCTCTGCTAGGACAGAGGAAGCCATGCAACCCAGAAGTCAAAGCGCAACAACCCCCAGGCCTGACGTTGGACCCGGGGTACCGGGGAAGCCCATCTACGTACTAGACTGCGGATTTACAGGAACACACATGGGCAGCCTCGAGGCTTTTGCCTTGCCTGGACATCATGCCCGAGGCTCGAGACTACATCATCAAGAATCCGTTGGCCAGAAATCATTCCGATGTGCATCGGTCCCCCTTCTGGCCAGGAAGGAGTGTGACGAGGCCACTGGGCTTGATGTCCGCGATGGCTTCTTGCTCTAGCTCCAAGAGTACCCCCTTCCTGCGGAGGGATTCGGACACTATCCTACTCCGCGCCACCGCGAAGGAGGACCCGTAAGTAGCCCTAGATGCGAGCGACCAGGACGACATCATGCTCTACTTGCACATGCGGAGTTGAATCACCTCGGCTTCATGTTTGGGAGGCAACAAGTGCGTCTAATCTGGCCGTGCTTGCTATCATGACTGGCCGACGATGGCTGGTGGAACATTGATGAATCACTGCCTGTTGAGCATTCAAAAGCCACCGGCGGATGCGAGACGGGACCAGTGGTTTAGAATACATTAGTTGTAAGGTTTGAAGATGCTAATGCCATTGTATAACGGTCTCACCCTTTGGACAGAGGAACGGGTTGGAAACCATCCGGGCAACATCCACCTGCGGACGACATTTTGACGCGGTGGTTGTCCCGTAACCGAAGAAGAAAAGCTCACGTCGATGGCCGTCGCCCTGTAGCCGCAGTGACTCTGGCCAACCCCCCCCCCCCCCCCCCAAAAAGAACCGAGTACGCCAACCATTGTGAACAGCACCAAGACATGCGCTCCATGTAACCTCGGCCTAGACCGTGCCGCTAATGCTCAACTCCCTGATCTCCTGCAACACCTGCTCGACGCGGGCATCCAGCTGGCCCTGGGCGTACTGGTCCCTCGTCTCGGCGTCGAGGTACTGCTGCACCTGGGCCATGCGGCTGTATGCCTCTGCGCAGAAGCGCAGCTGGATCTTGACGAGGGCCTCGAAGGAGGGGTCGAGGTAGGGGACGCGGAGGTCGATGAGCTGGGGCAGCTCGGTGGACAGCTGCTCGTTGAGCTGCTCGTACGCGGCGCGGGCCATCTCCTGCTCCTTCTCGGCGCGGGGCAGCTTGGTGACGTCCTTGTCGGGCTTGTCGACCAGCCGCTTGACCTTTGCGCGGAGTGCGTCGTAGTCGAGCAGCTTGTGGCTTCGCTTCTTGATGCCTGTTGTCCATGTCAGCCTCTTGTCGCCAGACCATTGTTATCATCGTGTGGGCCGTGTGGTCATACACTCGTTCACGTCGGGGAAGTAGGCGCAGAATCTCGTGATGGGCTCCAGCACCGTTGTCCTGCCGCCTGTCAGCCATGGTCCGTGCCTCCATTTCCTCAACCCCCCCTGGATGTCATTGTGGTTGATCGTACCGGTATGGGCCGTCTAGTGCTTTTATCGTCTCTGCGTCGAGGTCCTCCACGGCCTGCTTGTAGCTTCTGCTGACACCGTCCTTGGCACCGGCGTCCCCGTAGAACGCGTCGATGGTCTCGGCGATGCGCATTTGTGATGCCGTCATTGCTGTTTCCCTTGGTCAGAGGACTGAGAGAAAAATGCCGGGAGAGTGAATATCCGAACCTCGGAGGGAATCGAGGTATCCCTTAGCCTCTTTCTGCAGCCGTAATGACGCTGCCTCCATCGTACGGAACCGGCTGTGTGTGAACTGTCAGATCGATCCCACGGTTTGTTGGCCATTGGCGGGGTGATTCGTACCGTTCCTCGACTTCGTAGTCGCGGTCGTTTGTTTTTTCGACATGGCCTGTTGTTGATATCGCCGTCGACGGTCAGCCCGTGTCATGCCCTCAGCGGCGGAGTCGGAGCAGCGGGGGGTTGAGTTGAACGGACCAGTCTTCATCATAACCTGCGTCGTCGCGCGGTTGACATTCTTCTTGAAACCTGCACATCAATCCCCATCAGTACTGTTTCCGGGTTTCATCTGTGTCCGGGCGGTCTCGGGGATCGCTGTCGGCAGAGGGGAGTGGCGTCGTACCTGCCCACGACATGTTGGGCGATTGTCTCGGCGGAGCACTTCAATCGGATAGGGGTCGAGCAAGATGGGTGGTAGGTGGTGCTTGAGGGTCGAGGAAAGGAAGCCAGGTGGCCGTAGCGATGTATAGTGGCGTCGAGGGTTGCTGTTGACGTGATGGAGTTGTGTATTTGGGATGATGTCGTCGCCAGCTGAATCAGCCCAAAGTGTTGATCGTCCGTCAGGAGCAACTGCAGGCAGGCAGGCAGGCAGGCAACCGGTGGTTGAGAGCCCAAATTGTGGCTGTGCCTGGCTGTAGCTGGAGGTGGGGTGGGCCTACGTCACCGGCACGGACGGCATGCTGGAAGAAATTCTGGGGCTCAGCCACACTCCATCAGAGCCGCTCTTGCTGCAAGCACTCAGACCTGCCGGTGACTCGAATTGCTCACTCCATATTCGACCTCAAATCAAGCTTACTCTCAGTCAGCACCCTCATTTCCAATTCCTTTAGGCGCGTTTCCATGGTCGAGGCCACCCGACAGCCCGGGATAGCCGGTCTGCTCTAGCGTTGCAGTTGCACCGCCCGTCCGTTTTTCTCCCTGGCCCGCCTGCTCCTTCGAGCCGCAAGAAAGGCACGGCAAAGAGTCATCAAAAATAGAGCTAAAGAAACAATAAGCCCGGCCAACCGCCACCAGACTCCGGGCCTCGAACAGGATGGCCTTGTCGCAGTACATAACACCAGCCTCGAGCCGCCACGGCCTTGTGCGCGCTCGCCCTCTGCTGCTCTCGTTAATATCGCCCTCACACGCATCAAACTCAGCCATGTCTTATCAGACATACTCTACAATGGCGACAGAAGATACGCCGTCAACATTCAACCCTCGCTTTCTCGTGGTCAGCCTGGGAAACCCAGCTCCCCACACAAAGACCCTTCACTCAGCAGGCCACCTCGCCCTGCAGGCGGTCCAGCAGCAACTGCACCTTGAGCGCGGTCAGCCTTCCTTCTCGCCCGAGCGGATAGGAAAGAAGTCAACCAAGGCATCTGCCGGCGACAAGTACACGCTCGTGCAGTGCCCCACCTTCATGAACGTGTCCGGGCCGTGGGTCGCAAAGGCGTGGAAGGAGATGCTGGCATCCCACCAGGAGCAGGACCCCTCGAGGCCTCTGGGGCTGGTCGTCGTCAACGACGACCTCGAGGAGGACCTGGGCGCCATCAGGGTGCAGAAGTGGGACAAGAGCCACCGCGGGCACAACGGCCTGAAGAGCATCAAGTCAGTTGTGAACACCGAGCACTACAAGGACTCGAAATGGGGCCGCGTCTCGGTCGGCATCGGGCGGCCTGAGGCCAGGGATGCGGCGACCGTCTCGAACTACGTGCTCAAGCCGTGGAGCAAGCACCAGGAGGAGGTTCTCTATGCCAAGTCGGGGCCTGGGGTTCTGGCCGCGCTCAACGAGATCGAGGAAGGGTGGAGGATAGAGAGGGAGGGGACGGGGAATGCAGCCAGGGCCAACAACAACCAGCCCAAGGAGGCGAAGAAGCAGAGGCCGTCCAAGAAGGAGCCTGCTGATTCTGGTGGGATTGTCGAAAAGTTGGCGGATGCAGCGACAATAGCCATCGTCGACCCATAAGGGACCAGGGACAGGAAGGTGGGAAAATGCATCTGGGACCATCATTTGATCATTTAGCAGCGGCGTTGGCATGGCATGGGTCCGGCCTGCAAAAGACATTCAGCGATGACGGACCTAAATAGATTTGATACCCCATGGCAGGTGCCTAGCATTCATCTTATTGAAAGTTCCAACTCCACCAGTCCCGTACTCGCCAATCCGAGTTGTAATGCCTGTCTTGGATTTCACCCATACTTGACCTCCATGTTAAATAACCGCCCACGACACCCTTTAAAAGTCCTCCATCTTGAAGACTTCGTAGGACGGCTCCTCGTATGGATGAGCCCTGCCAAATATCTCAGTCACCACATGAATCCCAGACCCAATATCAACTCATCAGTACTTGGAGCAAACTCACTTCTTCAAGGCCTCGACGGCCTGCCTCGTCGTCTCCTGCCCGGCGCAGAGCACCTCCACCTTGGCCTCCTGGACCTTCTCGAGCGCGCCGGGCTTGCCGATGTGCGGCTGCGCGGCGTCGCCCGGCAGGAACTGGCCCTCGCCCACCACCGTGAAGGCGCACTGGCTGTAGTTGGGGTAGCGGCCCGCCCCGGCCGCGAAGATGGCCTGCTTGCACGCCTCCACGGCGCTGATGGGCGCGTGGAAGATGAGCTTGTAGCGTGTCGCCGACGTCGCCATTGCAGTGATGTCTGTGCTGTGTTGTGGGGTGTGGGGTGTGGGGTGTGATGGATGTGATGGATGTCACGGCGACCCTGTGCGTTGAGCTTGTGAGGTAGTGCCGGGGTCTGTGGTCTGTTGTTGTGTGTGGGGATGGGTTGAACCCTTCGGGCCGGGCCGTGGCGTTGATCGGAACTGGGTCCAAGTTGAGGCGATCACGAACTTGACTCAGTGGACTGGTTGCACTGCTGGAACAGGATCCACATATGGTCGAATCACTGCGTGGAGCGAGTCTCGAGTTGTCCTTTGATCAGTAATGGATTCAAGGCTACAGACAAGAGAGCCGTCGGCCACTTAAGTCCCCGATGAGGGGAACCCCTCCCCTCCTTCACCGGTCCCAAGGTCGGAGTTGGCAGTCAAGTGATATGCCGTAACACAAACCCTGACCCTCGCTTGGCCCACAAGAGATGGTGATGATGGCGTAGGGATAAGCTTTGGCTCGTCCCTCACAAACCATCATGCTCTCCACGTTTCAGGAAAAGGAGCAGAAAGAAGATGTAGCAGACGGAGACTTCAAGCTTTCAATGGAATCGGGGCATGTGTGATTGTGAGAGTTTAATTGTTGCTACCAAGATCATGGCAAGCTACAACTTGCAACTTTCTCTCTCTCAGGTCGGTCACTTACCAGACCATGCAGCTGCTGAAGACCTGTGTTAGTGGGCTGCTGCAGTATTTCTGCCAAAACTCAGCTTCCACCGCTTGGAAGGCTTTTTTGGTCAACAAACAGCCACCACGAAAGGTTCAACTTTATGTAATGCTTGCTCCGAACCACTCGTAAGAGTGCTGTCCTCCAATGCAAGACAGCGATTCGAATCGCGTACCCAAGTTACCAAAGTAGCCCTCCAAATCGAATCTCAACGAAAAGCCCCTCTGACTTGCGCTCAAAGAGGCTCTCCTAGTTTAATCGTTATTTCCCCTCACACGCCTTATTCCATTTCGCATCCCCATGGGCACGTCTTCTTCCCTGGGCATCCCCACCATCGAGATGTCATCGTCCTCCGGCTGCTTCTTTATCTTCTTCAGGAACCAAATGCCAAAACCGACAACGGAAAGCACCGCGACACCTCCTATCACAGCGCCAGCGATAATAGCTTTGTTCAGGCCGGCATCCGCAGCATCTGAGGGGGCGGTGCTTGTGATGCTGCTGCTGGAAGGAAGAGGCGAGCTTGGCACGGTTGGAAACGAATATGTGGGAGAAATAGGCGTCGATGAGCTGGGCTGCGCTTCCGTCGTTGAGGGAGGTATCGCGGTTGCTGTCAGAGTCGAGCCAGTTGGCGCCGTGGGCGGGAGTGAAGACTGCGTGTGTGTATTCTTCTTTGTGGTGAGTGTGCCCGAGGTAGGGTGACTCGTCGAGACTGAGGAGGATGCATTACCAGACATTGCTGATGAAGATATAGTAGTGTTGGAAGAATTTGTGAAGCTAGGAAGGGGCGTTATGTTGGTTCGGGATGTCCAAGGTGTGCTATCTCCGGAATTTGTAGTCGAGCCTGTGGCTGAAGTGGTGGAATTGCCAGGCCACGGAGACGAGTGACTGGGTGCCCAGGATGATGCTGAGCTCGGTGGTGTGGGAGAGTTAGTGGACGTACTTTCGCCTGTCCCAGTTGAGTTTGTCAGCGATGACCCCATTGTCGAGGACGTTGTAGCTGTTGTGGCGGTTGTATTGAAGCTGGAAGATGAAGAAACTCGCTTGGTGGAAGAGGTCTGGCTCGCGGACTGATTCGTACTGGTAGGTGTTGACGGGGAAGATGAGGTGCTCGTGGCACTTTCACTGCTGATGCTTGTCTGTGTAATCGTCGAAAGCGACACCGAATAGACGGCTAGCTGGTTGGAATCCCCACAACACTCTGATGTATCGCCCCAGCAAGGCATACATGTACAGTTTGTGGGTACACCCTGGGGGTTAAGCTTGTGTCCGCAAAAACCTTGCCTGATGAGCGCTGGCCAACGGGCCCCTGAAATGTACTTGATCAGAAAAGAAGGGGTTCTTACATTCTCTTCCGTATTCAACGCCGAAGAGGGGATATTCCAGTCTGGTGCAATTGCTGGCGCACCAAGTTCTGCTCATGTCGCTTTGGTCTCTCCACACTTGTTCATTCAGAGTGCGGTTATTTGGGTCGTCGGTATAACACCCTAAGCCAGTGGCTTGGATAACGACAGATACGTCTTGTCCGTCCATATTTATTGTGGCTATTGGGTTTGATATGACTTCGAGATGGTTCTTGAGACGGTCGATTAAGCTGATGGGAAATCATCACCAAATACTTCCCGGCGAGCAACTCTAGGCGAAATAATACGTCGTCTTTCGGATTGGTATCTCGCAGGCCGTCAGACCATATTTCGCATCACTTAAAAACAAAAATGGAATTAAAGTATCCCGTTAAGTGCCTGGCCTGCAGCGATACTTAGGTAGGTGTGTTGGGAGAAGTCGCTAGGTCATGTTCAAGTCCTCATAAACGTTCGAATTTCAGGGGGCAGTAGGCTTCGTATTTCTGCTTAATGTTTTCCGGAAGAGCGTTCGTTTTGTGAAGATTTAAGATGATGAAGCATGTGGTCCTGGGGCTGCCGAGGAATCTTTGGGAGCCCTGACAATGCCGGGGCTCAAAATAAATCATCTGATTGGCGTGGAAACATGACCGTTATTATTGATTGCGACTCCCGTCATCGTTTCCTGCTTGTCACGCAATTTCGGCCCGTTCCACATTTTGAGGCGTTTGCGTAATGATGGCAGATGTCTAGATAAGCTCAAAGCTTTCAAATTTCATTTCTGAGGTCCACGGCCGTGGATTTTGTGTCCAAGGTCTTGTAGCAGCCGAAAACATTCAAGCTGAGCCAAGACTTGGGAAAGAAACACGACGTTTGTGCCACGGCGGGTACACAGATGACGACCTTTTCTAGGTCAGTTTCACTACATTGTTAGCATTTCTGGCCGTCGAAACCTGCAAGAATATCATCTGTGATGTGTCATTATTTGTGATACTCTTCGTAAGGATCTCAAATTTCTCCCAGGTATCCAGCGAGTTCATGCGGAATGCACGACGAAGAAAACCTACCTCAACACAAATCCAAAGGTTGCTAATGGATCATCTCATAATATCAGAGGCTCTTATTTCGCAGTTTACCATGTTAAAACTAGGCCAAATATTGCCTATCAGATAATAACTTGCAGTGGCTTAAATATGCCACATCCCATATGAGGCTGTCCCGCCGGAGTTATTCTATCGCAATACATGTTAAGCATGTATGTTTGGGATCCTTACGGACTGTAAGTTATCAGTGGTCACAAGGACCAAGCACCGGTTGGAACTAGCTCCAATGCAGTCCTTCGTTAAAATCGAATGCTCAGGTGCGGCTGAATCACACGCCAGGCCAATTACAACGCCACCCGTCGTTCGCATTTTTCCTCTTGTCCACTCTCTTCATTCCTACCCAAACAACCCACGCTGTGGCATTCGAAAACAGGTATCTGAGAATGCGTTTATGCGTCAGATGCTCAAATAGCGCCTTGCTACAGACTGAATGGGAGAAGCTGCAGCCAGTCGAAGACGAGCCCAAGGTAGTTCATTCGTGGGTGAGGTCGGACTCCTCTCCTGAATGCGCGCTTTGCAAACTTGTTGAAGATGAAATTCGAGTCGTGGGGAAATTTGAGGAGGAAATCGCTACGCTTGGGTTTGTGTCCTGACAACCCCACTGCTTTCCGGAACCATCCACTGACTGATCAGGCGATTCATCCAACTGTTTCTCGAGCTGATGAGTCTGAGAGATGAGGCCCCTCCGATGGAGGACAAGAGTACCACGCTGGACCAAAATCTTCCAAGGTCAGAGGATGTGGCACATGATGGGTTTGACCTTGGACCCTCCGCCGTACCATCCGTTACACCACGTGCCCCTCCTGGACAAGAAGGGCCGAGCCTTTCAGCCCAGGTTGTTTCTTCTCCCGAAAGCGAATGGGGAGAAAAAGTCCCAGGAAATTTTCTCGACAGCCCAAAGACGATTCAGACTCCACCAACCGTGGACCAGCCTGCACCGGTTGGCCTATCAAAAGGCAGCTTATGGGAACGAGGCAGAGGTTTGATACCATCCGACGAAGGTTCCAACGCCAGAGTCGACCAGGACCATCTTAAGCAGACAGTGGCTTCAATGGAAAAGATTCTTTCCCGGCATGGTGGATCACAGAACTGCTTGGTGTGCAACTCGATGGTGGACATTTCGGCCTCTGGAGAGCTTGACGTAGGTCGGCTCAGGTACAATTTCGCGAACGCGACACAGTCCGAGAAAGAGACGGTCATCAGGAACCACCTGCCACCCCCAGACCCACGCAGGCGGTTAAGGCTTGGACGATCCTCCATCGAGAAAGTCGACTTCGTCCTGGAGAAGCGTGAGCACTGGTCAGCCATCAGGCTGCAGGAGTATCGCAGGGACGAGAAGGCTCTGCGATTGGGGCCTAGGAGGCCTCTTCCGAGCACGAGACGAGATCTTCCAGATCTGTCAGGAGATTCTCAACCAGACACCGAGGAACCTGGTGACCAGTCTCCCTCAGCTACGCCACCCCTGATCGACTTTGAACGGAGCCTTGAGGCAGCCCCAGGAATACCGCTGAGGAAAGACTACAGGCAGCACGCTAAGGATGTCTGCGTGCTTGTTCCGTTTCAGGAGGGAAAACATGGCTTCGCACGAGAAGTAACAGATCGTGTGGACGTTGAAGTGATCAGGCTCTGGCTCAGTCGCTGTGAAAACAGGCACAATCTCTGTTCTCAGCGGATCTCGGACTCGTACCCACCCGGACTGATCCTCATCGATGCGGTGAAAATGTGCCTTGTTCCGGTAGCATCGCACAATCCGGTTCGCTACATGGCGCTGAGCTATGTGTGGGGATATATTGCCCAGCCAATTTTGACAAAAGCAGCCTTAGAAAAGTGGGTTTCAGATGGTGAGCTGAAAGACGTTGAGATCCCTCAGACTATACGAGAGGCAATCATGCTGGTCCAGATGATCGGTTACCGGTACATTTGGGTTGATGCTCTGTGCATCGTGCAGGACGATGCAGCTTCCCGCCATGCACAAATCTCGCAGATGCACGAGATTTACCGACATGCTGATATGACGATCGTGGCCGCTGGCGGAGACAACTGCTCAGAAGGCCTGCCGGGTGTCACGCTTGCGAAGGACAGGGTGTACAAGCATCGCCGATATGAATTGCCTGGATTGTGCTTGATGAAGGCTCCATCGAGCACCAAGCACAGCGTTGAAATGTCGCCGTGGAGGACACGTGGATGGACGTTTCAGGAGGAGCTATGCTCACGCAGGACATTGGTTCTTCTTCCTGAAGTCATGTTCTTCTCATGCGCTTCAGCTGTGTGGAGAGAAGACATCCAACTAGAAGCTGAGGACACTCTCCCAAGGTCGGAAGAGGGACTGATGTCGCTGGCCTCGGTGCTACACCAAAAGAATCCTGGAAATAACCTGGATTTGCTTTTGCTCTTCAGGGACTTGGTGAAGAAATACATGCAGCGTACACTCAGCAGAACTGACGACATGGAAAACGCATTTGCTGGTGTCGCCGGCATCCTTGAACCAGTGGTCGGTCCGGCATATCATGGAATCCTAGAGCGCATGTTCGCCGAAGTGATCCAGGGCTGCTGGTTCTGGGACACCAGCCTTCAGCGCCGGGCAGGTTTCCCTTCGTGGTCATGGACAGGTTGGATCTACCGCCGGGAACAAGCTGATGTCGGCATCCAGCCGTTGAGCACCGCCTCGGACATGAGCAAAATGCTGGCATTCTACAAAATTGGGCCCTCAGGCATTCAAATTCTCGGACAGTCATGTCTGGCTGGGCATAGAGGCGGTGGATTCCTACCAGGGATGGATGTCGAATTGCGAAGTCATTTCATTCCCAACGAAGACGACATAAAATCGAAGAACGAGTTATTACTGAACCAAGGAGGGTTCTCGGGCGGGTTGATTGCTTTTCACACGAGTATTGCGCATCTGAGACTTCGTACGCCACCGGGTGACTTCGTTGGTTCGTCGCGAGAGTATCGTGTTTTCCATCCTCAGACGAACCAGCAAATCACAAGCATACGTCTCAACGTCTCCTATGTGGCTCAAAAAGGCACCATGCTGCCGTTCATCGTTGTTGATTACGACCAGGAAAGGCGATCTTTCCGACTCATGCTTATTTCTATGGAAGGGAACACAGTCGAGAGGGTCAACGTCACATCACAGGGCCGTCTCGTCAAAGAGAGTGACTGGAAAGACGCAAGTCCCAAGAGAGAGCTGGTTTTCATGTCATGATATTACGACGCATATGATGCTCTTGCACGCAAGCATCTGCAACATAGGGGCATCAATTATTTTCCTCTGGGATTGCCTCCTTAAGAATACATCAGACATAATCCACTGATGCCTCGATTATTTCAGGATAGCCCGCTAAGATGTTGCATATATAATTTATTTGTTTCCTTCTAACTACAAGTTCTTCCAAGTACATCGTAGAGCTTTGGAAGGCCTGCGGGCTGTACTTTGTTAGCTACCCTGAACCTTCTCCGCCTCGAGCAGACCGCCCGTTGTCTGCGGCCCTTCATAACCCTTCCTCGCACCAATCACCCACCATAATCCAACAATGGTGGTCAGCCCACCCCAAATCAGACACGAGTAATTCATGCTCTTCGCGTCCACGGGTAAGAAGTACGGGAATGAGTATATCACAAACCAGACCATCAGGTACGCACAAGACAGGCCGTTCACCACGAAGCCAACCCAACCCTTCATCCTGAAAGGCCCGTATGTGATCCCCTTCCTACCCCTGAGAAGGTGCGGCAGGATGGAGGCAATGTACGAGCTGCTGAAGAACAGGATCGTCGAGCCGATGAACGCGTTGAAGGCCGTCGTGCTGCCGACGTAGATGCAGCCCAGGATCGTGACGAGCACCGCCGTCGCTATCGTCGAGTTCCGGGGCATGTCCAACCTGTGGTCCACCTTTCCGAGGAAGTCCGGGAACGGCGCGGCGCCGTCCCTGGCTAAGGCCCAGAGGGTCCGGCCCGTGGTGATAAATAGCCCGATCACGCAGAGCCCGATGTTGATCATGATGAGGGCCAGCATGCCGCATGCCCCAGCTGCGCTGCCCGTGGCCTGCTCGTAGATCTTTGCAATGGGGTATGCCGACTCGGCGACCGCGCCCAGATCGTTGATGGCATACATGATGGCCACGAGGTAGCAAAACCCAGTGGTGAATCCGATACCCAGTTGCAACGCCATGCCTATGGGGACGTTCCTCTGCGGGTTTGGGATCTCCTCCGCGAGGTGCGTGATGACGTCCACGGCGCCGATGCTGTACGCCCCGTTGAGCATGCCCGCGACAAACACGAAGCCGTCAGAGTACCCCAGGGCCTGCGTCCACTGCGTCCAGACGAACTCGGCGGTGGCGTGGGGCGGGCGGCCGCCACGGCCGGGCATGGCCGCCACAACAACGATGGTAACGAAGAAGCCGACCAGGATTGTGAAGATGCCGATCTTGTTCAGGTGCGGCATCGCCGAGTTGGCCAGGCACACGGCGGCGCACCCGAGCCAGGCCGAGATGACATACACAACAAATACGTGCCACGGCTGCGCCACGAACGAGGGGTGGTTGGCGGCGTACATCTGGACGATGGTGTTGCCGAAGATGGCGGCCATGCTGGCGCCGCCCATCGTCCAGGCGAGGTAGTTCCACCATCCGGCGAAGAAGCCCACGGCGCGCCCGCACCTCGGCCCGGGGGTCACGGACGCCCAGTGGTAGACGCCGCTCGAGCTGGGGATCGCCGACGACAGCTCCGCCAGGCTGGCCGCGACCAGGAAGTAGAAGAGGGAGACGACGACGAACTCGTATAGCACGCCCGGCGGCCCGCCGTTGGATATCGCCACGAGGATGGTGCCGCCGATCGCCGGCCACGCGTTGCCGACGGTGATGCCCACGCCGGCGAGCGAGAGCAGGCTGAAACGGCGCGAGAGCTCCTGGGCATGCCCGGACGCGTTGACCAGGACGTCCGGGTCGTGGGATTTGATGGTGCCGTTCTCGGCGTCGACGGGATCCGAGTCCCTGAAGACGGCCGTTTCCTTCTTCTCGGGCTCGGGAGAGCTCATTTTCAGATGCAAGGAGGAGGGGAGAATGCCCGAGCAATGGAGAAAGGCTACATCTGGGGAAGAAAGTTAGAGTTAATTATAATCTTCGAGGGTGTCAAGGTAGATTATTGGTTGCATTTCTATATGTCAGAGGGCCCGACAATCCAGACAACCCCTCGCCTTAACGCCCCCCGGAATACAATGTATCAACATTGGAGATATGCCGAGCTTCTGGACCTTGCAATGGGCTCTTCTAGCGGCTTGGTGATCTTTAGCCTTGACACCACCGCAAACGCGCCGATGCTCCCCTTTTGTTGCCTCTTGCATTCCCATTGGTCAGGCCAGGCGAGACCTGATAAGCACCACTGCACATATTGTGGAAGTGTGCAGACGGAAAGCCTGCATGTCAGGCATTATTTATGCTGCTTGTACTTGCCCCATTGGGAGCGATTTACGGTCATGTTGACCTCGTGGATGATCTTGCCGTGGCTCGCGTTGGTCATAGAATTCAAATGCAATCAACGATTTATGTCTACTGCTTATCTCGTGTAAAGGCACCGGCTCTAACCTTTTCCTGCTGTCGCGACACGAGAAGACACGGGCGTCTATGCAAAGTCTCACTTGCCAGATGAGAACGAAACCACGGCCCACTTGCCGTTCCATGCCCACTTCCGCGCGCCAGAGTCGCCGCCTCCTCCCTCCGTCGCACGCAGCTCCTCGTCTTTCCCTTGGGGTAGGCCCACGACGACATCGGCCTTGCAGGTCCGCAGGGCCAGCACATTGACCCCGGAGCCCGGCCCCAATGGACCAATCGCCTCGGTGAAGGGCGTCGAAGCATCCCATTTCGCCTGCAGGTAGAGTCAGCAACCCCGGTGGGTGGTGGGCCAGAACCTCGTGGCGGCCAAGCAGACTTACATCGCCAGTAAGTTTTCTGTAGTTCAGATCACCCTTGAAAAGGACAACCTCGCTCGTCTTGAGGTCCTCGTAGAGCTCCTTCGCACCGCCCGGCAGCCTCCAGAAGCTCCCCGGGTGCGTCCAGAAGCGGTTCGGCCGCAGGATGACCTGCCCCTCAGCATAGAGCTGGCTCCAGTTCCGGAACAGGAAGGACAGGTCCTCGGCTTCCTTGTCCGCGAGCGGCGCCGGCGTCTTGTTCTGGAGCACCTCATCCTCTGATGGTGTCTCGTAGAACTTCTTGGGGCTTGCCAGGGCGTTGAGCAGCTCGGCAAAGTCGCTGGGCAGGACGTCGGACACGAACCAGGGGATATCTTTGGGGTGGAGGACGACGTGTGTAGCCAGGCCCGAGGAAAGGAGGTACCCGGCAAGGATCAGGTCAACGAAGAGTTCGAAGCCAGCATTGTCGAGCACGATATCCACCCTGCGCTCCTTCTTGCCCTCGGCCTTGGCCTTCCTCAGCAGGTCGTACACGGCGGGTAGGTCGTTGACGAGGATGTTCTTCTCGGCGTTCTTCCTCGCCTCGGAACCCTGCAGCTTCTGGATGTCCTCGTAGGTGAGGTTGGTCAGGAGCGACAGGTCCGTGGCGTTCCCCCAGAGGCAGATCTCGCACATCTCCATGAACAAGATCTTCTCTGCCTCCTCGTCCGCTGGCTTTCCATGGCTCTCTTCGATCTGCTTCAGCAGGGCCTTGTACCGGGAGGCAAGCTCGAGGACGGCGGGGCGGGAGGAGCGGAAGGTCTTGATCTTCTGGCGGGCAAAGACGTCGTAGGTCTTCCAGTGTTCGGAGAGGGCGAAGGATGTGCTTATGCGCCTGAAGAGGTAGCACTCGCTGTACAGCCAGCTGACGCTTAACCAGCTCGGGTTGCCCAGCTGCTTGAGCTCCTTGTTGTAGACGTCGACGTCGGGGAAGCCGTCGTCCCGTATGGGGGTCAGCTGGCGGTCGTGCTGGACCTCATACTTGAGGCGTGCCAGCTCGTCGACAATTTTCTTTCCCTCTTCGGTCGTGGCTGGGTCCTTGCTCTGGGAGGTGGTTCGGTACACGTCGTCGATGGCTTGGGTCTAATGTTCCAGAGGAGGTCAGCTCGTGGCCAGACGTGCGCATATCAAGAGGAGGCAGGAGGGACAGACTATGATGATAGGCCATCTCTCTCTTGCTGTGGTCCACCCAAAAGAGGTCTTGTCGGCTGTCGAGTAGCCCGCTGTACGAGTCGGAAGCTGGTCAATCTTCGCATCGAGGGGTGTTCGTCTCGTAGGTAAAGGGATGCCAGAACGTACGTGTCTTGGTGTCGTACTCCATCCTGCAAGAACAGCTGAGCTCCAGCTAGCTTTCACGAGGTCTGGCTGGGGTTCAGAGACGGAGGGTGTCAAATTCTCGGGGGAGGAGGACGAAAAGTTGGACAGGAGCTTGGAGGCAATTCAGGATCATGGAGGGGCATTCCAGACCGTCACCCATCATGGTGGGGTCACAGCCAACCCCAAGCAGCAGCTTGGCCCGTCAGTCATCAAGGTGCCTCTTATCGGCTTGCCCAGCTCTCGATAAAGCGTCGTTCTTGCTGGCTTGCTCGGTCGCGAGACGCTCCTCTTCCTTCCCCCATCTTTAAAAGGTTAGAATTTCCAGAACACCTTCTGGAAATCAATGCAGTTGATAAAGCGTACGGAGGGCGCAAGTCATGCAAATTATCTACGTAAGTTGTACCCTCCGTATGCCTTACCACCCATGACATCACAACTTATCGAACAATGGCGGACTTGCAACTGTAAAGTTGGCCGGTTGGAAGCACGCCTGGGATGGGTGATATGTATCCGGGCTCCAGTGTCTCGGCGCAATGGGGCTTCAGCTACCCAAACAAGTCCTCGAAGCATTATTACCTAGGTGCGTGACGGGTTGAACCGCCTCAAGCACACTTCGTTCGTATACTCTATGTCAGGCTGTTCACGCAACGTTCTCGCTGAGCATTTCCCAGATATATAAGCTCTTCCAAACAACTTCCTATCACATACAACCATACCCAGCGGAAAATACGGGATCCCGTCCGCTCTCCCATAGTTAAGCCGCTAAGGGCTGGATTAGTAGTTGAGTTGGTGACGACCAGCGAATACCCGGTGTTGTATGTTTTTTGCTCTTTCCCTCCCTTTTGACATTTTTGTTTTGCTACCAACAGCCGATGACATAGCGAATTCGTGTTGTTGATTATGCCTGATGCTGGTCCCACGGCGGATGTTGTGATTCGATATTTCATTGTCTCATGTTGTCGGGCGTCTGTACGACACCAAGTTGAACACTCGTCTGACGATTCACAGTTACCAGCGGTTCCGGCCATCTGCGACCTGTCCGAAAGGGGGCAAGCTGCGTGTGGGAGTGCTGGGTGATAGTGCATAATCCAATGCATAACTTGAACGGTACCCAAGAACCCAGGAAACGGCGTCACGACCGCTCCAGACATTGCTAAAAAGACCACCGTTTTGGACTTCCAAAAGCCGTATCCTCTGGTAGCTTCTGACCTGAACGTAAGGACTGCGGCATTGGAAGTCTCGCTCTCTTCAAGCTATCCAGTCTAGGCATGTCGCGTAGAGTGCTGCAGGGTAATGTACATAATTTAGGGGTATCGTGAGTCTTTCTTTACTGCTAAAGCACCTGAATCCACAACATAATCATTCCACTTCTGCGCAATGGTTCCAATCCAACCCAGCCAAACCCATATGGTTAACTTTAGACCAGTTTGACCCTCATTCTGGCAGCCTGCCCTGGTGGGCCATCTCATCTCTGCAGCCACTTCTGCGCCTTTGCTGAGATGCGCTTGATGCGGGACACATGTGCCGGCTGAGGCTGAGGCTGGGATGGTGCTTGTGGCGGATCATCGTTTGCGCCATCGTGGGAGGCCTGGGCCGAGCCGGCAGCCGGCTTTGTCGCAGTAGGAACAGGAGGGCCGGCCGACGGGGCGGCCTTGCCCGGCGGCGGTGCCATGCGGTCCCCAGCATACGCATTGTTTCCGCCAACAGCCACGATCCACGTCGTGGGATCCCCGGCGTTCACCTTGCCCGACTGGTCTGCACCCCCGTCCGGCTGGACATCGTCGTACGCAAAGGCGTAACCCTTGCCGTCGAGGTTGACGGCGTGCACGATCCTGCAGTAGTGGTTGGTAGGGTCGCGCTGGTAGAAAGTCGAGGGGTCGGACGGGTGGTCGTCGACGGTCAGGAATGCAGAGCGTTGGAACGCAGCTGCCAGCCGGGGGATGATGCTGTTGCGGTACGGCGAGGGGCCCGTCGTGAATGGCCCACTGTTGCAGCCGAAGATGTCTGCGCTGTTGGGCTTCCGGAAGGGCTCGTTGCCGAAGACGAGCTCGTTGTTGCTGTTTACCGTCCCGGCCACGATGCCAGCTGCTGCCTGAGTGTTGATACGCATCTGGTTTTTGCTGTAACGCTGCCACACCTGCTCGATGTACGGCTCAAAGTAGCCCGCCAAGCTGGCCCCCACCGCGTCGCCGTGTGTTGGGTTGAGCACCCGCAGCACCGGCTGGCCCCTGGGCTGGACGATCAGCTTGTCCCAGGGCCTGCCGTCCTTCTGGGCCTGTTGGCGCAGGCCATCACACAGCTGGTCGATGCCGTTTGCTGCCATGCCCGACACGTGCTGCACTCCTCCTCCGGCTGTCTGCAGCGTCATGGCGATGGGCAGGCGCGACACGAAGTCGACATAGCTGATGTTGGCAAACAGCTGGTCGCTGTTGAGGGTGAACTCGGCAAAGGCAAAGTTGACGTTGGCGTTTGGGTCGCTGGGGTTGAGGACCGAGGGCTCGACGACGGCCGGGCCCGGGTTCAGGAAGAAGTGGAGCTTGCTGTCGCAGGCGAACCAGATCCGGCCGCCGGCGATCTGGGGGATGTGCACCGAGATGGTGTTTCCTGGCGGGCCGAGGGGGATGGCGCAGTCCTCAGCCAGAGGCGACCCGATGGACGAGACCTGCTGAGGGTAGTAGACATCCCTGCCGTTGGCCTTGAGGAACATGCGCTTCCAGTCGTTCTGGATGGCGATGCCGGTGATGTACGCCCAGACCTGGCCCGAGTTGGTCTGGTTCTGGAGCTGGATGTCCAGGGAGTTGACCATGGTGCTGGATATGCTTGAGGGTGGATGACTGCAAGTGGATGACGATGCTTGGTGTGTGAGTGAGACGAGGTCAGTGATTCTGGTTGGTCCTAGGAGCAAGCACGGCGTGAAGGTGAGTATGCAGACGTGCTGAAGAGACTGTCGGTATGAAATGTTTGATTCTGATCACAGTCGCCTGGATCCAAGTTGATGTTGACGGCCTGTCAGGCGACATTTCCTGAAGACTTCAAGGACGACCTCCAGCTTCGGCAGCGACCATCGGGGCTTGGTCGTGCCTTCATCCGGATGTCGTCATAAACAGGCCGGCCATCCAGGGTTGCTTCCAGCAAGACCAAGCCTCGAAACCGGTTTCTCTCTTAATCAGCCGGCTTGCGCCTGCGACGGAAAGAATAGCCAACTCATGATGGATAGTCTCATTCGAGGTAGGAATTCTGCAGATATGTCTAGGAAGATAAACTGAGCCTGTCCTCGGGATGTTCTTGAGAAACGGCCGGGCACAGGCCACACCCACCGACCACACTGGTCTTGGCACTGTGGATGTCGGCGGCCCCACATGCCCTGTACTAGCACTGATCCACCAGAAGAAATAAAATACACGGACACATGGAGTCTATTATCTAGGATTCATGCCTGGAAATACATCATCGATCCACCATGTAGTCCTGCTAGGACACCCTCTCCGGGCATTGGACCATCATTGTCATTTTCCTTGCTGCAATGTGTCTGTAGCGAGGCACGAAGCAACTTGCTCATTGACCCGCGTCCCATTTTACGCGGCTTACACCACCATCGCGGCAGTGTTACATCGACATCTGGGGCTTCTCCAACGAGCTGAATGATCCCTGGGGGCCGCTTCAGGGCATCTCCCCTTCTGACTGGACGGGAACCCGCTGTGCTACCGTGCTGGGACGTGGCTTGCAGTAGCTTAATTGGTCCACATCAACGGACGAACGCATTCGAGGCCCAGGTGACATTCCAGCCATCTGAATTCACCCAGACCAGATGGCATATGCGGCTTCACTGCAGGGGCTACAGATGAGGGGACAGTATTATCATGCCGCGTAGCAACAAATCGTATGTATCCATGCAAAAGTAAGCAGCTCGTTGGCGCCCTTTTTCTTTGGTGAATGATGCCAGTCAAAGAACAGCGCCCCAAGAGAGGAATCCGATGGTGTGAGCCCCAGCACCGACATAGGTCCGTGAATGTATTACTATTACGATGTGGTGACACACAGCCAGAACCGTATGCAGAGCTCCCCGCCTCCCGAGCGACGTCTTTGGGAGACCCCTGGCTCCTGACCTCCACCATCAGCACATACACGCAGACAAGCCTGTCAAGCTGCTCACGGTTGGTTGATCCCCCGCCGAACTACCGGGGAGATGGTCTGGGGTCGCATGGAGTCGACGTCGTAGAGGGGGGAGGATCATGCGGAGAAGCTGTCGACGGCTCCTGGTCTGTGGTCGAAATCGGGCGAGGATGCGCGTGCATCGACCAACCCGAGCTGCCATTCCCCAATAATAAGCAGCATGCCGTCGACCCTATCATGGATCTGCGTGGGAGCGACTCGTAATGACTGCTGCAGTACGACGACAATGGGCTGCATTCGACCAGCGCCTGCAACGCGACTGGCTCGGAGCTGATGGATGGTTTAAAGTCTAGAGGTCCCCAGCTTTTGCACCCTTTGATGATATCGCTAGTTGTCCCAGTACCCACTCTCGCCTGAGAACCCATCTATTCACGACGAACATCAAGCTATTCCAGCCTTTTTGATCCCCTGCAAAGCTTAAAATTCCATCTGCACAGCTAGAACACCGAACAGAATCAACATGCAGCTATCCCTCCTCACCACCATAGCTGCCTTCGCCGGGCTAGCTGCGTGCCAGTGTCCCTCGTCGATTCCACAATGCGCCCAGTCGTGTCTCACGATAGGAGCTTCTTCAGTCGGGTGCGGAGAGACGGACTACACGTGCCAGTGTACGGACCAACACCAGACCGACATCACGAGCAACGCCACCACCTGCGTGCTCGCCGCGTGTGGCGAGCAGACCGCTCTCAGTAAGTTGGCCTCTCACGGATCATATCGTCCCGCATCTCGTAATCGCACAAACCCGCATGCTAACCACCACTGCAGACGAGGTCCTCCCGGCCGCCCAAGCCTTCTGCTCCGCCATCAACGCCGGCGAATCCTGCTCCTCGGCCAGCGCCGGGAGCACCGGCACTAGCAGTACCGCGGCATCTTCCGGCTCGAGTTCTGCCTCGGGCTCGACTCCGTCGACTAGTGGCTCTCAGACAAGCACCGGCACCGGTTCCACCGCCACGACAGAGGGCTCGTCGTCTGCCACCCGCACGGCGACAACCACCGAGTCCTCCGGCACGGGCACTGCCACGGGTGCCAGCGCGAGTGCCTCGAGCACTGCTGGTGCGGCCACCATGGGCTCTGTTGGCTCGCTTGGCATCGCGGTTCTTGGTGCCCTTGTCATGTTGTAGAGGAAACCGGGAAATATGTATCACCCAACTGAGAATGCAATGGGATCATGGCCGCCGCCCAGCTTTAATTTCTACGGGCGGGTTAATTCAGGATTTTCTACCGGATGTCTCAATACGTGTGACTGATGGTTAATGAGTACATTGGCTGGTGGGTGGGGAGAGAAGATAAATTCACTTTCGCTGGGACAGGAATATACTTGTAATAAATTATATCCACTGCCATCTCGTGTTTTTCAATTTCGGTGTCCCCATGAAGCATAATAGGAGGCATGTGGCGGGCAAGAGTCTCACCAGGACGCGTGACTTGGTCGCTTCCAGTGTTCCAATTATCATCTCGTGCAATGAGAAAGATAACCTTTTCATGTTTGATAAGACAGGATACGAATTGAGGTGTTACGGACAGCACATCCGACTGTTTCCCAATGCAAGCTACTCCTTTGTGTTTCGACTTTCTTGTGCTATTGTACACGATATCTGCTTCTTACATAACCCAACCTCGTTCAAACATAGGTGTGTAGGCAACTGTTCAACCTCCTTCATGATCGTGAAATCACTCAAACACAGTGTTGCAATCACATGCGCTGTACCAATGATCTCTCAGAGTCGCTTTTATCCCTGCCTTTCGCCGGCACCTCCACCGTGTATCCATAAGAGGCCGTCTCAGTCCCATAGGGATTTGGCACCGGTCGACTGGCCACTGTAGTGGTGGTCGACAAGTGGATGTTCCGCCCATCGTGAGACAGGCCCTGGATCGGGTAGCTTTGGCTGTTCATTGTTTCGGGAGATGAATCGTACGAGCCATATCCAGAACTCTTGCCCTTGCTGTTTGCCGGTGATGAGTCTTTGGATGAGCGCCCAGTTATCCGGGTCCTGAATGTTCGAAGGCTCCTTGCGATCTTGGTGCCCAATGGACGGCTAAGGAATGGGAGACAGCACGAAATCGTAGCAAGTGGGATTTCGATGTACACCCAAATGGAGGCATTGAAGTTCGACACTGTGAAGGTGAAATGTCCCTATTAGCCGACTGAAGAGGCGGAATAAGGGCCTTGGGTGGGACAGGAGGAAAGAAACGTACCGCCGAGATTTGCTGGGTCAAACTCTCCCGTTCGTGCTGAACGGACTGTGCTTGCAATACATGCACTGTAACAGGCACAAAACAGTCAGTTGCAGATCATCAAACAAGAACACAGGCTAGTACTCACATTGATCCGCACATGAATGACAACCCAACCAGTAACTTCTGAGTGGGAGGAAGGTGAAGCTTGAGCACCGGGGCAATCGGCACGATGAGAATCAACCAATCTATGATGAAGTTCGAGATAGAGGTGGCCCAGAGGTAAGGCATGATCCCAATGCAGTGTCCTGGTTTCATTGGTAGCCAAGCTTTGTCGATGGGGCTACACTGAAACAGAGCTGGCAAGAATGATCCAAGTCCCCAAGCCCATGTGAGGCCCAAAAGGATGTAAATGTGATATTTTGTCATCTTGACATGACCGAAAATATTCTTATACGAGTAAAGAATAGAGGTCTTGATGAAAACCACGACCAGAGTGTAGCTGAGTACCGGAAAGTAGATAAGCTGGTTCAACGGTGAGAGAGTGATCCGGATTAAAATAAGCACTGAGATCGGGAGGGAGACGGCTGACCTTCAGCGTGATGATCATTTTCTCCGGGTGCTGAGCTAGATACTCCATACTGGCACCTTCAGCTGCCAGGAAAGCCACTTTTCCAAAGTTAGCGACCATTTTGGAGAGTTCTGCTCATTGCAAAGCACTGAACAAGCCCATACGGGCCGTTTATGACTAATGGGGAGTCAAACTCACTTAGGTACTGTATGATGAGCTGGATCATCAAGAACAGAAGGACGACCATGAGCAGATAGTCATCAGTTCCAAAACCCACTTTCCTTCGGAGCATAAACCGCATCACGGCCAGTATCGCCGCGAGGACAGATAGGACAGTGGTGACAACGACCGCGATGATGCCATATCTGGTGATGCCGGTTGACAGGACGTCACTGTAGGAAGACATGTTCCACGCGTTCTTGAAAGAAAAATGGTTATCAAAGAAGGAAAAAGATTTTCATAGACCCACAATAGACATCGGAAACAAATATCCTCGACACCTCAATATGAGGACGAGACAGCTCACAGACACTGCAGGCCGGAGCATAAGATATCATCTTCTATCCACCAACCAACCCTCAGAAATCCTGTCGAAAGGATCGACTTCAGATGATATTTTGGGACATGGCGGAATCTAGTCGACTAGATTTCGACTTCAGATGATATTTTGGGATCTGGAGGAATCTCGCCGACTAGATTCCAACTTCAGGTCACAATTCGGGCCTTGAGGGGATCTCATGGTCGGCCCGGGGATCTTGGGGGCATGCAACCCTGCTGAGCCAAGTGACAAAAGATCGTCACATAATGCAGAACTGAGGCACATTTCCTGCGTTCGTATCTAGATGCAGTAGTGCTTATTATATTGATTCCATCTGCCAGATCGGGTACCACTGCCCAGCCTTGGTAACGATTCGTTGGGCTCAATAACTAGGCGGTTGGCCATCCTACAACTACAATCATTGACGTTGGTGTCATCCTTTTCAGATCCTTTTGAGATCCTGTTCCAAGGCCATAAGGTCCCAATCGAAAAGTAGTCAAACCTTTGCAAGGAACCTCATTATACACACATCAATTTTGCTTGTCTATCTAGGCCCACGGGTTTACTGCCAATTCCATTCACTAGACCAACGAAGCATCGCACCAGGCTACTTGCTGGCACGCCCTTTGCGATGCCAAGAGCACGATCTGCGCTCAAGCTCATAAGCCTGTGCCGTAACGTTTCGCGAATCGTACAACGATGAGCCGCAGCTTCCCACCCCACGCGGCAGCCTGCAGCCTCGTGTTGCATCGAGAGCTTCGAATGCTGAGGCGCGGCAGGGCATGGCTGTTGAAACCGGCGGGCCATATGCGTACAATGTGCGCTGAACCAACTGGCACAGAATGCAGGCTTGGCGTTCAGCTGCTGGGTCAGACCCAGCCGTTGGGCCCGATTGTACGGGCATGGGTCACACACGAGGCTCTCTTCCAAGATTTTGCCTTGTCACATCCATCGTGTTGGTGCGTGTTGGTGCACAAATGAACCTTCCTTCCACGGCTAGCATGATCCTTTCGCCCTACTGTGAAAGATTCCACCTTCTTCCTTCGCATCTTGTAAGCAAGTAAGCAAATGGTTGATCCTTCTGAGTCTGTGGCGTGGTTGAGAACGTGGTTATACGTGCGGCCGATGTGTCGACATTACTGGCGTTGCCATTAGAAATCTTTGGAATACTGTACTCCCAAAAGGTCTGATCCTGTGAAGGTTCTGCTGAAACCAAGCAATATAATATTACACAACAAACATACCCTCACTACTAGCCTACCCTAACCCTAACACTTAAATATTACATTTCCAACTATAATAACTAATAATAAAATATAAAAACGGTATCCTATTAAGATTTTTAATTTGCTAATTTTTAATTACTTTTTATTTAATAACAGCCTTAATTAAATTATTAAAATGAGTCTTTATTATAAAATTATGTTTGAAATAATAACTTTTATTTTAATCATAGTTTATATTTTTATAAAAATAACCTGACAAAGCTCCTTATCATATCAAATTATCACGAAGTATACTATAAGTGCATGGGGCTGTCTGTAAATTCTAGTGGTGTGTGTGTGGAACAGAGTCAAAAAGAACCAGGGGGGGCTGATTTTAAACTTATAGGGGGTCGGTAAAGCGGTCCCTTTGACTTAAGTGTAAGCCAATAATTCCTCAGCATGTCTCGCCGACAAACAGCTTCTTTGGATTTTCAGTCACCCCTCTCGCATCGTCACGAGGCGTGGACTTTGTGTATCCTACTCATCTGTATCTTATGACTGTTGAGAGACCGGACGTATCTTCAAACATGGCGATTGACATTGCGGATAGCCTGACGCCTGCTGGCCTTGCCGTTGCGTCTCTCTTCGGCTTGGTCGCCTGCGCTGTCTTGAGGTTGCTGCAAGTCGGTAGACGACCTGCTGGACTGCCCCCAGGTCCTCCAACTCTCCCTATCATCGGGAACTTGCATCGTATGCCGACATTCAAGCCATACAAGGTATTTGCGGAATGGGGGAAAGTGTACGGGCCGATATACTCGCTCATGGTGGGCTCAAATCCTCTCATCATGATACAGTCACAAGAGATCGCAAAGGAGCTGCTGGACAAGCGGGGTTCAAACTATTCCACTCGCCCAGATCTTTACATTTTGTCCGAACTTTCGAGCCGAGGAATGCGACAAGTTGCAATGGTAAGTAAAAACCCCTATTCGTTTTGAAAAGATACGTTTCTGGGCCATTGCTGAGACCAAATGAAGAAATATACTCCCACATGGCGCCAAATCGCCCGCATCAACCACAAACTCTTGAACGCCAAGGCGGCTCTGGCCTTCACACCATACCAGACCCTCGAGAGCCGCCAGATGCTCGCAGATATCCTAGATAATCCCTCCGAGCACCAGAGACACATCCAGCGGTACTCCAACAGCGTAAGCTGCCAGATGGTCTATGGCTTCCGCACAACGACGTGGTCCGACCCTAGATTACAAAGTGTTGTCTCCATATTCAACGAAGTCTGTGACCTGGCCATTACCATTCCCGCCCGTCTGATGGACTGCTACCCAATCTTGCAAAAGTTACCAAAGTCTCTCCTGCCTGTTTGCCGGCAGGCCCTGGACCTCGAGCGCCGCTGTATAGAGGTCTTCATGGACCGGTGGATGGCGGCCAAGAAGAAGACTCAGGACAAGATTGCGACACCATGCTTCTGCGCGGCGCTTTCCCAGGCGCAAAAGTCCGAGGGTTTCTCTGATGAACTGGCGTCGTACATTGCCGGCGATCTCATAGAGGCTGCAAGCAGCACATTGTCCGACACGCTCTTCGGCTTTCTGATGGCCATGGTGACCCACCCGGAGGTACAGCGCCGCGCACAGGAGCAGTTGGACGCGGTGGTGGGTACCGATCGCCTCCCGACGTTCGACGACATGGCTCGGCTGCCGTACATCCGCGGATGTGTAAAGGAAACATTACGATGGATGCCCACTACGTCGTTACTAGTACCGCACTCGCCAATACAGGACGACGTCTACCGTGACTTCACCATCCCTGCTGGTGCGGGTGTCGTCGTCAACGTGTGGGCGCTGAATATGGACCCGGAGAGATGGCCGGACCCTCAGGTCTTTGATCCCTCAAGGTTCGAAAAGGAGGACAGGTCAGAGTATGAAATTGCGAAAACCTACGACCCGGACACACTGAGACATAATTATGTCTTTGGCGCTGGCAGACGGCTCTGCCAGGGCATTCATTCCGCGGAGCGGAGTTTGTTCTTATCTATGGCGTGCCTGCTCTGGGCCTTTGACTTTTCTACGCCTGACCCGAGCAAGATCGACACGGAGGACCTCAGAGGTGGACTGGCGGTGCAGCCTGCCCCATTCGAATGCCACATCAAGCCCAGAGACGAGCGCAGGGCGGCGATGGTGAGGAAGGAATGGTCCGCTATGCAGGATGATTTCTTGGACCCTGTCACTAAGCAGTGGAAATCTGTCCCCGATGGCATGCCTTTGAGTACGTATTCAATGGATCAGGTATAGTAAAAAGGGTAGAATCGACTTGGTAGCGGGGTTGTTGAAGCCTGTTGTATCAACAAACAATCTCAATGAGGTTTTCCTCGGTCGTGTTCATACTGTATAAACGTTCTTCACAGCGAGTAAAACATCTTTTCATGTTGGTCGACATAATAAACTTTTCCAGTTTTCTACTTTCGTGATAGCATTTCTGTGGATGCTCATCCATAGAGACCTTCAACGATGATAAATTCCGCAACCGTGTCGCAAAAGGGCCTTCATGAGTGCTCTTACGTACACAGCATTCTTGAAAAAGCTCTCGTCCATGCTGCAGTAGCAAAGTTCCCATCCAATCTGGCTGCTCAAGACGATTTACACTTGACAAAGCCTTGATGTTCCCGTCGTACTTAGCTTCGCACGCTGGAGGCGGGAGTAGGGACTATAAAATATTAGAGCATATAGTTACTAGCTTGCTGCGATAACCCAATCATCCTGCATTATCAAAACCCAGCCTGATGCAACATAACCATAGGAGACCTGTTGGTCGTAGTCCACACTACTGAAGCTTCAGCTTGTTCTCGGGCAGGACGAGTTTCGCAATACCCCCAACCAGTGTGATGAACTGCGTAGTAAACGGTTAAATACGCGACAAAGGGAGTGCATAAATGCGGCGGGGATAAGCGACCAACAAGTAACTTACTGCAACATCGAAGAATCGAAAATGTAGTCCTAAATCCGGATACGCGTCCCCATCATAGAAAGCCCTCATTGTATGCCAGAACGAACCGTTGAAATTCTCGTCAAGAGGCTGGGACAGAAGATCATTGAAGAACCTGGGGATCCTGTCAGCATCGCTCTGATGGTTTTGAAGGACGCGCTGCTTTGTCGTGGTCCACAAGCAGTCTTACTTTGCTTTGTAATCCCCCGGTGGAGCGGTGCGCTCCTCAAACACCATTCTCTCGCCCTTGAAGCTCTTGAGGCTATGGGCTTGACCCTTGGGGATTTTCACCTGGCCGTCGCTGGGGGTGACTACGAATGTCTTCCCCTCAAGGGTTACCTCTAGTCGACCCTCGATGACACGCATGTATTCATCGTGATACTAAGAAAACGGGATCAGTATGTCTTGTCTCTTGTCTGTTCCCCAGACACGGAACTTGAAGTGGTCATTGGATGGTTCGAATCGTACGCACCTTGTGCCAGTGCGAGGGCACATTCAGAGGATCTGAGGAGCCTCCGTCGCAAACAACTCTGGAACTCCACTGGCTCATGGGGCCCGCCTCTGGCAGAGACTCATCGAGCAGGATGGATTGGTGAATTCCCTTTTTGATGATCAGCCGTTTGAGCGGACAGAAGATATTCGGCGGGGCTTTTTTCCTACCGGACCTATTGGCAGGCGTTTAATCTCCTTCGAGCCACTCATCTTTGCCGTCAAGTTGCTCAAAAAGAGCGTGTACGTCTTTGATAGAGTAAAGGTGGAATCAGAAGGGCGCTTGGGGAAGTGAAGCGAGCTAATTATTGCGGCGTGAGGTCTTTGTTCAAGGCGAGAAGCCAACTTCAGGCTGTCAATAATGGTTGGGGTCTGGAGCTCCATTATCTCTGACTCACAGACCTCCCTGGCCGCGAAGCCAAGTGTGGCTCAGGGGCTGCACTTACGTAAGGTGTGGCTGGGGAGAAAGGGGCGGCTTCGCGGCCAGGGAGGTCTGTGTCCAAATAACAGCGCTTATAAGGACCAAGGTACGCCCCAACGCACCCATTCGCCCTCTTAAATTCAAACTCCAATTTCTTTCTTGCAAAATTTTTTTTAACTACGTAAGTACCTCTCCTAAATTAAGGAGCTCTCACTAATTTATTTCTCCCAGGTTGCACCTTTCTTGCATAGAAAACAAGAGACTAGGACTTAAAAATATCTCAAAAAATGGTCAAGATATATTCTCATCTTGCTCCATTCTTTCAAGTCCGAAAAACAATTTGCAAGAAGTCCAAGTTTCACAGATTACTATAAATCATTCTATCAAATTTTAAAATTCCCAACTCTTTTGGTTTGGAAGTTGAACATGAGCAATCAAGGGTAAAGGGGGCGCTCCCTAATCTATTTTTTCAATTAGGTATGCTGCATTTCGCGAAACGGAGGTACATTAAGATAAAAAAAATATAAGAAGGAAGCTTAATCAATTCTCTCATTCAGCATATCATTTATATTAGGATTGCTAGTTAGGAAGGTTATCAAATTAAGGAGTGTTCATAGGGCGTTCTCTGCGTTCCCATACAAAGTGGTACCTAAATCAAACTTTTTTTGCATTTTGGATTCAGATATCCATTAAACGCATTCAAAACCACCCTTAGTAAGCCATAAAAAGTCAGTTCTGCACTGCCACCCCAGCCACTTTAATTACTAAGGAAGCTCGGGCCCCTAGAACTTACGCGTTTGAATGGACTTCTGAATATTTGAGATAAGAGCTCCATGCCCGTCCTCGCTACCGAGCACAGCCTTAGCGCTTACATGTACACAGGTACAATTTTCAGCAGGAAGCTTGGCCTACCTTTGGGTAACACCGTTATCGTACGACCCATACGACCAACACCCCAATACATGCCGATCCTACCGAGTAAGTAGATCCTCCGGTTGTGCATGTAAGTAATTTGCGTATAATAAATTAAATAAATATTCAAGAATACGCTGGTAGTGCAATGGTGAGAACTATATTAAGACCTAAGTTTATCTTAAATTTTAATCGTTTTTACTGAAAATAGTACTAGAAAATGACATGGGCGTTTATTTTTGATATTAAGATTGAATAATAGTTAGAGGAAAGCCTTTATAGAAAGTGCACCGAGACCGTCCCCGGGCTGTCACTGAGACTGCCCCCAGACCCCGTGGGGCTCCTGAGGCCCAACAGACCGCCCCCAAGGTCGGCAAAATCAGCCCTAAAGCCAGACGAATCCTCCAAAGAAAAATGTCGCCCGAACTGGCCCCAAGCTTACCTCTTTGGGTGCATTTAAACTGTCGTAGGATCTTGTAGATTGATTTGCCGAAATGTTCAAAGGAATGGCAGTTGGCTTCCAAAGGATGGTCTAACCAGGTTTACAACCTTGGCGTGGTGACGCCTCGAAGAGGCGGGCATTCGCAGGCCTTAACGAAGCCGAATATACTCATCCTATCTCTGTCACCTCAAGATAAGCCGGTCTGACTTGTTCAAACCCGCGGCATGAGAGATATGTGGGGGTTTTCCTTGTCGACTTGTTACTTCTTCTAGTATATGTATGAATAACGTCCTCTCTTCCTTACTCTACTTATTGTTGGATGAGTCCTTGCCCTGTTATCCCAGAATGGCTGGTTACATTGCTACCATGGCGTCAAACGAAGTTAAGATCAATACGCGGAAGATGAGGTACACGGGAGATGCATTGGTATGATGTCTTGACTGATTTCCTAAAGTTAAGACTTTTATTCTCTGGCCAGGTTTTTCGCTGACGTTATGGACAGGCTGCCCTTCGGGAGAGCAAATTGGACGTCAATTTGCAGGTCTACGAGAAGGCGTCCTCAAGCAGTTCCTCGTCTGACTCTGATGGCGATACGGAGTTGTCTTGTCCCTCGCCCGGACGGGGCTGGCTCAAGAGTGAACAGCAGAAACGTCTTCCGCAGGCAGCAAAAGAACGGCATATTGGCACGTACGCTCTGACGACTGAGTTATCGTCATGGGTCAAGGAAGCTATCGCCAATTATCAACCATCCGCAGAAGTCCTAGACCTTGTGGAACCTTTCGCAGCTGAGCTACACAACACCTTTGAGAATGAAAGGGGCTCCAGCACTGGGCTACACGATATCGATGCAATCGAGCTCACATACCAGTTCACGGTGGAAGTCGGCGCTGCGATTCTCTTGGCTGCTAATGCTACTAAAGATCCGGTCGACCTCTCTATGCACACCCAACTCCATGCTTCAAAGGCTGGTGGAGATGACCACTTTTCATCATGGGGCAAGTTGCTGACTGGCCTCGATTGTGACCCTCCGATCATCGTGCAATTCCCCTTCTACTTGATGATGTGCCAATCATTCACCTTCGAGCCGATTGGCTACAGGGAAGACTACATATATTCGGCCTTGACCGGTGTCGACTGGGTGCGTGCTAGAATCTTTCTTTCCTACCCTTCTCGCTGCACTCTGTTTTCAACCCGTCTTTCTCAGCGTCGAGTTCTGCGTTCATCTACCACCAGACAAGCGCTCTTCCAGTGATACGTAAAACCAACTGTGGACTATCACCGAACTTGTTTCGCTGATTGTGTGCTCACGGTAGGCCAAAGGCTCCAACAAATTCAATGACCGGTTGAACGCTTTCAAGGCTCTGGCATTGGCCTCACTGCCCGACCTCGATGATACCAGTTCCGGAGACCGTTGCTTCTGGCGGCTCGCCCCTTGCGTATTTGCACGCCATGAACAAATGCGAGAATGCCAGGTCCTTCAAGGCTCCCAAACAAGCAAGCATCGACCACGGACTTGACCAGGACGTGGTTATCTTGGCACGAGCCATAGATACTATCGGTTCCGCGTATGTATCTCTTGACACCCAATTTTATCCCACACCAGGAAACCTACATACTGATGCCAGGCTCACAGATATATGAGTCGAGATGGTGCTGCGTGGCTGGACAACGAGGGCATCGACTCGGTCATCGGCAGCGCCTTGCCCAACGACGTAATGGACCTCCACACTGATATTTTCACGGGCGAGACGCGGAACCTCATTCGTCTTCTTCTGCCCCCTCTCAAAATTACCGAGGCTATCCAGAGCACATCTACCCTGCTCTCATCAATGCTTTGCGAAATCTTCAGGGGTCATTACAGAGCACGTTTCAACAATCGTGAAGACGGACGTGTGTCCTCTACCTCCCCTCCCTACAGCTTTTGTCGGGCTCGCCATCGTCGTATTTTTGAAACTCTAGAACTATACATTGCAAAGTACCCAAAGTTTTGGGACTGGTAAGTCTGACCCGGCATCGATAGAGAGGAACTGAGGTCTACAAAGGCACGAGCAAGACATATTGACAGTTCAAATGTAGGACGTGGGAGATTTATGGTTTGGCGAAATCCCAGATCACCGAGGCTGCAATTGCCGAGCCGCTCGTCGCTGGACTCAAAAGAGCTGTGACACGCAACGAGCTCGCTGAATCTGCCCCGAACAAGTTCTTCCACCTCTGGTACGACATGGTGGAGGATGGCTCTGCTCAGCTGGCCAAGAAGCAGCCCCTCGGAGTCACCGACGACCTCGCGCCCGTGGTTCGTAACCTTCACAGCCTCTGGCATCAGCAATTGCTTGATGATACGAAGCAGCCCGGGTGGGGCCGCGAATTTGACATGAGGTCGGATGCGCTCTTCAGTGAAGCGGGCCATATCCTCGCACAAAAGGGCGGAATTTCGGAGGACATGTACAAATTCTCCATCGCCTACGGGAGACTCAGCATGAGCTTGCCATACATTGCTTATCACACAGTGGACGCTATAATCTTGGCATTTGGAGCTATACCACCGGTTTGATCGGCTCCTTTGTCTTCTTTTGGGACGAGGGCGGCAACATAGTAATAGCGATAGTTTCCGAGTTTGTCTCCTAGGGTGTTGGCGTTACCTGTGGCCGCACATCTCTAACTTATCTGGGTATATGGCAGTCTAGGCCTATCGATGAAACTTTGACTTGAAACTTCTTCGTAACTAGAAGGGGATCTGAACAGTCAGTTGAGTGCATGTGATTTCAGGCGTTAAATGCTGTTAACCTGTTTAATATAAACAAGCTTCTCCCGCCAGTAAAGGCCTCCTCGGGCTTGGTCACTGCTGAGAATCTCACGTTCTATTCATAATATATGGTGGGTTTGACCCTCTTTTCGAGGCATCAAAATATCATTTCAGCCAGCAGTTAGTGAAACGCATGAACTCCCACCGAGATGACAGAAGAATCCCAGCGACTCACTGGAAGCATTGCGAATGCCTTGTCACGCTATTGGACTGAATGCCACAGCTCGGGGGTCACAAATCATCAGACTATTTGAAGACTTACATTCTGGTTTTCTGTCATTTATTAATCCGGACTTGTTCAATAACCTGAGCCTTCCTTTCGATCAAAACTTCCGATGCTCCCATATGTTCCGCTATCCGAATCTCAAGCAGAAGCTTTCATGACACCGATTCTCACGACCTTGAAGCCACTGCAGTCCTCACTGCATGGGAGTGCCTTGTCACAAGGCAAAAGTCTGGGGACGAAAGACACATGCGCAACTTGGGATAGTCTCGATGTTCGAGGCGCAGAGTCATCCCAAATCATAATAGCAACAACTGTAGACATTACTTGCCACGATCATGACAAGTATGAATTTGACATATGGCTGAGCCGGAGCCCGACCAAGTCCCTGGCGGGTATGTCACGCTTTCTTCAAATACAGCACAGCAAGTATCCCCCGTTCTTTCCAAGACAGTGCATACATATTTTGTACAGAATTCGCTTATAAATGATGCAGGTATCCTCGATTTATCCCAGTATTCGCCGCCCACCCAGTCGTCATGGGTGTACAACTGGACAGTACCAGATGACCTGAGCTTCGATTCCCGATATGGGTACCAGATATCCCTCGCGGACGGCCAGAATAACACAGTCACCAGCTCACCGATGTTTTCCGCGCAGGTTCATGCATCAGTGGTGCCTGTCAGCCCGAGCGTGACTCAGCCGACAACTTTCTCGACCAGCACGATAACGGCCTCTCCAAAAGTGAGTACCGATCCTCTGTCCACATCGAGTGTTGGTACTAGCCCTCCGCCGTCACCCATGGACGCTGGTAGCTCTACAGGTTTGAGCAAAGGCGCGTTAGCAGGCATAGCGGTTGCCATCACAGCTCTTCTAGTCATCCTGCTAGTGGGTGGGAGCAAGTTCATCCTCATGCGGAAGGAGCGTCGGCAACAAAGCGAAGAAAGCCCGGAGAGTTCGATGTTGTTCTGGGACAAGACTCCAAGTGCAAGTAGGCTCAAGATACCAAGTGCGGAACCACAAGAGTTAGATGGCTCCCAGTCGTGTGTGCTAGCTAACAGGGAGGGCAAGACAGTGTCATCTGAAAGCTCATCTTATAGTGGCAATCAAACACACAGGCTGATGTCAGGCTGTTGGCCAGATCTGCCATGGGTCCCAAGACAGACACAATTACCATTGTCATAGCTTTCGAATCTTACCTCATGTCGTAGCGAGCATGTGGGCAGAGACTTCAATGCTCAGGTGCCTCCCTCGTGTCGACGTGGTCGGAAAGCCTGTGACATGAGGTATGAGATAGAAATCCGCAAATAGGAAAGTGACCATAGCTGTAGACAACAATCAGACTGAGTTCCTGACATCTTTGCCACACCAAGCCTCTCCTTGGGGTATAAGCTGATTTTGGGTGCAGAAGAATCGTACAGCTTGCGGGCGACTTGACCGTTGACAGTGCGCTTTCTGCCGACAAAAATACCCACTTCCCGGGGCACCCAATTCATTGGGAAGATTCTATGTGACTCCAGGGTGTGAGAGTAAAATTGGGATTGAAATGACTAGAGCCTCGTAATCTTCGAAGGCCTGATCGGAAATGGACCCGCTGAAACCTCCTGGTTGACCACGGCCCAACCAGCGAAGGGCAATGTAGCGCCGCAAAGACCTGATTCCGACTTCGTCACTGTTCTGCTACATATTTCGAGCAATGGTCTGAAAGGATGACAAGTCGACTTGGGGCCCGCAACGTGTTGAAATATTGCATCCACAGTGCTCAAAATCATGCTCCCCTGAGACCTCAGCAGCAACGGGTCCTGGAACCAAGTCAAGGTCGGGCAAGATTTGGTTGACCGTGTAAATTCATCGTAATACCACACAGTGGTAGTCCCCGCTATCCCTAGCCCCTTGGAGCAAAATCGGTCGCATCCATGAGACGCGAAGCCTCCTCGCGCTTGACCACATCGTTGTCTTGTTGAACAACACTCGTCTCGCCATCGTCTGTTGCCGTCTCATTCTTGTTGATGCTTGCCCACTTCTCCTCCATCTTCGACCTGGCAGCATGGTCCACCTTGTCGCTGCTGCCGGCAACGAGACCGTAGACGAAGTTGGCTGCAAGGTACGTGCCGACGAACCACAGCCAACCCAGGGCGGCGAGTCCGAAGGTGACGAAGAGGGTGGACCCGAGGACTATGCTGGCCACGCCGATCCAGAAGAGGGAGAATATGACGGCGGTGAAGAGGGCGAGGGCGATGGTGCCGAGCACGAAGGAGGCGAAGAGGAGGACCGGGACGAGGGAGAGCAGCAGCTGGGCGACGACGAAGGACTGTGGGGGGGTTGAGTGGTCAGTATGTTGCAGCGGAGTACAAGAGAGGAGTGAGTCTAGGACGAGGCCGTGGGAGGTAGCATACAAATAAGAGTGGCTGCTCCTGGGCAAAGCTCAGGACGCTGTCGTAGGCCTTCTGTCGGTCGGTCGGGCTCACGACGCGGTCGGCCTGGCGACGCGCCGAGTCGATCGTGCCGCTGACGTAGTCGTAGACGGCCATATTCTGCTGCCGGCTGCTTGGAAATCGTTGGAAATGGTCTGATATTCAGAGGACGATGTCAAGGTCGAGGTGGGATGCGACGGGGGTAGAACTGGATTGACTCCAAGAGGATGCAACGGCGAGCTTGGGTCTCCCCAGTGGGCAAGCTTGGAGGGGCTGGGGGAGGTGGTTACCCCCGTCTGAGCCCTCACCTTGGCCCGCCCCCACTCATGCAGGAACCCGCATTCCAGCTGCGCCTGCCTACGTGGGCCAATGACGGGACGAACCACGGCCACCTCACATCTACAGACTAGAGACGCCTCCAAAACCTCCGTCAATGTCGTGACTCTCTTGTCTTGTGCACTCTCTACTTAGCCCACACACCCAATGATGGGCGCATTCTTGAATCGTTGACGATTAGTTTGACGAACGGCAATTTTCGAGGTCGGGGAGTCCGCAGCTTTTGTAAAGTCACGGGCCCGACCCGGACCATGGGCTTATATGCGAGAGAATATTGAACTTTGGTCCACCAAGTGTGGCTTTTGGTCTTCCTGGTGCGATTATTTGGTCCATACCCGTCAAGGACAGCGAGCGGCAAGTGGAGCTGTCTTTGCCTCAGCAGCCATCCATGGTAGCCCGTTGTTGGTTGCCCACGCGGGTGTTGGTTCGCCGATGCCTGCTCGCAACAGCAAAGCACATGCACAGTATGGCTACTTATATCTCCCATCACCAAACGCCACCTGGCCAATGACATTTCCAATTAAAGCCTTTTTTTAAGAAACAAAACTCTCTGCATCGACCGGCCTCAGTCTTCCTCTTCTCAAATACCTCCATTGCTCACTTGTACCCATGGATTTCTGCCGGGTATCGTGTCCTCAACGTTTCCCTCTGGGACCGTTCGAGCAAACGAGCAAAACCCCTCTTGAGGGGCCCCAGCTTAGCTTCACAAGTTCGTCCCTCCCCGAAATAAGATCAAGGTATTACAGGACTTAGCGCTAATTTGCCTTATAAAATAATACAGAGATGCAGCCTATTGAGAACCCTGCAGCAGCATCCTGGGGCCTAAATCTCAGTGAAAAAGACTTCGCAGCGCTCAAACGCGGTTGTAGGATTCGAGATATGGATGACAGATGGGCCTTTGTTTATATGACGGATCAAGAATTACTAGATGAACTATCGGCTGAAAAGAAAGCAACGACGGATGAAGTGCTGACAGATGACCAGCTGTTGGATGAACTTGAGATGGAGGAGCCCTGGATGGAAGAAGAAAGGACGGAAAAGGCTGCGCCGGCTCGAGTTGTAACGGAAGAAGACATGGCGCAGGGTGGTTACATCTCCATCCGCCGAACCTGGTCAAACATTGAGCTCTACAGACTCGTTCTGACTGTTCAGCCAAGCGAGGGCGGCATCAGTAGAAAGATCGAAGCCATCACCTGGGAGCAGCGCGAAGATCATCTCATCTCGGGAGAGCAAGCTAAGATGGACGTCGTCCTTCTTTGCAGGTCACACCTTGAGTGCGATCTTGCCGCTGCTCCAGACAATGACGCCTTACAGTTTTCCGGCCTTCTGTAGACAATACGATATACGACAAGTAATCATAAGGGACGGGTGAATAGAGCTGCATTATTGTGCACTACGACCGTCGGTACGCAGGACCTCGAGACCCTGAGCTTCAGGCTGGAACGGAGGCTTGGAAACGATCACCCAAGCACGCGCGAGAGACCACCGAATTTTGATCCGCCGAGCTTGGTCTGTGGTCTTTCTGCCGCAAGCACTTGATCCATACCGGTCGTCAGGTCCATGGCTTTGGCGTCAATATACCACGGCTCATCTCGGGCAACGGTGAAGCGGTGGCCAACGTATATTGCAAGAAAGACGGGGATGCCAATGTATGCAGTCAGCAAACTCGAGACGTCCCAGTTGTTGCCGACAAAGACCTTGAGTCCGTTCAACAACATGAGGACGAAGAAGGTCACTCCGCAGATCCATGCAAAGTAGGGCTGAAACCGGGATCGGTACGGAAGTTCGGTGATACGTTGCACCTTTGTGCCCTTCCGGAATCGCAGGTAGATGATAACACACTGCGATCCAGCTTTGGAAGGCACCGGCATTGATAATGTTGATCAGCCAGTTGAAGACGACGGCGCCGGTCGAGGCGACGTTGAGGTATGCCAGGAGGGATATGGATGCGCTCGCAGCGAGTGCGTAGTAGGGCACGCCGCTCTTGGTGCACTTGGCAAAGATCTTCGGTGCCGTGCCCACGAGAGCCATGCTGTAGAGGGCTCGGCTCGAGAGATACAGGTTACGAGTTGCCGGCAGACCAGGCCGATGTCAGGATGATAGCGTTGACGATGTCGGGGTAAATGCTGATTCCGGCCTCGCTGACCGCTACAGCCCATGGTGACGACCCTGCGCCCTTTCCTCCCCCGAGTAAACGGGCGCTGTCGCTGGAGATGATGAGGCCGATGAAGAAGGAGCCCAGGACGTAAAAGAAGATGAGCCGGTAGATGTATCGACGGCCGGCCGTCGGCAGATTCCGCCTGGGCGATTGCATCCCACCACCGGTGACCACGATCAGCTCTGGCGCAAAGGCGAAGGCAAAGACCGAGAAGACCAAAGTGCCAACAAAAGCGCACAGCCTGCCGCTATCGCCGTCAACGAGGTATTCCTTGATTGGTCCGGGCTGGCGCCAGTAACGGAATCCCAAGGCCTGTCGGTTCGGGCCACCGCCGCAAACAATGACAAGGGCCGTGATGAGAAGAGCGATCAGCCTAGACACTTTGAGGGAGGCGAACCAGAACTCGGCCTCGCCGTAGACCTTGACTGGGAAGCAGTTGAGGGCTATGATGACGACCATGGAGATGCTGATCCATACGGCAACATGCACTGGTGGGTTCCAGTACTGGATGACGAGGCTGGTTGCCGTTATTTCCGCCGGGACGGTAATGGCGAAGATATACCAGTACATCCAGCCGAGCGCGAAGCCCAGGCTGCTCGAGACGTAGCGGGACCCAAAGTAGTTGACACTCGCTGCCACGGACCGGGAGGTAGGAACTGAACTCGGTGGTCGCGGTGATGATACCGTACACGAGGATGCTCATGAGAATGTATGCCACGAGGAGAAGGCATGGCCCTCCCATAGCTATCACGCGTATCCTCGCCCGTCCGTTTAATAATAATTTAACCCGAGTCAAGACAAGATAAATATCTGATCTTGCATCTTCAGGTGAACAGCCTACGGTAACTCGTGCCAAAAGGGCGCGAGGTTTGGTACACTTGGTTATATGTTTTTGAGGCAAACCACGGCCAGCTCAGTGTCTTGAAGCTAACAAAGAAACAATGTCGCCCTCACGCAGAGCATCAACCCACGTCCATTGTAGCGACGCACTCCGTAACTTGGTCGAGCTTCGGGACAAGGCTCCAGACGTAGAGGAGCTCGGGGTCGTGGAACCTTCCAACGGCCTGTCACGTCTTTTCCAGACGGTGGACATGATATCACCCGCGGTCTTGAAACTGGAGATCCCAAATTGCTCCACGCCACGCTGGGTCAGTTCCATGAAGAATTCGCGGTCCTTTGGCCTGACAGCCTCGCAACCGGCCATGAAAAGTGGCCACACCGGACAAGGGCCCTCGAGGTTGTGGGACGCCAAGGCCTCTTCAAAGCTCCTCAGGCTATCTATCACGCCGCTGACGTAGCCCTGCAGTATGCGGGGGTGCAGGTCACGTATCCGGCGGTAGAAGAATATCTCCAGAGCAGTATTCAGGGCCCTCAGCATGTGGGGGTTGGGCCCGTCTGTGTGGGCGGCCTCGCGCTGGGCGTTGTCCTCATCCGACGCGTGCCCTCCGGGGCCCATTACGGGCCGGGAGGCAAAGCTACAGATCATTTCCTCGAGCAGCTTGGCCCGCTTTTGGAGGGAGTTCGACAGCTCGAAACTTGACGAGCTGGGCCTAGACTTGACCATATCGAGCAGGTTGGCAAGCCTTGTGACCTGGGATACGAGGCTTAGCCACGTCTCGGGTATCCCGTAGACCTGAGGATAGAGGGTGTCCATAGATTCACGGGAGTCTTCAAGGTGGATATCTCGACGCCCGGTCTCGTGCTCTTTCAACTCCTCGATCTCAAGGTCACTATCGGAAGCATGTGGCTGCAGCCTGAGGAAGTCGTCTAGACGCGTGTACTGGGGATCCTGCAGTGGCTGGATTCCGCCAGCACGCAGTGATTCTTGTTGGGGTTGGGGAGCCGGCCTGTACATGTTCGGTTCCTGTGTGTCGTAGTCGTGGATGACATATGTGCTCTCGCCCATGATGCGCATCCATGTGTACACGTGATGCAACAGACGCACCCGCCTGGAGATGTGGCGCTTGGCGAGACCCCTTAGCCGGAGCAGGCGTTCCGCGTCGAGCAGGTAACAGCGGGCGTCTTTTTCATTACCCGTGATGATCTGAGGGATCTGTAAGCTACTCGGAAATTAGTTTCAGCCCCCCTGGCCGCAGGTCTTACCGAGTTATTAGCGAGCATCAGGATTGCCATCAGCTGATCCTTGTATTTTGCTCTTGACTTGCCCTGGACCTCAGTCTTGAGAGACATCTGCATGTGGTGCTTGGCCTTTGCGAGAGTCGTAGAGGCCAAGTTATCCACTGATGGCTGTGACGAGCCGCTTCGAGTTGCTGGAGTCGCATTGGCATGATACGCGGCGCAGCTGAGCACCGCCCAGTAGTTCGCCTTGGCCGCGTGCGACACGTTGTTGGCCTCAAAGAAGGTCAGGTCGGCAAAGGTCTGTACCGCATACGCCAGGTTGAGGATCTCCCACGGCGACTTGAGCCCCGTTGGTAGCGCCCGCGTGATGCTGTTAAGATTTGCCCGGAAGTGACGCAGCAAGGACTGGGCCATGTCTGGCGTCACACTATCATGATCACTGACGACCGGAGACTGAATCAGGGGCACAGTCAGGGGGGCTCCTGTCGTGTCCGACCGAGATGACCCCGGTGGTGGGATGCGTTGTTCCATGCCTTCGATCTGCATCGGCGTCAGCTGGGGGTCTGGCCAGCTCCACGTCGAGTCGGGCATGCCGGGAGCATCCAAAGCCAGTCTACCCGGGTCAGCGGCGAAGAGGTAGGCTGGGTTTGCGTCAAAGAGATCACCCCATTGCAGAGTGCTGTCCAGGCCGAGAAGGGTGTCAAGGGAGAATGGGCTTGTCGTATCCGGCTCCGGCTCTGGAATTGGGTCTGGGTTGTCGCTGACGAGCCCCGGGTCGGTCTGCTGTGCTACACCTTGTGAGGTGGCTCCTGATCCGGCCTGGCCCAGGTCAAGCACACCGAACGGGCCGACCGTGACCTGACGGTCCTTGGTGCGATCGAGCTCCGCAAGACAGCCATCTACAGAGTTGTCCTCCAAGCTGGCAACAAGCCCATGGCTCATGAGCTCTCGAGACGTTTCTTACAGAGCGGCTGGTCAGCCGGGAAGCAATGATATGATGGAAGCCAAGAGCGGCGAGGAAACATAGACAGGCAGGAGCATTACCCGTATATAGGTGTCGTCTCGACCGCTGGGCGGCGGCTGATGCAGAACCAGCGGTGCTCGTGGAGGAATGCGCTGCCTGGCCCGAGGGCGCGGCCCATCGCACGTCGGCTGCGAAGCCATCACAACCCACGCCTGCCTTGCTGCAGGTGTTGCAGGCGGGCCTGGTCTTGTCGCACTTGACATGGCGCCGCCGGCATGTCGCGCAGCTACCCCGCGAGCGTTTCGGTCGAGGCTGTACCTTGCTATCCATACGGAGTCTGTCTTCGGACTCTTCGGACCCCGCCGGGGAGCGAGTCCGGCCGATTCAAAAAAAAAAAAAAGGGAGTGGGGCCGGGGAGACACGCCGTCAGAACCGCCTTGATGCGGGGGAGGGAACGGAAGTGGACTGTGGTTCCATGAGAAGTTAGATTTCGCCGTCGGAAGCGAGCAACGAAAGGGGAACGAGAGGCGTCCGGGCTGGCCTGACGAAAAGGGAACCGCGATATATAGTCTGGTCTTTGGCATGAAGCAGCGACCCGAGCTAGGACAGGCATAGCCGGCCCCCCGCTCTAGTTATGTGTATCTTCGCGGGGTAGACTGTAAAGTTATCTGTTTTAGATAACCATTATTCATGCCAGGTCCACATGTCAAATAATAAACGTAGGTGAAGATCCGGCAAATATCAGCGCTCGGCTTCAGGCTTGGCCACATGATAGGATGTCAATCCCAGGAGCCAACCAACGGAATCGGATCTCAGCTCTGATAGCCACCTCGTGACTGCTTCCCCGTCTTCATTTTCTTCATTGCTGCGAGACTGCCTGCTACGTAGCTACGTATGTCTAATTAAGTCATCAACAGTCACGCCCCTTGAGCGTCCAACTCTCTCTGGAACGACTCGGGTATTTCCTTTTCAAGGCCGTGCTGTGAAGCGCTGTAGCCGAGCAATTTTCCTGCCCTATCTGGGGCACACACAGCGTTTGTGCCAAATAGAACACTCCCATGAGGAAAGGTCTTGTCCGCCTCCTGGGCATCAATCGACTTTGGCAGCGCCTGTATCTCTGCCTTCTGGGCTGTCTGAGAAACAATCTCGGCAATGCGCTTCCATGACTAGAGGCGCGATTTATTGTGAGTAAAATCTTCAGCCAAATGAATGCCAGGTAACTACGTACCATCTCTCCAGTCTGAACAAAATATAGGCCATTCTCGTTCCAGAGTTCTGGGTCGGAATCCTTGTCCTGCCCCTTGCTTACTATCGCTGTGATGAGGCTGCTGAGGTCCGCAATATGCACATTGCCCCAGGTAGCCTCTCCAGGTCCGACATACACTGCAGCCTTTTGCTCAATGGCTACCTTGCAAAGGCCAGGAATTTGTATGCTATTGCGATTGCCCTGCCCACGACCCAAACCGTAGATAATGGGTGGGAAGAGGATGGCTGTGCGGACTCGGGACCCCAGTTCACGGGCGATGCTCAGCATGGCTTGGTCGACAGCACGTGCCGGAGACTTCTCAATGAGGTCAACTATCTCGGAAACGCTGCCGTAGTCATTATACTTGCGGCCCGAGGCCTCACCGAAACGCTTGTGGACGACATCCGGTGCTGAGAGGACGCTTGCGCCGGATATCTGGATCCAAGAGACTTTTTTACGAGCACGTCTCAGTAAATGTTGGAAAATAGAACCTCAAAAGATCATCAAAACCTACCAGGGCTTGTTCTGCTGGCCTTGCGAATGCCATTTGCGATACTCTGGACCGCGCCGATGTGTTTTCCGTTGGCAGCATCTGGATCATCTGTCAGTTTACTTGCAAAAAGAGAGGTCGAGGAAGACGTGGACACATACTGATGACCACGTCAGTTTCCTTGACAGCTGCTTCAATGACATCGGCTGAGTCTAGATCACCCTGCTGAAGCTGAACGTGGGGATACTCGTCGGTGATGGGCTTGGCCTTGACTGTGTCGCGGACCAGAGCTGTGATCGATGCGGTGGGGAATCGGCTTGCGATCGAAGCAAGTACATCGCCCCCGATGTAGCCAGTCGCACCAGTGCTGCATACGGGGGTGAGTGATCCGGCTCATCTCCAGGCCCAGGGTGTGATGGTGGGTACCTACAGGAAGACCTTCATCATGGGCTGGGTGTCTGATGGACTTGATAAGGACCGGTGAAGATAGACAGGGATCAACGTAATGTAATCGACGGGACGGAATGTCTGTATGTCTGTAGTACGACTTGCGTCTTCAACACAGATGGGCCATGCTAAGTTGTCTCTTATGAACCGTCCTGCCAGCTGGCGCGTTGCTAAGTCGTCGGCCAAATGTGGAGTGGGGGATGTTTTACCAAAGGAGCAAGCAAACCCGAATCCAACTCCAGTCCCGAAACCACTCGACCACCGTGAACAACTAACCGGGAACTAGTCTCAAATCCCGCGGTCCCATGCGCGTATAATGACATCCATCATGGGCATTCCGCCGAGATAGCTATTAAACTAAGAACGCCTCCATCGCTATCCATGTGCAGCCTTCATCACCACCAGCAGGCCAGATAATCGTCCAGACCAAGATAGCAAGATGGCAAACCGCAGCGTGTCTCTTGACACCAAGGTGTTCAGCATTAATGACCTCAAACGCGAGGGCAGCGCAAAATTGCCTCCCATGTATCGAGGTCTGTCGCTCCTGTGCCAGCCAGCCGCGTGTTTCCAGACTGACGATGACCAGACTTTTATAATGAAGGGGCCATGGACATGGAAACGTGCGTTTACACTGTAAATCAGTCAGTTTCATTTAGGTTCGGTGGCTCACTTTGTCTCAAGACTCCGGGAAAATGAGGAAGCATACCGAAGATACAAGATCCGTCCTCGCATTCTGGTTAATGTAGATCACGTCGATACGTCGGCGGAGATATTTGGCATCAAGGTAAGGCACCATTATCACCGAGTCATTCGGAAATGTCTAAATCTCCATAGGTCCCGTTTCCCTTTGGGTTCAGCCCATCTGCTATGCACCAACTAGCCCATCCCGAGGGTGAAGTCGCCACCTCGAGAGCCGCGGCGTCAGAGGGCATATGCATGGGCCTGTCATCTTACTCAACCGTGTCACTTGAAGAAGTCGCACAGCAAGGGCTGGGAAACCCCTTTTTCATGCAGGTCTGCGTGCTGAAAGACCGTCGTACCACTCTGCAACTGCTGCAGCGAGCAGAAGGTGAGGAACCCAATGTCGACTGCCCGGTATGCCACACCCATGCTAACGTCTGACTGCCGCCAAGCTGCCAATTACAAAGCCATCTTCGTCTCTGTAGACGTGCCTGTGCTTGGACGCCGCCTCAATGAGATGCGCAATAGCTTCACGCTCCCAGAGGAAATGCAGTTCCCGAATCTCCTGTCCAACGGCAGGAAAGAGTTCAGTGGCGATAATGCGGCAACAGCCTTTGGTAAGAATCTACCGATGGTACTCTGAACATAGTAGCTGACCACAGACGAAGATGCTAGTCTCGATTGGAATTCCGCGATCCCGTGGCTGAAGGAGCACACCAAGATGCAAATCTGGCTCAAGGGGGGTGAGTGCATTCATTCGGCCATCTGATTGTCTTCTTTTCTGACGACCGTCTAGTAAACACAACCGAGGATATTCAGATGGCCATCGATCACAACCTGGACGGTGTTGTCATTTCCAACCACGGCGGGCGACAGCTTGATGGCATTGCCGCCACGCTTGACACACTTCGTGTCTGCGCACCACTTGCCAAGGGAAAGATTCAGATCGCAGTGGACGGAGGGGTGCGCAAGGGCTCTGACATTTTCAAGGCAATCGCCCTTGGTGCGGACCATGTGTTGGTTGGCAGAATACCCATCTGGGGTCTTGCGGTATGAAGTTCGAAGAGAATCCCTCCCTCTCCTGACTGGATGTGCTGACCCTTGTACAGTACAATGGCCAGAAGGGCGTCGAGCTGGCGATCAAGATGCTCAAGGAAGAATTTGCCGTGACAATGAGGCTGGCCGGGTTAGTTTACCGTCTTTTTCTCATCAGGCCACGAATAAACAACTGACTTGGTTGGTAGATGTGCGTCAGTCAAGGACATCACACCGGACAGATTGGCATACCTAAGGCACGACGGAATCTTGGCAAGGTTGTAAGGGGCAAGGCCCTGTTCACCGTGTTTCCCACGGTGGGGCATATTTTACGCTCAAGGGGCTCTCAAACTGCACAGCACGGTGACTTTGGAGTTTAGATAGGATGATTGCTACATGGTGATCTGGTGTACAAACTCGAGTGCCGAATTTGATTAATGGTGTGAAGCATTACATTGTGTATCTAGCTTGGATCGACTTCAACCTTTAATCATCTTTAGTAGACCTGGGCCGTAGCCGCGACAATACTCAGGGGCAGCATCTCATCTTCATCTGGCGCTTTCTAGACAGAGAATTGGCCATGTGAATGATTATTTCCTTTTTTTCAGGAAGTCCTGGAAAATACTCCGGCATTTTGAAGCTAAGCAAGGTGGCCATAAGAATACTATTAACCATTTGTTGAAGCTGGCGAAAGTTGTTCCTAGCAGAGCATGCGGGATATTGAGCTTAAAAACTTGAAAATGAAAGTCCGTATTGAAATCGTGCATTTCACTCCAATCATTACACATAATTAATCAAGCGGTAATGCATTTCATTAATCTCGGCAACTCAAATCCCACTTGCCAAGTCTTGTGCGATCACCGGCTTTACTGCCCAACAACCTTAACACCAGCGATTTGAAGCAACGACGCAAACTCGGCGCGCTCTTTCTGGCCGAGGACCACAAAGGGCTTCCGACATCCTCCTGTTGGCGTGCCACGCAGCTCCATACCGGTCTTGATAGCTGCCGCGTAGTTGTAAGACTCGAGGAACTTGCAGACAGGGTAGATCTTGGTCCAGAGCTCCCTTGCCTTCTCCAGGTCTTTCTTCACAGCAAGGGCCTCCCACAATTCGACAGACAGCTCGGGGATGATGTTGGTCGCGCCCCACACGGAGCCCTTTGCGCCAGCGGCCAGGCCGTAGAAGGTCAACGTGTCCCAGCCATTGAAGGCGGTGATCTTGTCCTGCAGGGAGAACAGGAGCTCCGTGAGCGCCGGCGCATCCCCTGAGGTGTCTTTCAGGTACGCGACTCCCACTTTTGATAGATCGGCCAGCTGAGCCGGGCTGAGCTTGAGACCACTTGCTGAAGGGATGTTGTAGTACATGATCGGGAGCTTTGACACGGAATGCAGCTCTGCCAGGAGCTGGTGCAGCTCTTCCACAGACGGTGCGTCGTAGAATGGAGGCACAACCATCAGCGCTGCCGCACCAACCTCGGCGGCGTGCTTTGCGAGCTCGACGCCGTCTCTTGTCGACAGTGCACCGGTACCCGCGATGACCGGGACCCTTCCAGCCGCAGACTTGACGCATGCCTCGACAAGTTGTTTGCGTTCCTCGAGGGTCAACGCGGTGAACTCGCCGGTGCTGCCGCCGGGGACTAAGCCGTGAACGCCCGCTTTGATGAGATGCTGGATGTGCTGGTCCAAAGCCGCGACGTCAATGGCCGACCGATCGGCCGTGAATGGCGTGTACAACGCGACCATGATACCTTGGAGAGACATGGTGACTGAGTGTGTGTTTGTGTATTTGTGGGGTGTTTGTAAAGCGGTCTAGGTCGGGGTAGCAATTGATGATGTTTGATGCCTTCGTTGATAGGCCTTTTCAATCATAAATCTCGGATATTCAACTGGTATATACATCATTCTACACCATCGCCTACATCAAGAGATTCAAGAGGCAAGCCAGTGCGAGACATGCTGCACCTGCAATCTGGTTGCTCCGGACGCGAGGGAAGCAGCTCGGGCTCGGCTCTGCCAACCATGCTCGGAAAGAGAAGCCGAGGTGACAGGAATGCTCTGACAGACCCATTTCACCGGCTGTTGGCCTTAAGAGCATAGTACAAATACCGTTCAAGTGCCTGGAGCAGTCACATTATAGGAGAATCATCCATACGAACTACATCTGGTTTCATCTTCACATAATGCGCCATAATCAGCATCTCATTCACAATGGGCTTGGTGATATTTCCCAACGGACCCTGGGCTAGTGTTCTTTCTGGTCTTCAATGCGACTCCGGTGTTAGTCGGGTTTCGTCCAAATACGGAAAACCCGGCAAACTTCCTTTGCAGTGAAGCTACATTAGGAAGGCCAGCCCGAGCCGGTCCGGCAATCGGAGCCGGGAACCGGCCGCAGTGACGGACTTGGTGATAAGCGATTGAGACTTGTAGACAGTTCAACTTGGACGTATATGTGTGAATTCGTCTCTGCTTTTGCTCACAATCTGCATGCACGTATACAACGCATCAATCGTCAACCATGGCTGACCTCTTTGCATCATTAACCGCGCCAAACGGCCATTCCTACTCACAGCCATTGGGTCTCTTCATCGGCAACGAATTCGTCAAGGGATCATCGGAGAAGCCAATTACTTCTATTGATCCATTGTGAGCATGCTTTCATGATATATTTCGCACCTGTTGCTGATCAACAATCTGCAGCACCGAGTCTGAGATTGCGACTGTACAAGCAGCGTCGGTAGAAGACGTTGACAAGGCAGTCAAGGCAGCTCATGCTGCGCTGAGGAACGGGCCATGGAAGACGCTTCCAGGGACCGAGCGCGGCATTCTCATGAACCGCCTTGCTGACTTGATGGAGAAGAACAAGGAGCTGCTTGCCACTATTGACACATGGGATAACGGTAAGTACAACTGAGCTGAGTCTGCAGAGCCGCCTTTTGCCGCTTGAATCTGACACTGCGGCCCAGGAAAGCCATACAAGGACGCTCTTGAGGGCGATCTGCCCGAAGCTATCGGCACTATACGCTACTATGCCGGCTGGGCGGACAAGATCTTTGGACAGACCATCTCAACCACGTCTGAGAAATTCGCCTACACCATCCGGCAGCCCATCGGGGTCGTTGGGCAGATCATCCCCTGGAACTACCCTCTCTCCATGGCGTGTTGGAAGCTCGGTCCCGCGCTGGCCTGCGGCAACACTGTCGTCTTGAAAGCGGCTGAACAGACCCCTCTCAGTGTTCTGGTCTTGGGGCAGCTGATCAGAGAAGCTGGTTTCCCTGCCGGAGTCGTGAATCTGATCAACGGCTACGGAAGGGAAGCCGGCGTCGCGCTGGTAGAGCACCCCCAGGTCGACAAGATCGCATTCACAGGATCGACGTCTACAGCTCGCCAGATTATGGCCTTGGCCGCCAAGTCCCTAAAGAACATCACGCTCGAGACCGGAGGCAAGTCGCCATTGCTGGTCTTTGACGATGCGGATCTCGACCAGGCTGTAAAGTGGTCCCATTTTGGCATCATGTCGAACAAGGGTGAAATCTGCACCGCAACGTCCCGTATTCTCGTCCACAAGCCGATCTATGCATCATTTGTGGAGGCCTTCCAGCAGAGGGTAGCCAGCACCAGCGTACTGGGCAATCCTTTTGACGAGGCAACTTATCAAGGCCCACAAGTCACAAAGCAGCAACAGGAACGCGTTAAAACTTTCATAGACTCTGCTGTCTCCGAGGGGGCTACGCTTATGGCCGGCGGGCAAAAGGATTTGCCTGGGGATAAGGGCTATTTTGTCCGGCCAACGGTGCTTACCAACGTCACGGATTCCATGACGGTGTTCAGGGAGGAGGTCTTTGGTCCGGTTGTTGTCATCTCCAGCTTTGAAACCGAAGAGGAAGCTGTTGCCAGGGCGAACAGTACAGCCTATGGGCTTGGAGCTGCAGTCTTTACCAGAGACCTCGAGAAGGCTCACAGGGTTGCGGGCGACATCGAAGCAGGTATGGTCTGGGTGAACAGCAGCCAAGACTGCGATCCGAGAATACCTTTTGGAGGTGTCAAGCAGAGTGGTATCGGCAGAGAGCTGGGAGAGGCTGGTTTGGAGGCTTACACTCAGATCAAGGCCGTCCACATCAATATGGGCAATCGTCTGTGATCTCATTTCATCTCATGGTGGGGAGTCTAGATGGTGTCGTTGTCTCTCAACGTCTGTGTTGAAATACAATGAGATTGTTAACGAACCGACCTTGCTAACTGCCATTTAATTATCATGGAATTGAGGCCAAGCTAGAGGGAGCTGACATGCTAAACAATTGATCGATCCCGAGATGAAATGGGACCTGTGTACCAAGCCATTAGGTCTCTGCGGCTGGTTCAGGCAGAATATAAAAGTGTCGCCAGTTTCATCAACGGGCGTACCAAGTGTCGAAAATCGCAGACTAGCCGAGTCCACATGATAGCAAGTCAGAGGGCTAACGAGTGAGAACCCTGACGGTAGGCAGAAAGGCGCCGATATCGAACTAGCAAAGCTACGCGCCAAGTCAACAACGACGCATGTGGGCAGACCGCGCCCTCCGCGTCAGGAGTCAGCGAGGACAGCTGCAGCCAATGTGACCGGTCCTCGCAAGCCTGCATCGAAAGAAGCGCCACCAGAGCCAACGGCGAGGATCTTGCTCAACAACGCAGCCACGGGAAGGCCATATACGCCATTAATCGCTCAACGCGCAAGCCTCGGACCAAGAACACGAGGGTTACGTTCAGGCGCCTGCTACCGGCGAGAAGCTACTTGTATTACCGGCGCCGGCGGCACGCTGAGTCCTTGTTGGAATTCGAGAGCCAACAACATCGACAGGCTTTCCTAGCCAGGAGACAGCATCTTGGTCGGTTAGCTAGCAAGTACGGATATGGCTACAAGTTGAAGGTTGGCAACTACGGGATCACACCGGGGAGGGCGCGTGTGATCTGGATATGACGCTAGTTATTTGGGAAGAAGAGTCTAGGTCATTAAACTTTGATTAAACATCAAGCCCCGTTGTATACCCGAACTATCCACTCCTGTTACCTTCTAGAAGAAATGGGAGTCGAAAGTGAAAACGCCACACGTGAAAGACATGACGAACCATCAGTTGCTCGTGTCCGATCCCGGTACCCGTGCTCTGGCTTTTCTGAATAGCAAAATTGATCAATTCCGTACAAAGACCGAGGTCTCTATCCTACATAGAAAAAATGCAACTAGTTTGACACCGCCGCATGCAGAAAATGCTACTGCTCTGGGCGGTGTCGGATATCATCGCAACGCCGCCATGCAGACTCACGACACCTCCGGGCTTCCCCTGCCGCACGTGGCGGCATCCCATAGCACTGTTGGCTGACCCTGCTTACAGGGCAAAGACGGCAGCACCAGCACCCATGGCCATGACGGCCCAAAGACCGACGGCCATGTCACCAACGCTGAAGAAGCTCTTCATGTGCAGGGGAGTGGCCAGGGAGCTGCTGGAAGAGGAGCTGGAAGAGCCGGAAGAAGAGCCGGAGCCGGAGGAGCCAGTGCCGGTGGCGGTGGCGGCAACAGCGTTGGCGGAGCTGGCGCTGGCGAGCTTGGTCTTGCAGTCCCCAGCGGAGCTGCCGGACTGGGTGACAGCCTTGCCGTCAAAGTCACAGGCGTCCGAGGCCGACTTCTGGGCCTTGTAGTAGGTGTCGAGGACGTATCCGAGCTTCTGGGTGGAGTTGCACATGGAGTAGGCGCCGAAGACACCGGTGGAGGCGTTGCCGTTGACACCAGCGCAAGAGTCGGGGTCCTGGCCGCAGATGTATCCGAAGACCTCGCCGAAGTCGTCCTCAGACAGGCTGGAGGAAGGAGCGCACGAGATGGAGTTGAACATGCACTCGCACAGGGAGGAGTCGGGGGTGGGGGGCAGGGAAGAGGCGGCGGCCCAAGAAGCACCGATGGCAGGGCAAGCAGCGGCCGAGTTGGTGGGGCTGTAGGCATCCATGGCGACGGAGCTGGGGGTGGCGGCGGCGATGCGGGAGCTCAGGGCGGTGTAGGCCTTGAACTCCTTGACGCTGGACTTGTCGACGACGCTGACCAGACCTGTGGGGAAATTATTGTTAGCCGCCAATCAGGCCTGCCAGTTTGTACGTGTAGACTTACCATAGTCGTTGTCCTCCTCGAAGTACATGTAGACGATACCACCAGCAATGACCTCGGTCATGTCGTCAGAGTAAAGCTCGGTGGTCTCCTGGAAGGTACGGCCAGCACCGCCGTCGACAGTGTTGCAACCGTACTCGGCGAAGAAGACAGGGATGGAGTAGTTGGAGAAGAACTGGACAACCTCAGAGTAGCCGGACTTCTCGAAGGTGCTGTCACCGCACCACTCGTAGATGTTGTAGCCCCAGAAGTCGATGGACTCGTCGCTCTCACCGCAGTTGAAGTACTCGGCCATGTTGTTGCGGATGGTGGCATCGTCGTTGGCGGCGTAACCGACACCGATCCAGCGGTCCAGGTTGTCGGCAATGTAGGCCTTGGTGTCACGAACAGCAGCCTTGACGAAAGCCGAGGCGTCGGTGTTGCTCTTGTTGTTGGAGACCTCGTTACCGGCGAAGAAGCCGATGGTGTTGTCGTACTTGCCCAGGGCGTCGACGACGGAGGTGTAGCGCTTGTACAGGGCAGTGTTCCACTGGGGGTCGCTGCGGATGATGGCCTCGTCGGGCGACGACAGGTCGGAGATGACGTAGATGCCGGCGTCGGCGAGCAGCTGCATGCAGGCGTCGTGGTCGGCGGTGGGGTCGATGGCGTAGGTACGGATCACGTTGGTGCCGGCAGCCTTCAGGACGGGGACGTCTCGCTTGCAGAGGGTCTCGTCGGACAGGGGGTCGAGGTAGTCGGGACCGCTCGACGTGGACCGCTTGGCAGCCTCAGACGAGCCGGTGTCCTGCTGGTACGCAACACCCTTGATGTAGAACTGGGTGCCGTTCTTGTAGAAGAAGTGCTGGCCCTTGGCAACGATGGGCTCGACGGCGGCCGAGGCACCGGCCACGAGGGCCAGCACAACTCGCTTGGCTGAGTACATGGTGACTGTGTGTGTGGGTTGATAGTAGTGTTGATGTGGGTTTCGTTCCTGGTCTGGGTTTCAAGAGAGCGTGGGTGTTTTGATATTAAAAATAAGACGGCCTGGAGGAGACAAAAGCCTTGTTAGCAAACATCTGGAGTGTGAATGGGAAACCAAGGTGAAGCAATGGAATCGATGAGTTGTCCGGGCGGGTAATCCAATAATTCAAGTGGCCTCTTCTCTTCAACTTGTGACGTGACGTCGACCCATAGTAAACAAAACAAAAATAGTTGGCTGGGCTGGGTTGTGGAGGGGTGAGGCCTGCAAGGACGAACTCGTCCGATGTCTTCACACCGTTTGTTCTCGCTGGGCCGCCGGGTCGGGATGACGTTGACAGGGCGTTGACGTTTGGCATTGACGCTCTTGTCGGAGGCCGCATGAGGTTTGGAAGGTGGCATGGGACGAGATGGAGAAACAAGAGCAGGGAAGGCACGGGAAACGCCCGTACACACAGACAGGCGGTACACACACCACACACCACACACTGCGCGCGTAGAGCAGCAAGCAACGTACCTTGAGCAAGTCTATTTCTTCTTTTCAAGAGAAAAGGATCAGTATACTGGTATTCAAAGAGAGTGGTGAATGATCAAGTCAAACAAGATGGACGGGTGTGAAGAAGCACCAGAAGGGCAAATTGAAGAGGCAAGAGGAGAGAGGCCCGGATCAATTTGCACACAGCCGGATGAGACGGATGAAAAAGGATGAATGAACTGGATGGGAACGGAAGGAGCGAGGGAGGGAGGGAAAGAAGAAATCAGGAAATCGAGGAATTAATGATGGAGCACGGCGAATCGTGGACGGGCAAAAGGTGGGCACAGGCAGGCGCAGGCAAGAACGAGGTACGACTGGGAAAGGGGGTTTGGGCGCTGGAGGCAGGAGGAGGAGGAGGCAGTCGCTTGTCACTGGTGATACGAGATGTGCAGGAGGTGTACCAGAGCCAGCACCGTATGTCGACGCACGGCACAGTACCGCACCCTGCGTCCAGAGGCGGGAAGGAACACACGAGTACCACAGTACGTCAATGGCTTCGCGGTTGATAATTTCAATTTTGGATGGCCATCTTGCCAGGGTGGGAAGGTTTGGCCCATGTTGCAGGGAGTAGGGGCCGACAAGGGGACAGGAACGGGGTGAGGTGGGGTCGGGGAGGTAGGGACGCGAGCTAGGTACGTACCCCGACACCCCTACACCAACTTTGATTGGGGATTGACTGCTTGAACTGACTGACTTGACTTGACTTGATCATTGATTAATCTGGCTGGCTTGCTGACTGGCTGACGGTGCAGGACTGGCTTGAATGGGTCTGGATCCTCAGGGGCCATCGACTCTCTCTGGTGTGCTGCTAATTCAATTTCGGCCAGGTTGAGGGCGTCAATCACTCGGGACATTTGCATTTGACTGGCTCCATCCCTGGAGACGGGGCCTGGAACTGCTCGACCGGCCAAAACCACCAGAAACGTCTCGTCAGACAAGATGGGCCATCCCAGGAGGCAGAGATCATAAGTGGGGGTGGGCACAGGCACATGCCGTGGCGATGCAAGATGCAACTTCTCTTGCCCCGGTGGTCGCGGGCGTGAGTTTGCGAGATGCGAGATGTAAGATGCCGATGTTGCAGACCACCTGGCAGTTGATCACAAAGAGTGGCAGTGTGAGACAGCGACACATCGAAACACAGTACTGTGTAGTTGGACAGCGCATGGCAAGACAGACACCAGAGGGTACTGGGCCCAGTCGCCCGGTATCTCGTATCCGCCGAGGGCCAGCTGCGAGGGTCAATCAATCAGTCAATCAGCAGCCCGCTCCCACCGTGCCACCCTCCTCTTTGATCTCCTTCCCCCCCTATCGGGCCGTCGACAGCACACCCACACAGTGTGTCTTCTTTCTCTGTTCCTTTCGTCGGCCATTCCTCAACCATCAATCGGCAGCCATCAATTGGCGTGGTAGGCCGACTCCCGGTGAATGCTCGCTGCACCGTCAGACCGTACGGATTCCTCACTTTGTGGGTTCATTCAATCTGCTTTCGGTCGCAGGTAGGTTGCAAGCTGCAGGAGCAGTGGCCCAGGAGGGGCCAATCTCAATCTCCGTCCTCCGTCTTCTGCCCTGGCCCCTCAGCTCTCAGCTCTGAACGTCTCGAGTCTCGGCCTCCTGCGACGGCGGTCTTTTGGAGTATTGAGTATCGAGTCTGGGAGTCTCAGTCAAGTCTTGACATTCCATTCAGACCAGACTGGCTCCGGCACGAGTCAACGATACGATCAACATCGTGTTCAGTGTCCATCGTCATCAAGATCGGGCTGGCCAACTTCAGCACGCCCACGTCCAACCGCGCACGCAATCGTGGAGCAAAATGTGTGTGATTCTTGTCGTCCTCGAGGTCTGATGCGGCTCGGTTCAAGCAATCCATCCCAAGACGGCCAAGACCATTGGCGACCATTGGCATCTCGTGGCATCTCATGGCATCTGCTGGGCATTCCTCTGGGCGGCCACCCGGCCCGCAATCAGGGCTGGCCAAGCAGGCCAAGCACAATCAAGCAGCAGCAATTGGGGCCCCGACTGGTGGCGCCTTGCTGCCCCTGCTGCCCCTGCTGCCCCTGCGGAGTTGCCCCAGCGCCAGCGCCGTTGTCCAATTTCTTGGGCTCCCAACGAAGCTTTTTTGTTTCGTTCTTAGCTGTCTCGCGGGCGCATCTCCTGGTGCTCCAACCGCCCTTCACGCTGCTGCACCATTTCCCCTGGCGATCACCCGGATGGATCGTCGATGCCAATCCATTGGAACTTATGCTTCTTCTTTTCCCCTTCGTGTCGTGTCTCAGCGTGATGCCCGATTGACTGGATGCAGTGTCAAAAGTGCTGCTACTGCCTTTTACTACTTATACTAATTACATATCTGAGAGTAAATAATAAAATGGGCCTCATTGGCACCCATCATCCATCAGCTCGTCCTGCCTATGGCCTCGACGGCTTCAATCGATCAGTTGGTTGATCTGCGGCCTGCCCTGCCAACTTCCAACCCTCGTGCGCGTACTGTGCGTGCACTGGCACTGGCGTTCCCGCCTGCATGCGTCGGGTACCCACTCAACCTGCTGCAGGCCCCTCAGCCCCTGTGCGGGCCCGGTTCGGCAGCGTCGTCAACCAGCCCCTATCCAGCCTTGGCTTTCACTGTCGACCTTTGTGTGTGCGTGGCTGAGGTGGGCTGGCCACGTCACTCTGATGAGGCAGCTCCTCGACGGGCTTCAAAGGCGACACACTCCAGACAATTTATCTGTCGGTAACGGCGAACATCATGATGTTACGCCCACGGCCACGCCATTGTTGTTCTTGGCTTTTCTTGGGACCCGAGGTCACCTCGGGCAATCATCACTCACTCACCTACTGTCACCACAACCAACCCAACGGCTGATTATGTAACAGCAGTCGGTCGCGTGTGTGTGTCTTGCCCGCTGGGCTCACCCGTCCAACGAATACGAGCGCTGTCGGACGAGCTGCATGTTGTGAGGTTCGTGTTGGGCCTGCAGCTTGGGTCCTCGGCTTGATGAGATCTTGCCCGTGGCCCTCTGCGATCTTGGTAGGGCTGGCCTGGGCCCTGCCCTGCCTCGCGATCCCTTCTTGGGCGGCCTTGCTTTGTAGTACGCTTTCCCAACCTGGTGGAGCACCTCGTCCCATAACTGGTATGTCTCCCACCAGACCGTCTTGGCCGGATTGGTCATCTTGGCGATTGTTGTATTTGGTTCTCGTTCTTATTGATTTCGTGGTGATGGTTGTTGTTTATTTGATGGCCGTTTTGATTGTTGCTCAATGGTTTGTGCTTGATCCTGCGATCGACTGAATTACAGTCAGCCCGGAGAACGGGCCTGGGGGTCGCGACACTCTTATAACAACCCACTGTCGCATTCTGGTGGAAAAGTCTTTGAGTCGTCCCATCAGTCACCAGTCAGCCTTCCATCCAACGCCACTCTTGGCGACGGATGACTCTGCCGTTCAATACCACCCAAGAGTGCGCGCGACAAGAAAAAAAAAATCTTGCGAGGCTGAATCATCACCTGCCCCTGGGCCGCCCAGGCGACCTCTGCAGGCTCCGCCCACTCGCGTCAGCTGCCGAGATCCCGGGGCAAACCCGTTCCAGCGCCTCCGGCTTGGCGTGCTCGCGCTGCGGTTTTGGCTGCGGCAGCCTATCAGGTCCCGTGATCCCATCTGAGCCACCACGAACTGGTGACCGTCAGTATTTGATAATCCGTCTGCCTGCAGTCAACACAGAAGTCAGCTGCCGGCCCATACCGGACACGGGCTGCACGGCCCAGCCGGGGAATGCGAGATCAGTGCGGGCGATACGCCTGCATGTTGCAGATGCGCCTGCTGGCTTTGATTGTGCACATGTCCATTGATGCAGATCAACCACAGATCTCGCGGGAGAAATGCGGGCCTGGAGCACGCTCGCATCTCCGCGAGCCCTAATATCGATTCGCTCATCTTCATCTGCGCGCGTCCCGGGATTGTCAGCAGGCGTTGCTTCCTAGGCTCGATCCCATACGTCCCTTGCTCATGCTTATTGACGACTCAAGCGGTGTAGCCTGTCGTAGAAACAACTTACCACCGGATGGCCGAGCCTGATCATGTAGTACGGCAGTTCTGTACCGTATTTCCGTGCCTGGACTGGTCGGTAATTATGAGGTCTTGTCTACCACCATACCGCAGCACAAGAAGCAGCCGCAGCAGGGTATAGTGGCGAAGAGTCAGCAACAAACAACAGGCCTTTAGTTTTTCTCCTTAGAGGTGTAGGAAACTGTTCATAGTCTGTTACATACTCGGTCTGGGTTCAGCGAGCGCTATAGAGCATGCAGCCAAGATGGGGTCGAGAGCGGCGAGGCACTCTGCGGTGGATTGATTTTAACTACTGCTGCAAATCAATCATGCATATGCCAGCCTAGACAGACCATTATAACCAATCCCCAGGTTCGCTATCCAGCAGTTTATAAGAGCCATACCGTTACATAAAGACCAGACTTAGTCTAAATAAAACCAAGGACTAATTTCTTAACACTGACTCCAATAACACTAGCGCAGAGGTGACAGCAAAGACGGCCAGACATCTCAAGATGAACAGCAGGAGAAAAGTTGACAGGCAGAGGAACATGGACAAGCAGAGTACGACTAGCCAACCGGATCTGGTCGACCGACTAAGAATCCAGTGGCAGAAGATGACGGTGGGAATGCTGTAGACTAAGGCGATGTCAGCTTCAAGGGAAATGAATTCAGGGGCTTGAAAAGTGAGATTTAGCATACCCATAATGTTGGAAAGTACGTCCATGACCATTATCCGTACACCAAGTGCGAGGGCCTGCGACTCATTCAATGTGGAAGAGAAGCATGCAGCTAAAAACAGATTAGCCTCTGCTGTAAATTGGTTAACTTAGGTTGGCTGGGTGGTTATACTTACTTGAGTCCAGCCCGAAATATGGGCAAACAGTGAAAGGGTTGGAGACCACATAAGACCAAGATATTGTGCAAAAGACCACAACTAACCAATAATACCACTTCACAGGCCAGGATATGTGGCCGATGAATGGGCGCATGAAAGATGGGAAACACACCTTGACAGCAAACGTCGACGTCCAAATCCAAGCTACAAGCGGGTACGCGTTCTTTTGGATTTCGTAAATCTCACTGTCAGGATATTGGAAGGGTTGAGCTGGTTGGAAGTCTTGGGGAGCCGAATACAGGTCAGGATGATAGTTGGCATCTACAGCATTCAGAGTCAGCTATCAGAGCACCAAAGAAATAGCTACACGCCAATGCGGTGAGGACTGGGCCATAAGGTGGCCATAGCTTGTCTCAAAACCTGCAAGCCGTAAAGTCCTTGTTGTACATGCAAAAGATAGGTGATGTTGGTTCTTTGTCGGGTATTCATTATACCCAAAAGCTGCTTACGGTATAAAATGCCGGCGACGGTACAGAGGCAGCCCAATGCAAGAGTCAGGAGAGCGTCATCCAGGTATAGCCGTTGCTGGGAACTGCGTGGGATGAACATCCGCGCAATGCAGCCACAGAGTCCTAAGCCAGCGATGACTCCAATAGCAATCTATGTGGGTGATAGCCTGTTCGTCTCCAATAACTCACAGACGAGCTGCAATGTTGGCTCGCCTGGAAGTATGCATACTTTTTCAGCTTCCACGGACAGCCCCGGGACTATCTTCATTCCATCGACCACACCTGTTCGGATCCTTTCGAACAGAACTCCTTGTTTGTCTGTAGTTGACCGATCTTGAGACTCCATAAAGGTGGTCATCAAGGTGGCCACCAAGGACTCGAAGGAGGCCATGTTCCTCAAATGTTCGATTCACGGTGCAAAGTAAATATCTAGGTAGCTTTGGGACGCCCGAAGAAGGAACGCATGGGAAATCGACGATCCCGGGGAATATGAACGTTGAATCCGTGGCTGATAAGCCCAGTTGGTTCATTTCTGGTTTCATCTAGGGCTTATTGCAGCGAACATGGGGTTACCTGAGTACGAATATTTCTTTGTTATCGGCCGATACAGATGGAATTGAGATTTATTCCTTTGTCAATGACTATGATGGGGACGGCATTAGCTTGGATGGAATGGAAGACATTCTCTGAACTTGACAAAGGCGTTGCATTTGGACTCAGAAGAGGCAGACGGAATTACAGCCCGAGATAGTGCCGGGATGTCAAACGTCCGAGGGAACTTCTTTGTGCTCTGACGTTTGCGGATGGGAAAGTCCTGAATCCACTTTTGAACCTTTCTGATGTTGAGTATATCAGACCTATTGGGACAGCCAGCTTATGTTGCAGCGGATTGAATATTACCTAGGTGTGTACGCGTGGGTTGGCACGCGAATTATCTGCCGGCGCACTTGAGGTAGTTATTCTTTTCCTTAAGACACCCAGAAGACTGCAAATGCTATTGCTATACCATAACAAAGACTTGACAATTGCTAGGAAGCCTGTGGAAGTTTTTGGATCGCGGCAACGATCAATCCATCGGTTCTGGCTGAGCTAGAACTAGCAGATACTCTTCGGCGAGAATGCCCACCAAGAGCAAAATGGTTTAATGTTAGACAGAGATGCACATAGAAAATTGCATATGTATTTATAAGGGTTTTCGGTCAGAAGTCTCGGGAAAGTCACAATGCAATTAATGTACAGGAAACCTGGTGCTCGCAAGGTCTTTCCAGTGGCACTTCAGAGAAAACGATGAAATTGTTCCTGCTGGTCCCGATTAAGTCCGATTATGGCAGTCACTTGGGGGTCCGGGAGGCGGGGAGTGTCATGTGCATGGGGGCCGTACGTCTTTAAAAAGGGTTCCTTCTCCTCCTTTTGCACTCAGAACTAGCCATACGCCCACTTTGAATACAAGCAATCGCATATTTGCCAGACCCAGTCTTCCCTGCCACACTGATGCTGGTTTACTACTCTGTCTGGTCTTAATATGCGAGCAGTAATTCATGGTGTGAGGCATTTGAGACATTGTTAATAATCAATGGCTGAAGCGTCACGGCTTGAGCCACACGACAGTTATCATGGAGGCATCGTGTGATTTTATTTCATCGGCATGGTCTATACAAGCCCTCGCCAGAAGTGCACCAGTGCCCACAGCCGCTGCCCTTGCTCTCGCCTGCCCTCGCCTACAAAGGTCAGCTTTGCTAAAGGCACCATGCTTGCCCCGGAATGCTGCCCTCATCAAGAATCTCTGCCCAGGGAGGTTGTCCCAGGGAGGTTGTCCCATAGAGGTGACCCCAAGAGGATAATTTCTTGCCCAAGGACATTGATACACAGGGCGCTCATGGGAGGCAAGTTGCCCTCATATAGGTGGGCTTTAACTCGGTTAAGCTCAACTGCTGTCTTGTCTTATTGTATATTCGTAAGTTTTCTTGACCAAGAGTGTTTCTATAGCTGTTCTGGAAATTCTTAGATGAGGCGTGGTTATAATTGCTCATATTGGGTAGTCTACATCGTTGTCATTCGAATCTCATCAGAATACATGCTCAAAACTTGCTCAAATCCATGCTCAGAACGTGCTCGAATACGTGCTCAAAACACGCTCAGATACACATTCAAATACCCGACCAAGTTCCCATTCAACGAACCACCAAACTACGCAGTCAACTACACATTCAAAGACATCCAGTCACCGAGTGCACAAGACATTGCTTTGGTTCATTGTATCTGCATTGCGATTTCGAGGTGCCCCGAAGGGGTATTGACAAGGGGCAGGCGCAGCCCGAAAAGGTAGGCCGCACACTTAAGGTTTATCTCAAGAATAAAAGTCTATGTACATTTCAACGAAGTAGGTAGGTTCTTCCAACCACTCATGTCCTTCAATAAGTCATATCTTACACACACACATCACAACAGAAGCCCTGGTGTGGTGGCTTAGTTGCGGCGCTTGAGGTCACGAGCGTGACGGCGGGCCTTGGTGCAAGAGCTCTCCTCGTCATCGCCGTCGGCGTAGCCGCCAGTGACGGGCGAGCCGGTGGAGGTGGGGAGAGCACCGCCGGTGGCCGATGGGGAGGCTCCGCTGCCGGTGGGAGTGGCAGGGGTGGTCGAGTTGGAGCCGCCGGTCGAGCCGCCAGTCGAGCCGCCGGTCGAGCCAGAGCCGAAGAGGGCGGGGCCGGGGATGGTGTAGTCGGTCAGGGTGGTGTAGGGGTTGAAGAGGATACCGGGGTCGGTGGAGGTGTACAGCTCGGTACCCAGGGTGCCCTCGGGGCTCTCAGTGCCGCTGCCGGTGATGGCGATGTTGATGCAGAAGGGGTAGTTCTGCGCACCGCCCTCGGAGCCAGCGCCGTGCATGGCGATGATCTCGTGGCGGAAGACGTAAGGGCCGGGGGCCATGCTGTCGGGCACGGTGACGGACCAGGTGTTGTTGTTGGCGATCAGGTCCTCGGCAGCCCACTTCTGGGTGTCCAGGTTGATACCGGCCTCGTCAATCTTGACCCACTTCAGGGTGGTCTTGTCGACCGTGGAGCAGGCGTCGTCGGCGGTGCCACAGTTGGCAATGTATGTCAGGACGGGTCCGAAGTGGGACTCGGGCCAAGCGGTCCAGTCTGTGTTGAGGCGAGATTAGTGTTGGATCTCGTGAAAGGGGGTTCCCTTTCCATCAAGACATGATGACTCACAGAAGTCGACCTTGCCGCCAGCAGCGACGGTGCCGGTCTTGGCAGCGTTCTCAGCGTTCTTGTGGCAGATGATGTCGGCCTTGCCGTAGGCATCGGGGGAAACGAAGCCGTTGTCGGTGGCCTCCTCGTACCAGCCGGCCTTGGCGGGGGCCTTGCCCGTGTTCTGCTTCGCGTAGTAGTCGTCGAGGATGAAGCCCTCCTGGTACTGGCCGTCGGTGGCGAAGCCCTGGACGAGACCGTGGGCAGCAGCCTTGGAGGCGAGGATAGCGCCGGCAAGGGCGAGCTTGGAGGTGAAGGAAGGCATCTTTGGTGGGGAGGGGAGGTGGATTTGACGATTTGTTTCGTTGAAGTGAAAAAGGTTGACGATGGTAGGCTTTCAAAGAATGAATGTCCCAGCTTCACACAGTGAAGATGACAAGATAGTCAGATGGGTTGGAAAAAGAACGAGGGTGGTACGAAACCAAAGAGTGTGGCCTGCAATGAGATGAATGCTGAAGGGATGAAGATCAGGTCATGGTGGTTGATCAGGCCAGAGACGAATGCATATATATATATGTGTATGTGCGTCTCTCAGTGCTGTACGCCAGTTGGTGTGTGTACCAAGGTAAGAGCTTGATGATGGCGTCCAACGTCCCCGCCCACGCCCAGCTCGGAGCAGGCACCGCTCTTGTCGGCATGTTGGCCCAGGGGGCGGGTGAGCGAGCTCGCTTGGATCTCTGGAATCATCGAATGCCCACAACTAGCACGGGAATGTCTTCTCTACACGGCATAGCGTCGACAGCCTCCTGAGAAGTTGCAGGCAGGCAGGCAGGACGTCAGAGTAGGCGCCCATCCGGAGTCAACCGAGGCGGCTCAACTGGTGGGTCGCCGGGGCACCCCAGCCCCAGCAGGGCCCAGCAGGGGGTCCGAAGAGGAAAGTTGCGGGTGATGCACGAGAACGCAAGCGGAAACGAGCTTGTTTGCTCGAAACACCAAGACTTCTGCCGGGCTGACGGCGGGCTGGCAACTGGTGGAAGTCGGGGGCGAAGCTCGCGTGTTGCTTGGGGAGTGGGGTGAACTTTGATGAAGGTCGGTCGCAGGGGGTCTTGGCAGCCAGGGATGTGCCTTCGCAAGCGCCAGCCGGCTTGGTTTGGCGCCCCTGACAGCTCATCCTGCGAGTGCTTGGAACAAGTAAACACGCCCGTTTCACTGTTTCGCCCGCGTCAGCCCACGTGCTGAGCATTGTCACCATATCCAGAGAGGAAATGCGGCTCGCAGAGATGGTGATGCCACGCTACGTAGTTCCAAGCCGTCTCGAGTCCCTGGGCAGCGCCAAAACACCAGCCCACCGGTGTGCATACGGCCTCGTCTACATGCAATACGGGCATAGGGGGTGGGTCCTGGGCCCCGGAACATGGATGGGTTCGCAGCACCTCTTCGGAATCTTTTCGAGGATACGGTGGAAAGAAATCCCACAACAACCACCGGCACGACGAATTCCACCCTCCCCGGGCGGACGAAAACGATGGTCATGCCGAAAAAGGAAAAGCGGCTCCACCTTGAAAACTTAACATCTCAGTTGAATTAAATTTACTTTCTTAGGCTGGCAATTAAATTAAGAAAGGGTTAGCTAAGGCAAAAGGTTAAGCGCAATAAGTAGCTAATAAGCCTTACTTAAATATTATTTAAGGCTTAATTTGGTATTCTTTACATTCCTTAAAATAAGTGAAATGCGTTTTTTTTAAAGTAATCTTGAAATTAAGAAGTGCCAAGATCTAAGGGTAGGTCCGCTAACCGTCTATGGCACAACATCATTTTTATCCGCCCAGGGAGGGTGGAATACATCATGCCGGACAATAACTGACTGACTGCCCAATGGGTTGAATTCCTCCGTCTAAGATTACCCAGGAGACTGACCTGATCCAACGGCGTAGGCGAGATCATCCTGTCTCCATCTTTCCATCTCTTGGCGATTCAGACTGTCGATCAATCGGCTTTGCCCACTCACGAGTAAGTGTTTCTAAAACAATGTTTTCGTCTGATCCTGTGATCCACGCCCAGGTTCTTTTACCTCCATGTCGGACCCGACGAGGCTCGGATGTGGAAACGAGGTCAGCGGTTCAAGGGGGGTTGGTTGGCTTTGTTTCAACAACTCGACATCTCTTGACGCCCGGGCGGTGGCATGATGGGCGGAGCCGCCAAAGCATAGTGTTCAATCAGTGCCGCCTGATATAGTCTATATGGGCGAAACACCTAGCAAAAACTAGGTAAAATGCCCTCCTCTGCAGAGCCTCTTGCGGTCCAAGGCGTGGTTTTTGTAGGTCCAGCCTGTCGGGAGCTAGGTATGATGCCTGTACCGCTTGGCAGGGGCAGACCAAGCCAATATATTGGCGACGAGGTCCAGTGTCGGCGCAATTGACCTAGCCGCCTATCGCCCCCTTTCCCTTTGCCGCTATCAGCATGATAGCCACGGCAAGAAAGTTCGAGAGCGCAATGCTCCAGCCAGCGTCACCAGAGCATACCTTGGCCCTGTCTAGCTCCGGGTGGAAATTTCCGCGGCTCTCAACAACTGCCGTGAGCCACAATTTGCAGACTGCGTTCTGGTCCAAACATTGATGACACCATGTAGGCACAGCGGAAGTCGTGCAACTAAAGTAAGAGGCACGGTGCGCGGTGTGGCTCACCCGCTCCGGTCTTACTAGCCCGAACGGCCGAACGGCCGAACACAACATCGCTATATATGAGCATGGCCCACCTTTACTGTGGCGCCTTCCATATTTAAAGGAGCAAAGAATGCCCAAAGAGTGGCAGAAGGCCGATCAGGTGCACAGTCAGACCTACCTCGCGGAGTCAATCAATCCACTTGAGCACGTCGTCTCAACCACTGGCATGTAAGCATGGAAAATCCGTGGCACAATCGGAACTCAGCACCTATTCAGTCATCCCGTGAACATGGTCACGATCAACAGGTCTCCCCATTCCTACTATGAGAGTTCGAGTGGTCTAGGGCAGTGCTTCACCTTTGGTCCCCGAACTGCACTTCCTGGTTGCCCGCAGCATCACGTCATTACTTCCGGGAACTTGTGTGTTCGTGTAGTCTTCGCTCCGCAGACGTCCGTTGATGTTTTTATCCGTGCGAATATCTATACTAATGGCTGCCCCCTATCGCATGAAGCCGCTTCACCTTCATCATCCTCCGTCATCCTGTCGAGATCAAATAATATTGTGTTCCTTTGCATGATTGCTACCCCTGTCAGTAAGCATCATACTTAGATCTGTCATGCTGGCGTTCCACAGTGAAACCCTCAGTGAAACCAAATACAAGAGTCAATTGGTAAAGAAGTAGTAGGAAATCAACACTAGCCAAGTTGAACACATTCTGATATACTGACGGCATCAAGCAGACCTTGGTCAAAGACTATCTATACATGGTAAAGAGAAATTAAACCCCCCTCAGAATTATTCTTCCACACACGTCCAAATAACTGCCACAGATCAGCCTGTCAAGCCATCTCCAATAGAAACACGTCATCCTCCTAACCTACCCGTCAACCATCCCTCTCCTGAGACCATAAAGCTCCATATCCATCGGCAAGGAGGCTCTCCAGTAAACTTAGTCTGGTGTTGTTATCCTAGATACTGTCCCGAGGCTTATGGTGCGCTGAGTTGAGTCGGTATTTTCTGCTGCTGAATTCAAATTGACAGACCCTGTCGAGAAATCCAGAGGCAGCTTCATGACGTCCCGCTGAGATGCCAGGAAGGATCTGGGGAAGTGGAGCGGCCGTATTTACTGTGCACTCATTGGGTACGTGTGAAATGGTCTTGCAAGGGGTGCAAGATATTCCTTCAATCTATTCCTCCATGTGCTCTCGATCGCATTCGGTTGATGGACCATTTTGGAATCCTTTGCATTTCTCAGAGCTGAAGTGGCAGTTGGGGGCCGGGATAGGGGGGTCAACTTGGCCCTTCTGGGTAACGCTCTTGGTGTGTTCCGCGGAAGAGGCGGCACATGCTCCACTGCTGGCTCGGCAGAGACCAATACGGAGGCCCGCGCCCTTCGCGTAGCGCCGTGTCGCGCATTGAATTTGATTCAAGGGAATCCGTAGTTCCTTCGGACTGTAATGGACGTTTTCTTGGCGACGGCGGGGCGGCATCTACCGTCTCTCGCGCTGAATTGGCATGGCAGTTCGGATATCGTCGTACATTTGAAGATGGGCTCGTCTTCCATCGTTTAACTGTTCTAGTTGTCATCGCTACCAACCTTCGCTCTCCTTTGGTTGTCAACTCTCATTCCCGCCTCTCTTTCAGCCTTGTAACCGTTCACATTCATTCACCGGGTTCTGGAGCCCGGCTGTAGCCATTCTCTTCTTTTACAGAGCATTTTGTCTTGCCTCAAAGGTTTTATTCTAGACAGCATCACCGATACGCCCACAATGAAGTCAACTTCTACCATCCTGGCCGCCCTGGCAGGACTATCCAGCCTGGTTGCCGCCCAGGGCGTGTTAGGAGAGGTCGAGGGTTTTGCTACTGTTGTCACTGGAGGAGGCAGCGTGGCCGCCGTCACACCCAAGGATATTGACGAGCTCACCGAGTTCCTCACCGACGACGAGCCCCGCGTCATCACGCTCTCCAAGGAGTACGACTACACAGAGTCAGAGGGGACCGAGTCTGGCAATGTGTGCGCATCGTGGGGCAACGGCGCCACCTGCTAGAAGATTATTCAGGATAGCTGTGACGGCGGCGATGGATCGACGGCCACCTGGTGGAAGGCTCCTACTCAGCCCATCGACGTCGGCAGCAACAAGACCATCCTCGGGGTGGGAAGTGATGGTGCCATCAAGGGCAAGGGGCTGAGAATGAGGGGAAGCAACGTGATTATTCAGAACATTATGGTCTCGGACCTGAATCACGAGTATGTCTGGGGTGGGGATGCCATCGGTTTCGACGGCGCCGACCTCGTCTGGGTTGACCACGTCACGGTAGGAAGCCCTGGTAACGATATATTTATATGTGCATATTCACCCTGTACATTGGCTAATTCTCGTTCCAGACCGCTCGTCCCGGCCGCCAGCACTACGTGTTCGGTTTCAACCCCAGCAAGCGCATCACACTGTCCAACAACTTTATCAACGGCGAGTCGGACTTCTCCACTGGCTGTGACGGATACCATTACTGGACATTTGAGATGGTCGGCGAGGATGACCAGATCACCATGAAGAACAACTACATCTACAAGACTGCCGGCCGTGGCCCCGCCCTGAGCGGCGGCACCCTCCTCCACGCCGTCAACAACGTGTGGGAAGACGTCAACGGCCACGCCATCGAGGGAGGCGACACGGCTGCCCGCGGAATCTTCGAGGGAAACGCCTTCATCAAGGTCAAGCAGCTCGTCTCCGACTACCAGGGCAGGCTCTTCTCCTCTCCTGATGCCACCACCAATGCCCAGTGTGAGAGCGCACTCGGCCGTGCCTGCGAGGTCAACGCCCTGGACCAGACCACAGACGAGTTCAAGTATACCGACACCTCCTTCTTTGGTGACTTTGACGGCCTGTCCATCGCCAGCGCCGAGGCCGCCAGCGACATCAAGTCCAGCGTGCCCAGCAACGCCGGCGCCGGCAAGCTCAGCGCCTCGTCCGCCCCGTCCAAGGGCTCATCCAAGGCTGTTTCCGAGGAGGTCGCCGAGCCCAAGGCCGCCGAGGCCGGCTCCGGCTCCGTTGCTCTCTACGGCCAGTGCGGTGGCCAGGGCTACACTGGATCAACTTCCTGCTCCTCGGGCAAGTGTGAGTTTATCAATGACTGGTACTCCCAATGCGTCTAAGCTGTTTCAACTGCTCTTTGGGAGGCATCCGGTCACATTCTTGACCTGTGTCGCACTATTGTCGCTTCTGTAGCGCCATCTCACATATTCCTGTAGATATATATTTGAGGCATCGATACCCAGTACAAATACAGTCTTTAATTCATCTTCGCAGTGTCATTTGTTGTGTCCGTACTGTTCCTCTAGGTCATGATTCAAACCAGAAACCTGAGATCGTGTGATTGAGTATGCCCAATGAGGACCGGCAAAAGACGGCCTTTGGCTTGCAATATTGCGACAGTCAAGTCTGGGTCAGGATTTCAGCAAAAAGAGCAATGACACTTGACATGGCTTGTACATACCACTTGTCGGACATCGTGCATCTCCGGCAGTATCGAAATTTGCAGATATGGCTGATGATAATGATTTTACAGACGAGTGTTAAGGAGACATGCTGCATGACTTGCGCAACCAGCCCCAAATATGAGCCATTTCTCGATATTTCTGCCGCAAGACACATCTAGATGAGACATCTTGACTCCGCAGCGGGGTGACGGTATGTGATGATGGCAACAACGACTGGACTGGTCTGCACTTGGAGAATAGCACGTTGGCGACTGAGATATGAAACTTGTCTAACTGAATTTGGCTCAAGTCCTGTCAAGCTTTTGTGCCGCAATGTGTTGCTCACTGCTCCTTGGCTTGTAGTTTTGGGCATCGTCCTGCCTAAGATAACAGTATTGCCCTTGATATGTGAAAGAAACTGCATATTGATGGCCTTCTCTTTGCAATAATAGCTCTGTACGTTATAAATATTTATACTTAAGCAGAAATTAAGACCCATCATCGTTTATCCAAACCGTCATACCCCCTTGAATGCATCGGGATAAAAGATTGTGACAGCAAAAATGGAATTGCGGTGTCTCAGGAAACAGACTGAAAAAAGCTTCTGAATGGTCTCTACCAGTGACAATTCCAATCCGAATGTGAACATTGAGTCCTTCCCTGACACGAAATCTCTGGAAATACTCTAGTATCACCATCTCTGGACAATCTGGAAATTGGTCCCCACTGCAGGCCAGTCTGGATATTGTCTCCGAAAGGATCATCATTTAAATTATGCCTGCATTCATGTGATGTTCCCCTTGGAAGCACTCTTTAATGTGCGACTTCTGCATTGGATTACTCGACTTCATGTCCTAGTATTGTGTCCCGTCTTATGAAAAGGTTGAATTTGTCTGCTGTTTCAAAATACTTCCCAGTTTGGATGACAATGACCACGTCGAGGATCTTGTCGGGCTACAGCGTGTAGAAACTTGTGCCACTCCTCGACTTGAGCAGACCGACACATACCTGGGGGAAGACAGTGACGCAATGTTAGCAGGATGCCTTCAAAGTATTAGCTCGATCAGGTCTTCGTGGCTTGGGTGCAGAAGGTCACTATGAGGGATATATTCTAGTAAAACTTTATGACACTGTTCCCGTTAATTAGGACTAGGATGGGCACATTCATAGCTCCGATCGCCATGTGGCTGATTCGAAAGCTCCTCCTCCTCATTCAACATTTTGCTAGATCTTGTGATAAATAAAGCTGACGGAGAATTTGAATAAATTTGATTGCGAGAATGTAACACATGGGTTTGATCAAACTACAGACCCGGCAACTACTAGCAGGTGAGCCACATAATTCCGAGTAAAACAAGTAATGTTAGCAGTTGCCCATCTGAAGTTAAATATGTGATTATAGAATGCTTATAGCTGGAAAACCCGATTATGAAAGTGCGAGGGAAGATTGAAGACTAAATGGGAAGTGATGATTAAAGCTTAGAGCACAGTGACCACATGGTTTACAAGGCTGTCACAAGGCTGTTCCTTCAAGTACAGGAGAAAAGAAAGTTCCTCCTCTTCTTATTAATCACTGACATATATGGTATTAATCTACATCAACCTCCGTTCCGTGCCGGGATGAGAAAGAAATCCCGGTCCGCAGCATAGGAGCTATTCTAATATTTTCCGGCCCCGCTTGTTGTGATAATTGTTGCTCCAAGTTGATTGTGAACACGGGAGCGACGAGACATCTCGATGTACGCGTGCGTACTAAACTCCTTTCATCACATCCCCAGTTTCTCAGTCTCCAGTATATTTTCCAACCCGCGCTTTCCGATGGCACCCCTTTCGGATCTAATTACCTGTCGTAGTGTTATCAATAATCTTTCTGTGTACTGGCAGCTGCGATACGCTACAGGTGGAAATGAGTTGCTCTCAGTTCAAATGCAGGGCGGGAGCTATTTGTACAGTCAAGGTTATTGAGGTTGAGCCCACCTAAACTCATTTGGTACGAACCACGCAAGGGATTCGTCTGCAGCTCACACGGCAGAGGCCGAGCAAAAGACTTTCCTTCGTGTGTATGGACAGACAGAATCAAAGATCACATGAGCTCGGGCTTTTGCAGCTGATTTTAGGCGTACCGTGGTGCGAGTACGATTGATGTGGTGGGCTGATTGTGGCCTTCTCTTCCCAATCCAATCCACCCATCCACATCGGCCGGTCTTGTGCAAGACGTGCTACGTTTTAAAATGCTCAAAGCAGGGAGTGAGTGCATCCGAACTGCAGGTACTTGGATTTATAACAGTCCCGACCCACCTCCTGAAAAAGGAGGCCGGATTTAGATCGATCCAGGCGTTCCAGCAGAATGCAGCAGCTCCATATATTGTGCAAACAAGCATTTGCTAAGCATCTGAAACAGTGGGGAGAATAGGCTAGAACCTCGGCGTCCTCGATCTCGCGTCCACAGTGTATCTATAGGTATATTAAGGCAGGATGACAGCCGCGTCAGCACCCGATGACCTCATACCCAGGCGATACCATCGCATTGCGCACACCATTATGTCGAGATTATCCCGATGTGTGTCGGAGACAAAATGTTGCCGCATGTCTAAGGGGAGAAGTTCGACTGACATCGCGCAGTTCTGGACTGCGCATGCTGCCCATGTCGCCCTCCTCGCGCGTTTTCAATTTTCCGGCAACCCGATAGTCATGCACTTGTGGCTTCGAGCAGTCAAGGGTCCAGATCCAGGCTAGCCTCTTGTATCTCGGTAGCTGTTTGCACCATGTGGGGAACGAGAGGGGAGGAAGAAATGCGGCAGGGCAAGACATGCGCTTCCGCCACGTTGTTTCGTTACTTTTTTTTTGCGAGCGTGGGGTGTGGGGCATGTGGATACGCAGGCCTGTGATCTCGCCAAGCGTCAGTCTGATCTTCCTGATCTCCCTATTCTTCGTTCTTGTTGCGTCTTCTGTCTATACACTCATTCGCCACACCCGATATGTGGGTCCTCTGTTCATAACTCTGTCATGTGTCTGCATTAGCGGAACTTGCTTTCCATGACATAGCTGGGACTGGATAGGTGGCCATCTCGAGGCCGAATGTGCGGCTCCTCTTAAGATGGGTCACGCTCAAGGAAATCGAATGACGCACTGGATTCCACCAGTCACATAACACGGAAGAAATTAGGCTTGGCTCGGGGACAAGCTTTCCCTTGGCTGTGAGCTAGATCGTATTCTAAATTACGGGGGCTTGGAGGACCACCAGTTTCGCTAGCTCTGTTTGAACCTGGATGCAACGCTACTTTCGGGGCAGGGGCGGCAATGAGTAGCCAACCGAGAGCTTGACTTGTGGGCCGGGTCCGATATTATACCGCAGAGGCATGTTTGATGTTTGGTAACTTGTTTGCAGTCTCCCGTTCGCACCTTCAACCACACCGGCTGCCATTACGCACTGCCTGGCGCTGAAGGTGATTTACTGTGCAATGTCTTGCCCAAGACTGCAAGAATCCTACTTTCATGCCTCATGTCGGGCAGTCGTTGATGCCCCATGTCGCATCGTGACCTTGCTGTGCATTCAGGAATCAAACTGCAGCACACACCTTGTAAGCAAAGTAGTTGTCGGCACACAGCACGACGGAGTCCCATGATCAACGACGCCTGCTATCCATTTTTCCTCCGCTCCGTACTTTGTTTCCCCGTTTTGGGAAGTCCCCACTTGGTAATATCCGCCCTGAATGTCCACTTCGCCAGTACTAGTTCATGATCCGGACGGCACTGCCGCAATAGGAGACGGTGGGCACAACCCAGACTGTTGCCGGCATGAATCAAGGCCTCTCTGTCTTGGGGCTATAAAGAGGGCGTTCCACTGCCAAGCTGTCAGATCTTGGAACTCAGCTCCATCAGCCTTGCCAAGCTCTTCTCCAGTCTCTCATTCTCACATCCCTCCAAGTCCAGCATTGATTGCTATTTGCATCCGTTCATTATCTTTCAACTTCCATAACTGCCCTCGTGCTATCACTTCTTGCCAGCCCAACACCAAAACCCGCAACCATGCTTCCCGTCGTCGCCCTCGCAGCCCTGCTGCCCATGATCAACGCAGCTCCTGCTGAGGTCAAGCGAGCCGATGCTTGCACTTTTACCGATGCTGCTGCCGCCATCAAGGGCAAGGCTTCTTGCTCCACCATCACCCTCAACAACATTGCCGTCCCCGCCGGAACCACGCTTGACTTGACCAAGCTGAAGACCGGCACCAAGGTATGTCACTTTTGTGATCGAAAGAGACACAGTACTCTGTGCTGACACTTCCTCCTCCACGCCAGGTCATCTTCCAGGGTACCACTTCATTCGGCTACAAGGAGTGGGAAGGCCCCCTGATCTCCGTCTCCGGAACTGACATCACTGTCACCGGCGCCTCGGGCCACGTCATCGATGGCAACGGCTCCAAGTGGTGGGACGGCAAGGGCTCCAACGGAGGCAAGACCAAGCCCAAGTTCTTCTACGCCCACTCCATGAAGCAGTCCAGCATCCAGGGCCTGAACGTCAAGAACTCGCCCGTCCAGTTTATGAGCATCAACTCGGCCACCGACCTCAACGTCATCGATGTGACGTACGACAACTCGGCTGGTGATAGCGGCAAGCTCGGCCACAACACGGACGCCTTTGACGTTGGTTCCTCCCAGAACATCTACATCTCGGGCGCCGTTGTGCACAACCAGGACGACTGCCTGGCCATCAACTCCGGCACCAACATCACCTTCACCGGTGGCTCCTGCACTGGCGGCCATGGCCTGTCTATTGGCTCTGTGGGAGGCCGTTCCGACAACACCGTCGACACTGTGCACATCCAGCACAGCAAGGTCATCAACTCGGACAACGGCGTCCGTATCAAGACCGTCTCCGGCGCTACCGGCAAGGTCTCCGGCGTGACCTACAACGATATCAGCCTGAGCAACATCGCCAAGTACGGCATCGTCATCGAGCAGGACTACGAGAACGGCAGCCCTACCGGCACCCCCACCACTGGTGTCCCGATCACCGGCCTTACTGTCACCGGCGTCAAGGGCACCGTCGCCTCTTCCGGCACCAACACCTACCTGCTGTGCGGCAAGGGCTCCTGCTCTGGCTGGACCTGGTCCGGCAACAGTGTCACTGGTGGGAAGAAGAGCACCAAGTGCCAGAACATCCCCAGCGGTGGCGCTGCCTGCTAAACGGGCGGAAGGACGGCTCAGCGAGGTGGAGACTAGTGTCTCTGACATGGATAGGAGCTCGTGGCAGTTTTGGATTCTCGTAAATAACCTCTGCTTTTGTATATAAATAGGTGTGCATTAGCCGCAGCGGCTTTCATCAATTGGAATGATATGGTACCGCCAATAGTCTCTGAAGCAGTGCTGCAGCTTGTGATCGGCAGCCGGATAATGCGGGCGCCTTGCGGTTCCTTCCCGTGAGAAACAATTGCAATCCCTCATTTAGAAACCCGACCTCTGCTTTCATTTCATTTAGTAATACCTAAATGGGAGCCCAGAGCTTTATATATCTGAATAGGGGAAACCCTTGAGACTTTGCTATGGGATCGTTCCAAGGTTGGTTTGCAGCAAGATCATGCACTTTGGCAAGAACAAAAGGACAGATATATACTAGCTAGACTAAGGATAGTGCCGTCCTGCTATTTCTTACATGACTATAGCATCTAGATCACATTGGTTTAAGCCTAGAATCCCAACCGTCATCCCCCTCATTAACTAGTGCTTACAGCCGAACCGCTCACTCCCGTTCAATTACCGTGATGTTGGCAATCACTTTCCATCTATTTCAAGTCGAACTACAAATCACCAGTCAAACTTGCGTCTCAAATCACGCCTTCGAGACATTGGTAACATTACCTCAGGAAGGCCCCAGGTCTGGTCTTCAACCCAGCCTGCAAACCCGAAGTTGCAAGCAAAATGAGCATGGTCAGCACCGCCGGCGCTGATGACGTCCTCATAGTCGGGGCGGGCATGTCGGGACTCTTGCTTGCCCAGGGACTCAAGCACCGCAACGTCCCGTTCCAAGTTTTCGAACGCGACGCAGCTCTGGCGTCGAGGGGTCATCGCTACCGGATCATGGACGGGGGCCTCAAAGCATTCGAGAAGACCTTGTCGCCGCAGATGTGGTCCCTCTTCCAGAAGACGCACGCGGGCCGCATCGAACCGCCCGCGCTCGCCGTCCTCGATGCCTCAACGGGCCAACAGACAGACACGTGGCGACTCGGGGACCGCTCCGTCAATGTTGACAGGCCTTGGGTTCGTGAGCTCCTTCTCAACGGGATCGAGGATCACGTGCATTTTGGAAAGGCGTCACAGAGTTATGAGCTGCTGTCCGACGGCGGCAGAGACGGTGTGCGTGTGCACTTCGCAGATGGTTCGGCCGCCCAAGGACGCATTCTTATCGGAGCGGACGGGGTGGGCTCGAAGGTGAGGAAGCAGTTGTTTCCGGATGTAAAATTGGTCGACACAGAAAGGTGCTGCATCTGGGGACGAACTCCCCTGACTGACGAGTTTCGGGGTGAGTTCGGGCACGAAGAGGTGCTCCGGGCGCACTTTGCAATCGCCCTCGACAAGAAGAATCCCAACCAGTCGATGCTGTTCGCTCCGATCGTGTGGCCACACGGTGGTAAACTGTCCGCTATCGAGGGATGCAACCTCTCTGACCAGGAAAGCTACGTGTTTTGGGTCCTATCCTTTCCGCCGGAAGCCTCGGTCCCCTTATTGACCCAGGAGCAAAGGCGAGCCTACGCGCTAAGATTGGCGGCGGATTGGGACTCGTGCTTCCGCAGGCTGCTGGAGATGCAAGCACAGAGCGCTGTCACTCCAATACACTCCAACAAGCCAGACATCTCGCCGTGGCCGACGGATACTCGCATCACCTTTGCTGGGGACTCGATCCATGCTATGGCGCCGAGCGGAGGGTCTGGGGGCGAGACGGCTGCTGTTGACGTCGGTCAGTTGTGTGATGTCTTGTCTGCGTCTAGGACGAATGGAAATTGGGATTCCGCCGTCTTGAAGGTGAGGCTTGCTCAGTTCGAGTTGGACATGAGGGAACGTGCAAAGAAAGCAATCGAGTACAGCTTCCAGTCAGCCGTTTTGTTATGGGGCGGCAGCAAAGACTGGTCTACTTATCCTGAGGTTAGCAACTAGATTCTACGCAAAAGTCAGAATGGTGAGGAAGCCGAGAAGGCTGTCGCCCTTTCCGCTTCATGCCGGAACGCTAGCATCAAGACTCACTGCTGAAACCATGGTACTTGCCCTTGCTCACCGCCCAAACATGCTTGAGCATTCATGGAACGTGAGGGACTGCCTCTTCGATTCCTGAAGTTGCCGCGTCTATGTATGGTAGAGGGTCGCGCCCCATTGTGGTTATGTCGTCGTTAACGCGGGCTAGCACTCGCATGGGCAGCCACAGTCGCATGTCGTTGCCCAGCCCTGCATGGGGCCAGTTAGGCCCATTCGACATGATTGCTTTTTCTTCTGAATACGGAAATTCGCACCCGCAAAAACAGAGGGTATACCAGTACATCAACTTATACCATTGCCATAGCTAATCAGAGCATATCACCTAGGTCTAATTCGTTTACCTACACCCAATAACTATACACCTGAATTGAATCAGGTATATTAATTAGGCGTATGGGTGTTGGGTATGGGTGTTGGGTGAGGTGGTGATCTACCGGTGTACCCCTTCCGTTTTTGCAGGTGCGAATATCCGTTCTCTTCATGACTATAGTAAGAAAGCAACAAAATACGGTGGTTGTGCTGCTTTCCCGTATTCCCCAAGCATGCCGTTCAATTTCCGGTTCTCTCTCGATCTTGTGTAAGCTACATCATTTACGTTCGGAGAAGCGCACGAGGACGCCCTCCCGTGGGAGGACATATGACCGCCAACTACGTGATTTCCCCATGTCCTCGTTCACGAAACTACAATCAAAATTCTGCGAAAGATCAGAATATCTGGACGGGCCTTTGGGCTGGAATACACCGTTACCGGGGCTTTTCGCGGGGATCTTGTCAGGCGGCGCGAATCGAAATCCCTCGAAGCTATCACAGCGTGGGAAGTATTTCTCATCGTTGAATTGCTTTTGCCGGAACACAAGCCCAATCCCCCTTCTTGATGAGGGTGCCGTCAGAAAATGCAAAGTCTTTCGGAGCCTGCCGGCAACCAGACACTAGAGTGAAGTTAGAAGAAGTGCTCAGGCGCTCCCATGCTCGCAAATAAATGCAAAGGGTACTTACTGGCCTCAATCGGACTGAGTGGTGAGGATCCTTTCAAGGAGCTGTCGAGGAGTGGTAGTCCCTTCGTGGTTTTCATAAAACTGCCGAACTCGCAGTTTTCCACCTCTTCTCGAAGCGGTTCCACGTATTCGGGGTGCTTACAAAGGTCGAATAGAACGTATGTGGTGGTCTGTGATGCAAAAGGACACAATTTCAGGTAAAATACTGCATGAATAAGGCTTATTCTTGGCGATGATGACTGCAGACAAGGCGTGGACGGAACCGAACCAGATGGCGATGATCTCGTACGTGATGCGGCGAGAGCCCCATCCAAAGTTTGACGGGGCCGTGTAGATGATCCATTGGATCATATCATTCTAGATGGTGTCATTCAGTAGAGAAAAGCTCGGGGTCATCTAACCTTCAGTCCATGCCTCTGATTCCATCTATGTGCTTCATCCCGAGCCACCGACAGATCAGACCCCAGGAGGCATTACCATGACAGCATTCGCACGGATCCGGTTTCACACCTTTGCCAGTCCCAGTGAAGGAGCTGGTCAACCTGTATATGGGATTCCGTCGGCCTTGATTGTCTCTAAGCTTCGATACTCTGTGACCCTCGACACTCCATCAGCGTCGACATTTATCAGCCTCGATGCTATTTAAGCCTTGACAGCCTGTAAGCATTCCTATTTCCTCAGCCTCGACAGTCTATCAGCCTCCATGTTCTTTCAGCCGCGGTGCCAAACACAGGTCAAAAAGGGGGTTCTGCGGCTGGTACGCCTGCTGTTGTTGGTGCTGATGCGTGAAAAGACCAGGCGGCACATTTGCACCCCTCCCGAAACCATCGGCCTGCTGCCCGTACTGGTCTTTGAAGACCGAAGCAGAAGCCCGTCCTTCATATACAGGAGGCTGTCTGAATCAGCTCGCCGGCTGATTCGGCGTTATCAGCCCTGTTGTTTGCGCAATCCACGGCTCTGAGGTCCACCGCACCGCACGGAGAACACCGTCCACGGAAGCTTCCCGAGATCTTCACTTGATAGAATGGAATCTCTAATGTAGGAGTGGAGTGGCGTCGGGACGGTTTTTGTTGATGCTATATTTCTCCAGTAAGCAAATAGGGAGATGAGTTTTGAAACGCTCTGGATAAGGAATACCTTACCGGAAGAGATATTCTATCAGAAAAGCCACTTTGTGTTCGTCCAAGACTAAAATTCCGTCCCAAGTAATTCAACTAAGCCAATGAACTAATCTGATTATTCCAAATGCTGAGGTCATAAGAAGATGAGTATTGATTGTAGCCGAAGTCTAACATACTTGCCTTTTGAGTTATGCTTGTAGATGTTGTGTCAGATGACTCTGAGAACCCGACAGTTGGAGCTCGAGACTGGCTTGGTTTACTCCCCAGCCCTGTCAACTCTCAGTTCGTTCTCTCCGTACCAACTACGAACATCCACAAGATCTCTTCATACGACGTCACCATGGCTGACAAGCTCTCCGAAACAATGCACGGAATCAAGAAGATCGCGGTGGACGACATGCGCGAGCTAGACGAGGCCACGCAGAACGAGCTGCTGTAAGCCTTCTGGCCCTTTCCGCTGAGGCTCCCCGACTGCAACACAACTGGCATTGAGTGGGCGGTCCTGGTGCTTCGGCGGATCTTCCGGGAGATGCCGGCAGACAGTCACTGCCGGGCGGTTATCTTTGGGGAGATGGACCAGACCATATACAATGTGGAAAAGGAGGTGCTCGACCGCACTCGAGCTCTATTTCGATATGCGTGGCACCATCTCCCCGACTTGGACAAGAACCGGGGTAACGGGTTGCTGCGACTCGAGGTCACGGACCGGCAGCGAGATCTCCTGAATATCCTTCTCGTGGATCGCCACATGGCTCAGTCTCAAGTATCGTTTGAGACCTTGATGGAGTCTGAGGGAATGGTGGCCGCATTCTGGGGCAGAGGCGAGCTCCAGCCATTTCGAAACGTCATCGCTTGGCAGGCAAAGGGGGATGAAGAGTGGCAAGCCAAAGAGCGGGCTGCGAACTTTGGGCCGGTCAGCTGGAAGCTGGACCAAGACCCGAGCCTTGAGAACAGCATAAACAAGCGGCTCGGTCTGCGAGAGGTCAGTGGCGGCAACACTACCATGCTGCTGCCAAACTGGCCCATATGCCTGCGAGTGAAGATGACGAGTTCAGTTCCCGTGTCGATGGATAGGGTGATGGAGCAGAAGGTCTTGAACCTCAAGGGTTTCGCGCTGCTTGCTGAGGCCGAAAAGGACGGCAAATACAGAGTGTCTGTAACTCAAAAAGAGTACACTTTGCTTGCGGCTGTGGCGCTGAGGTCGTCTGGTGAGCAGAATGACGTTGTGCACACTTTCGACTCAGAAGGCAGCAAGGTTCATCCTAGCCTCAAGAAGGTAGTTCCTTCCGAAGCACCGGCTGAGAAGAAGCCGGTGAGCGAGACCATGCTGTACTTCAGCCGATTAGGCTTGGAAAAGAGCATGGAAGCTATTACCATCTCAAGTGGCAGCGGAAGTGAGGACGGCTTAGAAGACCGTGACGACAAGAAGTTCCGTCAGATGCTCAAGGCGCTGGACCCCGGCGCGAGCACGGGTCTCACCCCGTTGTCGAGGGAGGCTGAGCAGAGGCTGCCAAAGAATATTGGTCCGGCTTTGAAGGCAGCCAAGGCGAAGTTTTTCCAGTAGGGCATTACTCTTGGACAGGAAGACAAAGAACAGTCACTGAATTGGTTGGGTTCTCGGAATGCAAGCGTCTGGGGCTACTAGATAGCAAGTTTCGAGAGTCAAATCTAATCACGAATCACACCAGATACAATTTACGGATCACATGGACATAACAAAATTTGATTTGCCAACAGGTCAGATGCTTTTTTAATCTTAATCTGCATAAAGCCAGCCAGCTCGACATTTACATGTCGTCTTCCTCGAGCCTTCTCCTCTTCTTGAATGGCTGATCGGGGCGTGTGCCCGCGTACCACATGTGAGGCTGCGCGCTGTCAGGGCCGCCCGGCTCATCTGCCCTGCGCCTCGGATCATTACTCCGTCGTGGCTGAGCTCCGGCATTCCCAGGCTGAGCTCCGGCATTCCCAGGCTGAGCCCGGGGATTCTCAGGTTGAGGCACCGCCCGACTCGGAGGTGCAGGCCTTGAGAACGAGGAGGGCGCTCCATATCATCGTATTCGACCGGCTCGCCTACCCACCGTCGCGGACCCCAACCAGGGTCCACCAACGGTGTCCGGAAGCCCTCACGTGCACCCGGATGATCTGACCTTCGCCGCAGGTCGAACCTCTGCGGCCTGGGGGCTTTCTCGATAGCCGGAGCGTCTGCAGCATCGGAGCCTCCCGCAGACTCGCCATGCTGACCAGAAGGCCCGGCCGGTGACTCCTCGCGAAATCGCCGAGACCTAGGCGCCCCGAGCGGCATATAATTGGGGTTCAGGCCAGGTCTGTCCGCCTGAGCCTTCGCCGCGGCCCGGTTCCGGTGGGCCTTTGGCTCCTTGGGAGCATCCGCAGGCGGCAGCGAGGAGATGCTAGAGAGGCCCGTATTTGGTTGCTGGGTATTAGCAACCCTAGCCAACCCGCGCTTCGACATCGGGGGCGGCTTCTCTTCTGCTGGCTCAACCTCGGGATCCGTACTGCTGGCGAGGACATAGTACAGCATGTACTTAGAGCCGGACTGTCCCAATTCCCAGTCATTGTTCAGGCATAGCACGGCCTGCGAGGACAAAGCCCTGGGGACGCTGTACTTCCCAGACTTGTCATATGTCCTGATGTATACAGGAGGGCCAAGCCTGACTACAGCAATCAGCTGGTAGTCGATCTGAGCCCCGTTCGTCCACCTGGCGCCATGTTCGCCGATCTCCAGAGCCTTGGGAGTAATCGTGAACTCAATAAGCTGCTGGAAGCCAGTCGGATTCTTCTCCATGCCCGGGTCATATAGGACGCGGATGCAGTCTTGCCTGCCCAACGACCAGCCCTGGACTTGGCGGAACCTCACTCCCTGCTCATCAACCCTGATGGGGGGCCGCAAGAGGCGCTTTGCCAGCTCGGTCTCATCTGGGCACCAGTGAACCAGACTTTGCTTGGCTAAAGTCGCAGCAGAAACCGGGCTGGTGTCATCAGAAGGGTCCATGACGCGCTGCAGGGGCACCACCCATCCGTCCTTCTGTTCCATTTCGAAGCCCACTCGCATCCGGAATTCGGAGCGAGACCAGAAGTGCCTCCACAATGGCTGGCTCTCCATCAGCCTTTCAAATGTGACGCCTTTTGAAAGCGCTCGCGCCCACTGGCCTTCGGGGCTCATCAGATCTGCATAGACCTCCTGTTGCAAGCGTAGGACTGCGGTGGGCTCGATGCCCCTGGACCCTTCTACTCCCTCGGAGGTGTCGTGCCACGCGTACTTGAGGAGAATGTTCTTCTCCTCCGCAGCACCCTGCGACCGAACCGACTCCAATTCGTGGCCGCCACGGCCGAGCACTTTGTCCGTATAGCTGATGACCATCTTCATTACGATGATCACACAGATGACGGCTGAGCCCTCTTCTGGCGTCCAACCTAACGACGCGGCCATCGGCCGCGGCCATCCCTCCCTCAGCAAACGTCCCCACTCTTGAACTGGGCGAGAGCGAGTGTCCATCTCGTCAGGATTCGGAACGTTCTTCTCGTATTCGTGTGTCGGCAGAAAATCGTGGTTCGTATGTAGGAGGCTTGAAAGTCGCGAGTCGCGTGGTAAGCGACGTTTGTGTGGTCGGCCTAATGGGTGTTGTCGACCGGCCGTTGCGGGTGGACCGTGCATAACACGCTAGTAGCCAATCGAAATCCTAGTGTCGTCCTGATAAGGAAGTGGGCAGGGTGCAGGGGTCCAAGAAGCTGCTCACGCCTGTGCACGGCGCAGTGGATCGATTCGAAGCTCCGGAGCTCCCAGCTGGCCGGAGCAAGGATGGTGACCCGGCACGGAATTCTGAGTTTGACGTTCATTCTTGGTGATTGTATCAATAGCTGGCGAGTTCATTTAAGAGGACGGTAGTGGATGTAGCAGCATAATTTAGACACAGTCACTTGAGGCCTTCCTTTAGCCAAAGTTGAAACGCACAAGGGTTTCGAATTTATCTCGGGGCGGATGCATGGTCTGGACGTTTTGGCGTATCTCATAAACATAGCCCCCGAATAATTCATCACTTGTGGTTCTAATGAGTCGTGTCTACAATTCCATGAACATATTATCATTCATTTGAGTGTCTTCTAGTACTACCGGGCCTGGTGAGATCACAGCCCAGAATTCCTCCTGGCCCACTTATCCGCCCCGTTTTTGTCGACGGCCAATGCCGTCCCATACGGAATTACCATCACAGCATTTGCTGTGATTTCATTTCCCATGTCTCCCAACACCAACGCCGGGGTTGACACTCCTGCGTATAGGTGCCTAGACTGCGTTGGGGCCTTCTCTCTCGCACTTTCAGCCCACAGCCTCTTGTAAAAGTTATACATGGGGCTCGTGCCTCGCACAATGGACCTGGAACGGAAGAGCGAGGCGCCGAGGCTGTCTTTCAAGCTGCTGCCGTCCTTGAGCTCGACAGGGACATCCAATAGATATGGGTAGTATGCCCTGGCCATGATATCTTGGATGGCGTCCGCGTCTGAATCGGACAATTGGAAATCGGCCCAGTCGTTCCTGTGAAGAGGATCAAGACCAAGCTTCTGTTCCCAAAAAGCCAAATCTTCCAAGAAGCCACGCAGCCCAGTGGCTCGAAGGAAAAATGAAGGCTTCTTCATCTTGGGGAAGATCTCGGGATCGGTAAAGACTTGTTCGAAATTACCGTGCGACAAGTCCATTCCCGAGGACGCGCCCTCGAAAGCCACCCACGCCGCCCACAGAGAGCCTCGGTCAACGTGCTTCCTGCCAGGCCCACCATTCCTCGACGAAACTGCCAGTTCCTGCAGCATCAACCCAAAGTCATCCCCTGAGGTTGCATCTCCTTGTCGGGCGATAACTTTGACCGTTGTAGGGTAATGCTCCAGAAGCAAGATCAGACGGGCGGCTGACCTAGCCATGTTGCCTCCCAGGTGCATACTGACATCTGCCAATGCTGATATACCAGACAGGCTGATATTGGCCAGATATTCATCAGCCCACATTACACGGGCCCCTTGCTCCGTGTGCACGAAACCCATTCTGTCACTTCCAGGCTCAATCAGTCCCATGACCTGCAGCTGACCGAGGCAGTCACGGGAGTAGGTCGGGCTTGAGAGGGCCCCGAAGAAAGGGAGCTCCTCTATGGGCCGGCCTGGGTAGGTCATGATTGTGAAGAGCCAGCCCGCCAGATAGTCGTCCTCCCTATTGACCAAGTGATTGGCGCACTTTGGAAGGCTCTCTGTGTCCCCAACGAAACAAACCACAGAGGGCGAGGATTGCCCAGAGCTTCTCAAGGTTGACTCGATCCAAAACTGTGGCTGGGTGAGTGATATGCTGGACCTCAAGCAGACTCGTGCCTCTTCGCTGTACACAGGCTTTTTCCCTGGGGGCATAATCACAACCACACCAATCCGCTCGAAAGGCAGTCCACAGGGGTACCCGTCGTGGGGCATGCGGATTAAGTGCCCCAAGGTTTCAGCTTGGGTGAATACTGGAAGGGCCTTGCCCGAGAGTTGAACCTGAGGCCACTCCGAGAAGAAATCCTTCAAGGCTGTAAACTCTCCGGCATGTAAGCCCTCGACTGCATCACAGAGGGCGCCGAACCTTGCCGGAGTGGAGAAAACAACCACATTCAGATTCGCCTTCAACTTGTGGGCGATTTCAACCGCGCATGCCTCAATGCCATCTCTGTCCCATACGGCTTTCCGCAAGCTACCGCCGTTGACCTGATCCTCGGGAGCGACAAGGATATCCAGTGAGAGCCGTCCGTCCCGGTCTCCCATGAGCCGGATGGGGTGCTGAAGCCATTCCTGTGGATTCGAAGAGTACGAAAGACCGAGGATCTTGATCCAGGGGCCGTCTTCATCCTCCGCAAGCTTCGCAGCCACCAACGCAAGCATGTCCCGCGTGATGAGGCCCTCTACCCAGACGCCTATTTCGTGCTCGAACACGACAAGTGTTGGCCCCTCGAACATGGGTTGCTGCCGGCCCGTATGAGTTCGAAGGTAGTTGTGGAGGACAGCGTAGGTAGTCAAGGCCACATCGGGCACGTCATCCTCCCCTGACCAAACACCTGTATACCCTCCCGCCTCCGGCATGGCTTGGACGATTTCCTGCTCCAGGAGACACGCCTCCAGCGGCGTCGTGCGCACGTAGAGGACTTTAGGCATGGAGTGGCCACTCGTGTCCTCGCACAGTGCTTTTGCCAACTGGGAGCTTAAGTCTCCATCTTGGCTGTAAATGCCACCTATGGCACACCCATCTCCTTCCACCCACGCCCAAATAGCCTCAATGTTGTCCTGGGACAGAGGCATCTTGCTGCGAGTGCTCTTTGTTTTCGGTTTGAGTCGAGAGAAACGGGAGCGAGCGACGGGATGTCAGTGGAGTGCGGTGTCGGTTGCGATGGGAGCTCAAGTAAACACAGCATGGACCGACGTGGGGGTTTAGACAGCTAGGTAGCTAAGATTGTCGCCAGTGCGGCTGCAGCACTGGCCTACGGCGCCCCACTTGGCTTTCATGAGGGAAGTTACCTGAAGCAGTGAATTAAGAGCCACGCTCTCCAGCCCCAACTCGACCGTCCTCTGCCAACCGACACGCTTCACCCAAGCAACAAGAAGTCCGAGATCACCGATCCTCTGTCCCAATCTTTCATACCACGGAAATCGTTCAACAGAAGGTGCCATGACGAGCCCAGGAATCGTCAACCTGCTCAAGCTATCCCCTGAGAGTCGGAGCGAGTCTCTCAGGGAGACGTGGCCCCACCCACTCGACGCCACTCTTACGAACTGGACAGCGGAGGACAAGGCTGCGGTGGACATTGCGGTGCTCATAGTCAGGGCGATCAATGCGCACTGTGATCCCCTTGATCCCAGCCGCCCTATGTTTGCCCGCACGCTGGAAGAACGACGGAAGAACGAGGAAAAGACATACCTTCTTCGCTATTCGTGGTACAGCACCCCCGGTGGAGTGACAGAGGACGTTTTGAGGCTGCAGAAGCAGCTCTCTGGTCTAGGTGGGAGCTCCAGGCCTGGTCCCTGATGGAGGAAGTCCGCGAGGAGGGGGCGGCAGAATGGACCGATCAACGCATCACTTCCATTCCGGTCCTAGGCGGCCGACCCGATGCCGAGGAGGCTGATGGTGACGTGGCCATTCTTGAACAGTTGGCTTACCGGAGCTTGCTGAAGTGGAAGTAGGATGGCGAGACCAAGCTCGCGGATTTTCTCACGTCAAAAGTCAAACTTGAGTGGTCGAGTGCCGATGGTAAAGTTCATCATCGGGTCAAGAAGGCCTGGCCACACTGTCTACGGGTCAGGTTTGATCCTAGAGGGCGTGATGATGCACCGAGATTTGCGGATCTGGCACGGATCGCTCTGAATGATCCCGTGGGACAGTACGTCACACACTACCGCTTACTGGCTACTGTCAGGCTGGGTGGTCAAGGTCGCCGGGACTTTCTCCGGATATACGACAGCGATTGCCGGGACGCCCGCCCAATGGCAACTCAGGCCGTGGCTTTGCCGTACATTGACCACGACTGGGAGCTGGGCCAGCCTGGTTCACGTTATATGCTTTACTATCTTGGCTGTGATCCTGAATCAGTCTCGGGTGTGGTGCCCAAGGAGGTCACTTTGCATTCGTGGATGGAGACTGAGCACATAAAGCAGCTCAAGGCAATGCGAGAGTCTGTTGTCGGAGAAGGACAAGAGCCTGCACCTTATGGCCCCACCAGGCTCAGCCCACCGACTGAGGTCGGCGGAGGACAGGACGCTCGTCAGCACGGCGATCCTTGGGACCAAGGCCGTGAGGCTTCGGCTTCTGTGGCTGTGGGCGAGAGTCTGCAGGCCACGCCAACTGGACTGGCCCCAACAGGCCAAGACCCTAGGGCCAAGACTCAGGAACGGGTGAAGGAGAGCGGTGACGATATAGCCATGTGCTTTGGCTTCAGGTAGGACTCATGTGCCACGGTCAGCACAATGGAATTCATTTAGCAGGACCTGGCCTTGCTGCCTTGACATCTCTTTGTTGTATGTGGTTGAATGTTTCGTGTATTGAAGATGACTAGATATTCGAACAAGAGGGATCTCAATTGCATTTCACATCGTGACATGAGTAGAAGAGCGGAACTCTGTATCAGACAGTAATCATGACGAATGTCAAGAAGAGGTCCACTGTCAAAATTAGATTGACTATGAACTAGCTCTAGATACTTGAAGTTGTCCCATTGAATGTAAACCTCAGTCGGCCGTCCCTATTACGGCCATTTCAACCAGTCCATGGCTGATTCTCCCAACACGTGGCTGATGACCCTCAGGAGGCTCAGAGGCACGCACAAGGCTGCCACGACAGACAGCTTATTGCCCTTACCCTGTTGGATCTGATCAGGAATTATTAGATAACCCTGCTCAGGTCTGCGCTCAATCTGCGCAGTGTGTGGGTGAGCTAAAAGGCTGTTCGGGGCCAAGGCCATCGCACGCCCGCTGCCGACCAGCGAGATCTCACCGGCACCGAGATTCCATACCGCCAGGTCGGAAACGAATGCAATCATGAACTGGACTTGCACCTCCTGGAGCTCCGCAACCTTCAGGGGCTCCTCCCATTCGGGATCCGAGGGTGCAAGCAGAGAAAGACCAAGGCGGTCCTCCAACTGCAGAACACACATGTAGATTTCCACTGCGATTCCACAGTGGAACATCCCAACACCCTCGACGCGATGAAAGCTTCCCCCTTCATTACCCGGCTCGTCATCATTCTGAGGCATGTTGGTGGAGAAGTTGTTGGTATCCTCCCTCATCTTGTCCCAGATCCCGAGTGCGAACCAAAGCCGCCCGGCTGACATCTCGCCACGGGCTGGGCCAGCCATGTGCTGTCGAGCCTCCTCCATCCAGTACCAGGAAGCAGTCTGGGTGCCTTCGTCGACATGCCCGGGGTCCAGTCTGGACAAGAATTCAGTCGCTCGACTGCCAAGAACAGCCAACCTGATGAGCAGCCGCATCGACCTCTCGTTCTTGACGCAGTGCCTGGCGCTGGCGGCCAGGGCGGCGAGCTCAAAGGAGAGGCCAGAACTGACAGCCTTGGGCAGAACCTCCACCAGCTCGAGTCCCTTGGTCTTCGTTAACACATAACCGTTCTCATGGGGCTCAATAATGCCCGCTACTGCGAGGTGGTCCAGAGTCTGTCCCAGGCGTCGTGCATCCCTCTTGCCGAGATTCAAGGGGAGTTGGGACATGGGCTTCCCCGGCCAGCTCCGGATCACCTGAAGCACGAAGTCCCTGCTGTGGTCCACGGGATGGCCGATCTCCGGTCCAGGCCCCCCGTTGTAGAGGCATACCTGCTTGGCCCGGACACCACGGCATGACTGGCGTTGGGACCTGAGATATTCGTCGCCCACTCGCTTCTGGATCGCCGAGTATGTGTATACGCCGGCATCCCAGTTGAACCGGCTCCGGCCGGTTCGGTCCAACAGGTGAGAGTGCACAACCAGTCCCACACGCTTGATAGGCATTGTGGTGAATCCAGCCTCTGCGTCTATTGCCGCGACGATCGACCAGACCCGCACAATGTTCTCGTCGAGACGTATCATCAGGTACGAATCTGACTTAAACATCGGAGTCAGATCGAAATCCTCGTCTACCGCTACGCTCGTCGAGGTCTCGCTCCCCAACGAGAAGCCCGTGAACATCGCATCCTCTCTCAACGCCGGCGCTTCTTTGACCCGACGGATGCACGCCCCAAATGCCTCCTGGGGCAGGAAAGAGACAATATGCTTGCCGTCGTTGATGCATTCCACCATTGCATCTATCAAGCCGCTCTGATCAACGAGCATGGGTTCCAAGTCAGCTCCCGCCGTGCTGGACTGGCCGAAGGACACCGAGAGCTTCTGTATTCCAACCTCCCTGAATAACGCGGAGAAAAGAGGCACGGCTTCTGCGGCCTTCTTGTCGTCCCAATCATCACTGTACAGGCTAATGACCTTGACGCAGGAGGCAGGGTTGATGCTCTGGTTGACCAAGGCCGCGCCGATCTCCGTGTCCACTGTCTCCAGATACGTGCCGTCCATGAGGACGATTATGTTCTCGCAGAGTGCCGTTCTGGGGGTCAGGAACTCTCTGGCCTGGCCAAAGGTCATGGAAGTGACCCGGACTTCGTCATCCGGGAATATGCCGCACTGTGCCTTGCACCTCAGCCGTTTGGTGCACTGCTCCACAAAAAGCTCCGTCTCGATGACCGTGTGCCGTATGTACACAATCTTCATCAGAGTGCCGTCCTTGCGTGGGGCCTTTACAAGGGCCCAGACCATATCCACAAAGGCATCGATATTCAACCAGATATCCGCATGTCGGACGAAGCCGGCTCCGACGCCGTCCATGGCCAAGAATTGTGCCATGTCGTGGCTCGAGACCGGGGCCGAAACGGGGAGGATCAACTGAGACGCCATCTCGATCTCTTTTGTTTTGTTGCTCGTGGGTTTGCTGTAATGAGCGGGTCTCTGGTCGTATCGAAGAGTGTTTGTTGTCCTTTGTGCGTTTGTTGGGCCAGGTGGGATTCCTTCGGGGCTGTGAGCTGGGAGCTCCCCAGGTAAGTAGGTGGCCTGGAGGTTTAGAAATAAGTGAGCTCCCACTAGTGCGGTCGGAGCAGCCTCCACCCCTCCAAATCGATGTGAAATCTCCCCGTCAGTCTGGATTCACTTCTCGTACTCTTGTAAGCTCGCAATGTAGTGAGAGAAGATGAAATAGAAAGGCCAATGCATAAGCTTTATTTTAATACCGGCTGCATAGAAATTGAAGTCCATGTCGAGGAGTGATTGCAGGAAAACCGCAAGTCTCGTTTTCCCCCGTTCCTCCTCCGCTTGCACACAAGTCTTGGTCCCTTTTGCCAAATCTGAAAAAGCCAACCTCGACCTGGAACTCTCCCCACACGCGACACCGACGCCGACACCGACAACCCCAATCCTACAACTCCCGCGATCTTCAGCAGCCTCGCCGGCTAATTTCACAAACAAGTCAAAATCGAAAACCTTTTTTGACCCATCAAGATGTCTGGTCGCGGAAACGTCGGTGGCGGCCTGTTCGACGCCTACGGCGGCGAGTGGTTGGGCGGCGGCCATGGCGCTCGGAGCGGCCGTGGCGGCTTCGCCCGCGCTGGCGGTTTCGGTGGTGGTGGTGGCGGTGGCGGCGGCGGCGGACGACGCCCATGGCAGGGTGGCGATGGCCCACAGGGTCATCGATGGGAGGATCCGCGGCGTGACGGCCGCGTTCAAAAGAACAGGGGCAGAGGCCGAGGCAGAGGAGGAAGAGGCCGAGGCGGAGCTCAACGAGGCGGCCGGGGAGGAGCCCGGGGAGCTGGCCAAGCAATGGCCAACAAGCTGAACACGTGGACTTCTGATCAGCACTATCAGAAAAGGGAATCCGGGGCCCGCGAGCAGCCCGAGGGTGTCAACTTCGACGCCCAGCTTAACAGGGTCCGCGCAGAGGGGGCCCCGCTCGTTGAGGACGGCCTGCACGCCGTCGAGAACCGCCAGCGAGACCGGCTGATGCACTCGCGGGCGCTTCAGTACGAGGCGGCGGACGTCAAGGCGGCTGACTTTGTGGGCATGAATCTCGAGGCCCGCAACGTCCACTCTCTGATGGCTCGTGCGGACCGCACACAGCCTCAGGGCACCCGCTACAACGTGCGGATCAAGGCAGTCAGGCCGGAGAGAGGCCTTGCCTCTAGCGAGGCCGCCAAGCAGCAGTTGTTTGACGCCATGCTCTCGGCGGCGGACCCTTTTGAGTTCGATCCGGACCAAAAGGACGAGGTCCCAAAGGCTGAGGTTATGGAGGTTGATAGATCTCCACGTCGCTCGGCAGACAGGGAGATGGAGGAGGAGCGTCGCAATGACGCCGCTGAGGACCCGAACTACCAACAGAGTGGTTCGAATTATGGCAGGAGGCCCGATTACTACTATGATGCCTAGATCATGTGTGAATGACTTCATGCTGGTCTTCGAGCCCATGAGTCTGAAGAACATGACGCTCGCATGAGATTGCGTGGCGCCGTGTTGAGCATCCGGCCCAAAAAGAGTGGCAGGAGATGAGGGGATTCCTCGTTTGGCCTGTGGTCGTTGTTCTTCTGCCGGGAGGGACAGTCCGTACTAATTAGAAGAACAATGGACTGAGAAGCTGCCCGACAAAGCATCATTTCTCTAGCCCTCGTGATTCTGTGATGTGTCAATGCCACTATTCCTTGCCATGAAATTCTCTGTGTGTGTATGTGTGTTCGCCCAAACCCATTCGGACGTCGTTGAAACAAGCTCGCTAGCGCATCCACTAATTTCCACTGCCCGTTGAGGCTCTGCGTGGGCCCAGGTTTGTCTTTGTGTACCAACTCCAAACATGTGCCTCCTGATTTACGTGAACCCGCAGTGGTCTACACTGTATATAGATACATAGATGATCATGTAGTCAATTGAGTCAGTTATAAAACGAGGACGTATTCTCAGATGGATGAAATACACCTGAAATTTCGCCCCAGAATTCATTGAAGCTGCAAGGGAGGCAGAGCTCCAAGCCTCGTCCAGCTCCAAGCTGCAAGCTTCGAGCTTCGAGCTGGGAGCTGGTGCGCCACCTAGACTATTTCCCACTCTCCACCAGCAGCCCGTCAAGTTTTGATCTTTCTTTCTTCTCAGCCGCGACGGTAAGCCATATCGCCACACACCCAAGAGCACTTCCCCGTCAATTACTAACGCATTATTGATACGCAGGACCCCGATTTCAGACCAATTTTACTCGTTTACAAATTCTACAAAAAAAAAAAATCGAAATCGAAATGGCGTCCCAGCCATCTAGATGGCGTCCTGTTGGTGTGGCGGGGGAAGCCGTGGTGGGTGAGGTCGCGGCGGAGCGCCGCCCAAAGCTCGACGCGATGCTCCTCGAAAAGAAGGAGGGGCTGACGCGCCAGGATATCCAGGCGCGGCGGATAAAAGGCTTGGACGCCTTTTACAGGAGCGCCTGGAAGGCGAGGAAAGAGGTGCGCTTGGAGCACCCTCGTGACGTCGACGACGAGGACGTCAAGCTCCGCGTCGACCAGCATGTGTGGAAAAGCTTGCTGGACGAGGAGGTGGATGGGGAGTTTCCCTGGGCCGGCGTCAAGCCCCCAAGGTCCCATCCCCACGAGGGATATACTGCGTGGTTTTGGGACAATGCTCCCAGATTCGAGTACCCTCCTCTGGAGGAGCGCAGGCAGCTTTGGGCCGAGCTGCTGAATGAGGCGCCTTGCGACCCGCAGTGTGGCCCCTTTGAGGTCCTGCTCCCCGCGTTTGCGTGGCCTCTGGTGAGCAGGGGGGTTCTTCACTCCCTCCTGGCCGATTTGCCTGCGGGCATCAGAATCGCGACCAAGCCGGTCGACCCCGCCAGGCCGGGCGGGCTTGTGAACGTGGCCATGGGTCTGCAGGGCCCAATGGAGATGGGAATGGCGTCCAAGTTGCGGGCCGCCCGGATGAAGAGTGACCTCGTCCGGTGCTTCATGATCCTGCGGCTTTGGGCCAGAGGTCTCGGTCCGGGTGCTTCGGTGCCCTTGGAGGAGTACTTTGTCGGGGCGTACGGTCTCGACCTCGTCCGGGCGGCAAATGCCTTCCCCGGCTACCGTCGCCCGGCCTCTCCAGGCCCCTCTGGGTCTTGACTGGGGCGACATGGCGGTTCCAATCCGCGAGACCCACATGAAGACCAGGGAGGGTGACGACGGTGTCAGGGTCGCCGACGGTGAATCGTCGACTCTGCGGGACGGCAAGGGCAAGCAGCGCGAAGATGCTGCTCGTGACGGCGAAGAGTGAAGTCGAGTGATACTCCTTCCTCGGTCATGTCTCGGCCAGTAAATGGTCAGGCATGGCGCCTCAGTTTGTACAAAAATCGGACAAGCCTTCCGAAAGATTAGACGTTAAAAAAAAAACGTCATGGAGCACGAGACTCCTTTTATGAATTCAAAAAGTTTGTGTTTTTCTCTGTGAATGAAATTTGTCTGAATCAGTGACTTCTTCAAAAAGCATAATTCTCTGCCTGTAGTAATGTGATCATCATGTGCGTAGTCTTTCCTGTATCGTAGGCTTCTTTCGTGACTGTGATTATGTCCCTAGTAAGATGACGCTCTGGTTGTGCATAAACCCTTGACCATGTCTATGTGATAACAAAGCCGCTAAGACCACCTTCAACATTTGTGAGATACCAACAAGTTCAGCCAGTCCCAACCCCCAGGAAGAGGGCAGTCCTCCAACAGCAGTCCATCTAAGGCTGCATCCCCGACTGCGATACGTTGCCAGGAGCATGACTGTATCTGAATGGGCAGCTCCACTACTCGGCCAGCAAATGCAAGTAAGACATTCGTTCATCATGAAGGTCTCTCGACCTAAAGGGGGGCTGTCGAAGGTGGGGTGCAACACGTCCCGCGGTCCAAAGGGGGGGGGGTGCAACACGTCCCACGGTCAAAGGGGGGGGGTACAACACGTCCCGCGGTCAAAGGGGGGGGTACAACACGTCCCACGGTCAAAGGGGGGGGGGGGGGTACAACACGTCCCGCGGTCAAAGGGGGGGTGCACAAGGGGGGGTACAACACGTCCCGCGGTCGAAGAGGGGGTGCGACACGTCCCGCGGTTGTTGGGGCGGATGTCGAACCAAGTGGCCTAGTATGCATCCTCCTTTCCAAACCTTCTAAAACGTGGCTTGGATTTGTCTCTGCCTCACTCGCCATGTCCTTTCTTGTGGAGGTCAGTCATGATCTTCTATATTGGCTGTAATACTCATGATCTATCTCTGGGAAGTAGTCGCCGGTGTATTGGTGAGACGTCATCTCTGGGGGAGAGTAAGATGGCTGTGGCCGTCGAATGTCTGGACTCGAGAAGGTCTCTTTGTCATAGCCGTAGCTGTCTTCATCCGAGTAGTGAAGAGCCGGGTCGTAGCCGAGCGTGGCTTGCTCCGGGTGCTCGGGGTACTCCGGGTCACGGTGCTCCGTGTAGACCGGGTACTCGGGGTACTCCTCCGCGGGTGATCGCCACCAATCCCCGTGATGCGGTTGCGGGAATGCAGCTTGGCGATCATTGTATGATCCTCCATAATAGCCATCATCCAGTCCCTGACGATCATCCATGTAGTCCATCCGTGACGGCTCATCATTGAAAGCCCCTCCAGCAGTCCCGTGCTCGCGTGTGCCCCTGGCCTACTCTTGTTAATCCCCAAGGACACAGACAACAACGACGGAGATCTCAACATACCGACATGTAGTCTTCCGGCATTGACTGGTATCCTGTGTCGTCGACAGAAGTCCTTGAGCGGGGCTCTGCTAAGTACGGAAAGTCCTCTTTGTCCACCTCTTCATCATCGTTGCGCCGTCTCTTGCGAGTGAACGGGATCCTCCATGGACAACAGCACAGGTCGCCCAAGAATCGTGTGACCGGTGGAATACAAAAAAGCAGCGCGGCAAGAGCAAGGAACCCGAGGAATGCAGCACTTGCAATGGCCGGGACGTTGAGGTTGGTCATGAGAAGCTGGCTCACAGTCCAGCTGTGTCAGCCGGGTGCACTTCAACCAGGGAGTGGGCAGGACAAGAGGCCGTAAGCGCACCCGACCATCGGGATGGGGTGAAGAAAAAGCGAGAGACCCGCGGGCTAAGCCTTGGGTAACGTTCAAGCTTTAAGACCGGCCAAGTGTAGTACTGGTCTGCTGGTAAAACCTGAAAAGTTGCAGCCAGCGCCGCGTTTGGGATACATGAAACTCGTCAGTCGAGCCGCAGGGTGAGTTGCACAGGGTACCCCGGACCGGTCCACCGATCCACCGCAGGCATAACGGAAGCTTATTTGCAATCTTCGCGCCCTTAATTTTCCAGGGTTCAGACGATCTCGGCCACTTGGATGAACTTGCTCGTCAAATGCCGGTCTTGAGTCAGACCAGAGACCAGATGCTGGACCCTGTTACGTGCCTGCGCCTCAATCATTGTGACGCTAACTTGACACGGAATTAATACAGATGCCAAATAACAGTCTGCAGACTGAGATGCTTGAGAGTGGATGCATTTTGTTCTTTGAAATGTGTGACTCAAAAAAAATAGACCTCTTCTATGGCTGTGCCATTCGCTGGTTGGTTAGTTCCCGGCATTTGATTCCAGTCGCCGCGTTCAAGATCAATGACGTTGAGAACTTCGTGCCACCAAGTGATTAGCAACATGCGTCATCTTCATTCGAGTGCCCATATAAATCGCCTGCATTCCATCACGTCTTCAAGGATTTGAACCTACAAGGACGCAATCATGCTGGCTCGCTCATCCGTAATTTCCTCTCGGTTTCTTGCTGCACGTCCAGTCTCGTATAAATCAAGCTGTCGGGCCTTTCCGACTCTCCCAGTGAAAACAGCTGCATCAATCAGACAGTTCTCCGTGTCGAAAATGTCTGCATTTCCCACACCCTCGAGTGATCCTCCCAGCAAGGAGATGGTCTACTTTCCGGACATGACCACGGCGCTCCCGTCCAAGTCCGCCGAATTCCGTCGTGTCCTCTGGACCGGGCTCCACTCGCAATTGGTGCTCATGACGGTACCTGTTGGTGGGGATATTGGAGAGGAAGTATGACGCCCACTTATTCGATCAAAATGAAACACGGCGCTGACAGTTGCTAGATTCACACTGTGGATCAGATTCTTACGTTCACATCTGGAACAGGACTTGCTCAAATTGCTGGTAAAGAGCAGGACGTCAAGGCCGGAGACATGGCCATTGTGCCAGCCGGCACGAAACATCAATTCTTGAACACGGGTGCGACGCCGTTGATTCTATACACCGTGTACAGTCCTGCTGAGCACAAACCGACAACTGTACATCAAACCAAGGAGCAGGGTGACAAGGAAGAGGAAGATGGCATTGATGTCGCACCGGAATGGAGCAGGAGAAGCAAGAAACAAAACGAGGACGAGGGGTGGGTCAAGGCTGAAGAGCTCTGAGTAGACCAACTTTTTGATTTCATGAATTACCGCACAATTAATCTGGCTTGACACTGCAGCCGTGTAACAGGAGTCTCTTGAATCTGAGAAGAGGCTTCATTCAAGGCCTGGTGTATGGCCGTGCAGGCCCAGCCGGCCAAAGTATGCTCTTGTAGCACCTGCCGGTACCGTACTGGCCACAGAGATCTCTGTCAGTTGAATGTTAGGGAATGATCATGGATGAAGGATCTGAGGCTCTTATGTGTCCCAAGGTAACGAACCTCCTCTTCTCTCGTGAATTGGAAAGCTCCTCCCACAGCCGATCTAGTTCGTGTCCAGCCACAGTTCTGCCTCTCTCTCTCTCTCTCTCTGCTTGGGAGTCAAGGGAGCCGGAATTAAGCAATTGGAAGCCGTAATTAGTCCTCATCAGGTGGTTTGGTGGTAATTAGATTATTGGGTGGAACGGGCTTCAATTGGGTGCGAATCGCAGGGTGCGATTCGCAGGGTGCGATTCGCATACTAATCTGGTGCAAATCGCTTCTGCGATTCGCACCAGACACCACCTTGGTCATTACCCCGCACCAGTTCCCCCACCACCTCTGGTGCGAATCGCAGAAGCGATTTGCACCAAATTAGTATGCGAATCGCACCCTGCGATTCGCACCCACGCAATTGAGGTACACTCAATGAATTTAAATACAGGGCTGACATGGACTACACCCCCAGTCATCCGAGACATATTGTCTTACCTTGGGGTCAAGGAACGTACCAAGAAGAATGCAGCAGAGATGCATTAGAAGACCGATTGAATTTAATGCAAGCAGCAAATTGACTGAAGACGGATGACCCTGACGACGAAGAAGAGACTGACCTGCTACTCACACGACGGCACGAGCCGGATATGGCCGATAAAAGAGGCACGTCCGACGTCTAGCCCGGCCTGCCTGATCTATCGCCGGCCAGATTTGCAGCTGCATTTCCGTCCATGTGTCGATGGGAGATCGCTCTCTGTGAGACATAGAGTTCAAGCTCTCACAGTTGTGTTCTGCGTGCCAATTCTTACTCGACTGTCGCCCATGCAATTTGAACAAGTGCATGGCCGTGTACCGTTGGACAGAGCTGACCTCGCGCATTTTCAAGCAGTTCTGGGGCCGACAGAGATATTACGTTGCTTTGGGCATCTGATCGATTTATTCTAGCCACGGCGAGTCCGACAGACTGCTTGCATTACACATGTGCGTCTGAACACATTCTCGCATGCTCGAGTCCTGAAATTGATTACAGGCTTCCTTGACACTATCGCACTGCCTCAGTCAATAGGCACAGACATCCCGCCGGACGCCGTGGAACGCAGACAGGACACAATTCCAAGGTTCATGCACTGGAGTACCACGCCAACCCTTTGACAGACAAAGCGGATGTAAAGAACAAGGCTCAGGTGCATCTCTAGCTACAGTCTTGCCCACAAAGGTTGAGAGACTTACTACAGACTACGTAATGAACCGTAATGGGAGCGCATCCGTTACCCGGTATCAGCAGCTGAATATCTACCGCAGTGTCAAGATAATGACTGTACTCCGTACAGTTACGAAGTTGGCATGGTCAACCGGCGGGACAGATGGCCTGTCCTAAAGAAATGCAAGTCTTCAAAGGTCCAAGGACTTGCTTTCGGAATGGCTGAGGTCAGGCCCTGCGATCTGGATCATCCTGCCGCTCATGCCGCTGAGCGGTAGATGGATTCATATGTCGCTGAATGCTGCGGCCGAGGTCTGACAAGTCTGACACAGTCTGCAGTCATTTGAGTCGCCAGAAACCAGTTGGCGGCGGGAGGGGGCGGCGGTCCCTGACCGGTGAAGCACCTGGTGCGAATCCAAATTAGTGTGCAAATCGCACCTGCGATTCGCACCCAATGTCCCCCCACACTGGACCGCCTACCCCGCACCAACACAGTTTGGTGCGAATCGCAGGTGCGATTTGCACCAAATTAGTATGCGAATCGCACCCTGCGATTCGCACCAGACAGTGTTGGTGCGGGGTAGGCGGTTCAGTGTGGGGGGACATTGGGTGCGAATCGCAGGGTGCGATTCGCATACTAATTTGGTGCAAATCGCACTCTGCGATTCGCACTGAACTCATTGGAGGGAGGCCATCTGGTGCGAATCGCACCAGAGAACTGCATTTTGCCTCAGCATCGGGCCTTTCGAATCTTCAATTGTAATTTACTGCGCCCAATTCAATTCAGCATAATTCGGACCAAGTAAACACGCACCCAAGAAGCTTGACCATCGCGTACCGCCTTCTGCCTCCGATATTTATGAATCTCAGGCACTCAGCCGTCGCCGACCTGGAGTGTCAACAATTTCACCACAAGGAGTGCATCCCCGCCGCGTGGGAGGATCCAGCGGCTCATGCCCAGCTACGAGATTGACTGAGAATGGACGGCTGCATATTATAAACAGAACAAAGGTCATGCCAAAGCGGCGTGGGAGTCTCGGATACCAACAGCGTAGTCTGAGCAACGTCACCGGAAGGCTGACTTTGTGGGTGGTGGTGTTGTCTGCCACCTTGGTGCTCTCTGCCGGTCTGATCATGGGACGAATTTCAGCGTGCGGCTGGGACAGTGGTTGGATCTCCTGTTCACTGGCCGCAGACTGTCGAAACTCGTCCCGACCGTCTCTTGGGTTGGGTGCACAAGCGCTGGATTTAAGCTGGTTATGCTTGGTGCATATCATTGGGAGGCCATATGCATACAAATTGGGTGCGTACCGCTGCTCACGATACGCACCAAGACGCGCATGTGGGCACGGTGGGGTCTCAGTGCAGCCCCCAATCCTGCTCTTGGTGCAGGGCAAGGCTCCCGGTTCTCAAGCACCGGTAGCACCAGTCTCTACATGGCATCGGCCCAATCAACTCATTGCTTATTGCCAAATGAAATCAATTGAAGGCAGACATGGATGCACATGAGATAAGTATGAATTGACCAGGCTGACGCAAGCTTGGAAGACCGTGGATCATGGCCGAGACGAACAGCATGGCCGGGGGAGAGCCGGAACGGAGCCGCTCGCCATCCGGCCCGGCCCGCCCGGCCCATCGCCGGCCAGGTCTGTAGTTGCATTTCCCATCCACATGTAACTGGCGATACCCAGTGCACCTGTGCTGAACCAGTACCAATGTATTCGATCCACCGAGCCTTGCTCAAGAGTATCTCATACACCTGGCGCAAGCACGTAGCAAATGCACCCCCCCTTTGGACCGCCTAATCTAGTCAGCCACACATCCTCTCACGCGCCTCTCTTTGCTGGTATCCGACTCAGATCAAGTCCGAAGGGATACACCTTCCCAAGTCGCGGCAACAAAACTCGTCCAAGGCTACGTCCCCGGTGTACTAGGGCGCTGCATTGATCTGCACAGGCGCTACTACTCCGAAAAGTCCGGATTTGGCGAGACTCTTGAATTGGACATGGCTGCTGCTCTCGAGAGCCTCCTACGATGAATCGACGACCCCCGGAATGAAGCAATTGTCGCTGTTGCAGATGGGTTGGTCGTGGGGACTATTTTCGTCGAAGGGCTTTCCCAGCCTGCCACAGGAGACACGAAAGGTGGCCAAAATAAGAGCCTTTATTGTGGACAGCAATTATCACGGAAGGGGTCTGGGGAGGGCGCTGCTTAAAAAAGCCATGCCATTTATCGATGAGCACGATTTTGACGAGTCGCAACTCTCGACCTTTAAGGGTCTAGATGTCGCGAAAACCCCTGCATGAAAAGGCTGGATTCCACGTTGAATACGAAGGGATTGGGACGACATGGGGGGCAGAGGTTACTGAGCAGCTCTATGTGCCACCGAGAAACCCGACAACACCCAATCCGTCATGAGAGAGAGTCACACCGCCATTCTTCACTTCGGAGCCATTGTGCCAATGCAAAAAGATTACTAGGGCGACAAAACTCATGATAGAGAGTCAATTGTTTCAATAGAGACAAGCAAGAAACCCATTCCAACAATGACGAACCGCAGCAGTGGCGACAAGCACGTCACGACATTCTCAGCCACCGGATTCTTCCTCTTCTGGAAGGTGCCCTCGTGAAGGTCCACGGCGATTTATTAAACACAAGTCGTAATATACCGCAACACGACTCCATGGGACTTGGAATCAACGTCGCATACCCGGAATCGAATCCAGCCCTACTTAGATGTCAGCACGCTTCTTCACTACGTGCAAAGGGGGGAAGATGAGACTCACATCCATCAACATTCTCGACCGCAGTCTGCGGCAGCGTGCATCTCATGGCCTCTTCCGAGCTCTGCGTCTTGAGTTCCTTGCACACGGCGTTGTTGCAGCGGGCGTTGAGCGCCCTCTGGAGGCTGTCACCCTTCCAGCCGAAGACGTAGTCACCATGCTGTGAGAACCCGGTCCTGCACGTAGAAGTCAGCGGGGTTGGTCTTCGCAGATGTAGGATTACGTAGGGGGAGGAGGAGGGCTTACTTGTCATCGGTACTCCATACAAATGGCTGTGAGCCGTCCTCGGGCCACATTCCGGGGTCGTTGAAGAGGCGCGTCTGGGTCACGAGAATAAGAAATCGACCTCAAAGAACAGCACAGAGTTGGAAAAATGCATTAAACTCACATCCCACATGACCTCATACATCAGCTGAGGCAGCCTGACGGGGTGAGTGGCCGGGCAAGGCCCAACAGACTCGAAGGTCCCCGAACTGGGGTAGGCCACATGGCTCTTGTGGTCTGGGCTGTCCAGGTTCTTGCCGTCCCAGCAGGTTGGGAAAGTGATGGTGGTCCTGATGCCGCCATCGCATGGCTGCGGCGGCAGGGACGCCGTGTCGGACCCCGTGCAGGGCGCGCCGCCGCCCGACCCGCCGGTATAGTCCTCCTTGACGTAGCAGCGGTGGCACAGCTGGCGTTGCTGGCCCTTGGCCTCGCGCAGCGCAGCGTCCCCGACCAGCATGCGGAAGCCTGGCGCAAATGCCGTCACGTTCGTCTTGCCGTCGTACGGCGGGATATAGTACACCGTGACGCCCCCGACGGCGCGGATCCCCACGTTCGGAAACTGTGGCACCCGCATGAACGTTCCGTTGCGCGCCCGGAAATACAGCACCGCCGTCCAGTAGTTCGAGAAGTCCTCCGAGAACGTGCAGCTCGTGCAAGTCGAGTCCGCCACCAGGTCGTGCGACGCCGGGTCCATGCTCGCGTTGAATGAGTTGCCCCCCACGATCTGGTGCACGTGTGGCGATACGAGCGAGCCCGGATTGACCAACGGGTCCAGCCTTTCCACGACTAGCTGCGAGCACCCGAATCGGATCATCTGCTGCGCGGCGACCGCCTGCAACGACAGTGCCAGGGCGAGGGTTTTCCAATTCATCTTCGTATGGCTCTTCCGTGTCTCGGGTCAGATCTTGGTTGTTTGGGATTTGCTGTGGATGAAGGCTCGATCTTCCAACGGCCTAGTTGGCACAACGTTGGATTGCAGTATAAATATGCCTGTCCGTCGCGTGTATGGAATATTGTGTCTTTCTTTTCTTAGACCATTGTCTTATCTTTGGGGTTCCATGAACGGGTTGCATGCAATATCGCTGAGCGGGTCGGCAGATGTCTAATGCCTCGATGAGGACCAACATGTGCTCGCCTCCCATGCAACGTACAGCCGGGGCTGCCGATCCAGCCGGTAAAATTGCCTACGCGCAGAAAGAGATTTCTCGGCAAACCGCAAGGCCATCGGCTTTACATTAAAGCCCGCCGTAGGCATTGCAGTTCAGGCAGAATTGAGGATCATCATGAGTGACCATGCTTGGTGTGCTGGGCGAGAATTGATGTGGCCACGTTGATGGACTGGGCATGTGGGAGCGGCTATACGTATGCCCTAGGACTGCTACGTGTGCCGCTCTGGCAATCTATTCCGTCCTATTATCGTGAAGCGGTAATAGAGGACCGATTATCTATCTGGCAGCGCATATTAAAATGTGACGACCAAGCCTCGGTATTCAAGTGCGGAGGCACGTTACGGCTAGGGAACAAGGTCCCGTTATATCACCGACTCGATGATGCGTGAGTCTTTTATTACTGACTGGTGACAACGTAAATAAGAAAACCTGGACCTGCAAAATTCAAGAGGCCTCTTTGAAGACGAAGCGATTCAGGCGACCGCTACTTGTCAAGATGCGATACGGCTTACCTTCAGCTATCACGGCACTCGCGCTGTCCTTGACAACAAGCGCCGCCAGAACTTGCGGCAGCAGCAACGCCACATCGACGTACTCGTGGCGAGTGAGCGACGCGAGGTACGACGGCGCACGCCCGAGAGACAGCGCCAGCCCCGCGACCATCGCAGTCAGTATAGTGCCGACCAACAGGACTTACGGGACGTTCTTCGAATGTGTGGCATCGTGGCCGGAGGCCTGGAAGGGATGGCACGACGGCGGAGATAGTATTATCTGGAGCGAATGCATCTGGGCCGGAAATGGGTTCACCGACGACACCACCGTCTCCTTCGCCATGGACTGGGCCAACCGGACGATGTATGTCTCGCATACGTTCGCCTGCTTGGATGCGCAAGGGTATGTATCGTGGCACATCTCTGGCCGTGCGAAGATGCTGAAAAGACCTGACATGACTTCTAGGGCCGATGGCCTGGCGACAGGAATACTCGCCCTTGACATGAATTGCGCGACGACCGAGGAGGGAAGTGAGGTATGCGCACTGGTGGCCAGTGATTCAATGGGGTTCACTACAAAGGGAGGCCCGACTCCACAGGAGCCAGATAATGGTTGTCCAGATAGTGTGGACAGTTATCAATCATGGCAGCTGGAGCAGTGGCAGAGGCAGTACGAATTGGCCCCGGGCTCGTCGTTGTCCGACCCACCGAAAGCCGACACGGGTCCGCGTTTTGTCTTGAGAAATATGAGAAACAGAGGAGCCGATGCCTTCAACTGCACAACCTCCGGGGGAGTCGGAGACGAGAGGTTCACCGGCACCTGTGTAGCGGCCGATGGGGCCTCGGCCAGCACGGCAGAGTTTATCTTCGACAGGAAGCTCGACATGCTCACAGTCACCCAACGCTGGCAGTGTGGCGAGGTGTAAGTGGAGACTCCGATGGAATCACCTTATGGAGGCAGCTGCTAACAAGACCCTAGCTCATTCGATGCGGTTGGTGTAGGCTATGTCCAAGCGACATGCGATCGCCATGGCGACTTGCTAACTTGCACGACGGGACCGATTTGGATTGGAACGAAGACTCTCTGATGTGGGAGTGTCCAGGAAGAAAGGAGAGGAAAAGAGGAAAAAGGAGAGAAAAAGGGGGAAAAAAAGAGGGAGGAGAAAAAGGGAAAAGGAGAAAGAGAAAAAGGGGAGGGAAAAGGGGGAGAGGAAAAAAAGAAGAAGGGGAGAGAGAAAAAGGGAGGGGGGAAGAGAGAGAAAAGAGAAGGGGAGAGAGGAAAACGGGAGGGGGGAAGGAGAGAGAGAGAGAGAAGAAGGAGAGAGAGGAAGGAAGAGGAGGAGGAAAGAGAAAAAGAAAGGAGAAAAAGGGAGAAGAGGGGGGAAAGAAAGGGAGGAGAGGAAAGAGGGAAAAAAGGAAAGCGGAAAGGGAAAAAGGAGAAGAAGAGGGGGAGGAGGAAAAAGAAGGAAGAAAGAGGGAAGAGAGAGAAAAGAGGGGGAAGAGGGAGAG